TTATACCATGGAAACAAGAAGAAATTCCGATGAAAGAAGAACAGCAGACGAAATTAATGGACTGTGCAGAATTGGAGAAAATGACAGGAAGGATTTGAAACCTGCGGGACCAGAGATTCACAGAACATTGGAAGAAGTATACACACTATTTGAAGAGCAATTGTAACCAACAAGTTACGCCAGTAGGACTACAAGAAGTTTTGTAAGGAGGAATATATGAAGTGCTACAAAGTAGATAAAGAATAGAGATATTGGTTATGGGTTTTAAATGTAACAGGGAAAATAAGAAATGTATACTAAGAGATTGGATTGAAAAATTTTCAGACAGGACGGATGGAAGTCAAAAAAATTGAGTAAGATGTAAAAATATGTTTAATTACTGTCAAAAATGGTATGTTAAAAAAACATATCTATCTATCTATCTATCTATCTATCTATCTATCTATCTATCTATCTATTATTTTATACCATCCTGGCATTGGTAAGACAATTGGCATATTAACTAACCGGCCAATGCTCCAAATTTTAGGCGTTTCCATATTTCTTTTCTCTTTATCCACATTCTCAAAGACATGCACGATATTCTTCCCGCACCATCATATATATATTTTCCCCTAACAACAAGCCTGCGAGGTAGGTCAGGCTGGGAGGGACTGAGCCCAAAGCGAGCTGCCTTCCTTGAGGCAGCAGGGTGCGTCTACTCAATCCTAAAAAGGTAAAGGGACCCCTGACCGTTAGGTCCAGTCGTGACCGACTCTGGGGTTGCGGCGCTCATCTCGCTTTACTGGCCGAGGGAGCCGGCGTACAGCTTCCGGGTCATGTGGCCAGCAGGACTAAGCTGCTTCTGGCGAACCAGAGCAGCGCACGGAAACGCCGTTTACCTTCCCGCTGGAGTGGTACCTATTTATCTACTTGCACTTTGACGTGCTTTGGAACTGCTAGGTGGGCAGGAGCAGGGACTGAGCAACGGGAGCTCACCCTGTCGCGGGGATTCGAACCACCGACCTTCTGATCGGCAAGCCCTAGGCTCTGTGGTTTAACCCACAGCGCCACCCGCGTCCCTGCTCAGTCCTAGCCGAACTCCAACTCTTATGCCACACTGGATGAGCAAAATGCACTCTAGACATGCACAGAGGGGTCGCCGTTGCTTCTTGGTTTGCAAACGGAATCTGGAGCAAAGGCAGGTGGTGCTATTGATTAAAAGCTGGAAGGGGCAGGTCCCACTCTCAGTTCCAAAAATAAATAAATGACAAAACCGGTGTCCAGAGGTCTGGCTAGAAGCTACAGCAAAAGTTCACTGCAGTTGAACTTCTCAGGGAATTGGCCAAGGAAGCAGATCTGTTTTGATATATTGGGGCTGCCTATAAGACATTGGAAATCTAACTTTGAGGCAGTTGCACTATGGAACTCCCTGCCTATTGATATCAAGGGCACTCTATTCAGCCCCTGCTAAAAAACATTATTGCTTAGACAAGCCGACCCAGATGCTTGATCCGTTGCAGTAATTTTAACTTTCTGTACATTTTAAAGTATTGTTGCAATTTCTTCTTCTTCTTCTATCTTTTTGCAAACCGCTTTGAGGTTTGTGGGTCTATTCTTTTTGCAATCAAGGAATGTATAAATTTATATTAAATAACAAATAATAATTATATATATACATATGAGACAGATAGTTTTTATTTGGTTTTACAAGTATATAATTATAACACTAGCATTCACAGCCGCATTTACAGATTCCTTCAGATCCCTCCCCTGCACGGGTCCTTTTATTAAACCTTTTCTACTGCATCTTTCCCAATAATAAATCTATATTATATAACCCTCATTGTCTCCATAGTACTTGCTATATTAGAAGTGTTATTGCAATCCTGCTTATGTTTCCATCTGCTTACAGTGGTCTCTAAGATAAATTATAAATTCTTCCCATAATAAATACAATATATTTTTAATTGTTTATCTGCGAGGGTTTTTTTAAGGGGAATCTAGCAAAAAGCTTCTCCCATTTTTACTCTGCCCAGAGTCTTTCCCTTCCGCCTCCCATCTCCTTTCTCAGGAGGAAAGACTTCCACCCCCAAAGTGGGGAAGGGTTCGGCTGTGGACATTCCTCCTCCAGGCTGCAGTTTGCTCAAATGCCCGGCTTTTGTCCCTAACAGCTGGCCCCGGGGAGGCCATTTACTTCCATTTGCAAGGTAATTTCTTCCTTATGTCCCTGTGAACTCGCCCTGAGGGGGGAAAAGAATGGAGATTTCGTGGCATCAGGCCTGCAGGTGGAGGAGACCTTAAAGCGAAAGGTTCACAAATAAGGCCATTATCCTAGGTGTCTCCAAAAATTTTACACATCACTTGGGAAGACAGGCAAACTAATACCAGGGTACTGGAAGAAGCAAAGATCCCCAGTGTCAAAGCAATGATTCTTCAACATCAACTTTGTTGGACTGGTCATGTTGTGCGGATGCCGGATGATTGCCTTCCAAAGCAACTACTCTATTCCGAACTTAAAAATGGAAAGCGTAATGCTGGTGGTCAACAAAAGAGGTTTAAAGACACTCTCAAGGCAAATCTAAAAAAAAGTAGTATAGACACTAACAACTGGGAAACACTGGCCTGTGAGTGCTCCAGTTGGAGAACAGCCTTTACCAAAGGTGTCGTGGGTTTTGAAGACACTCGAACTCAGGACGCAAGGGAGAAACGGGCTAAGAGGAAGGCACGCTTGGCAAATCCACACCGTGATGGACTCCTACCCAGAAACCAATGTCCCCACTGTGGAAGGATGTGTGGGTCCAGAATTGGCCTCCACAGTCACTTATGGACTCACTGTTAAAACTGTGTTTATGGGAGACAATCTTACTCGGCTACGAGGGATCGCCGAAGAAGATGAAGATGAAGAAGATGATGAAGAAGAAGAAGAAGAAGAAGAAGAAGAAGAAGACTTGCGGACTGTGGTGCCCTTCCGTTCAAAATGTGCAAAAGGAAAACAGGCCCACACCAAATGAAGAACCAGAGGAGGAGAGACTGCTGAGAGCACTGCAGAGAGGAGAAACACCATTGTGCACCTGTAGCAGCAAAACCGGAGGCCTTCGTCTGCCCCAGCTGCATCATAGAATAGCAGAGTTGGAAGGGACCCCCGAGGGCCATCTATCCCAACCCCCTGGCAGACGAGGGTTCAACCTCTGCTTGAAAACATCTGAGGAAGGAGAGTCCGCCACCTCCCGAGTGCCACTGCCAAACAGCTCTTACTTCCTGATGCAGAGTTGGAGCAGAAGTTTTTATACCGCTTGGACTTGGGGGTCCATTCTCTTGAGGGGAGGGTTGGCTCCAACCACTAGGCAAAGCTGCCTCATGAGTTTCGAAACATAACTAAAATCAATCTCTGACTTCGCTAATATGAAAATGGCTTTAAAAAGTTTAAAAGGAGATAGGATATTAATATATCAAGGATGGAATAGCAAATAAAGTGAATAATGCAACAATAACAAAAATAATAGTAGGTAGAGATCACACACAGGTAGAGGGAAGTACTGGGCTGTGGGGGAGGGAGGGGGAGGGATTAATTGAAATGGTTAAAGATTGGTATAGGATTTAAGAGATTTAAATTTTTATAAAGATTCTATAAGGAAAGCAGAAAGCAGCAAGAAATATCAAGTAAAGGGGATATCAGTGTAAATGAAAACATGAGACTTACTGTTTTGTTACATATGGTTTTGTTTTGGAGTTGTCTGCTTATTTTGGAGTTGTTTGTTGAAAAGAATGTATATTATGTGAATAAAATAATAAAGGATTTGAGACAGGAGAAAAAAGGAAAAGAAAGGAAAAAAAAGAAAATGGCTTTGTTTCACTCTATACTGTTCTCCTCTGCTACAGGGAACCTGCCTGTTTCTCTTAAGGCAAAAGATTTTATTTTATTTTAAAAGGGGGGGATGAGATTTTTGCTTTTATCTTCATCCCTGGGTGAAATCCGAACCCTCCTGGCACCTCCGAGAGGCCAAATCAATTAACGCCTCTATCTCTTCCTACACTCCCTTTTAAGACAGACCAGTGCACACACTTTTATGACTTTTTAACACCAAGGCAGTGATTTTCTCTTCCTTGGTTGGCGTAGTAAAGGAATTGGCCTGCTGTGGATTTTGGGAGGGGGCAAATAATTTCTCTCCCCCCTTTCCCCCCCTAAAAAAAATCCAGGCCTGCTAGTTCCAAGGGATGTAAGGAGAGAGGGAGTTATAGAAATGTGTAGCTGGAAGGGACCCCAGCGGCCATCTAGTCCTGCCCCCTGGGAAAATAAAGATTTTCCCTCCCTCTCTAATCCTACAAGAATGACTGCAGTCCTGGGGCATGCTTATTTATCAGTCATTGCCATTTCAATAATTTCTCTGCTGCTTTCCTTTTATCGAAATAAAGGCACTGCCCCGGGCGTCTGACCACAGCAGGCAGTCAAACAAAACACCAATCGCTAAAAAGGAACATCGCCAACAATCACTGCACCAAAGAGAAGTCGCTTTGAGTTCTTTTTGGAAGGGGAAAAAAACCCCAACTAAATAATTATGCAATCAATCAATCAATCAATCAATCAATCAATGATTGCGAACTTCATTCGCTATTTTGGCCTGGGAACTGTCTCGTTCTCATTCTCTCTCTGTACGTGCTCAGAGGCACTCTTGCCCACCCCGCATTCGCTCCCATTTCAGAGAAACAGAGGTTCCGCGGCTAGGACGAAGCCTCCTAATAATAATAATAATAATAATAGTAATAATAATTTTATTTATATCCCGCCCTCCCCAGCCAAAGCCGGGCTCAGAGCGGCTAACAACAGTAAAATAATACAGCATTCTAAAATCAATTCATTCTAAAATCAGTTCAACGGATGGAGATTCCCAAATTGGAGGGCGAGCGAGGAGTTAAAAGCGGGGGGCGTGGCCGAGGCTGAGAGGGGGCGTGTCTCCCACATGCCCCGCCCTCCCACCCTATATAAGCCCCGGCGCTGCGCTTTGCCCATGCCGTCTTGCCTGCAGCTTCTTCCCCGGCCAGCGGGCTCCCCCGAGGTCCTCTAGTCGGCGCGCCCCCATCGAAGGAGGAGATGTTCGCCGTTTTCCCCGCGGAAGCTCCGCTGCAGCAAGAGCCCGGAGGGGCCCCGATCCCTGCTGCTGCCCCTCGGGCGCTTCCTCCTCCTCCTCCCCCCGAGGACCCCCTGGAGAAAGTCAAGCGCCCCATGAACGCTTTCATGGTGTGGTCGAGCGCGCAACGGCGTAAGATGGCACAGGAACACCCCAAGATGCACAACTCGGAGATCTCCAAGCGCCTGGGCGCCGCTTGGAAACTGCTCCCCGACGCCGAGAAGCGGCCCTTCGTGGACGAGGCCAAGCGCCTCCGGGCTCTGCACATGAAGGACTACCCCGATTATAAGTACCGGCCCCGGCGCAAGGGCGGATCCGGGCGCGCACGCGACAAGGGCGCACCGGCAGCAGCCTCGCCAGGAACCTTTCCGTGCGCCCCGACGGCCGAGACGCGCGCCTGGAGCGCATACGCCGCCGCCGCGCCAGGAGGGACCCCCGACGGCAGGGGCGCCTGCTACCCCTACGAGCTCGCCCAAGGAGCACCCGGAGGCGGAGGAGGAGGCTACGGGGCCGGATCCGCCGCGCCCTACAGGTGAGCAAGAAGAGCAGCCCCGACGGCGCGCGGTGGGGATGGGTGGCTCGGGGGTGGTTTTGGTGATGGTGCGTAATGCTCGGAGGAGACCCCTCGGGAGGCTTTGAGCGCAGGGAGGGACGCTTCGAGTTCGGTCCTGCTCGCGAGTAGACCCTCTGGAGTTTGGGAGGGGCTCACGACGTCCACTGGGTGGTAGGTGAACTTTACTCCGGAGTAGACGCGTGGAAACTGTAGACCTTGCGTAGCCGCGTCCGTAGGTTTCCGTGGGTTGGAGGCGAGCCCTACTCGGGAGGAGGCGCATTGGATTTTTACACCCTGGGAAACAACGTCCGTTAACTTCAATGGGCTGTAGGTGAGTCCTACTCGGAGTAGACGCGTTTTTAAAAAAATACTTTTTATTAAAGGGGAGTAAACGCATGGAAACTTTAGACCCCAGGTAGCAATGTCCTAGATTTCAGTGGGTTTGTGGGTGAGCCCTACTCGTGAGTAGGAAGCTCTTTAGATCTAGGGTCGAAACGTCCGTAGACTGCAGTGGGTTGGAGGTGAGCCCTACTCGAGAGTAGGCGCATTGAAGCTCTTGCACCTAGGGAGTTAGTGGTGTCCTTTAACGTCAATGGGTTGTATGCGCTATTAGTCCTACTTGGAGCAAGACTTCGTCTCATTTCAGCGAGAAGTTTGGGAAGCTCTCCTCGGAGTAAACCCATTGAAACAACGGCCTCGGGTGGTAGCGATGTCCAGTTTCAAGGGGCTGCGTGCAGTGCCGTCTCTACTCAAGAGTAGACTCGCGGAAGCACTTGGACTTCGGGTGGCAGCAACGCCAGTTCACTTCACTGGGTTGTATCAAGCAGTCTCTTCTGCTCAGAGTAGACCCATTAAAAATAATGAAAATGGCTCTGTAACTTACTCCGATCAAGGCTTGGTTTGATGCATCGCCGCGATTCTGTTGAGGGCGACTAATACTGCAATAAATAATTTGGACTACATTTGGAGCTTCTCGTGGAGAAAACCTTCCCTCTCTTCTAGCCTCCTTGCAGGCGATCCTGTGCGTGCTTACTCGCGAGTAAGCTCCGCAGTGTCCTTTCCAGCTTGGTCGGTGGGTGGGGGCTGCGATCCTGTGCGTGCTTCCTTGCGGAGGAAGCTGCAGGGAAGCGCAGCGGGAGGGTTTACTTTGGAGAAAACCAAGCCTAAGCACTGTGCGCTTGGTGGATCGGGACCATTTCGGCTTCTCACGAAACTGACTTCCTGGATTTGCCTTCAGCTGAGCGTGCCAGACGAGCCTTCCTCTTGCTTTACAAAAGCACCGAAGAGAGGGAGGGGAAAAAAAAGAGAAAATCTCCCTGTTTGGTTTCCTATCCAGCCAGAAATCCCATCCCGTGTTCCGATTTGCAGGAATGTTTTAACGCGTGCAACAAACAACCTCCCGTTTATTTATTTAGTTGCATTTATATCTGGGTCTTCTCACAGGTCCTAGTCCTGCGCTCTAACCACTGTGCACCACCACCGGCTCATAAATCAGGTTTTGTGTTTTTCCAAATTAAGCACCCCTTTTTGCATCACCAAAAAAATGTGAATTTTTTCTTTAAATTGCGTCTCTATCTGGAATGGGGAACAGGGGAACTCCTTGCTGCAGTTCCTCACTAGAGCTGCGCCTACACAGAGGCTGCTGCAATTGGCTGCTAAATTCCTGCGGTCCAGGATTCAGTTCTGGGATCTGTGCTGGGGGCAGATTTTCCGGAATTGGCTTAAGTGTCATCTATGGAGATAAGCTTTTCAGCTGCTGATTGTGTTACAAGAACAGGACACCTGGGTTCTCCGGAAGGGGGGGAGAGGAGGGAGGTGCCTTTCCGCACATCTGCTTCCAAATGTTGTTTCTAGGGCAAGGTAAAAACTTCTTTTTGTGGGGAGAATGCAGGGATTTTTTGCAGAGAATCTAGGAGTCCCTACCCACCTTAAATGATAAAATTTAAACACTGCTTGATTGTGTTTGTTTAGCAACCTGAAAGCGGAGATCAAGCAAGAAAAAAGAACTGTGATTCAAAACTTTAAACAAGTTGAAATAACAATAGACTACAAAAGATGATTTAAAATTGCATCCGCCTTCTTTGCTGCCACCCTAGTCGAGAACCCAGATTGCCCAATGCCCCTTTACAAAAAATAAAACGGTGCCCCCCTCTGTTTGGGGGACCCAGGAGTCCTGCCTTCCACCCAGGGGCTGCCCTCCTTCCTTCCTGGAGCGATCCCCAGCGCCCTGGCTTGCTGCCCCAGATCTGTCTCAGCGTCATGCCCCGGCAAAGCTGGGTGGGTGCTGGCCCTGGCAATCTGGGCGTGCCCCCCCACCCCACCCGGGGGGTTGCCAGCTCCTTGGGTGCTCTCCAGGGCGCATCATCGGCCTGCCCTGCGCCAGACACGCAAAGGGGAGCCCTGCCCCTCAGGTCGTGACCGAGGGTGGCCTAACTCGCACTCGCACCCGAGCTGCTTGGCATGTGGGGTGGGGAGGGAGGGAGGGAGGAGGCATGGGAGAGGCAAGCCGTGCGGGTGCCATGGGAGGGAGCCAGGACTGCTGGGTCCCCCAGGCAGAGAGAGGGCAGGACTCCTGGGTCCCTGAAACAGAGGAGAGCAGGACTCCTGGTTCCCCCAAACAGAGGAGAGCAGGACTCCTGGGTCCCTGAAACAGAGGAGAGCAGGACTCCTGGGTCCCTGAAACAGAGGAGAGCAGGACTCCTGGGTCCCCCAGGCAGAGAGAGGGCAGGACTCCTGGGTCCCTGAAACAGAGGAGAGCAGGACTCCTGGTTCCCCCAAACAGAGGAGAGCAGGACTCCTGGGTCCCCCAAACAGAGGGGAAAGGTTTGAGGATGGAGAGTGGTGGTCGGGATTCTGGGGACCCCTGGGGAGGCGGGCGGAGGCTGCTGGGTGAGGAGGGGCTGGCAGGCAGGCCGGCAGGTCCGGACAGGTTTGGGGGCTCTCAGCCAAAACTGGAAGAACAGGCTGGCGAGGAATGCAGGCCCGCCCCACAGGCCCCGGGGGATTAGCTTTCTCTCTCTTCCCGCAGGTGGCGAAGGGCTGGGCCCGGCAGGTGCTCTCCTGGCCACCTCACAGCCTAGCGCACAACACAACACTCCCGGATTGTGAGCGTTGGAAGGGGTCCCTCAAAGGTCATCCAGCCCAACCCCGGAGGTTGGCTTGATTTAGGGCAGGCGAAAGAAAGTTAGACGGCGGAACTCCCTGCCGCCAGAGGCAGTGTGAGGTAGGACAGGCTGAGAGAGGCAGCGACAGCGAGCTTCAGGGCTGAGTGGGGGGATTTGAACCCGGGTCTTTACGAGGGCCTGGCCTGACACGCAGGCTCTTGTAATAATAGTAACAATAATAATTAGTAAATAAATAAATCCAATACTATATAGATCCGTGGCTATGGGGTGATACACAAATTTAATAAAAAAAATAACCACATCGTTGCCTTCCCATGCAAATTGGAGAAGTTCCCCTCCAATTTCTTACAATATTAGAGATTTATTTTTTTAAAAAAATTATACTTTCCAGATATATACATTTCACTGATTTTTACATTCATTTGAACATTTTAAAACTTCCTTCCCCCTCTTTCTGCGTTTCCTTAATTTGATTTTTAATGTATTCTGCCATATCCAAATTAACGTCATTTGGAAAAGGATATTAGAGATGTAACAAGAATTTGCTGTCTGGTGTGGCTTCAGGGCTCCGGTTATTTACGTATATTAATATTATTTCATTTGTTATAGCGGCTTTTCCCTCCCAGAAGCTCAAGCTGTGCTGCGAATTCTTCTCCTGACTATCTTTTATATCCTTATAACCACCCTGTGGGTTACATCCAGTTGAGGTTCATGGCAGGGTGCGGAATTCGAACCCAGGTCTCTTCCCTGCCCCTGATTCTCTTAACCAGACCTAGGCAAACTTCGGCCCTCCAGATGTTTTGAGACTACAATTCCCATCATCCCTCACCACTGGTCCTGATAGCTAGGGATGATGGGAACTGTAGTTCCAAAACATCTGGAGGGCCGAGTTTGCCTATGCCTGCCTTTAACCATTGCACCACGCAGCCCGAGACCGCTTAATCTCCGGGGTTTCGAAGGCCCGTGCAATAAGAAAACCAGGCCTATATTAGATAGATAATCTAATATATGAGAAGGTGAAGGTCTGCAAGGGGTTTTTGAGCCATGGGATAAGGAAATCACTTTATAAGAAGTGATTATAGTCTTTTAGAAGACATCTGAAGGCAGCCCTTGTTTAGGGAAGCTTTCGATGTTTGAGGCATTACTGTATTTTAACATTTTGTTGGAAGCCGCCCAGAGTGGCTGGGGAAGCCCAGCCAGATGGGCGGGGTATAAATAAATTATTATTATTATTATTATTAGAGTAAATACAAAGGAAAGCGTACTTGCCTTCGTTGTACGTTTATATTTTAAAGCAATAAAGATTTACTCAAAAAACCAGGCCTGCCAGGAGAGCCCTGGTAGACTATTCCTGAGAATGGAGGTTCTATTTCTGAATACCCATAGTATATATGGGGTGAGGGACTGGCGTCTGGGGTTCCTTGGGTGGTGAGTTGGCCACTAGGGGCCTCTGCGGATGTTGTTCTCACCTGCTCCTCCTCCTGTTAAAACAGGATCCTTGAGATTTACGGATTTTGAGACTTGAGAAAGTCCTTATTCATGCAGCACAGACTGCGGAACTCCCTGCCACAGGAGGCAGCGGTGCCCACTAATAATCTCGATGGCTTTAAAAGGGGAGGAGCCATCCATGGAGGAAGAGAGGTCTACTAGCCAGGATGGAGGCGGCAGTACTCCTCCCCCAAAAACCACTTTTTTGGGCGCATGGGGGCACTTTGTAAAAAAATATTTTATGTGTCAGGCTCCCCTGTTTCAGGGACCCAGGAGTCCTGCCTCCCCTGTGTTTGGGGGACCCAGGAGTCCTGCTCTCCCTCCGTTTCAGGGACCCAGGAGTCCTGGCTCCCCTCTGTTTGGGGGACCCAGGAGTCCTGCTGGTGTCAAGTACGTGTATGAATATTCTTTCATTTCAGAAGCGTGAGCTGGGCTGGAGAAGACTGGTCGGTGTTTGTGCCGGCTACTGGGAATTGTAGGGCAAGCTACAGTTCCCGCGTCTCCGTGGGGGAGTTTGTGCGCACCGGGAGCGCTTTAAATGTGTGGGTTGGGATGGATGACCTTTGGGGGTCCCCTTGCAACGGTGCGGTTTCGTGCCTGCGAGGCGATCCTAGCGGGTGGTGCTACAACTCCCAACGCCCTCTCTCTCTTTGTTTCCACAGCACCCTGACGTACGGCGCCCAGCCCTCCCCGGTGATGACCACGATGATCAAACCAGAAGGTGGCTTGCAGCAGTTTCACCACTCCTTTGGCGATTTCCACGACGTGATGACAGCTTATTCCCTGCAGGCGTGCGACGCTGCGGAGGGGGCGCCCCAATACTGCATTTCCCAGCACCCCTACTTGGGGTTCAGCAACACACCTCCACTGACCCACCTTTAACTGGTTTGAAGGTGGCGGAGAAAGGACTGATTTAATTTGGTTTTTTTGGGGGGTGGTGTTGGTTTGGGGGCTGTTTTATTTCCCCAGCTTCGTGCAAAAGGGGATAAACTTAATTTCACTTGTGCAGAAGTTTGTGCCTTGCGTATATTGAAGCGGGAAGATTTGTACAGGACATTTTTTTCTTTTTTTACCTTAAGAAATGAAGGAAATGGGAAACTCTTAAGGGTGGGTGGGTCCCAATTCCTGCTAGCAGGGATTCCTCGTTTGGGTGGGTGGAAAGCCTAAAGGGGAGGGGGGTTATATTTTGCTAACTACTTTTTTTAAACAAGTTTTTATATTAAAAAAAAGGAATAAAAGCTGTTTGTGTGAAAGACCCCGATTTGTGGGATGCGATGGGCAGGGGGGTGCTTGCGGGCTCTTGGCAAATTGTAGAGTTGGAAAAGGGACGTCCAAATATCATCTAGACCAACCCCGGACCCCGCAAGGCAGGAATTTCATCCGGAACGCTATGGAGCAGCAAAATAGTGCCCCTCGGTTGCCTTGGACCACAACTTCCCGGGGAAGTTCACGGCTGGCCATGTATCCAGGTTGCTGTGCTTTGTGCGTTGAAGCGGGTTGGGCTGGATGACCTTGTGGGGTCCCTTCCAACATGAAAATTCTGCGGAATGTGGCTGAGGAAGTCTGGATGTGCCTGGAAACCTGTAGCTGCAAAGGTGCAAAGATGGCTGGAAGTTTTAAGGGGGACAGAAGAACAAGGAACTGCCCATACAGAGTTGGACCATGGATATAATATAATAATTTATTTATACCCCACCCATCTGGCTGGGTTTCCCCAGCCACTCTGGGCAGCTTCCAACACAATATTAAAATACAGTAATGCATTAAACATTAAACGCTTCCCTAAAGAGGGCTGCCTTCAGATGTCTTCTAAAAGTCTGGCAGTTGTTTATGAAATGCCGCAAAAATCCCTGAAACGAGAAGTAATCGACTAGAAATATCATCTTGTAGAATTAAACCAAAGAACAAAAATCAGAAAGTTTAAGGAAAAAATTGGAAAAACCTAGATTAACATCAGCAGTAACATCTAGACCAAAGGAGCGTTTCGGCCCCGATCTTGAGTTTGTTTAAAATCTAAAACAGCTTATTTTATATTCCTTTCTTTGAATTTATGCTATGTAGGTTTTTAAAACCTTTTTGTAAAGGCAATAGAGTTTTCACAGCCGAGTCCTCAACTCCTTATTCCTACTGTGTGGTTTTCTTTAAATAGGACTAAAACTTGCCATTTAGGTTTTCAGACCTTTTTTGTAAACTCAGGGGAGCATTTCAGCCTTGTTCTTGAGTTCGTTTAAAATCATTTGAGTTTGTTTAAAATCATTTAAGGTTTATGATTTCTCTTATTTCCTTCTGAGGAAACTGAATAGTTCAGTGAAATGAGGTTTGTAGCCAGCAATACCGTTAAGGCTTTGTTCAATTCTAGGTTTTTCTAATGTTTTCCTTAAACTTTTTTGATTTTTGTTAGCTTAATTCTATAAGATAATATTTCCAGTCGATTACTTCTCATTTCAGGGATTTTCTAATTTTTTCCTTAAACCTTTTTGGATTTTTGTTCCTTAGTTTAATTCTAGAAGATATTTCCAGTCGATTACTTCTCGTTTCAGGGATTTTCACAGCATTTAATTTGTTTTGTGTGATTTCTCGGTTCCGTGACTGTCTCTTTTTCTACAGGAAAAGGGAATTGGCTGCTTCTGGGTACCTCTGGCACAGCGCAGGCACCCCTTTCTGTACCCACCTCCCGCCAGTCTCTGGCGATGGGTGACTCACCTCTTTCGTGCCAGGACAGGCGTGTGTCAAGGGTAGGGCAGGCTGCCACCCACAGGCCCGGGAACCGGAGCGAGCCCAGTTTTCGGGGGCAGCTCTGCTCCCCGCCCGCCCTCAAACATGTCCCTTCCAGCCCTGATCCGAAAAGGGCGAGCGGAATTGCTTAGATTGGCCTCCTTAGAAGGAAAGGTTGCAGTGTTTGGGGGCATTTCGGGTCAAGAGACAACGCGGTCGACTTAAAGCCTTGTGAATAGCACAATTCTCGGCTGTGACTCCTGCACTACCGGCGGGGTTGAGATGGATGACCTTTGGGGGGCCCCTTCCAATTTGGGATGCCGCTTTGAGTGAAAACGGTGCGTTTTGGTTTTTCCCCAAAAGGCTTTTCTCAAATAAAAATGGCACAGCAATTCCCCTTCCTCCTCTTGAGGAGACTTATTGCAGGGTGGGAAAAGGAACATCCCAAAACACGGTTCGAAATTCTCAAGGTGCCCGTCACATTTTGCCACCGGCGCTGGTCCAGTTGCGACGTGGGCCAGTTTAGAAACCTGCAGTAATGCACAGTTAATTCCATTCCCACTGTGTGTCTGCTTCTCCTCACTGCATACCGAGATGTGTGAATTGTTGGTCACCTTTGAGGAAAAGCCGAAAATGCATTTGAGTCTGGGTGTGGGGAGAAGTTATTAAGTTTAGCACACCTTTCCAGATATCGCTTTGCAATGGCTGCCTCCTTCCTGTGCTCCGAGGGCACCGGATTTTGCAAAGCTGGTTTCTTTACTGCCCACTTTTCGGAGGCTACGGCATTAAAGCCACACGATTAAAAATTGGAGCGTAAAAATAAGCCGGGTCTGGAAAATAGACCCTTTTGAGTGTCAAAAACTCCAACCCAGGGTAAAGAGGTCTTCGGCACTCGGTGGAAGCTGTGTCACAAATGCACCAATTGCACCTCTGGTCTGTAGGTTAGGGGCCACCACAGAAAAGGCCCTCTTCTCCCCCTGAGCTTACCCCCATGTTCCCCCGGGCCCTCTGCTGATCTCAGCACATTTAAAGGGACAGAAACAACCTCGGAAAATGACACCAAAACAGCGTCCAGCGATCTCTTGTGCCTCTGTAATTGCAATCCCAGGAACGCTCCTGGTTTTCAAAACTAGAGAGTCCTTGCAGGCTTTTTTCAAATGTTGTTCCCAATAAGAACGCTTGGTTTCTCGGAAAAATAATCCCGCGTTATAATTTTAGGGTTTTAAACACAAATTTGAGCATCCTGAACGAGCTCGGCTGTTTTGAAACAGGAGCTTTGTTATTTTTATTTTAATGGTGTATATATAAAACAGAAAAATTGGGTTGGGGGGTGGGGTGGGGGGTTACATGAGATCTAAACAGAAGACCAGCCAGGAACCCGGCTGCTTTTACTGCATTTTGGACCAACTTGAAGTCCGGGGACAGTCTTCAAGGGGTGGCCCCAAGCAGCTAGCATTGCAGTAGTCCAGCCCGGAGGTTGCCAGAGGCAGTCGCCAAGTCATTTTGGAGGGAGGGGGCATCGGGGCAGCCTGTCTCCCTACAGATATTTTGGCTCCTAGCATCCTGGTTGCGCTGTCTGTAACTGAGTGGGGTTTGTGGTCCAAAAAAACCAAGTTTGGGAAAAGTGCTCCCCAGAGACTGATGAATTGGGGTGACAGTGAGCCCCAATCTTTTCATAATCCTAATTAAGTGATGGGCAATGGATCCTGCACAGCTGGAAGCACATCTTTTTACCTTAAATACATCTTAGTGTATTTTTGGTTTTTGTGGACTGGGGAAACCCAGCCAGATGGGCGGGGTACATATAATAAATTATTATTATTATTATTAAAGATCTATGCTGTTACAAGATGCGATGTGGGCCTCTAAGTAGCTTAAAAATCCCTTCGTAAGAGATGGAGATGCTCCCTTTGGGGGTGGCCACTGAAAACAGGCTGCAGGATTAAACCCACCTGTGATAATAATAATTTATTATTTATACCCCGCCCATCCGGCTGAGTTTCCCCAGCCACTCTGGGCGGCTTCCAATCAAGTGTTAAAAACAATACAGCATTAAATATTAAAAACTTCCCTCAACAGGGCTGCCTTCAGATGTCTTCTAAAAGTTTGGTAGTTGTTGTTCTCTTTGACATCTGGTGGGAGGGTGTTCCACAGGGAGGGCGCCACCACCAAGAAGGCCCTCTGCCTGGTTCCCTGTAACCTCGCTTCTCGCAGGGAGGGAACTGCCAGAAGGCCCTCGGAGCCGGACCTCCGTGTCCGGGCAGAATGATGGGGGTGGAGACGCTCCTTCAGGGATACAGGACCAAGGCTGTTTAGGGTAGGTGGGCAGTTAATCAATGGAACTCCCTCCCACAGGAGGCCACCAACCTAAAGGGCTTTGAAAACGGATTCGACAAAACCGATGGTTTGCCCCTGTGAGAAGAGGTCACTGGACTGGATGGGAAATTGGGAAATCCAAGCTCTTAAGTTAGCATGGAGACTCCAGCTCCAGAGACAGTCTACCTCGATTCTGAGGTAGGGCTCAGCAAACGTTTTCAGCAGGGGGGCGGTCCATTGCCCCTCAGACCTTGCGGGGGGCCGGACTATATTGGGATGGGGGGAAATGAATGAATTCCTGTGCCCCACAAATAACCCAGGGATGCATTTGAAATAAAAGGACACATTCTACTCATGTGAAAACACGCTCGTCCGCAGGCCGGATTGAGAAGGCGATTGGGCCTTAGTTTGCCTACCCATGTTCTGAGGGGTATTTGGCCCGCTGTGAGAACAGGGAGCTGGACTGGACGGGCCAGGGGGCCCGATCCACCGGGCTTTTATGTGTGCTGCTTTTGCAATCCAAGCCGAGGGGCAGGTAATCTCAGCAGCTTAGTTACAGCGATGTTGCGATTCTGCAGTGGCGTAGCGTGGGGGGTGCAGGGGGGGCTGGCCGCACCGGGCGCAACATCTGGGGGTTAGGGTTAGGGGGCGCAAATCCACGGGTTAGGGGGCGCAAATTACTTGCCTTGCCCCGGGTGCTGACAACCCACGCTACGCCACTGCGATTCTGAAAGAAGTGATGTGTGTGTGTGTAAAAGGGTGGGGCGATGGGAAACACCCTTTGGCAAAGGTTTAAACGCTACAACCCCCCCCCCACTGCACTCCAGAAAGACAGCTGCAGATCTGCTCTGACTCACCTGCTCTCCCTCCCTGAAGCGAAATCTTGCTAAGCTCCCCAATTAGGATGCCCTGCCCCGCCCTGGCTTGCTGCCTCCCCTGCCCCCCGCCAGCATCATGACAAACCAGAAAGAGAAGCACCCATTTCCTCCCCCTGCAGGGCATGTGGTATTTTTGCAGGCTGGATTGAGCTGAGCTGGGTGCAAGAGAGAGACACAGCTGTGGGTTAAACCACAGAGCCAAGGACTTGCCGATCAGAAGGTTGGCGGTTCGAATCCCCGCAATGACGGGGTGAGCTCCCGTTGCTCGGTCCCTGCTCCTGCCAACCTAGCAGTTCAAAAGCATGTCAAAGTGCAAGTAGATAAATAGGTACTGCTCTGGCGGGAAGGTGAACGGCATTTCTGTGCACTGCTCTGGTTCGCCAGAAGCGGCTTAGTCATGCTGGCCACATGATCTGGAAAAACTATCTGCGGACAAACGTTGGCTCCCTTGGTCAGTAAAGCGAGATGAGCGCCGCAACCCCAGAGTCGTCTGTGACTGGACCTAATGGTCAGGGGTCCCTTTACCTTTAAGTTGACCCACCTGGATGGAGCAAACCCAAGTGCTCCCTCTGCTGGCAGTGATGGGAAGTGGCTTTTATTCAGAGCACTGGCACCCACCTAGTTCAGTATTGTCTACACTGGGTGACAGCAGCCTCTCCCAACCCTACCTGGAAGCACCGTTGGGGATTGAACCTGCGACCTTCTGCATGCAAGGTAGGTCCTTTGGTTGTAGACCCCGGGGGTCGCCCAACCCAGCCCCCTGCGAACCAGGAATCTCAGCTAAAGCATCCATGACAGATAGCTTTTGAACCTCTGCTTAAAAACCTGCAAGGAAGGAGAGAACACAACCTCCAGAGGGGAAATTCTTCCTGGTGTTTACTTGGTTCGAGTCCTGTTGTCCAGGGCAGAAGAAAGCAAGCATGCTCCCTGTTCCATGGGACAGCCCTTCAGATATTTGAAGATATCTCCTCCCAGTCTCCTCTTCTCCTTGATCCTCTTGGCTGCCCACCTCGGCACAATATCCTTCTCAAATTGCGGTGCCCAGGACTGGACACAGGACTCCAGGTGTGGTCTGACCAAGGCAGGATAGAGTGGTACTATAACTTCCCTTAGTGATGTATGAGAGCTGCATCTACGCTTCCTGGTGCTGTAAGAAAGCTGCAGAGATAGCGCAGGATAGTGCGCACCCTGGAAATGATCTCTTTCAGCTTCTGCCTTCTGGAAGAAAGTACAGGGTTATAAAGACTAGGATTAGCCGCCTGAGACCTTGCCAACAAAGGTCCGTATAGTGAAAGCTCTCCCTGGAAAAGACCCTGATATTGGGAAAGATGGAGGGCACAAGGAGAAGGGGACGACGGAGGACGAGATGGTGGGACAGTGTTCTCAAAGCCACCAGCATGAGTTTGACCCAACTGTGGGAGGCAGTGGAAGACAGGAGGGCCTGGCATGCTCTGGTCCAGGGGGCCACGAAGAGGCGGACACGACTAAACGACAACATGACTTCCCTTGATTGGGACACTAGACTTCCCTTGTCGCTGAGCTACGGCCAAATCTCCTAGCAAGAGAACCAAGATTCTAGTCCTCACTGTTCCGAGCGAAGGGCTGGATTAAAGAAGAACGCAGGAAACTGAGTCAGGACACTCTCCCACCTATATTTGGGTTTACTGGGAGGAGTTGGGAGGCAGAACCCCCTCCCCGAATATACAATTATTCCTCATAGGCCTCTGAGCCCCACCCCACCTTGGCCCTGCTGGCGGTGTGGGGGGAATCACAGCAGGTTAAGAAAAGCAACCCCAGTTTCCAGCGTACAACTCCCACGAGATTCCCAGAGAAAAAGACTGCAACTGTCCCTTGGCTCAGAATGCAAAAAGAGAGAGAGAAAGAAAACTTCCTGGAAAATCGGGCCCTTTCCTGATGTGTCCAGGAGGGTGGTGGGGTGTGTGGAGGGGGGGCAGGAAGAGTCACGAACCCCTCCAGGACTCCTATTCCTTCTTGCGCTTGTCCACAGGGACGTTCCAGTAATAAATCAGCTGTCCCGTGATGATGCTGTTGCAGGACGAGGCCACGACGTAGGTGAGAGCCATGAGGGGGTCTCCTGTCTCCTGCGGGGTGGGGAGGGGGCAAACGAGGTAGGTTTGTTTATTTATTTGCACCCCAACTTCTCCCCCCGATGCCTGTCTGCCCAGGTTGGGATGCGAGGTGGCTTCCAGCAGTTTTTTAATTAAAAAACAACATCTAGACCCCACCCACACTCTACTGCAATGCAGAAAGCAACGGGGGGGGGGGTTTGAATTCCTGCAAGCCCAACACCTCCTTCCTTTACTTCAGGGCTGAGGCTGTTAGCCTAATAATAATAATAATAATAATTTATTATTTATACCCCGCCGATCTGGCTGGGCTTCCCCAGCCACTCTGGGCGGCTTCCAAAAAAATATTAAAATACCGTAATACATCAAACATCAAAAGCTTCCCTAAACAGGGCTGCCTTCAGATGTCTTCTGAAAGTCTGGTAGTTGTTGTTCTCTTTGACATCTGGTGGGAGGGCGTTCCACAGGGAGGGAGCCGCCACCGAGAAGGCCCTCTGCCTGGTTCCCTGCAACTTGGCTTCTCGCAGGGAGGGAACCGCCAGAAGGCCCTCAGAGCTGGACCTCAGTGTCCAGGCAGAACAATGGGGGTGGAGACGCTCCTTCAAGTATACTGGGCTGAGGCCGTTTAGGGCTTTAAAGGTCAGCACCAACACTCTGAATTGTGCTCGGAAACGTACTTGAATGATGTCTCTCTTCCCTCCCCACCCGCCCTGGGCAGGTGAACCCCGGCCTACCTGAATGGAAGTGAAGATTCGGGCCAGAGAGCCCGCAAAAAGCAGGAAGGCTGTGACAGCGGAGAGTTGTCCTGTGTGGCCGTTGCGGTAGTTTGTGGCTGCTTGCAGGAGCTGTTGAGGGCACAAGGAAGAGGTGTGACGTTTTATTTATTTATTCAACTTACATACTGCCCTATATATACTTGGAGGTCTTGGGGCGGTTCACAGCAAGAGTACAACATATAAAATCAAACCAAAAACAATAAACCAATTTAAAACCCCCCAAAAAGAACCACATTCTAAAAGGGTGTTGGATGGATGTCAATAAGATCAACCAAAGGCCTGGTGAAAATGGAACATTTTTGCCTGGTGCCTAAAGGTGTGTAATGAAGGCCCCAGGTGAACTTCCCTGGGGAGAGAATTCCACAGATGTGGAGCCACTACAGAGAAGGCCCCGTTCTAGTGTTGCCACCCTCTGGACCTCTCAAGGAGGAAAAACACAAAGAAGGGTGTCAGAAGGTGATCTCAGGGTCCGAGTCGGTTCATATGGAAAGAGGCGGTCGTTGAGTTATTGTGGTCCTGAGCCATTTAAATCTTCACAGGTCAAAAGCAGCACTATGAATTGGGTCCGGAAACATCCTGGGAGCCAATGCAGATCTCTCAGGACCGGTGTTATGTGGTCCCAGCGGCTGCTCCCAGTCACCAGCCTGGCTGCCGCATTCTGGATTAATTGCAGTTTCCGGGTCACCTTCAAAGGTAGCCCCATGTAGAGCGCATTGCAGTAGTCCAAGCGGGAGATAACTAGAGCATGCGCCACTCTGGCAAGACAGTCCGTGGGCAGGGAGGGTCTCATCCTGCGTACCAGATGGAGCTGGGAGACAGCTGCCCTGGACACAGAACTGACCTGCACCTCCATGGACAGCGGTGAGTCCAAAATGACCCCCAGGCTGCGCACCTGGTCCTTCAGGGGCACAGTTGCCCCATTCAGGACCAGGGAGTCCCCCACACCTGCCTGCCCCCTGTCCCCCCAAAAAAGTACTTCTGTCTTGTCAGGGTTCAACCTCAATCTGTTAGCAGCCATCCATCCTCCAACCACCTCCAGACACTCACACAGGACCTTCATTGGTTCCGATTTGAAAGAGAGGTAGAGCTGGGTATCATCCGCATATTGATGAACACCCAGCCCAAACCTCCTGATGATCTCTGAGATTGGTGTGCTTTTGGGGAGCCAACTCCAGCGCACACACCTCTTGCCTCTTAGCGACCCCACCCCCAGGGCAGTAGCACCCACTTAGCTCCCAAAGGTAAAGGTAAAGGGACCCCTGACCATTAGGTCCAGTCGTGGTCGACTCTGGGGTTGCGGCGCTCATCTCGCTTTATTGGCCGAGGGAGCCGGCGTACAGCTTCCGGGTCATGTGGCCAGCAGGACTAAGCCGCTTCTGGCGAACCAGAGCAGCGCACGGAAACGCCATTTACCTTCCCGCCAGAGTGGTACCTATTGATCTACTTGCACTTGGACGTGCTTTCGAACTGCTAGGTTGGCAGGAGCAGGGACCAAGCAACAGGAGCTCACCCCGTCGCAGGGATTCGAACCACCAACCTTCTGATCGGCAAGCCCTAGGTTCCGTGGTTTAACCCACAGCACCACCTGCGTCCCTTTTGCTCCCCAAAACAGCACAAAACATCAGACGGGTTGGCAGTCTTTGGAGGAACGAGAGGTCTAAGGGGCGCTGAGGAGTTTGAGACTCAGGCAAGCGGGCCCGCCTATGGGGCAGAGTTTCTCCGATGCCCACACGCCCGGGTGCCCCTTACCCTGCTTGTTATGACGGCGGGCATGTTGAACGCCTGGAGCGCCGTCACGACCCCCACGGGTGTGAGTGAGGAGAGCAGGAGGGCCAGGACTCCGAAGTAGACGAGCAGGAAGGTCACACCTAGGGGTTGAAACAAGAGGCGTTGTGTCACGAAGGCAGCCCCGCAACCTGGCTTAAGAATATAAGGAGGGATGATATATACCGTATTTTTCGCTCTATAGGACGCACTGGACCATAGGAGGGGGAGAACAGGGAAAAAATTTTTTTTACTTGCTCTCCCCCTTAAAAACAAGGTGCGTTCAAGGTGCGTTCAAGAGCAGGCCTTGCCGCTGCCCCCCGAGCTTGTGGGGCTGGCGGTGGGGGGAAGCGCTGTTTCCCCCCACCGCCAACCTCAAAGATCCCGGAAGCCTTTGGAGTGCAGCCATCCCGAAGCTAGAACAGCGAGATGGACGGCTGTGCAGTGCCCCGTCTCACTGTTTTGGCTTTGGGGACAGCCTTTCAAGCCTCCGCAGGGCGGCAGGGTGCCTTCACCACGCCGCCCTGCGGAGGCTTTGCGCAGCCATCCCGAAGCTAGAACAGCTTTGGGATGCTGCCTGCTATCCACAAGCCTTCTGAGCCTGGCGGGAACTCCCACCAGGCTCCGAAGGCTTGTGGATAGCTGCCCAAAGCCCGGGGTGCGCAGTGCCGCGCTCCCCACGCTTCGGGCTGCAGGCAGCTATCCGCAAGCCTGCGGAGCCCGGCGGGAGTTCCTGAAGGCATGCGGATAGCTTCCTGAAGCCTGGAGAGTGAGAGGGGTGAGTGCGCACCGACCCCTCTCGCTCTCCAGGCTTCAGCGAAAGCCTGCATTCGCTCCATAGGACGCACACACATTTCCCCTTCATTTTTGGAGGGGGAAAAGTGCGTCCTATAGGGTGAAAAATACGGTAATTGCTTCATAAACTGAAAATAAAATTTTACAGACGATGACCTGTATACAAAAATCACTTTACAAAAATTTTAAACTATAATACAAACAGTAATGAACTCTTTTTCATTACTGTTTGTATTTTCGTTTACAATTTTTGTTTAGTTTATGAAGCAATTATATATCATTCCACCACGCCGATGAAGAATTCTATGAAACAGTGGTCTATATCCGGAATCACTGTTCAGCGTTGGACATCTTATTTGCCGAACACACAAAGCTTCACAGCTTGTCTTTCATCGTACAAAGTCTGGGACCTCGCTTCATTTAAAGATTTTCAGAGACTTTGAGACTAAAGAATTCATTTTGTACTTGTTATGGTTTGAAGGAATTCTATAAAGATTGTCTATTGCGTATGGTCATCGTGTTGCCTAGTAGCCATCGATAGCAGCCTCTCTTCCTCACTGGATTTGTCCAATCCCCTTTTAAAGCCTTCCAAGTTGGTGGCCATCGCGGCTGCTTCCTGCAGGAAGGAGTTCCACAGTTTAACTATGTGCTGCACGAATAAGAGAAGATTTATTTGTCCTGTCAACATTCCAGCTTCTTGGGTGTCTACGGCCTTTGAGTGTTATGAGAGAGGGAGGAAAAGCTTTCTTCATGCCAGGCATAATTTTATAAAAATTCTATTGCGTTGTCTCTCCCATCCAGCTTACGGAATCAAAACAAGGCACAAGGGGCTAAACGTACGTGCTACACATATAGCGTGCATTTAGAATTCCCAAAATTCCTGTGGATAGCTCAGCAGGATCCACAGCGTTGGCCGAAGCGAGGCTTCGGTTCTCGTTGCGGCTCATGAACGGGAAGGAAGAAGGTGGATTCGGGGTGCGGGGAGGGCCTAGCTGAAAGCCCAAAGCTCGGTCTGGTTGGGATCCAGGGCTGCCGAGCACCAGGGCTTAAAGGATGCAAAGTTTGGCCTTAGCCCAGCTTCCTGCCTCCGACAGGGGACAGCCAAATAACCCTCAAAGCCTATAAACGTCGCTGCGGTTTGCTGTCTCCGAACATGGAGTTTCTGCTTGGCCGCTTTGGTTAATAGCTCTTGAACGCAGGATAGCTCAGTTGGCGCTGCTGATAACGCCAAGGTTGCAGGTTCAATCCCTGCGTGGGACAGCTGCATATTCCTGCCTTGCAGGGGGTTGGACGAGATGACCCCAGGAACCCCTTGCAACTATGATTCAATTAAATGTACTCTAGACTCTGGTTCCACACTCACCTCGTCCCGTGTGGCCCCCAAAATGCTGGACCAGGAATCCGATGGCCACGGTTTGCAACATGAGGAAGAAAGCCTCACCCCACGAGCTGTTGTTTGGGTCGGGGGGAGGAAAGAGAGATAAAAAGAGAGATGTGTTAGGGGAGAAATGAAATCTTTTGATCCAAATTCTTTTTCCAGCTCCCTGTTACCTGCCTGGAATGGTTTGAAGCTTAACAGCAAAAAAAATAAAATCATGGCCACTGAGCCCATCACCTCCTGGCAAATAGAAGGGGAAGAAATGGAGGCAGTGAGAGATTTTACTTTCTTGGGATCCATGATCACTGCAGATGGTGACAGCAGCCACGAAATTAAGAGACGCCTGCTCCTTGGGAGAAAAGCAATGACAAACCTAGACAGCATCTTAAAAAGCAGAGACATCACCTTGCCAACAAAGGTCCGTTTAGTTAAAGCCATGGTTTTCCCAGTAGTGATGTATGGAAGTGAGAGCTGGACCATAAAGAAGGCTGATCGCTGAAGAATGGATGCTTTTGAATTCTGGTGCTGGAGGAGACTCTTGAGAGTCCCATGGACTGGAGGAAGATCAAACCTCTCCATTCTGAAGGAAATCAGCCCTGAGTGCTCACTGGAAGGACAGATCCTGAAGCTGAGGCTCCAGTACTTTGGCCACCTCATGAGAAGAGAGACTCCCTGGAAAAGACCCTGATGTTGGGAAAGATGGAGGGCACAAGGAGAAGGGGACGACGGAGGATGAGATGGTGGGACAGTGTTCTCGAAGCTACCAGCATGAGTTTGACCAAACTGCGGGAGGCAGTGGAAGACAGGAGTGCCTGGCGTGCTCTGGTCCAGGGGGCCACGAAGAGTCGGACACGACTAAACGACTCAACAACAACAACAGCTCCCTCCTTCAAGGCATTGTTTTCTTTCCACCACCAACAGCAAAGAGGAGTGAAATGGGTGTGAGAGGATCAGAAACGTGAGCACTGACAACGCCCCACCCTCCCCAAAAAGGCAGGATTTAGGAATCAGCCCTTAAGCCTTTAAAACTGCAGCTCTGGGGATCGGCTGGCGACATCGTTCCGGCAGAGGATTAGACCTCTGCAGATCAGGTGGCTGTTAACAGAGCAGGAGGTGGCCCCACGCTCCTGTAACTAGTGGGATTGTGCGCGCGTGAAAACAAATGTTGGGATTCGAACTCGGCACCGTCGCCCGTTGAAAGGTCTGCGTGGACCTCAGGTTGTTGCTTAGCTTGAGAGGACTCCAAATTACCTAGCAGCAAGACACGGATAACTCACTTCCTGAGAGCTGCCCGTTTCAGTCGTGGCTGAAGGATGGGGTAGGATGTTTCTATGTTCTCTGTTATGAACTGGTTTTGTTAAAAAAAAACCTTATATACAGCAACGAAGGAGAAACTGACCCATCGGTTCTCAGAGGGGAAGCAGACTCATTGGACTTTGTGGCTGTCTGGTGGGTTTTCAATCGCAGCTACAGAAAGGCCTCGGGCGCTGCCCATACCTGAACGGAAAAGCGTTGGCGATGCTGTAGGCCATGGTGCCGGTGATGGCAAGCAGCTCCAGGAGGATGGAATGGAAGCTCAGCCCCTCAGCGCTCTTGGCCCCCAGGATCTTGAAGATCTGGGGCAGCTTCACTGCAGAAAGAGGGAGGAAGAAGTAGTCAGAGTCCCGCTCTATTCTGCCTCGGTCAGACCTGTGTCCAATTCTGGGTGCCATAATTTAAGAAGGATATGGAGAAGCGGGAGGTGTTTAGGCCAGAGAACAGGAGACAGAGAGGGGATGGTGTGTGTGTGTGTGTTATTGGGTTGTTGTTTTTATTTTTACCGTATTTTTCGCCCTATAGGACGCACTTTTTCCCCCTCCAAAAATGAAGGGGAAATGTGTGTGCGTCCTATGGGGCGAATGCAGGCTTTCGCTGAAGCCTAGAGAGCCCCAGCACCAGCCCCACAAGGTCGGGGGACAGCGGGGAGGCGGAACGCTGCCACCCTGCTGTCTCCCGATGTGGTTTGGAGGCTGACGGCGGGGAGACGCGTGCTTCTCCCCGCCGCCAGCCCCGCAAGCGCCTGGGGGGGGGAAAAATAATTCCCCCCCCTTTATTTCCCCCCCAAAAAACTTGGTGCGTCCTATGGGCCGGTGCGTCCTATGGGGCGAAAAATACGGTGTTTTATATGTGTGTGTATATGTGTGTGTGTGTATATATATATATATATATATATATATATATATATATAAAATATTGCGGTTTTTATGTTGATGTTGTCCTGTGAACCGCCCTGAGACCTCTGGGTATAGGGCAGTACATAAATTCTATCTATCTATCTATCTATCTATCTGTCTACCTACCTACGTACCTACCTATCTCACCTCTCAGTCTTCTTTTATTATTATTCTCATAATTATTATTATAAGTACTATTTATTAAACTTATTGGGGGTTTTTCTTACCAATGTAAGTCAAAACGACACACGCACACAAATATATATATATTCCATAGAGAATACACATGCACAAAACCAAACAGAAAAACCTTTTTAAAATACCTTATAGAAGAAGAAGAAGAGTTTGGATTTGATATCCCGCCTTTCACTCCCTTTAAGGAGTCTCAATGTGGCTAACATTCTCCTTTCCCTTCCTCCCCAACAACAAACACTCTGTGAGGTGAGTGGTGCTGAGAGACTTCAAGAAGTGCGACTGGCCCAAGGTCACCCAGCAGCTGCAGGTGGAGGAGCGGAGACTCGAACCCGGTTCCCCAGATTACGAGACTACCGCTCTTAACCACTACACCACGCTGGTATAGTTTATATTAAAAGTTTATATTAAAAGTAATATAGTTTATATTAAAAGTCAGATTATCTGACTGGGAAGTGTCGGTGTCCGTACCCATGAGGGAACCAGCCACGATGGCGAATCCGAGGCCCTTGCTGATGAAGATTTTGAGGCATGGAACTGAAAGAACAAGGGGAGAGAGACAAAAGGATACAAAACATAATTAATTGCTAGCAGTGATGCTTTTTTGCTTTTTTTCTTTTACAATACTCCTGTGATGCGGGAGATAAATTCAAATTTCTGCACTTAGCAGAAAGCTCCATGAGGGAGCAGCAGCAGCCTTGCTTTCTGCATGGCAGGCAGACATTCCACCGGTGAGGTTTCCCCCATCACTTCCTCAGTACGCTGGGAAACGCTTCACCTGCTAGAAGTCTACCTGACAGGCGCCTAGCCAATGACAGCCCTGCTTGAGGGGAAAGGGGCGGGGCTTAAAAGATCCTTGGCTGCCATATGAACTTCGTGCCCAAAACCAACATGGCGCCGAGAGCCTTCACTGTGCTTCGTCCATGACCCTTTTTAAGAGACGAAACACAGCATCTTCATATTGAAAGCTTTTTTAAAAAAAAAACAAGCTTTTCTGCCCCCCAAACGATAGTTTCATTTGTAATTCTAGGGCTAAATGATAATAAAATTAAAAATCTCGTGGTACTTCCGCCCGGCTGCAAGGTGAGAGACGACACGAGGCCCGGAAACGGAGCCGACGGCCACTTCCGCCCTCTACCAAAATGGCCACCGGGGTAAAATTTCGCCCGTCACCAAAATGGCGCCTAGTCGCCCCCCACAGGACACTTCCGCCAGGCCAGGCGTTGCTACGGCGACGACGTGACGGGTCCCCGACAGGACAAAAAAGGGCGTCGAAGAGCGCGCGACTCACTGTGCAAAAGGTTGAGGCTGAGGAAGAGCTCGTCGTAGCAGTTCTCCGGGAGGACGTGCGGGACCAGCAGGCCCTTCAGAGCCGTCGACGCCGCCATTTTGACGAAGGTGGGAGCGAATGAAGCTGGGCGAAACTTCCGCCTCCATAACCCCTACGCGCCGGAGAGCGAGCGAAACGCCTTTCCCTGGTGCGCATGCGCGGCGTCTCCCACCTGCCCGGCGGCCATTTCAACCTTGCCGACCAATGCGCAGGCGCGCCGCGTGCGGGCCGCCATTAAAAGAGCTGCGCGTGCGCGCAGCGGCGGCGGGCGGCTTAACACGCGCATGCGCATTCTCTGTGGGACGGCTATCTGTGTGGTTCCTCTGCGCATGCGCCGTTTTTAGCCTGGCATCCTTTGCCAGCGCCCTGAGCTGAGGTGCCGCTTTCCCATTGGCTGGAGCAAACTTTGGTCAAGGGACAAAATGGCCGCCACGCCTGGGCAGCCATCTTGCCCCCCAAGTGGCACCCCTGGCCCAGGGAGGGGCGAGGAGGCGCCCCAGCTGCTGCCCACCCTCAGCCGGGGCACCGTGGCCCTGTGCCTCCTCTACTACATGCGCCTCCAGCGGGGCCGGCGCCTGAGGGAGGCCGCCCGACGTCGCCGCGCCGCCCGCCACCGCCGCGCCCAGGCCCGCCAGCGCCAGCGCTTCGCCCTGCTGTGGCTCTGCCGGACGTTGGCCCGGGCGCCCGGCCTGGCGGGCTTATGCCAGGACCCTGGCAGCGGCGGAGACGGCGGCCTTCCCCGGCTGCTGCGGGAGCGTCGCCTGTGGAGCAAAGCCCGCAGCTCGGCCTTCTGGGAAATCGTGCGCGCCAAGGCCTTCAGCCAATGGGAGTGGGTGGAAAACTTCCGCGTCTCGCCGGGCACCTTCGACTACCTCTGCGCCCAGCTGCGCGGAGCCATCCAGCGGCGGGACACCAACATGCGCCGCGCCATCCCGGCCGACGTGCGCCTGGCCATGACGCTGTGGCGCCTGGGGGCCTGCACCGAGTACCGGGCGGTGGAGCAGCTCTTCGGCGTCTCCCGCTCCACCGTCTGCAAGATCCTGCGTGACGTCTGCGAGGCCGTGGTGGGCATCCTCACGCCGCTCTACGTGCGGCCCCCGGACCCTGCGGAAGTGGCCGCCGGCAACGGCTTCCCTTTGCCCCAGCTGGCCGGCGTGCTGGGCTCCCTGCACGTCCCCATCCGCGCGCCCAACGAGAACGCGGCCGGCTACTACAACCGCCACGGCTGGCACTCGGTGGTGGTCCAGGCCGCCGTCGATTCCCGCGGCTGCTTCTGGGACATCAACGTCGGCTGCCCGGGACGGGTGACGGACACCCAGGTTTTGTGCACGTCGGAGCTGTACCAGCGTGCGCAAGAGGGAGAGCTGTTTTCGGGGGCGTCCCAAGCCATCCGTGGGGTGCAGGTGCCCGTTTACCTGCTTGGCGGCTGCTCCTACCCGTTCCTCCCGTGGCTCATGAGGCCCTACAGGGACGAGGTCCTAACTCCCGCCCAACACCGCTTCAACGAGTACGCCGCTGCCGCACGGACCGTGGTGGGGGTGGCCTTTGGCCGCCTGCGGGGACGCTGGCGCTGCCTCACCAAACGCAACGACACCGACGTCTCCTTCCTGCCCACCCTCATCGCCGCCTGCTGCACCCTCCACAACGTCTGCGAGGCGCGGGGGGACGTCTTCCAGCACTGCTGGATGGAGCACCACGCTGACGAACAGCGGGAGGAACACCCGTTCGACGATGGCGGGGAGGAGGAGGAAGACGCGGAGGCCGTGGCGATCCGTGACGCGCTGGCATCAGCGCTGAGAGGCTGATTGGGGAAGAAGTGGAGGAGCTGCAAAACGCTCCTCTGGGAACGGAGCAGCTCGTGTCGCTGCGGGAATCCGCAGGCCGTCGGGTTACACAGAACGTTTCGGCAGGCAAATCTGCCCTGGCTGGCAGGGGCTTTGAGAAGAGTTGAAGAGTCCAAACCTGCCCAGTGGCGGCAGGCTGGCGCAGGCCAAGGCGCATGGACGCCATGCGTTTTGAAGTTCGGCATTCGCCGTCAGCAACCTCCCTCGATAACGTTAGCGGCAATTATTTCACCTGAATTGTGTTTCAGATCTTGAGGACTAGTGCCAAAAATGCAAGGGTGGGTTGGGAAAAGGAGAAAAGGAGGATTGCTTGGGAGGGTGGGCATTGGGGGAGGCCGAAGAATATTTGGAATTTGGAGGTTAGAAGTGAGTGTGCCGTATCCAATTGGATGGGAAGGTGGCTTTGGAGCTTGCAGGAAGTGGGGAATACTGTTGTTGTTGAGTCATTTAGTCGTGTCCGCCTCTTTGTGACCCCCTGGACCAGAGCACGCCAGGCACTCCTGTCTTCCACTGCCTCCCACAGTTTGGTCAAACTCATCCTGGTAGTTTCGAGAACACTGTCCCACCATCTCGTCCTCCGTCGTCCCCTTTTCCTTCTGCCCTCCCATCTTTCCCAACATCAGGGTCTTTTCCAGGGAGTCTTCTCTTCTCATGAGGTGGCCAAAGTATCTTTAATAAAATCTAGTCTTTAATAAAATACTAAATATTAAATACTAGTCTTTAATAAAATACTAGACTTTAATAAAATCTTTCTATGTCACGTGCTTCCTGTGTTGAGCTAAAAACTGCTACGTCTGTAGTTTTTCAGGTTAAGCTATTACAGCTCATGGAACACGGGAAGCATCTGTGTATGTGGAGTCTGATTTCCAGAGCCGTTGTGGTCTGGTGGTGAGAGTGTCAGACTAGGATCTGGGAGACACAGGTTCAGATCCCCACTCGGCCGCGAAACTCCTTGGGTGTGTGACCTTGAACCAATCTGTCACTTTCAGCCTAACCTTACAGAGTTTGTTGTGGGGATCCAATGAGACGTGCTTAATCTTTGTACGGCTGGGCGCAGTACAGGCACATAAAAGCCAGAGACATCTAAACTAATCAATCCATCCAGGCAAGGCTGAGGTATCGTCACAGCCGTGTGAATTTCCAGGCAAGTTTGGAAACCTGGTCAAATGTCAGGTGCGATGGGATTGGGGATGGAGGGTTTCTAGGATCCTGGTGAGGCCATGAGACTTCAATAAGCCATACTGCCTCACTGTACACCCTTCCCAGCCCAGAGATGTCATTGTTGACGTTTGGGAATTGCCCTTTCTACTCCTCGCACTCGGGTCAAGGAGGAAGAGAAATCACCAATACCTGAATAATTTTCAAAGGTATTTATTTGCCCTGTTGTGAGCAGTGGGGTGTTCCGCCTGAAGAGCTTAGGATCAGCGCACTTTGCATATGAAGTTGGGGGTCTTGAGTCCCCCTGAAGGGTTCGCAGAGCAGAGCAGATGAAAGGGCTTGAGGAGCAATCTGGAGGACCTTATAAGGCGTGCTTTCAGAATGCAAATGCACCATTTCGGATTATCGATGGTATGTGCACCAGTTCTTAATACATGTTTTTGCGGAGAGTCCCACACCTGGATAATACTTTACATGGTCAGTGCAAAGACTTTGCACAAACACTTGATCTTAACAAGATAGTTGCTCCAGAAATAAGCCCAGCCTCGTTTCAATTGAGATTGGAGGTTTTTAAGCAGAGGTCGGATGGCCACCTATCAAGGGGTTCCATAGCTGCATTCCGGGAAGGGGGTTGGACTAGATGACCCTTGGGGATCCCAGCAGTACAATTCTGTGATTCTCCTCCCAGATTTAAAGTGCAGTCTGACAGAAGTGAGATGTAACTGCCCCTCAGCCCACAAATTGCACCTTTGTGCAGAAACGTCCTTTTCACTTCCCCCAGGTGTGTCTTGTGCAAACCAGCAGTCCAAGCGAGTGAATGAAACAGGTGCGAGTCTAGAAACTCGGAGAACTCCCACCCCACCCCTAGGGGGGGTGTCAACCCCCTGTCCCCCTGTTGCAGAAAGACACCCCCCTTTTAAAAAAACAAAACCCCATTCTTGGTTCTCTTGAGGCCCAGCTGTGTGTGGAAAACGGCTCCCCTTTAAATGGTTTGATAGCCCCTGTGGCCACGCGCCCGTCCAATCAAAAAGGCCACGACCACGATGATGATGAGGACCAGAAGGAGGACGCCGATAATGATGGGTACCAAGAGGGTGCGTCTCTGCTCTGGGCAGACCTCGGCTGAAACAGGGAAAGAAGGAATTCAGTGAGGAGAGGAAGGTGAATCGGGGTGTGCAAAACACCAAACTGGAGAGAGACTCGAGAAGTCTGCGGGCAAAAGGGCTGTGCCAAAAGGATGACATGGAAAGTTTAGACTAACAATGCATTGGACTACAGTGGTACCTTGGGTTAAGTACTTAATTCGTTCCGGAGGTCCGTACTTAACCTGAAACTGTTCTTAACCTGAAGCACAACTTTAGCTAATGGGGCCTCCCGCTGCTGCCTCGCCGCTGGAGCAAGATTTCTGTTCTCATCCTGAAGCAAAGTTCTTAACCTGAAGCACTATTTCTGGGTTAGCGGAGTCTGTAACCTGAAGCGTATGTAACCTGAAGCGTATGTAACCCAAGGTACCACTGTATTAAGACACCTGCACATTGAAGTATGGGGACGCAGGTGGCGCTGTGGGTTAAACCACAGAGCATAGGGCTTGCCGATCAGAAGGTCGGCGGTTCGAATCCCCGCGGCGGGGTGAGCTCCCATTTCTCAGTCCCTGCTCCTGCCCACCTAGCAGTTCGAAAGCACACCAGTGCAAGTAGATAAATAGGCACCGCTCCGGCGGGAAGGTAAACGGCGTTTCCGTGCGCTGCTCTGGTTCGCCAGAAGCGGCTTAGTCATGCTGGCCACATGACCTGGAAAAACTGCGGACAAACGCCAGCTCCCTCGGCCAGTAAAGCGAGATGAGCGCTGCAACCCCAGAGTCGGCCACAACTGGACCTAATGGTCAGGGGTCCCTTTACACTGAAGTATAGCTGTTTAAAGAAAAGGAAATAAAGAACTGCCTGCGGTACGATGCAGGGAGTCTCTCACCTTCCCCAAATTTTCCACCTTGAAGCTCAAAGGCCTGGACCTGCTCTTGCAGGGCGTTGAGATGAAAGCCTTCTGCCAGGACCAAGGTGCGGTTCCGGCACTGGTAAGAGTGTCCGAGTCTGGCCTCGAACTCGCGGAGAGAGGAATTGTCGGCTCTGAAGGATTTCGCTGGAGGGACAAAGAGAGTCGTCTGGGGCTTGTTGAACCACCTGGAAACCCTTCCTGAATCTAACACAGAATGTGGATTAAGACATAATCGCCTCTGGGAAGCCACGGCAAATCTCAGCCTATAGCCCACCTGGCAGAATCGCCGTGCGGGTTCGCAGAACCGTACAGTTGGAAAGGGAACCCAAGGGTCATTTATTCCAACCCTCCGGAACGTGACCGACCCCCATGGCTCTTTTTGCTCCACCCCGCAAAGGAGGAACAACACCCTCTGCTTCCTCCGTGATCCCTTTAGCTGCTGAAGGGATCTTGGCAGGATTCGCTTTCTGTTCCCTCATGCCTCCGAATCACCCTCTAAAATTTGCTGACGGGCCAAAGCCGTCGTAAACAGGCTTGCGGCTGGGGTGGAACCCCATAAAAAAACATTTACAGGGCTTACTATGGACGTGGCATTTGTATTTTTTCAAGAGCTGCACGGCAGGCAAAAACTCAACTGGTGTAGCACCCCCGATTTGAGCATTTCCATGGCTCAAGAGGTCCGTGAGCAATGATGGCAACCCCCGAATTCAGAGCCAGCCCCCCACAAATGACCTTACCTGCAGCCTGATGGAACTGGTACGTTAGGTAGGCCTGTACCCGACTCAGGTAGAATATATTTCTGGTGTAATTCTAAGGAAACAAAGAAATCTGGGTTTGTTTTTCCTGATCGACGCCTGTTTTAGGGTAGCACAGGCCGCACCTTAGGATCTGCGAGGTTTACGAGACAAAGCCAATTCGCTGCCCCGCTGGAAGCACCCGTTCCAGATTAATTCCCACCCCCTGCCTTCCCTGAGCACTAGCAGCAATAGCCTCCCAACGAATCATTTTAAAGTTTCAAACTTTGAAATAAAATCATGTTTTGTTCCTCCTCTCCAATGTGGTGGTTGAACTTCACGTATTTCTCCGAAGGGGAAGTGGCAGCGGCTGAAATCAACACTTTAATTTGGGGGAAGAGGTGAGCGGAGTGGCGATGTGACCCGCGTTTATAAAATATAAATAAATAAATGGAAACAAAAAACTGTGTGGCGTGGAGAAAGCAGAGAGAGAAAAGTTTTCTCCTTCCTCATAACAACTAGAATTCGTGAAGCTGGAAGTTTGGAGGTTCAGGAAAGGCGAAAGGAAGTCCTTTTTCACGCAGTGCGAACTGCAGAACTCCATTCCACTTGAATAGGATTGGACAAATCTTGGCTACTGGCCAAGATGGCTACGCTCTGCCCTCTACGGTCGGAGGCAGGAAATGCTTCTGAAAGCAGAGGGGGATTTGTGTTCGAATCCCGCTTGTCAGCTTCCCGTTACGGCTTCTAGCCAGCCGCTGTGAGAACAGAGTGCTGGACTGGAGGGGCCTGATCCTGCAAACTCTTCTTAGGTTCTTGGACTACTGCCATGCGCTCTACGTGCGGCTACCTTTGAAGGTGACCCGGAAACTGCAACTAATCCAGAATGCGGCAGCTAGACTGGGGACTGGGAGACCACATAACACCGGTCTTGAAAGACCTACATTGGCTCCCAGTACGTTTCCGAGCACAATTCAAAGTGTTGGTGCTGACCTTGAAAGCCCTAACAGCCTCAAAGGCCCAGTATCCCTGAAGGAGCGTCTCCACCCCCATCGTCCAGCCCGGACACTGAGATCCATCTCCGAGGGCCTTCTGGCAGTTCCCTCCCTGAGAGAAGTGAGGTTACAGGGAACCAGGCAGAGGGCCTTCTCGGTGGTGGCCCCCGCCCTGTGGAACACCCTCCCTTGTGAAGGAAATAAGCAGCTATTCTATCTTTAAAAGACATCTGAAGGCAGCCCTGTTTAGGGAAGTTTTTAATGCTGTATTGTTTTTAACACTCGATTGGGAGCCGCCCAGAGTGGCTGGGGAAGCCCAGCCAGATGGGCGGGGTATAAATAATAAATTATTATTATATTCTCAGGATGGGGTCGGCGTGCGCCAGCCGCGCCAGCAGGCCTCTGCCAAGCCAGTCTTTCCGGCCTCCGATGCAGCCGGCTCGAAGGACCTTTTGCCAGAGAGTGACTCATGGCTTGGATCAGCCAGGAGTTTCCAGGCCAGATCAGCTTCCTAAATTGCAGCCGAGTCGTCTTGTTGCCCACGGCTGCGCTCGTGACGCACCTGAACCCGCAGGCTGATGGGCGTGGGTCCGTACCACGCGGGAACGTTCAAGGGACCCGCCTTTCGAGGAAGACTTGTGCGTTGGTGTTCGTGCCAGGTTAGGTTTACTATGAGCGCATCAGTCATGCGCTGAACTCGGCCAGCTTTTAAAACAAACTCATCAGCTTTTAAAAGAAATTACCGTATTTTTGGCTCTATGAGACTCACTTTTTCCCTCCTAAAAAGTAAGGGGAAATGTGTGTGCGTGTCTTATGGAGCGAATGCAGGCTGCACAGCTATCCCAGAAGCCAGAACAGCAAGAGGGATCGCTGCTTTCACTGCACAGCGATCCCTCTTGCTGTTCTGGCTTCTGAGATTCAGAATATTTTTTTTCTTGTTTTCCTCCTCCAAAAACTAGGTGCGTCTTGTGGTCTGGTGCGTCTTATAGAGCGAAAAATACGGTACGTTGCTCTGATTTTAAGATAAACACAGAGAGGAAAATGGTGCTGGAAAGTTTAATAGGTTAAGTGTTACTGCTCCCCCAATTCCCATTTCATTCCCGAACTTTCCCACCCAGGAAGGAAGGCACACTTAATCAACTTGAATTGGACCTGATAATAACTTAATCAACTTGAATTGGACCTGGTAATAACTTAATCAACTTGAATTGGACCTGATAATAACTTAACTTGAATTGGACCTGGTAATAACTTAATCAACTTGAATTGGATCTGATAATAATAATTTTAGATTAGATATTAGATTAGGAGTATCAAAGGTAAACACAGAGAGAGACACAAGGTTAGATGCTCCAAATCTCTGGCAGCGTCTGTTTAAACCGGCGCCATACCACTTTAAACGGTAATGACTCCCCTTGCCGAGAGAATGCTGGGAATTGTAGTTTGTTAAGAATTGTTGGGGTACCTTTATTGCTCTCTCAGAGCTGCTATTCCCAGACTGGTTCCCTTCTCAGGGAATTGCATCTGGGAGTGGGATAGGGGTCTCCTTAACAACCCTCCTTTGGGACCAGAAGAAATTCTCAGAGAAGGAAAGGATCAGAGAAATTCACAGAGAGGGGAGGTCTGCTTGTTGTTGGCCGCAGTCGTTCAATAGAACCTCCAAAGTCAGAGGCAGCGTACCTGTAAAGACCAGGCATTGGGGATACACCTTTTCATGACCCCCGCCAGCCCCCCTCTCCAATCCTCCCTCTCACCTTTCTGAAAGTAAAGAGAAGGTTGCCTTCTAGGAAATGCAGGTGGAGGACGGCTGTCTGGTTGGTACAGTTCCCGGAAAACTCTGTGCGGTTGGGGTTCACTGCAAAGTCCCCCCAGAGCTGGAAGAGAGGAAGAGTGAAGGTGTGTGAGAGAGCAGGACCCTGCAAAGCCCCAGGAAATTCAGCTTGGACCTAGAGCAGGAGGGAGAAACTGGCACAAGCCCAACGTTCAGCCACGTCGCGCCTGTTTAGTGAGCGACCCAAGAGTCTAGGCTCCTTTCTTTCTATAGCCATAGAAAGCTAAGGCTGTCGTCACGCATCTCCCGCTGGAGGATTTGAAGCTGAAAAGCAAGCTTAGCTGTTGCAGGGGAAGGGGAAAGCTCTATAACTCCCTCCATGAATTTGCCTCTTTTTAAAGCCATCCAGGATGGTGGCCGTCCCTGCCTCCAGTGGGCGGGAGTTCCGCAGTTCAACTCTGTGCTGCGAGAAGAACTTCCTTCCAGTTTTTCTTCCCACGTGTACATAAGCAGCAGCTTAGGAGAGGGTTGGGGGCCCCAGTCCACCTGCAGTGCACCGCTTGGGCCCAGATAATCCTGCCGGTACCCAGAGTGAGCCCTGACAGAATTGTAGAATTGGAGGGGACACCATAGGGTCATCTAGCCCAACCCGCTGCAATGCAGGAATCTCAACACGTCGTGCCCCGTCCAATTTGAAACCATACCAGTTCCTGCTTAGCTTTGCAACGTGCCAGCAGTTTCATTGCTGCGCCACCAGAGTTTTTCTTTCCCTTTTGGAGAGTCCATCTCTCTATCTATCTATCTATCTATCTATCTATCTATCTATCTATATATCTATCTATCTGATGCTGTCCAGGGTTGTAAAGACTGCGGAGAGAATAATTATGTGCACTCTTCCCACCTTGGATCAAATCTATGCTTCCAGGTGCCATAAGAAAGCTGCTGAGATAGCGCAGGATAGTACGCACCCTGGAAATGATCTCTTTCAACTTCTGCCTTCTGGAAGAAGCTACAGGGTTATAAAGACTAGGACTAGCCGCCTGAGAAACACTTTCTAACCAGGCTGGGATAGCAGGCTTGTCGGTTTTTGAATGTCTGATGTAGATTTTTTCAATTTCATTGTTCTGTATGGGACAGTGACAATAAAGATTATCGTTTCGTATTTATCGATAATCTTCATTTGTGTTGTGGCCTTTGCTCAGGTTTTTTTCTACATAGCCAGTTTCGTCTTTTGTCTGTGGATTGCACACTGCTACCTTCCCACCCCACCCCACAAGTCTCACTTCCCTCTGAAGATCCTGCGGCTTCTAAGCCTAAACTGCAAAGCCACAGACTTCCTAAAGCATGCACAATTTTTATCAATTTATTAAAGGCTGTCGAAAGCAGAAATGAGCAGAAGATGTTGCTGCATGCCGTAAATGGGGAAAGGTGCAAATGACCCTCGGGATTGGGTCCCCTGCATTTGGGAGGGCATTGTGGAACTGGAAGCACAGAATCATTGAATTGTAGAATTGGGGGGGGACCCCAAAGGTCATCCAGTCCAACCCGCCTGCAATGTAGGACTTTCAGCTAAAACATCCACGACAGATAGCCATACAAGGGCAATTGAAGCAATTGAAACCCCAGTATTAAGTAACTTCCTCTAAGTGCCCAGCCAATGTGTATTTTCCTTTTCCCTAAAAAACCCACAAAACCTATTAATATAAACACAGAATTTAAATACTGGGCTATACATATATTTATCAGGCAATCCTAAGAAGTCTGTTAAGGGCAGATGTATTCAGAAACTTTGCCACTCCTTGACGTCAAATCCTAGAATCGTAGAGAAAACCACATATAATTTGAGATTTTCATGAGGCCTAGAATCTCCAGGCATGTTTTATATGATTCTGCCTTCCCTTCATTTTTACATATTACAGCAGAACCATCCTGTTCAAGCAGGTCTGTTGGCAGACGTGGAACTTAACTACCAGATAATGTCGATATTCTTCACTTGGACTTTGCCCCTTTAACCCTTTGTTTTAAAGTTTCGTTTCCCGTCTTTTCGCTTCAACTGCCGCCATAGCTGTTCTCTTGGCTTCCTATTACATTGCGGGAAATTGAATCGGGAACCTTTGCCGAGGGAAATGGCGTTCTCCCCTGCCGCACGGAGGGGCAGGAAGGAGGCCGAGGGCAAGCGGTGCAGCACACACAAAAACCTCCTGTCCTCTAACCACTGAGCTTCACTCCCTGACAGTCCCCTCCCAGCTTAAGCCGCTGGGCCTGTGTCAATATGGAAAGGGGAAAAGGGGAAGCAGAAATGACCACTCAGAGCTGGTCGGTCTCTTCCCGTCCCCCAGGAGCCCAGGCCGCCAGGACCTTGCTCAACGTTCCTCCAGAACCACAGAATTGTAGAGTTGGGAGGGACCTCGGTTTATCAGCTCCATCTGGTGCGCAGGATGAGACCCTCCCTGCCCGCAGACTGTCGCACCAGAGTGGTGCATGCTCTGGTTATCTCCCGCTTGGACTACTGCAATGCGCTCTACGTGGGGCTACCTTTGAAGGTGACCCGGAAACTACAACTAATCCAGAATGCAGCAGCTAGACTCTGGACTGGGAGACCACATAACACCGGTCCTGAAAGACCTGCATTGGCTCCCAGTACGTTTCCAAGCACAATTCAAAGTGTTGGTGCTGATCTTGACAGCCCTAAACGGCCTCAAAGGCCCAGTAGACCTGAAGGAGCGTCTCCACCCCCATCGTTCAGCTCGGACACTGAGGTCCAGCTCCGAGGGCCTTCTGGGGGTTCTCTCCCTGCGAGGTTACAGGGAACCAGACAGAGGGCCTTCTCGGTGGTGGCACCCGCCCTGTGGAACTCCCTCCCACCAGATGTCAAGGAAATAAACAACTACCAGATTTTTAGAAGACATCTGAAGGCAGCCCTCTTTAGGGAAGCTTTTAATGTTTAATAGGTTATTGTATATTAATATTCCGTTGGAAGCCGCCCAGAGTGGCTGGGGAAACCCAGCCAGATGGGCGGGGTATAAATAAGAATTATTATTATCCAGCCCAACCCAGAACCCCTGACAGGCAGCCGTCCCGACCTGGGCTTGAAAGCCTCCGACGGAGGCCTCCCGAGGTCACGGAATCGCCATCTCCCCAACAGCCGCCCGGATCTCCTACCTCCTGCTTGGCCTTATCGGTGTAGCGGACCCGGAGCTGCAACGCCGCTTGAACCCGCAAACACGGGTTCGAGCCATTTGGGACCGCATAATCTCCAACGCGGACAACGGGTGGTTGCGTGGGTTGATGGGTGGGGGCGGGGTGTGGGGTGGTGCGGTTCCTGGGGTGCGCCGTGGGGTGCGGTGTGGTGTGTTTTGTGGTGTGCGGTGGGGTGTGTTTTGTGTGGTGGGCCGTGGTGTGTTTTGTGGGGTGCGGGGTGGTGTGTTTCGTGTGGTGCGGCGTGGTGTGTTTTGTGGGGTGGGCTGTGGTGTGCTTTGTGGGGTGCGGCGTGGTGTGTTTTGTGTGGTGGGCTGTGGTGTGTTTTGTGGGCCGTGGCGTGGTGTGTTTTGTGTGGTGTGCCGTGGTGTGTTTTGTGGGGTGCGCCGTGGTGTGTTTTGTGTGGTGCGCCGTGGTGTGTTTCGTGGGGTGGGCCGTGGTGTGTGTTGTGGGGTGCGCCGTGGTCTTGGTGAACGAGGGCAGCAGCGTAACCGACTTCTTGCGGTGCGGGCAGCCTGCGTCGGAGCCATCGGCGCCAGAGCACAGCGGAGACTCCACAAATCCCGTCTCTTTCATGGCCACTTGGGACGTCTCCATATATTGAGCAGAGCCGTAAGCTAGGCAGAGAGAGAGAGATGGAAACATCAGTTCTGGGCACCCATGGGAGACAGCCAAGCTTCCAGCCTCCCTAGCCCCTAACCCCAGCTCAACAACACCTCTCCGATCGACCTACAGTGGTACCTCGGGTCACATACGCTTCAGGTTACAGACTCTGCTAACCCAGAAATAGTACCTCGGGTTAAGAACTTTGCTTCAGGATGAGAACAGAAATTGCGCAGCGGCAGCAGGAGGCCCCATTAGCTAAAGTGTTGCTTCAGGTTAAGAACAGTTAAGAACAGACCTCCGGAACGTATTCTTAGCCCGAGGTACCACTGTATTTATGAATTGAATCAAAACCTATCACCTTTCTGTCCCACCATTTTCTCAAGGTGGTTCCTTGGATGGTTCTTCTTCCTCAGTGAATGCACACAAGGCAGGCCCTCCAAGGTTGGTTTTGTGGCTGAGCTGGGGTGGGATTTGAACCCAGGTCCGGGTCTCCCAGTCCAACATCCAAACCAGGCTGCCTCTTTTGGAGAGGAGTCAACAGGTTTATTGGACCCATTCTCCCTCGGGCGGTTGTGGGCTCTCCTTCCTTGGAGGTTTTTAAGCAGAGGTTCGATGGCCGACTGCCGTGGACTCTTAGCTGAGATTCCTACATTGCTTGGGGTTGGGCTGGATGAGCTTTGGGGTCCCTCCGAACGCAGCAACTCTCTGTTTCTTGCTGCCTAACTCCTTTCTAAGCCGCACGACAAAGGGAACTTGGAGGCCAGGTACGGACAAATATATATGTACCAACCTGCCAGGAAGAAGCATCCGATGAGCCAAATTGAAGACATCGCAGCTGGTCCCATCTCTCCGAACGGGGCTCGATCCGCTGCACCCTTTCCGCCTCTCGCCCTGGGAGCCTCTGCTCGCTTCTGTCTCGTGCTCCTGCAGCTCTCAAATAAAGGGAAGGAAATGAAATTTGCTGCCTTCACAACCAGTGACTCAGTTGGGATACTGAATTGCCAAATACCCAGTAGCCACGGGATCCGGGGGAGTTTTGCTTCCACCTGACGCAGCTGAACCTTCTCTGTCGCCACTGTTGAGCTCTGCATCTTTTTCTACTTTTTAAATAAAAACTGAAAGCCACAATTAACCTGGGGTATTGGACAGGTGCAGTGGCTTCTGGGAGACAGGTGAGTGAACCTTTTAAAGCAGGCATATGCAAACTCTGGCCCTCCAGATGTTTGGGACTACAATCCCCATCATCCCTGACCACTGGCCCTGTTAGCTAGGGATGATGGGAATTGTAGTCCCAAACATCTGGAGGGCCGGAGTTTGCCTACGCCTGATTTAAAGCAACTCAGCCAACACAATGCCATCCAGGCATCTTTGGACTACAACTCCCATCGTCCAGCATCAGCTTAGCAACTTGTCATGGATGATGGGAGTTGTAGTCCAACGTGTGGAGACACTTCCCGGGATCAAACTTGGGAAATCTAGCATGCAGGGCGCGATCCTCCCCATCACAATCTTTTGAGGCAAGGCGCTGGGGGCCCAACCTCCAGGGAGGTCTTTTTGGCAACAACTTTTTGAAATTTATTTCCAGAGGCTTTTCTTGAGTTGGTTCCAGTTCAGCTGCTGCTCTGCTGTATAGAGTTTGCGTGCTTTGAAATCCTGCAATTTCCCCACCTCGCTCTGCCCCACAAGTGGTAGCACTGGGGGATAGGGTATCAACCTTCTAAATAAAATAAAAAGGGGGGATTTTAAAAAAAGAAACAAAAAGAAACTGTGAGAATGTAAGAAGAGGACTGCAGATAGATTAGGCCAAAGTGGGGCATTCTTGCTGTGGTTGTTGTTTAGTCGTTTAGTGGTGTCCGACTCTTCGTGACCCCCTGGACCAGAGCACCCCTGGACCAGAGAATTGGGCACCCTGATGTTGGGAAAGATGGAGGGCGCAAGGAGAAGGGGACGACGGAGGACGAGATGGTGGGACAGTGTTGGACAACAACAACAGTTTAACAAGAAGGTACAGCAACTGGTACAGTCTTTCAGGACTGGTGTTATATGGTCTCCCAGTCCCCAGTCTAGCTGCCGCATTCTGGATTAGTTGTAGTTTCCACGTCACCTTCAAAGGTAGCCCCACGTAGAGCGCATTGCAGTAGTCCAAGCAGGAGATAACCACAGCATGCACCACTCTGGCCAGACAGTCTGTGGGCGGGGAGGGTCTCATCCTGCGTACCAGATGGAGCTGGTAAACAGCTGCCCTGGATACAGAATTGACCTGCGACTCCATGGACAGCGGTGAGTCCAAAATGACTCCCAGGCTGCACACCTGGTCCTTCAGGGGCACAGTTACCCTATTCAGGACCAGGGAGTCCTCCACACCTGCCCGCCTCCCGTACTTCTGTCTTGTCAGGATTCAACCTCAATCCATTAGCCACCATCCATCCTCCAACTGCCTGGAATCTCCTCCCTTGTAACTTGAATCTGTTGGTTTTGGGGGTCCTGCCCTCCAGAAACACCTTTGTTCCCTCTTCCATGTGGAAGCCCACCAGATATTTGAAGGTGGCTATTGCACCTCATGATGCAATAGAGAGTCCCATGGACTGCAAAAAGATCAAACCTCTCCATTCTGAAGGAAATCAGCCCTGAGTGCTCACTGGAAGGACAGATCCTGAAGCTGAGGCTCCAAGACTTTGGCCACCTCATGAGAAGAGAAGACTCCCTGGAAAAGACCCCGATGTTGGGAAAGATGGAGGGCACAAGGAGAAGGGGACGACAGAGGACCAGATGGTGGGACAGTGTTCTCGAAGCTACCAGCATGAGTTTGACCAAACTGCGGGAGGCAGTGGAAGACAGGAGGGCCTGGCGTGCTCTGGTCCAGGGGGCCACGAAGAGGCGGACACGACTAAACGACTCAACAACAACAAAGGAAACAGCCCCCCTGGCCTGGATGCTCCTGGCAATACCGGGTGCCTTGAGGCAGGCAGCGGTGGTCTCTGGTGCAGGAGCTGAGCTGTGAGCCACCTTGGGCCAAGAAGACAGATCACCCGGCTGTGTCTCATGGTGGCGTTGCTGGCCTGTGAGTCAGCAGATCCTCCTTCCTCATCTCAGGCCGCAGCAGGACGGTCTGACACTCATGTGATGGGGAAGACACCCAAAATGAGCGCCAAGTGAGTTTCTTCCTCCCGGCCCAGCCGCCAACCTGACGGTTGGGACCACAGCTCAAGGTGGCTCAAAAGGAGAATTGGGCAACGTTTTACAGAGGAGGATAGCAGGGGCTTCTGTAACCGGATGGGAACATGAGTGTCGTCTATCGTGATAATAATTTTACTATTTATCATGCCACCCATCTGTCTTGAGTTTTCCTGGCCTCTCTCGGCAGCTCTCCACAAATATTAAATACACAATAAATTGCAATGCAGGAATATGCAGTGGCCTATGATGGGAATCACTACTGGGAAAGCCATACCTTTAACTATATGGACCTTTGTTGGCAAGGTGATGTCTCTGCTTTTTAAGATGCTGTCTATGTTTGTCATTGCTTTTCTCCCAAGGAGCAGGCGTCTTCTAATTTCGTGGCTGCTGTCACCATCTGCAGTGATCATGGAGCCCAAGAAAGTAAAATCTCTCACTGCCTCCATTTCTTCCCCTTCTATTTGCCAGGAGGTCATGGGACCAGTGGCCATGCGAGCTGGACCATAAAGAAGGCTGATCGCCAAAGAATGGATGCTTTTGAATTATGGTGCTGGAGGAGACTCTGGAGAGTCCCATGGACTGCAAGAAGATCCAACCTCTCCATTCTGAAGGAAATCAGCCCTGAGTGCTCACTGGAAGGACAGATCCTGAAGCTGAGGCTCCAAGACTTTGGCCACCTCATGAGAAGAGAAGACTCCCTGGAAAAGACCCCGATGTTGGGAAAGATGGAGGGCCCAAGGAGAAGGGGACGACAGAGAACGAGATGGTTGGACATTATTCTCAAAGCTACCAGCACGAGTTTGACCAAACTGCGGGAGGCAGTGGAAGACAGGAGTGCCTGGCGTGCTCTGGTCCAGGGGGTCATGAAGAGGCGGACACAACTAAACGACAACAAATGATGGGAATCGAACCTGCCACCTGTTGGCTTACGGAAGGTTTACGTTATTAGATAGGACCGAAGTACCGTAGTCATAAGCCCACACTTTCCGAGCAACACAGCCCCAATGTGGCTTGCCTCATTAGTGTTTTTATTAATTTTTTTTGGTAAATGATTTTTATTAAATTTTACATCTTAACAAAATCACAAACAATATAAATACAAACAATAAAAACACAAAATGAATTCTCAAGTACCCCCTCCTGACTTCCCTTCCTGGTTTTTTACACATTCATTTCTCCTGCTTATTACCTTAATGTGGTCCTAACATTTTACCCTCATTTTTCTATTTTCACTATTTATTTTGCCAATTGTACGTTTTTGGTCAAACCCTGCAAGTGCGTTTATTTCTTTACATTGTTTCTGTAGGTATAACCTAAAAGCTTCCCAGTTTTTTTTTTTTAAAGTCTCTTTCGTCCTTATCTTTGAGCTTTCCAGTCAACTTCACCATTTCAGCGTACTCCATCAAGCGTTTTCATTAATCACATCTGCATGCCACCCTATACCTGCAGATCTCACATGAAATTGCAATGTTGGATTTTGCAGGAAGGATAACTTTGGGGATTCAAGAACAGCCGGCACACCGCTATTATATGCTAGCCCTCCAGATAGTCTGGACTACACTTCCCATCATGCCTCAGAAGGGTACCCATATGGGGCAACTCTGGGGTTGGAAGCAGGGCCTACCTATGGGGTGGGTCAAGCCTATTTTTGACCCCCAAGTCCTCTCCCCACACCTTTGCTTCAAGACAGATGATTTACTGCCGTTTCAGACAATGGCTTAAGGCCAGGCAGCCAAGCCCTAGACTACTGCAGCACGCTTTTTGTGGGGCGGCCCTTGGACCCAATTTGGAGGCTGCCAAGGGACGCGGGTGGTGCTGTGGGTTAAACCACAGAGCCTAGGACTTGCTGATCGGAAGGTCGGCGGTTCGAATCCCCGCAATGACGGGGTGAGCTCCCATTGCTCGGTCCCTGCTCCTGCCCCCCTAGTTCAAAAGCACCTCAAAGTACAAGTAGATAAATAGGTACCACTCAAGTGGGAAGGTAAACGGCGTTTCCGTGCGCTGCTCTGGTTCGCCAGAAGCGGCTTAGTCGTGCTGGCCATGTGACCCGGAAGCTGTACAGGGGCTCCCTCGACCAGTAAAGCGAGATGAGCGCCGCAACCCCAGAGTCGGCCACGACTGGACCTAATGGTCAGGGGTCTCTTCACCTTAAGCTGCTCCCAGGTGCATTAGCAAAACCCACCCAGCTGACCACCCCACTCTGCTTGCCCAACAAGAACAGGTTGAGGAAATGTCTGTTAAGGGGGTCTGTGTGTGTCAAGGGATACATCCCAAACCAAGCACCACCACTGTTGTCATTTTCCAACTTCAAAACCCAAGCTGTGTCTAAAACTTGTCATTTAGTTTTTCAAACCATTTTTTGTAAATTCAGCATTAGAAACTGTATCTTTTCGAGTCCTCAATCCTTCACCTAGGTTGAGCTAGGATTACAATACTTCAGAATTTTTGGGAGTTCTACCCCCTTTTGTTGAATTTGGGTCATTTAAGGTTTATGATTTTTCTATTTCCTTCTGAGGAAACCGAATAATTCAGTGAAACGAGGCTTGTAGCCGGCATCCCGTCAAGGCTTTGTACAATTTTAGGTTTAATTCCCTTAAACCTTTTGATTCTTATTTAGTTTATTTTCATAAGATAATATTTCTAGTCAATTACTTCTCGTTTCAGGGATTTTCACAGTATTTCATTCGTTTTGGGCAACTCCTCAGTTCCGTGACTGTCATTTTTTCTACTGATCTCTTTCTTAGCATTTCTTGTTCTTCGCACCTGCGATAAATGCCTTCATTTTGCATCACACCTTTCTTTAAAGCAGGATCTCAAAGCCCCCTGCTGTCCGTTAAAAAAAGAGCTATCACAGCATGGAAGCTTGCCGCCACTTCCTCCTAAAAAAGCAAGCTTCTAGACCTTGTGTCCAGCTACTGTGGCCAAATGTGTAGGGTGCTGGAAGAGCAGGGTTCGAATCCCTACCCGGCCACATGTCTCACAGAGTTGAAGACCTAGAAAGAAAAACTTGTTATATAAAAGCAACACCCCCCCCTGCTTGATAGCACTAATATTCTTGGGAGGAAAATGGTCAAGGCACCCCCTCCCTCTCTTAAAAATTCACAAAAATCACCCAAGGCGCATAGAGTTTTCTCAAGATCACGTTTATTTTGGTCACTGTAACTTTCCTTTTGAATAAATAATAGCTATACAAAAAAAAAAAAGGTCTTAAGGTTGCACGTACAGATTTTTTTGCCGTATGAAAAGTTTTCAATTTTTTTTTAGATTTTATCTTAACAAAGTGTGTTGGGGGGGAAAGGTCTCATTTCTGAGATACACAGAGGAGGGGGGAAAACAAAACGTCTTGGCAATTTGCTTTGAATCAGTGATTTTTTTCCTTTTTCTGAACCAATGATTTTTAAGTCAGGGAGAAAACAGAAACACCCACACCCTTTCGATTCTCCAAGGGGGTGGGGGGTGTCGTCTTTCCTGCTATAGCACCACGATTTTGTTGAAAGGTTGAATTTTGAAGAGACTATGAAATACATCTTTTTTCCCCGGTGGGGAGTGGGGTGGGGCACAGCAGGGAGGAGATTATAGATGCCAGGAATCGTGGCTTCTAAGATCTGCTCCCCGAATTCCTAGTGAAGTCAACAAGTAAGGGGGGGGGGGAGAGACCGAGACAGAGAAAAGGCGCCAGTAAACACTAAAAGAGGTCATTCTGCCCCCAGAGAGAGTGACATTTATTCAAAAGGCAAGAAAACTCAAAAAAATAGAAAAGGGCAGGTCTTTTTGTAAGGGTGGGGGGTAAGAGAGGATTGTGCCTAATTGGGGGGCGGGAAGGGGGGGTTCTCGCAGGCACAGTGAGCCCCTAACAAAGGCAGCTCAGATGAGGTCAGCCACGTTGAGAGGCATTTCCTCGATGGAGGTGTTGTAGAATGTCTCGATGTCGCGAAGCGTGCGCTTGTCTTCTTCCGTCACCATGTTGATCGCAACTCCTTTCCTTCCAAAACGGCCCCCTCGGCCGATCCTGGAGGGGTTTGAAAGAAAGAGGAAAGTGTTTACTGGGGGGAGCAGGTAAAAGACATAAGTCCTGGTGGATCAGGCCCAATGGCCCATCTTCCTGCCATTAGGCAAGGTAAAGGTAATAAATATTATTAATATTAGTATTTTATTTGTACCCCACCCATCTGGCTGGGCTTCTCCAGCCACTCTGGGCAGCTTCCAACAAAGACCAAAAATACACTAAAAGGATCCCTGGATAGTTAGGTCCAATCAAAGGTGACTCTGGGGTTGCGGCGCTCATCTCGCTTTCAGGCCGAGGAAGCCGGCGTTTGTCCACAGACAACTTTCCGGATCATGTGGTCAGCATGAACAAACCGCTTCTGGCGCAATGAGACACAGTGACAGAAACCAGAGTGCACGGAACTGCCGTTTACCTTCCTGCCACAGTGGTACCTATTTATCTACTTGTACTGGTGTGCTTTCAAGCTGCTAGGTTGGCAGGAGCTGGGACCGAGCAAGGGGAGCTCACCCTGTCATAGGGATTCGAACCGCCGACCTTCTGATCGGCAAGCCCAAGAGGCTCAGGGTTTTAGACCACAGCGCCACCTGCGTGACCGCAAAAGCACCACAACACCATAATGGGGTGGTGGCTGTTGTTTTGCATTATGCTATTAAAGAGTGGTTCCAGATATCTGGGGGCAGGTTTGGTAGGATTAATGCACCACAGTGGCTGTTTGCAGCATCTACACGATAGCTTTCCAAACTTTTCACGCTGGCGACACATTTTTTTAGACGTGCATCATTTCACGACAGAGAAGCGTTTACTGGGGGGAGCAGGAGGTAAGCAGGTGGCCAACTGGGCTGGAATCGCAGAACTGCAGGTGGGCATCATCCAGCCTCTGCTTAAAAACCACCAAGGAAAGGAGAGCCTGCCATCTTAGCACAGAAGGGTTGGAAAGGAAACCCAAGAGGTCTAAGAAGCCCGAGAAGGACCAGAAAGTGAGGGGGAGAAAAACAAGGATCTCACCTGTGTATGTAGTTCTCACGGTTGGTTGGCAGGTCGTAGTTGATGACCAGGGACACCTGCTGGACATCAATGCCACGGGCCTGGGAATGAGAAGTGGGGGCAGTTTAGCAGTTTTGCCAACAGTTATCACCCTGTTGCGCTCACAACTTTTCAACTGTGGGTGGCTGCTACGTGGCAGGGCACTTTGGTGGCGGGTGCCAGCCGTGGGGGAAGAGCAGCCCCCGCGATCCGTGTGCCAAGGAGCTACAATCCGCCAGCAGCACTGCGCCAGCCAGGCAGAGAGGGAATCTCCTTGGGTGGGGAGCCCACCGGACAAACATGGCAGACCCACAAGCACGACGTTAAGTGCTGAACTGTCTCTTTAAATTTGAAGGTTCGTTATTGTTCCACAAGATGTGTGCCTTTAAGGGCCAGAGCAAACAACGTGACTCAGTTTTACAGCTGTGAAGCAGTATAGCAGGTGCTGTTGTGTTAATTAAGCTGTGTCGGCAATTGGGTATAGTATATAAAGAGCTCTCTCAGTACCCTGGTGGATGGGTCATGCTTGTTAATATATTTAATGCAAAAGGAGTTTTTGTTATTAAAAGCTTGCTAAAGTTATTTTGTGTTCCTTGTAATGTGTGGTCTCCCCAGCAAGCTCTCTGCAGTGCAACTAATCTGCACTGCACAAGGGCGTTTTCCATGAATTTGTCGTTGGCCGTTATTGGCCACTGTGGAAGTGAGTTCCACAGTTCAACCTCTCCTGAATCATCCAACGTGCAGCAGATGTCCCTCTTCCACACACCCTACTCACCAGTAAGTCTGTGGTGATCAGGACACGGCTGGAGCCAGAGCGGAACTCCCTCATAATGACATCACGCTCCTTCTGGTCCATGTCTCCATGCTGCAAAGAAGGTGGAGAGAGAGAGTTGGTTTTCACCCCCAGCACCTTAATCTAATTTTGTAAGTTTATGGAAAATTATAGAACCCAACAACCCTTTCCCATTTTCTTTCCCAAACGTGACTATTCCCATTTTCTTCTCGCGTCACATTACAGAATCATCTCGTTTGTGCCCTGATCTCACTTTTGGATAATCTCGTTTCTTACATGGTGTTGACGCTATCTGAATTGCATGTTTTGTTTCAGATCGCTTAAATTGCTGCTTTTTCTCTAACTCGAAGGTTGAAAAATTTACCATTTCCTATTTTTTTGTTGTTGAGAAAACTAAATTTATTGACAATTTTAAAAGCCACACTTTAGTTAAATTCACAGCATGCCTTTCTTCACTCCTGGGACAGCATCAAAGTCTCCCCCAACTCAGTTCACAAGACACCTAATCCTTGGTGGCCAACTTTTTGAGGGCGGTGGGGAGGGGGATTATTGAGGACAGCGCAAAGAGGCAAGGATGTCCTGTAAATGCCTTTGAAAAGCTGGTGATTGCTGGTTGAAGTTAAACAGTTTTGTTGCATTAAACTGAAATTTTAATTGGATTTACAGTAACTGCAATTGCTACTGCTTTCAATTTCAGTGGGTTGCGAAAACCCCTGTTCTGAACAATGCTTTTTATAGCATACAGAAGAGGGGTGGGTTGCCTTGAAAAACCACTATCTAGTTTCTTGCCTGCAATCCTATTAACACAGCTTGTGCTTAAAGGCTCCCGGGCCCTTTCCACAGAAGCAAATTTATACAGACTGAGAGACATCCCCATCAGACAACCCTGAACAGGCCTCCCCCCTCCCCGCAAGGAAAAGCTTGTTCACCCACCATGGCAGAAACTGTGAAGTCCCGGGCATGCATCTTTTCGGTGAGCCAGTCCACCTTCCTTCGGGTGTTGATGAAGATGACGGCTTGGGTGATGGTGAGGGTCTCGTAGAGATCGCACAGGGTGTCCAGCTTCCACTCCTTTGGCACGAGAGGGAGGAGAGTTATAACCGAAGTAGAAGACCCACCCCAAATTTAAATCAACACCTCCTCCCGGCCACCCCATAAGCCCTGCATAACAGTCGCCACGTACCTCCCTCTCCACGTTTATGTAGAACTGCCTAATACCCTCCAGGGTGAGCTCCTCCTTCTTGACCAGGATACGGATCGGGTCCCGCATGAATTTCTTGGTCACCTCCAGGACATCCATGGGCATGGTGGCAGAGAGAAGCACCACCTGGAAAGGGGGCAGAGGGGCTGCGGGTCAATACATTGGTACCCTCAAGGCTATGTACTCTATGTGGGGCTGCCCTGGGTCTGACTCAGGACCCTCCAGCTGCTGCAGAATGTGGCAGTCGGGTTACTGGGGGAGGGAAATCACCAGTGAGCCGGGTTCAAGGTCCTTGAACGAAGCTTTGAGCAATTTAGGCCCAGGGTACCTCAAGGTTTGCTTAACAGTGGTGGCCAATCCAGCTGTTTTTTGACTCCCATCATCATCAGCGGAGAAATGATAAGGGATTTTATTTTTGTGTAGGAAAAGCAGGATATAATAAATAAAACTAAATATCTCAGCAGAGGGGGAGTTGAGGGAAGTCCAGAGGAGGGGAGGGAGAATAATTGTAAACAACATGATGAATGAGAAAATTCAATAAATATCCATGTTCAAATAAATAAATAAACCCTAGCTAACAGGACCAGTGGTCAGGGATGATGGGAATTGTAGTCCCAAAACAGCTGGAGGGCCAAGTTTGGCCACCGCTGGCCTAAACCTTCCATTGCAGAGAACTAAAGAGCCTAATGAGGCTGCTCTGACGACGATCAGCTTTGGGCACCATTGGCGAAGCCCTGTGGAACTCTCTGCCCCAGTGAGGTGAGAAATTGCCGTACCTGTGTGTTCCCACTCAGTTTCTGGAAGATGTCATAGATCTGGTCTTTGAAACCTCGGCTCAACATCTCGTCGGCCTCATCCAGCACAAACATCTTGATGAACTTGGGCGCTGCAGAGACAAAAATGAGCCTTGGTGAGGACTTTGAAGTGAGGGGCTAGAGACAGTGTGTCTCCTTGATGGGACGGCGGCTGGGTGAAGCTGCTGTTCTCAGGAATCTTTTAAGAGCTATGATCACTTCCGAAACCCGCACCTTTCTCTCCCAGCACAGCAGAACGCCAACTGGGAGGGAAATATGGGGGGTTGATGGGAGTCAGATGACACGCATGGGAGATCATCACAGAACAGCAAGACGGGGCGATACAGATCTGCTTATGAAAATGGCAACTCTGCCACCAAGAGCAAAGTCACACAAGCCAGAGATAAGGCTGGAAACAAAGTCCTGATGAGGAACGCTTCGAGGAAGTTGGGTGTGTCTAGTCTAGAGAAGACTGAGGGCACCCATAATAATAATAATAATAATTTATTATTCCTACCCTGCCCAATAGCCTATTATTTCTATCCCACCCAATACCCCGCTTCAAATATCCAAAGGGATCTCCCACGGAAGATGGAGCCAGCCTGTTCTTTGCTGCTACAGAAAGCAGGTCCCGAATCCATGGATTCAAATTCTGGTTTAAGAATAGTGTCTAACCTTAAAACTGCTGCTAAGGTCATGGCAGCCTACTAGAGCCAAAGGGATTGAGAAAGCGTAATCTGTAATAACTCAATTAAGCGAACTTATTACATAAAAATACAGGCAGACCAGATGTTGGGGGAAATGGGTGTTTCAGGCAATGTCCTGCAACAAGTCAACATTGAACCGTAGGCTGCTTTCAACCTGCCGTAAAGTTTCTTTGTGTTTTCTCCCTTTTGAGTTTATTTACTAATAAGGCACCCCTGTTTAGGGAAGTTTTTAATGTGTGACATTTCAACATATTTTAAATCTTTGTTGGAAGCCGCCCAGAGTGGCTGGGAAAACCCAGGCAGATGGGTGGGGTACAAATAACAAATCATCATTATTATAAAGATTGTAAGATCGTGAGTTGCCCATTGCGCTGCTACCTGGAGGGAAACTGAATGCAGATACTTACACAGGTATCGCCTGTTCAACATGTCAAAGACACGTCCGGGGGTCCCGACAATGATATGGGGGGCCTCCATCTGGAGTTTCTGCACCTCGGCGCGGACGTTAGTCCCGCCTATACAGGCATGGCAGGAGGCGCCCATGTAGTCTCCTAGGGCCATCACGACCTTCTGGATCTGTGGGAGGATGAGAGGAGCAGAATTGTAAGTGGGGCATGGATTCTCTTACCTGGCGCTGGTCAAGGGCAATGGCCTCCCGGTGCCAACACTTTTGTTTCCCCAGCATGAACCAGCAAACAGCCACGGGAGAGACACTGTGCTGGGATGAACAGGGATGGTTGCTGTCCCCCGGCCAGAGAAAAAGAGGTCCCCACTTTTTGCAAGGTGCCTCTTTCGTCAACTGGCAGGGGGAGGGAAGATGGACGGAAGAGAACAGGGTCGGAGCGGAGGCAGCGATTCCTTTCTTCAGCGGAAAGCCTCTTCGGCGTCACTTTGTGAAGCGGGACCAGGCCAGGAGAAACGGAATAAAGCCCCTCAAAATGTTCTTGCACGCCAGGGAAGGAGACGCAGGACACAAGAGGCTGGGAGCCAATGTCAAAGGGAGGACAGGAGCCTGGGAGGCAAGGAGGGTCACTTAAGGGGACAGATGAAGTACTCCTTCACGCAGTGGCGTGTTAATCTGTGGAACTCCCTCCTTCAGGAGGCAGCAAAGGTCACCAACTCAGATGGCTTTAAGAGGGGTTGGAGAAACTCAACGCAAGAACAGGATTGTGGGACTAGATGGGCCAGAGGTTTATGGCCTTGTCCTGATCCAGCCAGGGCTATAGGTTTACAGCAGGATATAAACTGAATAGCAACTTTTTAAAATAAAAAGTCTCTAGCCCTGCGTTGTTGATTTACAATGAAACGTTATACACGTCTGCTCAGATTGGGGTGGGGAGAGAAGCAGGGTCCTTGCGCCTTTCACAGCTGTGCGGCAGGCAGAAACTCCAACAGGTTAAGCCTTTCCTAGTACAGAAATGCAATTATGGATAAAGCTTCACCTGTGCACGTTCTGTCTGTCAGACAGTTTATAAAGGCGCCTCTTTGCCCATTAAACCAGAGGAATGAATGGAGACCTCTGGAGTTTGTTTTTGGGGCCCTCAGTTCCACCTGCAAAAAGAGGACACGTGGTTTTTATACAAGACAAAGCTGGGCACATCTGACGGCAGCCCTGTTTAGGGAAGTTCTTAATGTTTGATGGTGTTCTTAATATTCTGTTGGGAGCCGCCCAGAGTGGCTGGGGAAACCCAGCCAGATGGGCAGGGTATAAATAATAAATTATTAATTATTATTACTATGGGCTGGAAAGAGGGGGGAAAGGCTTACCTGCTGAGCCAACTCTCTTGTTGGGGCCAGGACCAGTGCTTGGGTAGCTTTCAGGTCTAGCTCAATTTGCTGTAAGATGGAGATCGCAAAAGTGGCGGTCTTCCCAGTGCCAGACTGGGCCTGCGCAATCACATCGTAACCTGGGCAGAAGGAAAGCAGGACGGCGTCACAAACACACACAAAGGACAACTAGCACATCTCGCCAACCTCAGAGGGAGCCGTGACAGGATAAGTGTTTCCCCAGCATGAACCAGCTGACAGCCACGGGGAGGAACGCTGTGCTGGGATGAATAGGGTAACGTTTATGTCCCCCTGCTAGATATAAGACAGTCACCATGTTCAGAGGTGCCTCTTTGCCCAGTAGCAAGGGGGATGATGGAGAAAAGAATCGGAGGCAAGTAGGACAGCTGCATTTGCAGTGTTAGGTGGGAATAACTTGGAAAGATCTCCCAAAATTCCTCCCTTTCTGCCTAGTATTGTTGATCAGAAAAAAATCAGCCCCCACCTCACCCTGGTGCATGCCAGATTTTTAAGACTGCAAATCTCCATCATTTCTAGCCAGAACAGCGACGTTGATAGAGGACTAGTGGAAATGAAAGCTCAAAATATCTGGAGGGCAGACAAAAGGACGGACTTCTCCACACAACTATGGAAGTCACTCCCTGAAGCATAAAGGGAACCTCTGAATGCTAGTTGTGTTAGGATTTTACAGTTTGGGGAATCTGGTTGGCCTGAGAACAGGATGCTGATCTGCTACAGCAAAGTCCCTTTTCTGGCAATACTAAACTTAACTGAAGCAGCAATCTAAGCGGAAGTCAGTTTGGTATCATTTACTGCATATATTCTGCTATATGGGGCTTAAATGCTTGCTCGTCAGGTCAGCACTCTAAGCAGTCAACTTAGAAATCAATGCCTTCTCTCTTTCACTGCCTGCCTTTCCCTGTACTCCCCTCCTTCTACACAGAGCCCCCCACCCCCCTTTGAAGAAGTGTGCTTGAGCAGTTAGCCTCACCCTTGATACAAGGGAGAATGGCTCGCTGCTGGATGGCGGAGGGCTTCTCAAAACCATAGGCGTAGATTCCTCGCAGGAGGGACTCCGACAAGTTCATGTCATCGAAACTGTCAACGATCTCGTTCCAATTGCTCTGTAGGGAGAAGCAGGGAAAGGTGAGCTCCCACAGCCAAGCCCCAAACCTCTCAAAAGAAACATCCAAGCCCCCAGAAGGGTATTTTGGGCAATCTGGATGCCATTGTGTTGGTTGGGATAGAGATCATGGTATGTTTCCCCCATTATTTAGTTATCCAACTGACTCCGGACATGGGTAGTTTCTCACCTCAATGACACCATCGGGGTCCATCCCTTCGGGGCCATTGTCTCTAGGTCTAGAGGAAGAAAAACAACATTTTAGAAGCGCTCAAATGAGCAACCAGGAAAATATCAATGCGCTCCCCACCCATTGCATATTATTACGGCTCCAAAAGGCACTTTGTTTTGCAATAGCTTATGTAAGGAATGGCCTTATGCGACAAGTAGAGGCCAACAACACCACCCGCTGTGAAAAAGCAGGGTTTACCCCTTGGAAGGTCAGAAGTTGATCACCACCACCAGGGCTTTCCCACTCGTTTGGCCAGAGGTACACTGCCACTGGCCTGATCCAGCAGAGCTCTTGCTCTCTCCTCCCCTGATCTGGTGGCTGTGAGTTCCGCAGGCCCCTTTTGTCAACTCCAGCTATTCCTTCCAGCCACCCCCGTCATAGCTGGAGAGGAGGGAGGAAATGCCTGATCCAGCAGAGCTCTTGTTCTCTCCTCCCCTGATCTGGTGGCTGTGAGTTCCACAGGCCCCTTTGTCAACTCCAGCTATTCCTGATCCAGCAGAGCTCTTGTTCTCTCCTCCCCGATCCTGTGGCTGTGAGTTCCACAGGCCCCCTTTCTCAACTCCAGCCATTCCTCCCAGCCACCCCCGTCCTAGCCGGAGAGGAGGGAGGCGATGCCGTAAGCTCAACGTGTCCCCGGGCGGCCCATTCGCCGCTCCCCACGTGCCTCCCCGCTCCCTCTTTCTTCCTGCTTTCCTTTTAAGGGCAAGAGGCTCCTCCCTCCCCGCGCCTCTGGCCACAGGCCCGTGACGTCACGGGCGCAGAGTTCCCGGATGCGAAGCGACAGGACAATAGGCAGGGCGGGAGAAAAGGGGGGGGGGGGGAAACGAAGGGAGAAATGGACGCGCCCGCGGCGGGGGGAGAAAGAAAGACAGCGCTGCTTCTGTCCCCCCCCCCATTTCTCTAAAATGGGCTCGCCCGTGCCAAGTCTGCGCGGTGCGGAAATGGAATTGCCCAACTGCCCCCGCGGGGGGGGGGGAGCAGGGAAAGGGTGGGCGAGTCCAAGTGAGGAGGAGGGGGGGAAAAGGAGCAGACCACTGAGGAAAAAAGGAGAAATGGGAGGGGGGGAAAGAAAAACTTGTGTAAGAGGGAAAGGCTCAAAATGGCTGAAAAAAGGGGAGGGGGAAGAGGGGAAAAAAGGGACAGGCCGCCTTTTTTCCCCTTCGCCCTCCACACGGGGGACAATCGGCACGGAAAGAATATCGCCTCTCCTCTTCTCTTCACACACACAAAAAAGCCTTAAAGAGATTCCCCCCTTTTTCTCGACGAAAAATGGAACCGCCCGCGAGCATTCGAGAAAAAAAAAACTTGGGGGCGATAAACCCCCCCAAAGGGGGGGAAAGAGAAGGGACAACGCCATTACAGAACCCGACGCCCCGCGCTCCCTCCCGGCCGAAATGGCGGCGCTTCTCGCGAAGGAAGTTTCTATTCCCACGCCGGTGAGGCCCGTTCCGGCTTTCTTTTTTTTTCCTCCCCCCCCCGCGATGAAAATGGTCTCGGCCGCAAAGCCACAGAGACCTTAAGGGGGGAGGACGGTTCCACTCCCGAAAATGGGGGCGCCGGCCCCGACCTAGCCGGCCACGTGGAATGAGCCGAGGTGGGGGACTGAAAAGCGAGGGAACAAAATGGAGGAAGGCGAGGAGGAAACAATTCGCGGTTCTTTCGCTGGGAGGAAAGCGCCTCTCTTTCGCCTGTTCAACCCCCCCCCCTTGCCGCGTAATGGTTCGGTCCTCCGAGAGAACCTTGAGGGAGGAGAAGAGGCCTGGACGGGCCCATAGGGCGGATATGGGGGGGAGGCCCTGCCGCGCGCGCTCTCTCTCCCTCGCCCGCTCACTCACCGGCTCTCTTGACTCGCAGACATCCTGGGGAAAAGGTCCTAGCCCCGCCCGCTCCGCTCCCCCTTATAAGATCCCGCCGAGGCCCCGCCCCGCGGCCCCTCCTCCATTGGCCCTCTTCCCCCTGAGCCCGCCCAGCCGCCCGCCTCACGCCATTGGCCCCGCGCGCTTCTCCCCGACCGGCTTCGCCCCCATTGGCCCGCCGCCTTCCCCCTCCTCCGCTTCCGGAGACGCCATTGGCCAGCGGCTCGCCGCCGTCGCGTTCCCATTGGACGAGGGGGATCCGTGACGGGCGGGTTTTTTTTTAATGGTGACGTCAAACCGAGAGAGGGGAGCGTGGGGGGTTGGGGGAAAGGGAGAGGTGGAAAGAACTCGGGCGTCGTGACGTCAACGGGGAGCGCCGGGCTCTGGTTGGTCGCCGGCCGCGTCCGTCGAGACGGCGAGCCAATGGGAGCCCGAAAGAGGAGGAGGCGGGTTCTAAGGAGGGGGGGAGACAGGGAGAGGAAAAAGGCCCACGTGGTTAGGCGTTGGGGCCTGAATTTTGGGCCTGCTGCCTTTGTCCAGCGGGGAGGGCAGAGCACCACGTGATATAGGCCTTGGGGGGGGGTGACAAGAGGAGGCTGACAAAAATCACCCCCCCCCCAAAAAAAGTTAAAAGAACTGGGCTGAAATTTAAGCACTGGGTGTATTTTTCAGAGACCCCCCCCCCAATAAAAACCTTCCCAATTTTTTTGGTAAAATAAATATTAATTTGCAATTATTTTTTGCAAAAGCCCCCCCCCCCCATTACAAGGGAGCCCCCTTCTAGGTGCTGTGGAAGTTCCTGGGCAGGAAGATTTGCCCCCCCCCAAAAAAAAAAAGTTAAAAGGGCTGGGTTGAAATTTAAGCACTGGGTGCATTTTTCAGAGACCCCCCCCCCAAAAAAAAACCCCTTCCCATTTTTTTTTTGCAAAAAAAAATTAATTTGCATTTTTTTTTTGCAAAAGCCCCCCCCATTACAAGGGAGCCCCCTTTTAGGTGCTGTGGAAGTTCCTGGGCAGGAAGATTTGGACCCTCCCTCCCCCAAAAAAGAGCCAAATTTCCTGACCCCTCCAGCTTTGAAACTGGAAAACTCCCCCCACCCCACAAACCCTCTTGTATCTGGGAGGGTGGATCGGATCCCCCCAATTGATCCGCTGGTAAGGATCCCCCCTCCCCTCCGCTTTTCCACTGGCCTGTTCCTTTCCCCTCTCCCATTTTTATTTCAAAATATTTTATTTATTATAGGTGAGCAGTCCAATCTAAGGTGTGCTGCAACAGCTCATTTCTCAAAAACAAACCACCACCTGTTATAGTTTACTGTTTTTAAATTAAAACGATTTAGGGGCCCACTGCAGGAAGCGATTAACAGGCACCTTGTAAATACCAAAAATCTGCTGTCGAGGCAGCCAAAAAAAGCCCTCGCCTGAACTTCCTTGGCCCACCTTGAAACTGATCCAGTGTGCCAAGGTCCTTTCAGTTTTTGAAAAGCAAAATGCAGAGAGATGAGGAAAATGTTGGACTTGACAGCATCCATCAGCCCCAGTCAGCATCGCCAATAATCAAGAAGGATGGGGTCCCCACAACATCTGGGGGACCAGGCATTGGCCTGAGTCATCAAGCTCTCCTCCCATGTCTGCAAGTGTTTTTGTTTTATTTTGTGTTCTCATTTTGTATGCTTCTGTTGTGAACCGCCCTGGGATCTTCGGACAAAGGGCAGCATAATAATAATAATTTTATTATTTATACCCCGCCCATCTGGCTGGGTTTCTCCAGCCACTCTGGGTGGTTTACATAACATTAAAAAAATGTAAAACGTCAGACGTTAAAAATCTCCCAATACAGGGCTGCCTTCAGATGTCTTCTAAAAGTCAGATAGTTGTTTATTTCCATGACATCCGGTGGGAGGGCGTTCCACAGGGCGGGGGCCACCACCGAGAAGGCCCTCTGCCTGGTTCCCTGCAACCTCACTTCTCGCAGGGAGGGAACCACCAGAAGGCCCTCGGAGCTGGACCTCAGTGTCCGGGCTGGACGGTGGGGGTGGAGACGCTCCTTCAGGTCTACTGGGCCCTTGAGGCCATTTAGGGCTTTCAAGGTCAGCACCAACACTTTGAACTGTGCTTGGAAACGTCCTGGGAACCAATGTAGAGCTTTTAGGACCAGTGTTATATTGTCTTCATCGGCCACTCTGCCACCCGTCTAGGACACAAATCTATAAAATAAACAATGGAAACACCAGAGGCAGACCTAAGCTTTCCTAGCATCTGAGAAGCTCCAAGTTGCTGCCCAATCTTAGGTAAAGGTAAAGGGACCCCTGACCATTAGGTCCAGTCGCAGACGACTCTGGGGTTGCGGCACTCATCTCGCTTTACTGGCCGAGGGAGCCGGCATACAGCTTCTGGGTCATGTGGCCAGCAGGACTAAGCCGCTTCTGGCGAACCAGAGCAGCGCACGGAAACGCCATTTACCTTCTCGCCGGAGTGGTACCTATTTATCTACTTGCACTTTGACGTGCTTTTGAACTGCTAGGTTGGCAGGAGCAGGGACCGAGCATTGGGAGTTTAACCCACAGCGCCACCCTACCCTTAAAACCAAGCCAGGTTCAGTGGCGTACGTTTAGGGACTTTCTGGGGCCTTATACTTCAGCTTGATCTTTGAGATTATCTGAAGGAACTTCGTAGGTTGTCCCCTGGATTTGCGATGCATGTTTTAACGACAAGAAACCGAGCCTTTTGTGTCTTGGGCCCGTTCCTGTGGGACTCCCTGCCACTGACACCTTCTGTTCCAGTTTTTACACAACTGCTTAAAACATTTCTGCACTTCCAGGGATGTGCAGGCAATTGAGAGCATTATCTTTCTGCGATGGTTAGTTGATTTTTCAGTACATAGGGTTTTTACAGTACATAGGTATTCTTGCAGACCACTTCAATCCCCAATACAGTGTTACATAAATATTTTTATAATTAAAGCCCCCGGCCCGTCTCCCTTGGTCCAGGAAAGAGCCATCCAAGGCCCTTCCAGAAGGAAGAAACCAGTGGCCAGAATATTTTGAGCTGGACTAGAAAAGATTCCTGGCTCTGAGTAACCCGAGTGATTCACTCCCAGAGCCGTTGCGGAGGTGCAAAAGCACACAGGCTTTCAATCCAGCCGATGACTCACTACAGGGAGGACTGGGTTCAAGGAAAACTAATAATGCAGCAAAAACCAGATAGTCAGCAGGACTTCTTGCACCCAGGGGGGTGTGATGCCCATGAAAGATGCTCCATAAACACACACTGTGTAGGTTTAGCTGAGATCCACGTTGGAATGCACCACACGCATATTGTGGGGAATTTGCTCCAGCCCCCCCAAATGAGCACGCCACCCCCCCGCTTTCATAACGCTTGGCTCCGATTTTAGAATGGCTCCCCCACTATCCTCTCTCCCACCACAATGCCTGTGTTTCCTCCAGCAGAGAGCCAGGGGTGGTTAGTGTGTTGGACTAGCGCCTGGGAGAGACCAGGGTTCGAATCCCCCCCCCCCCGGCCACTGGGTGAGCTTGGACCAGCCGCTGCTTTTCTCAGCCTAGTCTAGGCTGATCGCCGAAGAATGGATGCTTTTGAATTCTGGTGCTGGAGGAGACTCTTGAGAGTCCCATGGACTGCAAGAAGATCCAACCTCTCCATTCTGAAGGAAATCAGCCCTGAGTGCTCACTGGAAGGACAGATCCTGGAGCTGAGGCTCCAAGACTTTGGCCACCTCATGAGAAGAGAAGACTCCCTGGAAAAGACACTGATGTTGGGAAAGATGGAGGGCACAAGGAGAAGGGGACGACAGAGGAGGAGATGGTGGGACAGTGTTCTCGAAGCTACCAGCATGAGTTTGACCCAACTGCGGGAGGCAGTGGAAGATAGGAGTGCCTGGCGTGTTCTGGTCCAGGGGGTCACGAAGAGTCGGACATAACTATACGACTAAACAACAGTCTACCTCACAGAGTTGTTGGGATAAGATGAAGAATTGGGTGGATGTGGAGAATCGTGTATGCCACTTTGAGCTCAGTGGAAAAGGTGCAATAACAGGGCCGACAGAGAAAAGTGAAAGCTACCTTGCTCTGTGTTTGATCACAACAAATAGCGCTGCCTTCGGACCTCCAGCGTTAATCAGCCCCCCTGCTCAATCCCAACCCCTTATCTGCAATCCCCCCAACTTCCCCAGCAGAATCAACCTGGAAAAATGGCGCTCTAGAGGTTCCATTTGAAAAACCGGATTCCCACACCGATTTATCATGCTTGCCATGGAGGGAGAAGGACGCAAATCTATGGAGGGACAGAGCCCCCACCCTCCAACCCAAGAAGGCCAGATGAACGCTCCCCCCCCAAAAACCCCCCTCCCAAGGTTTTATCACACTTGTTGAAGCTCCTCTATTGCAGGGTGAGAGGGGAGTCTGTTGGGTCAGGCCAAAGGAGGCCTCATCCAGTTCTCCCAGTGGCTGACCAGATGTCCCAGTGGGAAACTTGCAAGTTTCCGGAAACCAGGATTCAAAGGCACTGCTGCCCCTGTGGAGTTAGAGCATAGCCACCAACAGTGTTCTCCACCACAAAGGCGTAGGACCTTGTTTTGTTTCTCTCTCTATATAAAAAAGGTAAAGGTAAAGGGACCCCTGACCGTTAGGTCCAGTCACGGACGACTCTGGGGTTGCGGCGCTCATCTCGCTTTACTGGCCGAGGGAGCCGCCGTACAGCTTCCGGGTCATGTGGCCAGCAGGACTAAGCCGCTTCTGGCGAACCAGAGCAGCGCACGGAAATGCTGTTTACCTTCCCACCGGAGTGGTACCTATTTATCTACTTGCACTTTGACGTGCTTTCGAACTGCTAGGTTGGCAGGAGCAGGGACCGAGCAACGGGAGCTCACTCCATCGCAGGGATTCGAACCGCCGGCCTTCCGATCGGCAAGCCCAAGAGGCTCAGTGGTTTAGGCCACAGCGCCATCCGTGTCCTTTTCTCTCTATATATTGTTTTTAAAAAGCGGATCTAGGGCAGGAGGTGCAAAACTCTTTGCTCGCCTCGTAAAACTGCACAGAACACCTTTGCGCAACCGCCACGCATCGCAAGGAGGTTAGAAAACGCCTTTTTCTCCAAAGAATGCTTTTTCTTTTATTACCCACAATGGTAGCCATCGTATAAAAAAATGCTTGTTTCCGTTATCTCGGCCCCAGTGTAGAAACCTGCCCCCCCTGCCCGCCCACCAGAGCCCCTCCTTCCCCTGTTCCACCTCCCTCTCCCTTGAGGGGGGGGCGGGATAAAAACCAGAACATACATTATCCACTAACACAAGTAACCAACAGGGCGAGATAAAGCAGAGGGAGAAGCTGGGGGGGGCAGGAGGGTAATTTATGCTGCCGCCCCCCCTGTGCCCGCCTTCCTGGTCCCTCGTTTTTGGACTCTACGCCCGCCCCCCCCGTCGAACCGGAGCGGAACATGTGCAGAGGGCATGTTCGGTGATAAGAAACTTCCCCAATCCCACCCGCTCGCCCTCCATCCCACCCATCCGTCGTGTGTCTCCCCCCCCCACCCAAAAAAATCCCCGCAACTTCCCCAACAGAACCAACCTGGAGAAAGGGCCCTCTGGAGGTCGGTTTTAAATACGAACGAAACAAAAATGAGAGACCAGGAAGAAGAAGAAGAAAAAGAAGAAAGGGGAGGGGGATTTAACTCGGGTTAAAAACGACACCCCCCGCCCCCCAAACAAGTCCGCTTGTTAAACCTCAACGAGTTCCAGTGACCTAAAGACGCCCCCTCCCCGCTTTCCGTACACCCCAAATCGGATGCCTGCTGTCAAGCTGGAGGAGGAGGAGTCGTGTGTCCGGCCGTCCAAGTCGGTCTTTGGGAGGGTGTGTGTGTTGTGTGTGTATGAGTGTGTGTTGTGTTTGTATGAGTGTGTGTGTGAGCTCGTCACGCAGTGAGCTTGCAGTGGCACAACTCCTTGTACATCTGACGGCGCAGTTTCGGCATGTCCTGCTGCGTGAAGGAGAAGGGGAGGCCCAGCGCCAGGAATTTGGAATACTGGAAGAGAAAGGAAAGGAGGATCAGCAGTATATACCTAAGAGCATCATAACAGCCTGCTGGATCGGGTCCAATGGCCCATCATCCCGGTCTCACAGTGGCCAGCCAGGTGTGTGTTAGGTAAGGACCCCTGGACGGTTAAAGGTAAAAGGAGCCCTGACCATTAGGTCCAGTCATGGCCGACTCTGGGGTTGCGGCGCTCATCTCGCTTTATTGGCCGAGGGAGCCGGCATCCAGCTTCCGGGTCATGTGGCCAGCAGGACTAAGCCGCTTCTGGCGAACCAGAGCAGCGCACGGAAACCTGAAACTGTTCTTAACCTGAAGTATCACTTTAGCTAATGGGGCCTCCCTCTGCAGCCGCCGCTGCGCGATTTCTGTTCTCATCCTGAAGCAAACTTCTTAACTCGAGGTACTATTTCTGGGTTAGCGGAGTCTGTAGCCTGAAGTGTATGTAACGTGAGGTACCACTGTATTACAAACATGATAAAACATCAAATATTAAAAACTTCCCTGAACAGGGCTACCTTCAGATGTCATCTAAAAGTCAGATAGTTGTTTATTTCCTTGACATCTGATGGGAGGGCGTTCCACAGGGCGGGTGCCACCACCGAGAAGGCCCTCTGCCTGGTTCCCTGTAACCTCACTTCTCGCAGGGAGGGAACCGCCAGAAGGCCCTCAGAGCTGGACCTCCATGTCCGGGCTGAACGATGGGGGTGGAGACGCTCCTTCAGGTATACTGGGCCTCTGAAGCCGTTCAGGGCTTTAAAGCCACCTTTATGACGTTCACCTGAAAAGCAGTGTGTGTACGCAGACATGCACACCTGCCAACCCACCCCATACCTCCCTGGGCTCCTTTGGAAGAAGAAGAGGAGTTTGGATTTGATATCCCGCTTTATCACTACCCTAAGGAGTCTCAAAGCGGCCAACAATCTCCTTTCCCTTCCTCTCCCACAACAAACACTCTGTGATGTGAGTGGGGCTGAGAGACTTCAAAGAAGCGTGACTGGCCCAAGGTCACCCAGCAGCTGCAGGTGGAGGAGCGGAGACGCGAATCCGGTTCCCCAGATTACGAGTCCACCGCTCTTAACCACTACACCACACTGGCTCTCTTTGGAGAAAAAGGTGGGATGTAGATTTAATTAAATGCATAGGGGGTTTTTTGCAACAGAAACGCTTAGAGCAGCGGCTCACAACCTTCATGGGCACAAGGACTCCCTTTTAACCTCGCAGGCCTTCACATAATGATTTGTCGTAGCTTTACAGACTCTGTTAACAGCGAAAACACAGCCATGGTGTGGAAGATTTTAAGATGGCTGCTTGGCTGCCTTTCCAGACCCAAGTCTCCGGATCATTCTTTTGAAAGAAGTGCTTGGTTTTTGAAAAGGATGAGTTACAGTGGTACCTGGGGTTACATACGCTTCAGGTTACAGACTCCGCTAACCCAGAAATAGTACCTCGGGTTAAGAACTTTGCTTCAGGATGAGAACAGAAATCGTGCTCTGGCGGCACAGCGGCAGCAGGAGGCCCCATTAGCTAAAGTAGTGCTTCAGGTTAAGAACAGTTTCAGGTTAAGAACAGACCTCTGAAACGAATTAAGTACAGTGGTGCCCCGCAAGACGAATGCCTCGCAAGACGGAAAACCCGCTAGACGAAAGGGTTTTCCGTTTTTGAGTTGCTTCGCAGGACAAATTTCCCTATGGGCTTGCTTCGCAAGACGAAATGTCTTGCAAGTCTTGAGATTTTTTTTTCGCTTTCCCCCCCTTTATCTAATCTGCTAAGCCTTTAATAGCCTTTAATAGCCTTTTAGCAGCTAATCCGCTGAGCCTTTAAGCCTTTAATAGCCGCTAAACCGCTAATAGCGCTAATCCGTTAAGCCGCTAATAGGGTTGCTTCGCAAGACGAAAAAACCGCTAGACGAAGACTCTCGCGGAACGGATTAATTTCGTCTTGCGAGACACCACTGTACTTAACCCGAGGTACCACTGTACTTGACATGTCAGAATGTCCCAGCAAGGAAGGTACTTCCATGTAGGAATTAATAGGAAAACTGCATGAGTCTGATCATGTCACACAGACAATAGATGCAACAGAGAAAGCATTATCAACCGGGGTGGGGTGAAAGCAGATCTTATATGTAAGGTCAGACGCGATTACTGCATGGTTTGGTATGCCCTTCCACGCAGGGTCTTTATAAAAGGTAAAATGCCCTTCAGAGGGAAAATACAAGAGCAACATATAGCTCGTACGCCTGAATATTTATTTTTAAATCACCTCCTATCCTGAAAAGATATCTCACAAACTAAAAGTAACTGAAGGGCAGCGCTTGAATGACTGCTTTTTAAATATATGGCATGGTTTTATCTCTTGCAGAAAGATTGAGGCACATGGCTGCATAGTGCCATCAGTTTATGCAGATGTCTGCTTCATTTAAGGCTATATAGAACCTTTATTCCCTATAATAATGGAACTCACAGGTAGAGAAAACTACCGTATTTTTTGCTCTGTAGGACGCACTTTTCCCCCTCCAAAAATGAAGGGGAAATGTGTGTGCGTCCTATGGAGCAAATGCAGGCTCCTTGGCTTCAGCGATAGCAACGTGAAGCCTCCAAAGCGCAGAGGGAGCGCTCCTTCCGCACTCTGGAGGCTTTGCGTTGCTTTCACTGAAGTCTGGAGAGCGAGAGGCGTCGGTGCGCACCAACCCCTCTTGCTCTCCAGGCTTCAGGGATAGCTGCCTGAAGCCTTCAGAGCGCAGCGCGAGTTCCCGCTGCGTTCTGGAGGCTTCAGGTTCCTTTCGCTGAAGCCGGGAGAGTCTTGCTCTCCCAGCTTCAGCAAAAGGAACCCTAAGCCTGCGGAGAGCATCGGGAACTTGCGCTGCGCTCCGAAGGCTTCAGGGATAGCCACGCGCAGTCCCTCCGGCAGGGAGAGGCTGCACGCGGCTATGGCTGCTTTAGCCCTGCGCAGCCTCTCCCTGCCGGAGGGGTTGCGCATGGCTATGGCACAAGCCAAGACAGCGAGTGGGATGGATCCGGCAGGGAGAGGTTGCGTGCAGCCTGTACGCTGCTCTTTGGGGCTGGAGGGGAAAAAGATTTTTTTTTTTATTTCCCCCTCTAAAAACTAGGTGCGCCCTATGGTCCGGTGCGCCTTATGGAGAGAAAAATATGGTGTGTGTGTGTGTGTTTGTGTGTGGCTTATATGTCTTTATTATCTGCAAAGGAAACCACTGTGCGAGCCAATACTTTACTATCCCTTCGAAGCTGCCCTGGCTCTTTATAAATTTGTCCTTCCAGGCTGTGATGCTTTCTGGTTTAAAATTTTCGATTCTTTCTTTTCTTCCTTTTCGCCTAGGCAGCCATAAGAACATAAGTTGGATCAGGCCCGTGGCCCGGCCAGTCCAGAATCCTCACAGTGGCCAACCGGATGCCCATCGTGGGAAACCCGCAATCAGGATTCGAACGCAAGAGCCGCTCTCCCGCTCCTGCGGTTTCCAGCGACTGCTACCCAGAAGAATTGGTGCCTCCAACTGTGAAGGCTAGCAGCCATCGAGAGCCCTCCCCACACCCTCCACAAATTTGTCTCATCCCCTTTAAAGCCATTTAGGTCGGTGGCCATCGCTGCGTCTGGTGGGAGGGAGTTCCACAGTCTAACCCTGCGCTGTGTGAAGAGGGACTTTCTTCTATCTGTCCTGAGTCTCCCCAGCATTCGGCTCCCTTGGTTTTCCACCACCTGGGCAGCATGAATGTCTATGGCCAAGGGGACCGGGGGCAGCTGATGGATAAGGCAAGGGGAAATGGCACCTTTTCCCCTCTGAAAGCCATAAAGTGTCTGTTGTTGTTTTTTTGGAACCTCAAGACCCCTCCTGCCCGCCCCCCCGCCTCACCTGCAAGACGAAAGCGCCGCAGTCGCTGTCGTTGTTCTGCCTGGCGATGTTCTGGAAGGAACGAAAGGGAGATCGGGTCAAGGCGAGGAGGGAGAACAGCAGAACCAAATGACCATCCCTCTCCTGTCAGGGAGGTCTGCTTTGCAGTCCCGCTCTGGGTCACTGGCTCCCTCGTCCGCTTGGAAATCAAGAGAGACCTGTACAAAACCTGCCCCCCTGATTTCCCCATTTCTTTTCTTAAAAAAAAATTTTTTTTAATTCATTTTTCTTTTTCATTCATTACGTACATCTCATCATAGCTGTCAACTTACAGATTTGAAAATAAGGGACCAGCAGCCTCAAAAATAAGGGACCAGCAGCCAAAATAAGGGATTTTCAGGGCACAGGTATGTTCGACTTCTGAGCCCCTCCGAGCCAAAGGCAGAAAGCCCAGCCAGCAGCCAAACGAAGCCTCAAGCGGTGGTTCCCACAGCGCAGCAACCCGGCAAAGGGGATGCAGCAAGGAAAACCACCGTCCCCTCTCCGCTGGGAAGTGCTGAGCAAAGGCGAGTCCCCAGGCAACGCGGCCGATTTGATTGGCACAAGGCAGGCAAGCTCCACCCCCCCAGTCGTTCTCAGACTCCTTATTGGGTGAGCAACGCAGCCAAGCAACACAATTGGAGCCTCCCTCCTCCCTGGCCGGCAGGAGGGAGGGAGGGAGAGGAGCTGCTTCCTTTGAAACCCGGGAAATTTAAGGGACATCATCAAGAAGGGACAGCAGCGGGACACGGTGCCGGGATAAGGGACTTTCCTGCCAAATAAAGGACGGTTGACAGCTATGCATCTCATATTCGTAAAATTTGCTATGCATTACTTCCTCCCTCCCCTCCTGGGCTTCCCCCAACTTCCGCTTCTGGTTTGTTTCTCTTTTCACCCCCTTTGCTGCCTCGACACCCCACTACCCGTGGGGCTTTTATTTGGGGGTGTGTGTCTAACCCTGGCACTCACCCCCACAGCTCAAAACCCCCGGTGACGGTTGTCTTTTAGATGGGTGACTCGCACCGCGTCGCCATTTCCCTTCGCAGACAAACTGGAAACCCTGACCATTTCTCTCAAGAGCATTCTGCATCGGTGCAAACCCTGGTAACTCCATTCTTTGCGCTAATCAGCCGTTTTTGGCCCAGTTATTGTGGGTTGGACCATGGGCATAGCTCCATTCTGCTCCCTCCGCTGAGCGAATGGGGAGGAGAGATACTACTCACCATCTGAAAAACCCCTTTCCACCCGTCTCTGAAGTCCGGACGGTTCTTCTTGTCTGCTTCGGCCTGCAGGTATCTGCAGATGTGCTGGGGGGGGGGTAAGGAGAACAGGCAGGTTTTGAGTGTAAGCATGTACATTGGGAAGCGTGGTCTATTTCTCAGCCTCCTTCCTAAAGGGCAGGATAGCTAGACCACCCTCACCCCCTCCTCTCAAGCCCATTATGTTTTTGCGCATGCTGGAAGCCGCCCAGAGCGGCTGCGGCAACTCACTCAGATGGGCAGGGTACAAAAAACAGAATTATTATTACTATTAAACCACTTGCAACATTGCTACCCTTGAAGCCAAGGCAGCTGTCTACCAGCTCCATCTGGGACGCAGGATGAGACCCTCCCTGCCCGCAGACTGTCTGGCTAGAGTGGTGCATGCTCTGGTTATCTCCCGCTTGGACTACTGCCATGCGCTCTACGTGGGGCTACCTTTGAAGGTGACCTGGAAACTGCAACTAATCCAGAATACGGCAGCTAGACTGGCTGAGACCACATAACACCAGTCCTGAAAGACCTACAATGGCTTCCAGGACATTTCCGAGCACAATCCAAAGTGTTGGTGCTGACCTTGAAAGCCCTAAACGGCCTCAAAGGCCCAGTAGACCTGAAGGAGCGTCTCCACCCCCATCGTCCAGCCCGGACACTGAAGTCCAGCTCCGAGGGCCTTCTGGTGGTTCCCTCCCTGCAAGAGGTGAGGCTGCACAGAACCAGGCAGAGGGCCTTCTCGGTGGTGGCGCCCTCCCTGTGGAACGCCCTCCCACCAGATGTCAAGGAAATAAATAACTATCTGACTTTTAGAAGACATCTGAAGGCAGCCCTGTACAGGGAAGTTTTTAATGTCTGATGTTTTATCGTGTTTTTAATATTCTGTTAAGAGCCACCCACAGTGGCCTGGGAAACCCAGTCAGATGGGTGGGATATAAATCAATCAATCACCATCATCATCATCAAGCCCTTAAGGCACCCTCATCCTAGGAGGCCCCCATCCAATCTTCAGTCTGTGGCCTTGAGAGTCAGTGTGAGCTCTGAATTAGGAGCATAGAATCATAGAATCCTAGAGTTGGAAGAGACCCCAAGGGCCATCGAGTCCAACCCCCTGCCAAGCAGGAAACACCATCAGAGCACTCCTGACATATGGCTGTCAAGCCTCTGCTTAAAGACCTCCAAAGAAGGAGACTCCACCACACTCCTTGGCAGCAAATTCCACTGTCCAACAGCTCTTACTGTCAGGAAGTTCTTCCTAATATTTAGGTGGAATCTTCTTTCTTGTAGTTTGCATCCATTGCTCCGTGTCCGCTTCTCTGGAGCAGCAGAAAACAACCTTTCTCCCTCCTCTAGGTGACATCCTTTTATATATTTGAACATGGCTATCATATCACCCCTTAACCTCCTCTTCTCCAGGCTAAACATGCCCAGCTCTCTTAGCCGTTCCTCATAAGGCATCGTTTCCAGGCCTTTGACCATTTTGGTTGCCCTCCTCTGGACATGGGGAGCAAGGGGACCCGGGTTCAAATCCCCAGCCGGCCACAGAGCTCGCTGGGTTCGACCCTGGGGCCTGTCGCCTTCTTCTCTCAGCCTACCCCACCTCACAGGTTTGTGGGGCTCCTTGCTTATGGCCCAGCCACGCAGGCCTTTACCTTGGGGCACCGCCGGTTGAGGGTGCGCTGGGAGTCCAGGTACGTGATTTTCTTCTGCTTCACTTCCACGCAGATCAGAGACCAGTGGACCTCCAGGTGGATTGGAATGAGGAGGAGCTCCTTGTTGAAGATGTCCACCTGTTTGTTTGTTTTTCCAATTTTTTTTAATCCATTTAATAATAATAATAATAATAATAATAATAATAATAATAATTTTTTTTTTATATCCTGCCCTCCCCAGCCAAAGCCGGGCTCAGAGCAGCTAACAACAGTAAAACAACACAGCATTCTAAAATCAATTTGTTATAAAATCAGTTTAAATCAAATTACACAAATAAAAAACACAGACAGAAAAGACAAACAATACGAACAAATTCTTGCCATAGCCTTATTTTTCTAAACATTGTTAAGTGGGCTTCCTCAAGTCCCACCTATCCGATTTTCATTTTACTTCATCTTTAGCAGTTTACATATATCATAACCATCTTTTTTTTTTAAACCATACTTAAAATAACTTTACATTTTGTCACTTACAAATAATACTATTTTGAAATACCCTGTCTTCTACTTCTAACCCTACAGCCTATATCCACTTCCAAAGCTATTCTGAAGTTTAAATATTTAAGATGTCCACCTGTTAAGGGGCAGGCAGACTGGGTCAGACTCAGCAGCCCCTTCCCAAAAAGTTCTCCTCTGCCTCCACCGTCCCCTGAGGACCTCAAAGGGTCATCCAGTCCAACCCTCTGCGTTCCCTCCTCTTGGACGTTCGGCAATACAGGAAGTTGCCTCGTACGACCTCAGATTTTCGGAGCCTCCAGCACAGTGCTGCCAGCACGGACTGGCAGCAGGGGCTCTCCAGAGTCCCAGACTCCGGGTCTGTCTCCGTCCTACTCAGACACACTCTCTGGGGATTGAAGATCCCTTTCTGAGAGCAGACCACTGGTTCATAGGAACACCGGAAGCTGCCTTTAACAGCATCAGACTGTTCGCCCTCCTAGCTGTCATGGATTGGTTGGACGCAGAGAAATGGTGCAGGGAACTGGCTGGGGGACCCCCAAGCGAAGAAGGCTCAGAGAAGTGTTAGAAACTGAGATATGAAAGCTAGGAGCTCAATGGCACCTTAAACCTAGGTTATGGGCACAACAACGGAACGTCTAGGTGCGCTTTTTCTTTATATCAAGAATACAAAGCTGAAAACAAATGAACGGCAGCTAAAATACAATGTTCGTTTTCAATGTTACACTTGTGGTGGGCATGCAAGAAAATTAAAGAATTCTGGAATGTAATTTATGATGGGCTAAAAAAATGGTTAAGGTATCCTTTATTAAAAACAACAACAACGGAGGCTTTTCTCCGAGGGATACTTGGCCCAGAAATACCAAAAACTGCGGGAGAAATATTCTTATATACTACTGTAGCAGCAAGAATACTTCTCTGAGTGAATTGGTAAGGAGAGAAAGTCCCAACTGGCGAAGTAAATTGATGGAATTTGCAGAGCTGGCAAAAATGACAGACAAGTTGAGAGGTAATACTGAACAAACAATTATTAAAAAATGGGATGTGTATAAAAAGTATCTAAAAGATGATTGTACTAACATAAAGTCAGTGGCAGGACTTGAATGACTTCTGTGAAATGATGGATAATAACAAGAGAGGATATTAATGATGATTAAAAAGAAAACGGTGACTAACAGTGCACCAGATAAAATAAGCAGTAAATACAGGATGGGGTGGAAGGAAGTCATTGGGAATCTAAGAAGAATGGATAGTGAACAAACTATGTGGTTTTCTTTTTATATGTTTGTTTTAATTGTGTGTGTGTGTGTGTGTGTGTGTGTGTATACATATATATATATATATATATATATATCTGCCTGTCATATCTTATTAACATCAATAAATCTGAAACAGCATTTCAGAAAAGCTTGAATCCAAAAAATAAATTTTAAAAAATTATGTTTGTTTTTCACATGGTCTAGTCCTTCCCCTGCCCACCCCCCTAATATTCTTAAGAGGGTCTCTTCCTCAGTCTTCAGAGAGTAGCTGGAAGTGGGGAGGCAGAAAAAGCTCCTCCTTTCCTTCCACTCCGCAGTTTTAATCTGAAATCTCAGGCGCAGGATTGTGCCCAGAGCTCAGAAACGTCTTGTGCTAATGAAATTCCCTGTCGCAAATCGTGCCTAGAACAACGGGAGTTTCGAACACTAGCTCAGAGCCCTGAGATTGATGGTGGGACAATGATGAGTGGTTACAGGGAGAAGCCTGGAACGAGGAGGTGTTGAGAGCTGATGAGGTAACAGGGTTTAGGGAGCAGGGAAGAGTCTGTGGCAGAGAGCAGTCCAGAATCAGAGCCAGAAGCTGAAGGAGGAGAGGAGGGAGGCCGAGGGGCAGAGAGGAGTCCGTCTGGGGAAGAGGCACGGGTGTCTCCGGCTACAACCAGCTCCCTTCCTTGCTTGTCTCCCAGGACCTGAAGAGGGAGGAGGAGAGGTTGGCTGCTCACAGACACAGTCTTCTGATCGCCTGGGGAAATGTCTACGTCTATCCCCACACAGGTGGCGCTGTGGGCTAAACCACAGAGTCTGGGACTTGCCGATCAGAAGGTCGGCGGTTCAGATCCCAGCGACGGGGTGAACTCCCGTTGCTCGGTCCCTGCTCCTGCCAACTTAGCAGTTCGAAAGCACGTCAAAGTGCAAGTAGATAAATAGGTACCGCTCCGGCGGGAAGGTAAACGGCATTTCCGTGCGCTGCTCTGGTTCGTCAGAAGCGGCTTAGTCATGCTGACCACATGACCCGGAAGCTGTACGCCGGCTCCCTTGGCCAGTAAAGCGACATGAGCGCCGCAACCCCAGAGTTGGCCACAACTGGACCTAATGGTCAGGGGTCCCTTCACCTTTATACATACACAATGGGACGCGGATGGTGCTGTAGGTTAAACCACAGAGCTCAGGGCCTGCCAATCAGAAGGTCGGCGGTTCGAATCCCTGTTGCTCGGTCCCTGCTCCTGCCAACCTAGCAGTTCGAAAGCACACCAGTGCAAGTAGATAAATAGGTCCCACTCCGGCGGGAAGGTCAACGGCGTTTCCGTGCGCTGCTCTGGTTCGCCAGAAGCGGCTTAGTCCTGCTGGCCACATGACCCGGAAGCTGTACGCCGGCTCCCTCGGCCAATAAAGCGAGATGAGCGCCGCAACCCCAGAGTCGGCCACGACTGGACCTAATGGTCAGGGGTCCCTTTACCTATCCCTCTGGAGAGGAGGGGACTGAGGCAGCTGTGGGGAAGGTGGTGGATTTCAGTCTCAGCAATTGATCCATGGGGCAAGACCTACCAGGGATGAGCGGCTGTGTTCATTAGGCCTGCCCCTCAGCCAAGTCCAAGCAGATTGTGTTCTTGCCAATAAGAAATCAGCTTCAACTTGAACAGTGTTATTTGCTGCCGGCTCGCTCCGGACACTAGCTCAGCAGCGGCTCTGCCAGATTTCAGCAGGGAGTGCCTCCCAGCCATACCTGAAGTTGATGGCAGGAGTTGAACCCAGGACCTTCGGCTTGCAAGGCCACTCTACCACCAATCTATGGCTCTTCCCTGGCTCCGTGTTTGTCAATTTTGGGTAGCCAACTCCCTTCATCTCCTGCCATCTTGGCCCACCCAGACGCTTAGAATGTGGGTGTATTTTCTATTCTCTTTTTAGTCTATTGCTGATTTTATCTTCTGAACATTTCAATGGTTGCTTTCACTCTTCTTACTGGTGATTTTATTGTTTCATTCTCTTCGGAAACCCCTCTGAGGCCTTCCACCCTGCCTAAATCGAGTGGTGTATAATTTATTTGTTGTGTTTTACTAAAAAATAAATAAATCTGCACCCCGCCTTTCGCTCTGTGCTCCTCCACCCTGCAAAGGGCACCGGGGCAGAGAATTCTTGGCAGCCACTCACGTTTTTGGTCCAGCGCTTGACTCCCTCATACCCCTTGGTTCGTAGCTTATCGTAGAAAAAACTGTTGAAGAAATGAACCTGGTGGAAGAGAAAACAAGTGGCTTTGGGTCCACGAAAGAGGCAACACGTGTGGGGCTGGAGGGGAGGGAAGAGCCAAGACAGGAAGCAAGTCAAAGCAGCGGGAAGAGGGTGGTGTCACCCCCAAGTTGGACTGACCCGCTAGATCCCAGTCATTGATAGTGCATATACAAGCCCGTGCCAGTCTGGCAATCTCGCATCCCAGAGGCAGTAGCGCCATGTAGCAGTTAGAAGGCTAGGACTTGGGAGACCAGGGTTCAAATTCCCACTCAGCCGTGAAGCTCACTGGGTAACCTTGGGCCTGTCGCTGTCTCTCACAGCCTAACTTATCCCACAGGGTTCTTGCGGGAATTAAATCGAGAACCATGTACAAGTGGTACCTGGTTATGAACTTAATTCGTTCCAGAGGTCTGTTCTTAACCTGAAACTGTTCTTAACCTGAAGCACCACTTTAATAATAATAACAATAATACTAATTTTTATTTATACCCTGCCCTCCCCAGCTAAGGCCGGGCTCAGGGCGGCTAACAAGCAATAATAAAAACAAGTTGAATGAATACAACTTAAAAACAAAATTAAAATACAACATTAAAATACTGAAACATTAAAATATTAAAATGTAGCCTCATCGCAGGAGAAAGGAAAAGAAAAGAAAGAAAGAGGAGGAGGGAATCAAATTGGCTCCAAGCCAATTTGCGGAACAACTCTGTCTTACAGGCCCTGTGGAAAGAAATCAGATCCTGCAGGGCCCTGGTCTCATGAGGCAGAGAGTTCCACCAGGCCGGAGCCAGAGTTGAAAAGGCCCTGCCTCTGGTTGAGGCTAATCTAACTTCCTTAGGGCCCGGGACCTCTAGGGTGTTGCTATTTATGGACCTTGAGGCTCTCCGTGGGGGATACCGGGAGAGGCGGTCCCGTAGGTACAGTGGTACCTCGCAAGACGAATGCCTCGCAAGACAAAAAACTCGCTAGACGAAAGGGTTTTTTGTTTTTTGAGCTGCTTCGCAAGACGATTTTCCCTATGGGCTTGCTTCGCAAGACGGAAACGTCTTGCAAGTTTGTTTCCTTGTTCTTAACACCGTTAATACAGTTGCGACTTGACTTCGAGGAGCAACTCATAGAACGCAGTGTGGTAGCCTTTTTTGAGGTTTTTAAAGACTTTGGTGATTTTTGAAGCTTTTCCAAAACTTTCCCGACACCGTGCTTCGCAAGACGAAAAAAATCGCAAGACGACAAAACTCGTGGAACGAATTAATTTCGTCTTGCGAGGCACCACTGTACGGGGGTCCTAGGCCGTGAAGGGCTTGAAAGGTCAAAACCAGCACCTTGAACCCGACCCTGTACTCCACCGGGAGCCAGTGCAGCTGGAAAAGCACTGGGTGAATATGCTCCCATGGCAGGGACCCCGTGAGGAGCCTCGCTGCAGCATTCTGCACCCGCTGGAGTTTCTGGGTCAGCTTCAAGGGCAGCCCCGCGTAGAGCGGATTACAGTAGTCAAGCCTGGAGGTGACCATCGCATAGCTAATGGGGCCTCCCGCTGCTGCCGCGCCACCGAAGCACGATTTCTGTTCTCATCCTGAAGCAAAGTCATTAATCCGAAGTAATAATTCTAGGGTAAGCGGAGTCTGTAACCTGAAGCGCATGTAACCCGAGGCACCACTGTACATCGCTTTGAGCTCCTTTGAGAAAAAGGTGGCGCAGGTAACGACTGATTTGCTTGGGGGTCACGTTCTGGAACCCCTCTCACTTCTGGGTTCAGTGCGATGTGCGTGCGAGCAGTCGTGCATGTATTGGACACGCCTAAGAAGGTTGCTGCCTGCATATAAATGTACCGCAATTTCTTGCTCTATGAGACTCACTTTTTCCCTCCTAAAAAGTAAGGGGAAATGTGTGTGCGTCTTATGGAGCGAATGCAGGCTGCGCAGCTATCCCAGAAGCCAGAACAGCAAGAGGGATTGCTGCTTTCACTGCACAGCGATCCCTCTTGTTGTTCTGGCTTCTGAGATTCAGAATATTTTTTTTCTTGTTTTCCTCCTCCAAAAACTAGGTGCGTCTTGTGGTCTGGTGCGTCTTATAGAGCGAAAAACACAGTAGATACTGTAAATAATAACAAAGAGGTTTGCAAAGGCTGCGGCAGGTTGGCGACCGTTCCACGAGCACCACCAAGTGGTGATAAGGGAGAACGACAGCCGCTCGGGTCCATCGGCTCAAACCGTCTGCAACCTTTCCAGATCTAGCACCCTTTTTTCAGCGCAGGATGGCACCTAGTATAATCCCACAGGGCCGGCCTTTTCCCCCTCGCCTCTCTTAGTCTCTCCCTGTCGTTCTCCTCCTTTCTCATGACGAAGAGGATGAGGTGGGTGCTGCTGCTAGCGTGACTCTCCAGAGAGGTCAGGTCACCCTCACCTGCTGGAAGAACGAAGCGCCCTCTCTCTTGGTCCATGCCTAACTGAGATTCAGCAGAGGGGCTACTTCAGCAAGGAACAAACTGCGATCTTCTCCTACAGGACGCAGCGACGGCCACCAGCTTGGATGGTTTCAATCGGACAAAATCACAGGGGACGAGGCTATCATTTCATCGCACTTTTTGTAATTTGGTTGTAAACTTCCCTGAGATCTAAGGATGAAGGGGGGTGTGTGTGTGTACAAATTTAATAAATAATAACCAGCCGCAATGGCTGTGTCCTGTCGGAGGCAGTAAACGCCCCTGAATAGCAGGTCCTGGGAACTGCAAGCAGGGAAAGAACCACTGTTCCTGCATGTAAGGCTTCCCTTTCAGGCATCGTCTGGTTGGCCACTGTGAGAACAGGATGCTGGACTGGACGGGCCACGGGCCTGATCCGGCGGCGCTCTTCTTATGAACACATGGCGAAGGGCCTGTTCGCTCCCTCCGCACTGGGTCTCCACACTGTCTTTAACCCCCCCATAAGTGAAAAATTATTATTATTATTATTATTATTATTATTAAAGTTATATGCCTCCCTTTGCTCAAAGATCACTGGGAGGTTAATAGCGATGCTCACCTTCTCTGGCACTGTGTCCATGACGAGGTCCCCGTACATGTTCATTACCTGCCCAGAAAAAAAGGAGGCAAATAGGTTAGGGGTCAACAGACAAGATTAATTTATGGTCAGGAAAAAGGACTATATTCACACATGTGGTGGGAATGTAATCTGGTTAAGGAATACTGGCAAAAGATTATAAAGGTAATTTCTGGACTATTTCAAATAAACATAGAAGTTAATAGGGATTTGTTATTTTCGGGAATACTGGGAAATAACAAAGTAAAGAGTGATAAGCAAGAGTTGTACAAGATTATGATTCTAGCTGGAATGGCAGTTACTGCTTTGGGATGGAAAGAAAAGGCCAAATGGAATATGGAAAAATGGAATGATTACGTTTTTGAATACGTACAATCGGAAATATTCGCACAGATAGTGGTAGAGGATAGATGGGAAAATAAATGCCAAAGAATCACAAATAAATGGGCATTTTACAGGAACTGGATAGAAAGAGGGGAAGCCAACCCTAACATACAAGCTTGAATGAACAGACTGTGTACATGGATAAAGATATGAAGAAGGAAGGCCTGACAGGGGGCGGGGAGGGCTGGAGTGGGGAGGGAGGGGAAAGGAGAAGAAAAAAAAAAAGTAAACCAGACAAGATTTCTTTAATCTCCTCCATCTCCTCCTCAAAGGAAACGGCAGGACCCCTTGCTAGGCTCCACCCTCCGGATTTATTATGCCAGATAGCATTCATACGTCCATTCACAGCGATATAAAAAAAATCTGGAATTTGATTACTGAATTCTCGATACAGGTTTTGTTTCAGCGTTGATTGCTTTTAACCTTTCCCGTAGAATGTATCTGGCCTGGTTTTGGTGTTTCTGCATTTTGTGACTCTCCTGCTTCCCCTCCTACGCTGCGTTCCTTATTTCTCCTGATCTGACCTCAAGAGAGGTGCAAGGAACAAGGCCAGCCAGGATGTTTTGCTATTTCTGTTCTTGAGTGAACATCGGGGGGCGGGGGGGGCGGGATAAGCCATCATCTCTCCTTGAAGATCTTTGACAGGGAAGTCAGAAAAGGGACTTGACTGTCAACAGCCCCTACTGAAGGCTAGGTTCCCAAGGTGTTTGGGGTTAAAGTGCGACAGTCAAGACCAAACGTTTTGGGGCACCCCAAGGAAGCTGATACCAGGGTGGAGTCAGGCATTTCACATCCCATGATCAGTGAACTTCCTTGATGTATACAGGAGAATCCTTTATGACTCTTTGTGTGTTGTGTAGGAGTACCTCTTATAATATCAACAACCTCACATATGCAGATGACACAACCTTGATGGCAGAAAGTGAGGAGGAATTAAAGAACCTTTTAATGAGGGTGAAAGAGGAGAGCGCAAAATATGGTCTGAAGCTCAACATCAAAAAAACGAAGATCATGGCCACTGGGCCCATCACCTCCTAGCAAATAGAAGGGGAAGAAATGGAGGCAGTGAGAGATTTTACTTTCTTGGGCTCCATGATCACTGCAGATGGTGACAGCAGTCACAAAATTAAAAGACGCCTGCTTCTTGGGAGAAAAGCAATGACAAACCTAGACAGCATCTTAAAAAGCAGAGACATCACCTTGCCAACAAAGGTCCGTATAGTTAAACCATGGTTTTCCCAGTAGTGATGTATGGAAGTGAGAGCTGGACCATCAAGAAGGCTGATTGCCAAAGAATGGATGCTTTTGAATTCTGGTGCTGGAGGAGACTCTTGAGAGTCCCATGGACTGCAAGAAGATCCAACCTCTCCATTCTGAAGGAAATCAGCCCTGAGTGCTCACTGGAAGGACAGATCCTGAAGCTGAGGCTCCAAGACTTTGGCCACCTCATGAGAAGAGAAGACTCCTTGGAAAAGACCCTGATGTTGGGAAAGATGGAGGGCCCAAGGAGAAGGGGACGACGGAGGATGAGATGGTGGGACAGTGTTCTTGAAGGGACCAGCATGAGTTTGACCAAACTGCGGGAGGCAGTGGAAGACAGGAGGGCCTGGCGTGCTCTGGTCCAGGGGGTCACGAAGAGTTGGACACGACTAAACGACTAAACAACAACAACAACAACACCTCATATAAGCTTTTTGGAGAGCTGTTACAAAGTGATTCAATGAAATTCAGTTAGGGGGGATTTGAGGAAGTTAAATTGGGTATCAGAAATATTATTATTTTGTTTTGTTTTGTTTTCTTTAGTATTGTAATGTACGTTTCTTTTTGTGTGTTATATATGTTTGCGATAAATGTTGAAAATTAATAAAAAAAATTGGGGGGTGGGGAATACCCTTCGTAAACTGGGGTGCCCAGAACCGGACACAGAACTTAGCTTACTGTACACTGGTCCCAGAAACCCGGTGGAGAAGATCTGAAACGTCACCCCCATTTTGCAAATGGAGAAACGAGAGAGAGGCAAGGACACCCCCCCCGATTTACAGCCACTTCCATCGCTTGGCGGTCTCTTCACGCCAGCTCTCGTAACTGCACCACCGCTGGCTGTGCCTCTCCCCCCCCCATACTTTCCTCCAGCCAGTCACCTTTCTCTCCCCCCCCCAACCCCCACCTCCCAGTTTTTTCTCCCTAGCCCCGTTCGCCTCCGCAGCCTACCTGGTCGTTGAGCCAGTTGGGCCCGTAGAGTGTCTGCAGGTCGTCCATGGTGACCACGTGGCGCTTATAAGTGACCCGGAAGGTCCGAACCATGGCATTGCCCGGCAAGCGCTGGTAGGACTGGATGAGTTGGTTGACCATGCCTTTCCTGTAGGGTCCGGAGAGACCCAGAGAGGGATGACCGTGAGAACAAAAATGCCACGGGGGACAGCTCTGAGAATTTGGGTATACAGTGGTACTTCGGGTTAAGTACTTACCGTATTTTTTGCTCTATAAGACTCACTTTTTCCCTTCTAAAAAGTAAGGGGAAATGTGTGTGCGTCTTATGGAGCGAATGCAGGCTGCGCAGCTACCCCAGAAGCCAGAACAGCAAGAGGGATTGCTGCTTTCACTGCGCAGCGATCCCTCTTGCTGTTCTGGCTTCTGAGATTCAGAATATATTTTTTCTTGTTTTCCTCCTCCAAAAACTGGGTGCGTCTTGTGGTCTGGTGCGTCTTATAGAGCGAAAAATGCGGTAATTCGTTCCGGAGGTCCGTTCTTAACCTGAAACTGTTCTTAACCTGAAGCACCACTTTAGCTAATGGGGCCTCCCGCTGCCGCCGCGCTGACGGAGCACAATTTCTGTTCTCATCCTGAAGCAAAGTTCTTAACCCCAGGTACTATTTCTGGGTTAGCGGAGTCTGTAACCTGAAGCGTATGTTACCCAAGGTACCACTGTACGGTGGTACCTTGGTTCTCAAACGTCAAAAACCCAGAAGGAAGTTTTAATTTAACCCAGAAGGAAGTTTTAATTTTTATCATCTACAATACTGCCTTATTCATTTTATAGTACAGTGCATTGATTATTGCTTTTGTTTTATGGATCAATGGTTTCGTTAGATAGTAAAATTCATGCTAAACTGCTGTTTTAGGGGCTGTTTTTAAAAGCCTGGAACGGATTGATCCATTTTGCATTTCATTCTATGGGAAAGCGCGCCAAAAACCCAGAAGGAAGTGTTCCAGTTTTCGAACGCTTTTCGGAACCCGAACATCCAATGCGGTAGTTGGCTATTGTTTCAGGGTGCCTGCACCAATCAGAAGCCGTGCCTTGGTTTTCCAACATTTCGGAAGTCAAACGGACTTCTGGAACGAATTAAGTTTGGCGCTTTTGTTTTTGCTATTTATTTTGCGTTTTGCTTTTGAGAGCTTTTCGGTTAATTTGTTTTTGTGACTGTGTGGAACCCAGTTCGGCTACTGATTGATTGATTGTGTGACTGCGGAAACGGATAAAAGCCCCCCATCCAAACAGTGACTATTATCAGCGCAGGTAAGAAAAAAATTAGTTTTAATTTTTATCATCTACAATACTGCCTTATTCATTTTATAGTACAGTGGTACCTCGGGTTAAGTACTTAATTCGTTCCGGAGGTCCGTTCTTAACCTGAAACTGTTCTTAACCTGAAGCACCACTTTAGCTAATGGGACTTCCTACTGCTGCATTGCCGGAGCACGATTTCTGTTCTCATCCTGAAGCAAAGTTCTTAACCCGAGGTACTATTTCTGGGTTAGCTGAGTCTGTAACCTGAAACGTATGTAACCTGAAGCGTATGTAACCCGAGGTACCACTGTACAGTGCATTGATTATTGCTTTTGTTTTATGGATCAATGGTCTCGTTAGATAGTAAAATTCATGCTAAACTGCTGTTTTAGGGGCTGTTTTTAAAAGCCTGGAACGGATTGATCCGTTTTGCATTACATTCTATGGGAAAGCGTGCCTTGGTTTTGGAACGCTTTGGTTTTGGAACGGACTTCCGGGACGGATTAAGTTCGAGAACCAAGGTACCACTGCACGCAATATTCTTGTGTGCGCCCTAACCCCTGGAACCAAACGCCCGTAAGATGCAGTCATGTTGTAAACAAAGCAGAGTCTTAACCGAAGCCAATCCAGGAAGTCGGGTCTGTAAAATTACTAAGCCCTGGGCATCAGGTGCCCACCTTAGCCCCAGGCGCTGAAAGAAACAACCGAGGCCTCCTGGTCGAGCCCCTCACACTCAGCTTTAAAGCCACGTGGAGCCTCGATTTCTGGAGACTGGGTGCCCTCACCCAGCTCTCTCTGCCACTCCCCTGCCTGGTGTGATGGCCTGGGAATCTGATTCAGAGGCTGAACCGGAGGAATCCCAGCCTGCACAGGAGTCCCTGCCTCCAGGGCCGGCTGAGCTGGGGCAGGGGCTTGAGTCTGAAGGGCCTGCACCTGTGCCGGATCCTCAGGAGCAGGCACCAGATGCATCCACTCTGGCTCCGGAGGTGATTTGAGGATCCACTGCCTGCAGGTGCGCCTCTCCCAGCCCTGTCAGGGGAAGGTGAAGCTGCCCCTGGGTCCAGTAACCCTCCAGCCTCTCCTGAGCTGCAGAGGCTCAGGGCAGAGAGGCGGAGGGAACTGGGTTCTCCCAGGAGGAGTGCTCGCCTCCAGGCCAGGAGAGGCGGGTCACCGGTGGGCCGGGACCGCCCCTGGCCTCAGAAGGGATAAAGGCCAGTCAGCCCAGTCCCAGGTTGCGGGAGCAACGACGTTGGAAACCTGTTTCTGCCAGCACCCAGACCTGTTTTCCCGGAGTTCCCGGCCACGCCCGGCTTCTTGCTTTGGACCCTGCTTCCCCCTTGGTGGACAGTCTCCGGACCCTCGACCCAGGACCGGACTTTGACCATGCCTCACGGTAACACCCCTGCCCCGGGACCAGCACACCTGGAGACAGAGTGGAAGGGGATGGAGTCAAATTCCCACGAGCGGGAAGAGAGGCCCTACCTCTGGGGCGTAGAGAACTCCTGCTGGAAGATGTCCTCTAGCTTCTCCACGACTTCGTCCACGCTGATGGGGATGAGGCTGCCGTACGTCTGCAGGAACTCGTCCAGGATGTCTGGCAGAAACGACAGGAGGAGAAACCTGAAGCCACGGGAGCCAAGCCACAGAGTTTATTGCGGGGGGGTATGGATGGACACTGCTTGGACGCCCTTGAGAACAGCCTGGAGGTGCAGAAGCCTGTTTTAAATATTAAAAGTAGGCTCTCTCTGGATGGGAGACAGGGCGGTGTGTGTGTGTGTGTCCCGCTATGAGGTCATATCCAGCAGAATTAAAACTGAACCTCTTGAATTCCAAATTCCGACACCATATTCTATTACAGTGGTACCTCGGGTTAAGAACTTAATTCATTCCGGAGGTCTGTTCTTAACCTGAAACTGCTCTTAACCTGAAGCACCACTTTAGCTAATGGGGCCTCCTGCGGCTACCGCACCGCCAGAGCACGATTTCTGTTCTCATCCTGAAGCAAAGTTCTTAACCCGAGGTACTATTTCTGGGTTAGCGGAGTCTGTAACCTGAAGCGTATGTAACCTGAGGTACCACTGTATTGTACATTTGTGATTCCATTACAGTGGTGCCTCGCAAGATGAAATTAATCCGTTCCGCGAGTCTCTTCCTCTTGCGGTTTTTTCGTCTTGCGAAGCACGGCTATTAGCGGCTTAGCGGCTATTAACGGCTTTAAGAAAAAGGAAACAAACTCGCAAGAACTCGCAAGACGTTTCGTCTTGCGAAGCAAGCCCATAGGGAAATTCGTCTTGCGGAACGACTCAAAAAACGGAAAACTCTTTCGTCTAGCGAGTTTTTCGTCTTGCGGGGCACCACTGTACTTTGTGTGCGTTGATCTTAAATTATCATTGCTTATTTTTCTTATCAATAAATTTACTTTATCTTTTTTTTGTAAACCACTCTGAGGGCTGTTGCTGGCGGGCTGTTTTCCTTTTTTACCATCCAGCAGTCTGTAAATTTTATGGCACAGATAAATGAAATTAATTTGTGTTTTACGTAAGAGCCCTGCTGAATCAGGCCAATGTTCCTTCAGCCCGGCATCCTGTTCTCACAGCGGCCACCCAGATGCCCCAGTGGGAAACCTGTAAGCAGGATCCGACCCCAAGAGCAAGTCTCCCCTCTTGTGTTTTCCAGCAACTGGCCTTCGGAAGCTTCACTTCCTCCAGCTGTGGAGGCAGAGACACAGCCATCCTGGCTAGGAGCCATCAATAGCTTTCTCCTCCTCCATGAATTTGTCTAGACCTCTTAGAAATCCATCCACATTGCTGGCCATCCCTGTCTCCTGGGGGAGAGGATTCCACAGTTTGACTGCGTTGCACAAAGGACTTCATTTTAGCTGTCCCGTTTTACATGCCATCGAATTAGAGCGGATGTTGTAGTCCGCACAGGGAACAAAACTACAGATCCAGCCCTGGTCCCAGGCACAGATCCTCATGAAGCTTCAGGATTATTATTATTATTATTTAACCCGAGGAGAGCAGAACCACCAATAAACAACCAAAGACAGCTGTGGGCATGAGAGGTGACCTAGGAATTAGTTGTTTAGTGGGGGATCCCTTGAAAATAATTTCGAGCCCCTTGGAGCTGTGTTTTTGCATTATGCTGAAGCTAAACACAGGGACGCGGATGGCGCTGTGGGTTAAACCACAGAGCCTAGGACTTGCCAATCAGAAGGTCGGCGGTTCGAATCCCCACAACGGGGTGAGCTCCCGTTGCTCGGTCCCTGCTCCTGCCAACCTAGCAGTTCGAAAGCACCTCAAAGTGCAAGTACCACTCCGGTGGGAAGGTGAACGGCGTTTCCGTGCGCTGCTCTGGTGAGCCAGAAGCGGCTTAGTCCTGCTGGCCACATGACCCGGAAGCTGTACGCCGGCTCCCTCGGCCAGTAAAGCGAGATGAGCTCCGCAACCCCAGAGTCGGCCGCGACTGGACCTAATGGTCAGGGGTCCCTTTACCATTTTTAAAGCTAAAAAGCCCTGAAGCTGTGATCTGTAGTGTTCCGTCAATGGAGACAGATTTGATCTGTGATTTACATGGGAAGGAGATAAGCCCCTTAGGGTGTGTGGGTGTGGGTGTAATTTTAAAAGCATCCATTTTAAAAGAAATTGTGTGTGTGTGTGTTCCCTTTTGCACTCTCCCCCTTCCCTGACTTCCTCATTTTCTGCCTCTCTTTCCATTCCTCCAGATTACTCCCCCTCTCCCCTCTTGGCCACTGAGCTTCCTGTTCTTGGGTTCTCTTCCAAGCCTTGGAAAGCACGGTCTGCTGAAGGAGGAAGTGGGAGGAAGAGAAAGAGAAAGAGGGAGCACGCTTTGGTCTTCCAGCTTCCTTCTGTAGTTCTACGTGCTTTTTTTGTGGGGGAAAGTTATTGCCTTCACCATATCATGTTAAAGCAGGCAGTGAGCTGCTGGGGAAGGAGATCAGATGGGGCCAGGGGAAGTCTTAAATACACAATCCTGTTTTTTGTATTACCGTATTTTTCGCTCTATGAGACACACTTTCCCCCTCCTAAAAAGTAAGGGGAAATGTGTGTGCGTCTTATGGAGTGAATGCAGGCGGGAGGTTCTGCTCAGCGCTCCCTTTAAAGAGCCACGTGGAGCAGGTGTGCGGCTCTTGGGGGCTTTTCCCCGAGGAGGAAGAAAGCTGCAGAGATAGCGCAGGATAGTGCGCACCCCGGAAATGATCTCTTTCAGCTTCTGCCTTCTGGAAGAAGGTAAAGGGTTACTGAGACGAGGACTAGCCGCAGGAGAAACAGTTTCTATCCAAATGCGATTTTGGTTTTAAATGCAGTGTAAGGTAGTCTCTATGGGAGTATATTGTATTTAATTATGGGGTATCAGAGATTTTAGGGGGCTAACCAGGCTGGGATAGCAGGCTTGTTGGTTTCTGAATGTCTGATGCAGATTTTCAATTTCATTGTTCTGTATGGGACAATGACGATAAAGATTATCATATCGTATCATAGCCGAGGGTAGCGAATGCTGCTAAGAGGCCCAAGGAAACTAACCAGACAGGACTCCCCCACGGCCCCCGGAGCACCCAAGGCTGTTTCCCTCCTCCAGCTGGGCCTGAAGCCAGATCGAAGCAGCCACCACCGTCCAAGACAGTCTAGGGGCAATAGCCTTGAAGATCCCATGTGGGGGGGAGAAGGAGGGGACTGTTTCATCTGCTTGCCCACCCACCCATTCCGGCCCCCTCTCCTTACTGTGGACACATGTGATGTGTTCTTCTCTCAGGGGGCTGTGCTGGGCTGCCTTCTCGCTGGGCCTCTCTAGGCTGCCTTCGGTGGCCAGGTCGCCTTCGAGCCTGATCCCGGAAGGATCCAGCGGCCTGTCTTTGTCCCGGGGCCCCTGGAAGAGCTCCTCCGCCGCGTGGCCCCCGATGCTACAGACGTTGCTGATGAGGATGGTGGCGTCCGTGACTCCGGGGAGGGAGCAGAGGTCGCCGTCGGGAGTGAGGGAGGCAAAGCCGTTGGGGAGGGCGTCCATGGGGCCTGCAGCGCGAGAGAGAGGCGGGAGGGTTTCAGAGGCCTCGCAGGGACCCGCATGCGTTAATAGCAGCACCCCCCAAAACTACTACACATTTCGGAAAGCGGTTTCTCCACCCGTCTCGTGAGATATCGGCGCCAAGCTTGGAGCGATGAGGCGGGGGAGACTGTTCTCATCAGTGTTTCGACACTGCCCCAACCCATTTTGAAACAAGACGATTCCAAACGATTTTGACACCTCTGAGGTTATCATTGACCAAGATGGTGGGCTGGAACGTTCAGGGCTGCACTGATTTTTAACCAAATATGAAAATAAACTACCGTATTTTTCGCTCTATAAGACGCACCCGACCACAAGACGCACCTAGTTTTTGGAGGAGGAAAATAAGAAAAAAATATTCTGAATCTCAGAAGCCAGAACAGCAAGAGGGATCGCTGCGCAGTGAAAGCAGCAATCCCTCTTGCTGTTCTGGCTTCTGGGATAGCTGCGCAGCCTGCATTCGCTCCATAACACACACACACATTTCCCCTTACTTTTTAGGAGGGAAAAAGTGAGTCTTATAGAGCAAAATAGGGCTGTGCACTGGTGTGGTAGGAAGAGGAGCTCTAACCTCAGGACTAGGGGTGGGAGGCCAGAAAAACCAACTACTGCCCCCATTTGTCCAGTGCTGAGGGTCTGGCGACCTCTCATCTATGGCCCCCATGGTAATGGAATCTGTTTGATTCGGGACCAGATCCTGGCCAGGTATTCTCCAGGTAAGTGCCATGCACAGCCGTAGAAACTAACAAATTACATTATCTATTTATAAATCTCAGGATTTCCCCCCCTCACCCCCAGAATTCCTGGCCAATGCTGGGCACTTTCCGATAGTCTACTACAGTGAATATTTTTGTTGTTTTGTCTTTTTGCAATGCACTGGATGCCTCTTAAGATTTGATTGGCCTCCGCCTATCCTGGGAGACAACAGAGGAGGACTTAACCAAATTTCTCATGACTGTTCCTGAGATCAAAGACCAGGTTTTTTTTATCTGTGTTTGGATGTAACTGGACGCCATTTAGATGGCAGAGAGAAATTCGAAATGGGAGTCTCCTTCTGGCAACTCCTGGAGCCAAGCTGGTGCCTAACGTCTTGCTCTGCTTTTCCTTTGGGAAAAGTGAGAGGGGGTCTTGTCGTCTGGGCAGCCCAGGACCTCCAGACACACTGCCTGGTCTTGTGCCCCGGCAGAGCGAGCTTTTCAAAGCTGCACTGATTCTAACCACCAACTCTGAAACTGCACTGATTTCTTAGATCTCTTGAGCGATACCTGGTACGGTACCTGCTGCTTAAGAATATAGGGAAGAAGTTGCCTTATTACTCAGACAACTGATCCATCTAAGCTCAATAAGATTTACTCCTAGGGAAAGCAGCTCTCAAGAGCAGTGTTTCTCAGACTTGGGTATGGACTACGACTCCCATCATCCCTGACCGCCGGTCCTGCTAGCTAGGGATGATGGGAGTTGTAGTCCAACTAGTGATGTGAGGTGAGAATATTCTCGAGAATGAGAATATTCTCTGCTAGAAAATTCTCCGGAGAATATTCTCCACAAACTATAAATTCTAATGTAAGAACCAGTTTTACAACCCACATTAAAAAAACTAGTAAATAATAAGCCAAGCTGTAATAAAAATTTAGACCTTCTATGAGCCTACTGTAATAATATTTCAAGTTTAATGCTATAATATTGTCGTTTCAAATTTAGGCCTACAACCAGTTTTAGAACTACTTAAGTATTTGCAGTAGGCCCACTGTACTATGTTTCCCGTGTAATGCTACAATTTTTGTGCTCTTTTATATAGCTGGTGCGGGGACGCGGGTGGCGCTGTGGGTAAAACCTCAGCGCCTAGGGCTTGCCGATCGCATGGTCGGCGGTTCGAATCCCCGCGGCGGGGTGAGCTCCCATCTTTCGGTCCCAGCTCCTGCCCACCTAGCAGTTCGAAAGCACCCTCAAGTGCAAGTAGATAAATAGGTACCGCTTTATAGCGGGAAGGTAAACTGCGTTTCCGTGTGCTGCGCTGGTGCTGGCTCGCCAGAGCAGCTTCGTCACGCTGGCCACGTGACCCGGAAGTGTCTCCGGACAGCGCTGGCCCCCGGCCTCTTCAGTGAGATGGGCGCACAACCCTAGAGTCGGACACGACTGGCCCGTACGGGCAGGGGTACCTTTACCTTTATATAGCCGGTACGATTGAGATTATGATGGTCATTTCAAATTTAGGCCTATCAAAGAATGTGAATTCACTGCGTTGCCCCATTGAATAGAAGTATCCGTACAGTTTTTGGTTGCCATCTGAACAAGTACGTTAACTAATTATATAATTTTCAATGCATTAAAAGGAATATTCTCCTATTTTAACTGAAAATTCTCTAATATTCTCATTAATCGAGAATATTCTGCAGAAGATTATTCTCGAGAATTTAACATCACTAAGTCCAACAACCGCGGGAGTTTGAGAAAACCTTGCAGTGCCTTGAAGGGGGCCATCTTTCCCAGTCCAAATTTGAGGTGCTACGGATTGACGCACTATTTCCTAAAAAAATGTGTGTGCGTCTTATGGAACGAATGCAGGCTGTGCAGCTATCCCAGAAGCCAGAACACCAAGAGGGATCGCTGCGCAACGCCTCTTGTTCTGATGCCTTCACAGCGATGCACGATGAGGGATGGACGGGAGCCCTTACGGAGCCCCTTCCGTCCCTCAGGATTTGAACTCGGCACCATCCAGCTCACACCCTTCACCGTGATGCTAGCTCACATCGCGCACAAACACGGTGGAAAGGCACACCAGTTTAAAAAGCCACAGGCAGTTATTTAAAACTGCGGCAGGCCAGGTCTGCCAGGCTTCCCCTACCCTCGGCAGTCATGCCTCAGTGGGAGAGAAGGGACTGGGAAGGATCTTTGCATCGGCTTTTCCCAGCTCCATCAGGCACCTCCCACCCCTGAACTGTGCCAGTAGGGCGTCTCCACCCCCATTGTTCAGCCTGGACGCTAAGGTCCACCTCCGAGGGCCTTCTGGTGGTTCCCTCCCTGCGAGAAGCAAAGCTACAGGGAACCAGGCAGAGGGCCTTCTCGGTAGTGGCGCCCGCCCTGTGGAACACCCTCCCACCAGATGTCAAAGAGAAAAATAACTACCTGACATTTAGAAGACATCTGAAGGCAGCCCTGTTCAGGGAAGTTTTCAATGTGTGACATTCTAATGTATTTTTAAACTTTGTTGGAAGCCGCCGAGAGTGGCTGGGGTACGAATAAATAATAATAATAATAATAATAATAATAATAATAATTGTTGTTGTTTGGAAATGGGAAATCAGCTTTTATTTTCCTCTTCCCTCCCTGCCCCCTTTCCTTGTGTGCTGTGTTCTTGTGTTTTTTGTTAAGAGTTTAAGCCTGAGGGTAGGGATGGTCTCGTTCTGATTGTGCGTAAACTGCTCTGGGAGCGTTTTTGGAGCGGGGTGAAGATGCGCCGAATAAACAAGAAATGCAGCACGCTACAGGTAAGCCACACAGCGCTAGCTATTAGCTAGCCACCACAAACGCCAGGAGGGGTCGAAGGGCAGCGGTTAAACGTGAGCTTTACCTCCGTCTCCATCCAGGCTGTGCTCTGCCTCTCCGCACTTTCTAGTCCTGGGGGAGGCGTGGGCCCCTCCGCCAGGGTACTTGAGCAGGCCGGTGGCTTCCTCCTCCAGCTCGGCGGCTCCGGGGTCTTTGTCGAAGCTGACCCTCTGCAGCTCCACGTACTGAGGGTAGGGGCGAGGCGTCGACCATCAGGGCCCCCAGCAGGCTGAGGCGAGAAGAGGCCGGAGGGGGCGAGGAGGACGACGACGCAGGGAAAGCCCCGTCCAAGTCGTAGTCCAGGTGGGGCTCGGGAGGGCGGGGCTTGAAGCGGGCGGGGCGGGGCCTGCGCTTGGCCCCGCCCCGGCAGTCCTCCTCCCGCAAGGGGCAGCTTTTCTTGTATAGAGGGAGGTGGTCGTCGTCGGGCTGCGAGCCGGGCGAGAGGGACAGGGACGACCGGGCCCGCTTCGCCCCCGCTGCTCCCCCTCCCCGCCGGCGCCCCCTGGAGGCCATCTTGCCCCACAGCTTCCAATGGAAAGCCAGGGAGGAGCTTTTGGCGTAGAGGAGCATGCGGAAGGCCCGCAGGGCACGCCGGCGCTGGCGGCGGAAGCAGCGCGCCCTCGGCGCCCCCAGAAGTTGCGGGCGCCTCCGGGAGCCGGTGCCCGCGGCCACGTCGAAGGGCCAGGCCCGGCCCCCGCTCCGGGGGACCTTCGCCCTGCCGGCTTTGCTCTGGGCCGGGTGGGACTGGCCCACGCCGGCCACCTCCCAGCCGGACATGCAAGGGAGGTCCCACCTCCCTTCTTCTTCCTCGCTGGCAGAGGACGAAGGGCTGAAGCCCAGGGGCTGCTTCTTCGCGTAGGCCAGGCGCCGGTTCCCCTCGAAGCAGCCGCCGTGCTTGCGCTCCGGCTCACCCCACTCCTGGGAGGGGCGGCACAGCTTGTCCCGGTGCCCCGTGGGGTCGCGGAGGCTGGGGGACGGGCCCCCCCAATACTTCTCGTCTTGAAACATTTCCTTCATGGTGCCGACGCGGCTGCGGGGGGAGAGAGAGAGATAGAGAGAAAAGAAGATCTGCGTTACGGTCATGGGAGAAGAGTAGAAGGGGCTTCCGCATTGTGAAAACCAGGCGCATGGACAGGACGCATGGAGACGGCTGATTTAGCATAGTGTGCCACAACTAGAATCAGGCACAGGCAGGAGACGTTGTACAGAACGCAGAAATACTTAGGTGGATGTAAGACCCAGTTCCTGTCTGGCCCTTGCCGCTTGCCTTCAAGCAACTTTTCCAAATAACTTTGCATCCACGAAGACCAGACAGTGCTTTAATGTATTTAAGAAAAACCACAAACACCAAAGCACGTCGGAAGCTGGACTGCTTACCTCCAAGACTACCCTTTCTGCGCACATGGTGGCTCAGTGGTTAAGGCAGTGGACTAGGCTCTGAGAGCATGGGTTCAAATCCCACCCTCGGTGTACGCTGGCAGTTATGTTTTGAGAGCCAGTGTGGTGTAGCCGTCAAGAGTGTCAAGACTAGGAGGTGGGAAGGACCAGGGTTCAAATCCCCACTCAGCCATGAAGCTCTCACAGGGTAACTTTGGGGAAGTGGCTGCCTCTCAGCCTAACCTCCCTCAAAAGGTTGTCGCAATGATCCAACAGGGATGGGGAGAACAACATATGCTACCTTGAGCTACTTAGAAAGTTTGTATATAAATGCAATAAATAATGAAACGTTCAGATAACTCAATGCCCTTTTTCTTCCCTTTCAAAGCAAGGGAGAACGTTTGCCCCTGAAGATATTTGCACAAAGGTATAGGGGACGCGGGTGGCACTGTGGGTAAAAGCCTCAGCGCCTAGGACTTGCTGATCGAAAGGTCGGCGGTTCGAATCCCCACGGCGGGGTGCGCTCCCGTCGCTCGGTCCCAGTGCCTGCCAACCTAGCAGTTCGAAAGCACCCCCGGGTGCAAGTAGATAAATAGGGACCGCTCTGGCGGGAAGGTAAACGGCGTTCCGTGTGCTGAGCTGGCTCGCCAGATGCAGCTTGTCACGCTGGCCACGTGACCCGGAAGTGTCTGCGGACAGCGCTGGCTCCCGGCCTCTAGAGTGAGATGAGCGCACAACCCTAGAGTCTGGCAAGACTGGCCCGTACGGGCAGGGGTACCTTTACCTTTTTATCTGTAAAATGTGACTCCAGTTTGAGCCACCGTTTGGGAATTTGTTCCTCCATTTTTCTTCTTCTGCATCTCAAGTGGGGGGTAGGCACACAGTTCCCAATACTGATTCCTGGCTCCTTTTAAACTAGGCTCGCATGTTTCAGGCAGATTAGGGGGAAAGCTTTCCGCACACCTGAGATGGCCTGGCATTCCCCTGCCAACTGGAGTGCTTGCTCATTATACCTGGCTGGCTTCACTCAGTGTGGGCGTTACATCCCGTGACAGAAAACTCCACTGCCAAAGAGGGAGCTGAACAAGACGGTCCCTAAACCAGGGCTGGAAGCTCAACTGAAATATCTGAACATGCAGGAGCTAGCAGCAAAATTTGGATGGGCTTCCTGGCTCAATGAACGCCAACCTCCCCCGGCCCCCCCCCCAGCCTCAGGCAAGGGAGCTACTACCTCATTATTCACTTAGTTACAGGACAGATAAAAGGACTTTTTCACGTAACACATACTTAAAACTATGGCACTTGCTCCCACCGAAGGCATTGATGGCCATAAACCTAGATGGCTTTCAAAGAGGACTGGACAAATTCATGGAGGAGGAAAGGGTTATGGATGGCTAGTAGCCATGATGCCTCTGCCCTGTCTCCTTCTGAATACCAGCTGCTGGAAACCATCGGAGGAGAGTGTGCTCTGATGTTCGGGTCCTTCTTTTGGGTTTCCCACAGGCATCTGGTTAGCAGCTATGAGGATGCTGGACTAGATATGGTCCTCTTTGGCCTGATTTAACAGGTGCTTCTTATGCCACGCAAAGGGGGTAGAAGAATGCAGGTTCAAGAGGACATCGCAGAAAACCGAGGGTTTGACACAAACCTCAGTTTGCCGAGGGAAGTGTAACTCGGGAAACTGAGGTTAGTGTCAAACCCTCAGTTTTCTGCAAAAGCCAGTACAGTGGTTACATACGCTTCAGGTTATAGACTCCGCTAACCCAGAAATAGTGCTTCAGGTTGAGAACTTTGCTTCAGGATGAGAACAGAAATTGTGCTCCGGCAGCGCAGCAGCAGCAGGAGGCCCCATTAGCTAAAGTGGTGCTTCAGGTTAAGAACAGTTTCAGATTAAGTACAGACCTCCGGAACGAATTAAGTACTTAATCCGAGGTACCACTGTATAGGAGAGTGTAACTCCATCTCTCTCTCTCTCCTATACTGGCTTTCAGTATGGGAATAAAGCTGGGAGGGCAAAGTGCAAAGGGGAGAGGAAACCAAATCGCACCGTCTTGCCGTTTACTTTGACTGACAGTGCCTTGCTTTGGCAGAGACATCCAGCCACCTGAGCGTCTTTTACCTGCAGATGCTTAAGACACAAGTTTTCTGAATGCAAAGGACCTGCTGTCCCACTGTGGACCCAACTGGAAGGTAGGAAAGTGCCCAACTCAGACCTTTGGGGGCTCCATCCAGCTCAGTACTCTGACTGGCAGCAGTGACATTCCATCGTTTCAGGCAGGAGCCTCTCCCAGCCTTACCAAGAGACGTTGCTGGGGATCAAACCTGGACCTTCACACATGCACTACCCCCAAGCCAATTCCCTTTCCCACCAGAGGTGTGCACTTTGGCTCAGCAACACACAGGCGCTCTCCAGGGTTTCCTAAGAACGGAAGAAACGCCTGCTGGATCACCTAGCCCAGCACCCTGTTCTTACAGCACCCGACCAGATGAGAAACCCGTAAGCAGGATGTAACTGCAGTGGCGCTCTTCTCCCCTACAGCAGTTTCCAGAAACAGCATTCAGACGCATTGCGGCCTCTGACTATGGAGCCGAAGCAGTAGCCCTCCTGCCATCAACATAGTCCTCTCCTCCCGGAGGCTCCTTCCTCCTCTTACCTGGAGACGCCGCTGGTGGCTGAACTCAGGACCTCCTGCATGGAACCACAGAACGGTAGACTTGGAAGGGACCCCCAGGGTCATCCAGCCCAACCCCTGCAATGCGTGCAGAGCAGGTGCTCTAACCACTGCCCCGCCATGCCCTCTTCCCCTTCACTGAGCAGCAAGCAGATATATATACAGTGGTACGTCGGGTTACATACGCTTCAGGTTACATATGCTTCAGGTTACAGACTCCGCTAACCCAGAAATAGTGCTTCAGGTTAAGAACTTTGCTTCAGGACGAGAACAGAAATCGTGCTCCGGCGGCACAGCAGCAGCAGGAGGCCCCATTAGCTAAAGTGGTGCTTCAGGTTAAGAACGGACCTCCGGAACTAATTAAGTACTTAACACAGGATACAACTGTGTGTATATATATATATATATCTATATATATAGGCAAAGGTAAAGGAACCCCTGACCATTAGGTCCAGTCATGGCCAACTCTGGGGTTGTGGTGCTCATCTCACTTTACTGGCCGAGGGAGCCGGCATACAGCTTCCGGGTCATGTGGCCAGCAGGACTAAGCCGCTTCTGGCGAACCAGAGCAGCGAATAGAAACACCGTTTACCTTCCCGCCGGAGTGGTACCTATTTATCTACTTGCACTGGTGTGCTTTCGAACTGCTAGGTGGGCAGGAGCAGGGACCGAGCAACGGGAGCTCACCCCATCGTGGGGATTCGAACCACCGACCTTCTGATCGGCAAGTCCTAGGCTCTGTGGTTTAACCCACAGCGCCACCTGCGTCCCATATATATATATATATATATATATATACACACACACACACACATATATATATATATAAATAAATTTCTTCTCCAGACACCAAACAGGCCAAGTTTCCCTGCCACCCCCACCCCTTGCACAGTCCTGCACCCTGACCTCCCTCAGCCCTTTAAGAAGGGGGCGAGTCCTGCTTGCAAGGGAATCTAGGTGCACCTCTCACGGTGCTGGAACAAGAGTCCCCCAGAATACCCCACTGGGGTGGGGGGGCGTGGCTGGGCAGCGTTGGTGGGGGGGGCCCAATACAAAGAGGGGGAGGGAGGGGCGTGGCCGGGTGGGTTAACCTGGGCGAGGTGTGGGGCGAGGGGGGCAGCCGCAGAGGACGACGGGAAAGGAGGGTTGGGGGGCGAGGAGCGGAGGGTCCCGCGGTGAGGGAGGCCGGGGAGGCCCAGGGACGGGACCCGGTCCCTCAGCGCGCGCGGGGGCGCCTCACCTTGTCCCGCAGCGGGGAGAGAGGCGCGGGACGCGGCAGAGGCCTCTCTCTCACGCCTCGCCTCCCAGCGCCGCCGCCGCCGCCGCCTCCTTCCCTCAGGAGCCGCCGCGGCTGCCGGCGCCGCCCAAAGGCGTCATCAGCCGGCGTCTGGGCGGGGCCACGCCGATGGAGGAGGGCGGGGCGGGGCAACGCCGCGTCACCTCTCCTTGCCGAGCGACGTCACGACGCAAGCCTCAGCAGCCGGGCATTTCTGCCTCAGTCTTGGCATAACGGTTACTTGACCGAGGGGTTGCGGAGTCCCAGCAGCGTCGCTTCCTTTGCGCGTCGCCGCTGCCATAAATCCTGAGGCGGCGACCCCGTCGGGCGCTGTCGGACTACGACTCCCGTCATCCCTCGCGGCTTGCCGCTGCGGCTGAGGCCGACGGGAGCTGTAGTCCATCAGCGTCTGGAGAAGGGGGGGCGGGGGGCCCTAAAAGAAAGAAAGAAATATAAATATCAATGCGACAGGAGCGTAACAATCCCACATACGGAGACAATATCTAGTATTCTAGAAGCCCGCTGCTTCCCTCAGCCCGCTGCCCTCAAGGTGCTTTTCGGACTACAACTCCCGTCAGCCCCTGGGAACCAGCACACCTGCGCTGGCAGGGGCTGTCGGGAATTGTAGTCCAGAATCCTGTGGCAACTATGAACTACATTTGTATACCGCCTTTTAGCTGAGGATCTCAGGGTTAGGGGTCGCAGCATTAAAAAGTTCGTTAGGGGTACCGGGTGGGCTGAAGTACAGTTCCCAGAATTCTTTGGGGGGAAAGACTTGGAGACCCAGGGATGGCCCCTGGCAATGTTGTTGCCAGAGAACTAGCCATTGTGTACTTGTTGTTGAGTCGTTTAGTCGTGTCCGCCTCTTCGTGACCCCCTGGACCAGAGCACGCCAGGCCCTCATGTCTTCCACTGCCTCCCGCAGTTGGGTCAAACTCATGCTGGTAGCTTCGAGAACACTGTCCCACCATCTCGTCCTCCATCGTCCCCTTCTCCTTGTGCCCTCCATCTTTCCCAACATCGGGGTCTTTTCCAGGGAGTCTTCTCTTTTCATGAGGTGGCCAAAGTCTTGGAGCCTCAGCTTCAGGATCTGTCCTTCCAGTGAGCACTCAGGGCTGATTTCCTTCCGAATGGAGAGGTTTGATCTTCTTGCAGTCCATGGGACTCTCAAGAGTCTCCTCCAGCACCATAATTCAAAAGGTTCCACTCTTCGGCGATCAGCCTTCTTGATGGTCCAGCTCTCACTTCCATACATCACGACTGGGAAAACCATAGCTTTTACTATACGGACCTTTGTTGGCAAGGTGATCGTTGCTTTTTAAGATGCTGTCTAGGCTTGTCATCGCTTTTCTCCCAAGAAGCAGGCGTTTTTTAATTTCATGGCTGCTGTCACCATCTGCAGTGATCATGGAGCCCAAGAAAGTAAAATCTCTCACTGCCTCCATTTCTTCCCCTTCTATTTGCCAGGAGATGATGGGCCCAGTGGCCATGATCTTCGTTTTTTTGATGTTGAGCTTCAGACCATATTTTGCGCTCTTCTCTTTCACCCTCATTAAAACCTCTAATTTTGAGATGTCAAAACAAAATAAACAATCAAAATACACAGGGTGGGTGCACATACATATGTTGTTTGTGTGTTTGTTTCTTCCTCTGCGCTCCCTTCCCATCGCTGAGCCCTGGAGACGGAAGTTAATTGGGAGAGGGGCAGACACCCCATAGTCTGTGCTACCATTTCCAGGTTTGCGCTGTGATGGAGCTTGCAAGCTTTAAATGAATGAGGTGGAGATAAGGTTGCTGGTGCAGGAACATCCAGACCCGGAGATATCAGGGCCCAAACCTGAGACCTAGGAGCAGCCCCCAGGGATGCCATGGGGCGACCCACCCCAGTTTTTCTTCCTTCACCCTCATCTGTGTATATGTTTACTTTGCTACCAAACTTAACTTACCAAACTTTTAGAAGACATCTAAAGGCATCCCTGTTTAGGGAAGCTTTTAATGTTTAATAGGTTATTGTATTTTAGTGGAAACCCAGCCAGATGGGTGGGGTATAAATAATAACTATTATTATTATTATTTGCACCCAGCAGAGTTATAGTGCTCTGGTCAGTGCTATGACTTCTGTCTCCTGGGCTGAGGTTGGGTATTGCTTACTAAGCCCTAGAGACGGAGGTTAATTGGGAGAGGGGAGGAGGAATCAGAGGAGAGCAGACCCCTAAAAGGAGAAAATGGTAAGCTGTGAGGGAAGCAAAAGGATACGGACTGTGATCATTACGTCAAAGGCTTAATTAAAATTATAGTGACCACTCTTCAGTGTTGAGAATAACACACCAAATGGCAGGCTGTTTTACATTCCTCATGAAAACTGTTTCATCAGGTGCCTGCACCTGACCCACAATATGAGGGTCATTATAAAGCCTGCATTTATTCGTTTCCTCTATTTATATACTGCCCGCTTTGTCCCAGGACAGCAAGCGGCAAGTGATGAAACAACAAAAACGTATTTTAAAAACAATTTCCAATACAGATTCAGACTGGGAGAGCCCGAAACTTGCTGCTTGCTTAGACTCCCATCTTCCCCTGTGTGTGAGAAACTGGCCTGTGTTTAAAACCTTACACCAAAGCAAGGGGAGGAAGGAGTGACCTTCGGCCCTGATCCGTTCCGTTTGTGGAGATGAAAGCGAAAATCCTGGAAAGGGAAGCAATTTCCTTATTGCACAATGGTCCGGGTTTGTTGCACAAGGTCTGCCAATCAACCATGATGGCAAAACCTGAATTTGCTGGCGTAGGATTGAATATAGCGACAGTCACATCCAAGTGGGTGACATGTGGCAGCTAGTCGCTTTGACTGCCTTACTTTTTCATAACTTGGGCGGAAGTCTTCGACCCTGCTGCTCCCCTCCTCTTGCTCGTAAACGGGTTTGCGATTCTATTATTTTCTGAATAATGCTGACTCCGTGAAGAGGAAGTGGTTAAGCAGGCTTAGGACAGCATCTTCTTACTTCTTGGAAGTTGTTTTTCAGGCTACTTTCGTACATTTAAAGTGCTTTGATTCCACTCTAAGAATCCTGGCAGCCGTGGTTGGTTTGTTGTTGTTTAGTCGTTTAGTCGTGTCCGCCTCTTCGTGACCCCCTGGACCAGAGCACGCCAGGCACTCCTGTCTTCCACTGCCTCCCGCAGTTTGGTCAAACTCATGCTGGTAGCTTCGAGATCACTGTCCCACCATCTTGTCCTCCGTCGTCCCCTTCTCCTTGCGCCCTCCATCTTTCCCAACATCAGGGTCTTTTCCAGGGAGTCTTCTCTTCTCATGAGGTGGCCAAAGTATTGGAGCCTCAGCTTCAGGATCTGTCCTTCCAGTGAGCACTCAGGGCTGATTTCCTTCAGAATGGAGAGGTTTGATCTTCTTGCAGTCCATGGGACTCCCGTGGTTGGTTAGGAGGCCCCTATTCCACCCACAGAGATACAATTCTCCTAGTGGTTACAAACTCAAGACCCCTCGATCTTTTTCACATGGACTGCTGCCAAGCCAAGTGCCCCCCACTGTTGTAAATAGAAAAGTTCAGCATCACCCCCCAGTGCTGGATTTACGTATAAGCTAAACAAGCTATAGCTTAGGCCCCCACTCTCTTGGCTCTCCCCAAAAGGGGAAAAAACTGGATGCACATTTCCAAAACATAAGATAAAAAACAAACAAAACCTACCTACAGCAACAGTGTTTTGTGTTGTGTGGACTCCTATGATATAAGTAATGGGCCACGCCTGCTAGCCTGCTCCGTAAAATATCACGGGTTTTCTCATTTCTATATATAGGGGGCCTACATTCTGCATGGACTGCTTGCATTTCATTCCAACAATTATTTGGATAGAATTCATATTTTGTTATGTGCAAATGGCTTTAGCTATCTATTCAGTCCATCAACTACCATAGAGCATATATTCAACCCAAAAACAGCGACAATTTGTTGTTGACAAAGGACAGCTGGACATATAAAGGGCCCCAGTGCCTTCAGTAGCTCAAGGCCTCATCAAACCTAAATCCCGCCCAGTGCCCCACCCCACGATCCTATATTTGTGCACCTGGTTATTTCTGCTTAAGTGTAGAACCTGACATTTGTCCCTATTGAAATTCATCTTGGTAGCTTTTGGCCAGTGGTATTTTTCAATAAAAGAGGTGCCGGAACTCAGCCTAAACGCCTCTCCTGTCCTCTTATAATGGTGATGGCGCCCACCTGGGGAACTGAGTTCTGGCAGGTTCTGTGATAGGAATTTTGAGGTCTTAGATATATGGTAATGTTCATAAGTGTACCAACCAAGCACATACATAGATCAGCACAGGAAGATCGACCTGGAACCATTTTTGATTCCCAAACTGAGCAAATGTTTTCTCTGCAAGGTCAAAGTGGAAAAGCCTCCCCATTGTCTTTTCCTTCACAAATCCTGTCTTAAGGGTATGTCTGTGTTTGAATAGGGTGTGAGCCTGTGACCTGGCCCAGGAACTAAGTATTTATCATTACAAAAGACTGGCCAGGCTCCCCAGGCAATCCAATCAAGTAACCTGCCAGACAGGAGATAAACAACATTCAAATTTCTGTTTAGACCGCCTTTTCGGTGATGTAGGTGTGATGTATCTGAGGGGTGGTCTTAGGTTACACCCCTTCTGTGATGTATGTATGATGTTTCTGGGGGTGGTCTTGATCTACAGGGTGGAAATTTCAAAAGTCTTTATAAAGCCTTGCATGCCATTTTTCGGGGTTGCTCCTCTCTCTCGCAGGTGAGGGGAGCACCCTGTTGCAACAGATCAATAAAGATCTGGCTCACTAGCTGCTTTGCTTCTCAGTATTCTCTGGTTGGCCTCTGTTATCTTCTCCTACCAATAGGGAACCTATGAAAGGACTCTATATGGGCTCTTGGATACCCCATAAGGGAAAAGGGCAATTTTGGTTTACAACAGTTCCCACTGGGAAAAAAGCGCTGGTTTTGTCCCGGTCCTCCAATCTGTTGAGGCCACCCTGAATCTCAATTCTCTCTTCTGCGGCGTTAGCTACCCCTCCCAGTTTGGTGTGATCTGCAAATTGAATGAGCACCTGCTAAATTCTTGCATCCAAGGAATTTTATAAAGACCTTGATACGGAAGGGGGGGGCATGTCTTCTTCTTCACCTTCTTCTTCGCTACAATATATCCATTTATTTCCAATTGCCAATGTCAAAAGGGACTAAAATCTATAAAATTCATAGAAAATCAACGTGCCAATTTGCTCAATTTCTCTAGGACTCCATGACACCTCCCCTGTCCTCCATAATCCCTCAAGCAAGGTGTCAAGACCCTAATCCTGTCAAATCGCTCTGCCAAGCCCTTCCTCCGGGCGATGCCAGGTGACAGACTATGCATACATGGACCATTGTCTTCTCAGGATGTGCTTATCTGCGCATATCTCCAGCTCTGCATATTCCCCCCTCCCTCCTCCATATGTTAATCCGGTGTAACCCAACCTCTTCCTAATGTATTCGTGATGTAATCTGTGTAACCCAACCTCTCCTTAATGTATTCATGATGTAACTGGGATGTATTTTGCACTGTATTCTGGGACATGGAGGGAAATTTCAAAAGTTCATGTCACCCCTTTCTCGCGGTTCAATCTCGCCTTGAACCTGTTGCGCAATAAACTTGGATCTTCTGCAGTTTGCTCCTGTCTCCGGCTGAGCTCATTTTCTTCCGCAGGGACCCGCGGACTTAGTCCGACGAGCTGGGTGGCAGAGTAACCCCGCACCCAGATTTTACCGTAACAACCTTGAACACGGAGCCCAGGACAGAGCCACGAACGTCTCCCAAATCCCAGAAATGAGCGGAGACTGCAAAAGGGTGCTGCGTACGTGTGTTTCTTTAAAGTGCTTTATTTGGTAACAGTTTGCATGGAAGATGCTTAAAAACGTTGGATGTCGTGCTGAGCTGAAGAACATGGATGGCCAGTGCATCTGAAACGCAGGTGCATGGCCGCAAGGATGACCAGGAAGGTGGCTTCGGTGATGATCACAATCATGGCAATGAACTGGAAGGTGGGGCTCCACCCTGGAGCGAGAGAGGGGGCAAGGAATGAGAGGCGTTGGAGACAAAAGCTGTGCCACAGCGTTAACACATCAGCTTATGAGACTAGCCGCTACTAGTAGATGGGGTTGCCAGGTGAGGCACACCCCAAAGTTCACTTGGGAAGACAGGTGAATTAATGCTAGTCTACTACTGGAAAAGGATGCGGGTGGCGCTGTGGGTTAAACCACAGAGCCTAGGACTTGCCGATCAGAAGGTCGGCGGTTCGAATCCCCGCGACGGGGTGAGCTCCCGGTCCCAGCTCCTGCCAACCTAGCAGTTCAAAAGCACGTCAAAGTGCAAGTAGATAAATAGGTACCGCTCCAGCAGGAAGGTCAACGGCTTTTCCGTGCGCTGCTCTGGTTCGCCAGAAGCGGCTTAGTCATGCTGGCCACATGACCCAGAAGCTGTATGCTGGCTCGCTCGGCCAATAAAGCGAGATGAGCGCCACAACCCCAGAGTCGGCCACGACTGGACCTAATGGTCAGGGGTACCTTTACATTTACCTTACTACAGAGGTATCTCAGGTTACAGACGCTTCAGGTTACATACGCTTCATGTTACACACTCCGCTAACCCAGAAATAGTACCTCGGGTTAAGAACTTTACTTCAGGATAAGAACAGAAATCGTGCTCCGGCAGTGCGGCGGCAGCGGGAGGCCCCATTAGCTAAAGTGGTGCTTCAGGTTAAGAACAGTTTCAGGTTAAGAACGGACCTCTGGAATGAATTAAGTTCTTAACCCAAGGTACCACTGTACTGGAAAAAAGCAAAGATCCCCAGTGTTGAAGCAATGATCCTCCAACATCAACTTCGTTGGACTGGTCATGTTGTGTGGATGCCAGATTATCGCCTTCCAAAGCAACTACTCTATTCTGAACTTAGAAATGGAAAGTGCAATGCTGGTGGTCAGCAAAAGAGGTTGAAAGACTCTCTCAAGGCAAATCTAAAAAAATGTAGTATAGACACCGACAACTGGGAAACACTGGCCTGCGAGCGCTCCAGTTGGAGAACAGCCTTTCCCAAAGGTGTCCTGGGCTTTGAAGACACTCAAACTCAGGACGCAAGGGAGAAACGCGCTCAGAGGAAGATACGCTTGGCAAATCCACACCGTGATTGACTCCCGCCTGGAAACCTATGTCCCCACTGTGGAAGGACGTGTGGGTCCAGAATTGGCCTCCACAGTCACTTACGGACTCACTGTTAAAACCGTGTTTATGGAAGACTATCTTACTTTGCTACGAGTGATGGCCGAAGAAGAAGAATATCCCAAACTCTGAGACTACAAGGTCCAGAGTCACATTTGCACAAGCCCCTTGCCTCACCTTTTCCGGGGGGCAGCTGTCGATGCAGTGGCAGTGAGTTCCCCAGTCCTGGAGGTGGTATGGTTCTCTGCCCTGGAGACGGCACCTTCGAGGGTCATGGTGACAACTTCAGCCTTCCGTTCCAGCGCTTTCCTCGCCTCTGAGGGGAGAAAGGGGCAGGTCAGTCCTAGGAGCTGCGCCATCTTTCGGCACAAAGAGAGCTCTGCGGCAGAACTCGAACCCAGATCCAGAGGGCAGGACCCGAAGCAATGGATTCGAATTGGCGTGACAGTGTCAGAATAGGATCTAGGAGAGAAGGGGGTTCAGATCCCCATTCAGACAGAAAGCTTAGCAGGCGTGAATTTGGGCCGGTCGCTCACTCTCAAGACAGAAGGAGTCTAACAAGCGTTGGAGGGAACCCCAAGGGCCATCCAGTCTGACCCCCCCTTGCATTTATGCAGGAATCTCAGCTATAAAGAATTCCTGACAGATGATCACCTGACCTCTCTTTGAACGGCTTTATATAGTTATTTCCTGCAATTTTCTACACCGCTTGATCGGGTGTACGAAATGATCACGCTTCAAAATTAACCACCACGATCTTTGAAAACATAAAACGACAGGAGGCTAAAAACAGATTTAAACTTGCACCATATATCTGTAGAAGAACCAATAGAGTCAATCCCAAAAATATTACGAGAGATTAAAAAAATAAAGGCGAGGTAGCAGGTCTTCAGATCAATAAAGATAAAACCAAACTCTTGGTTAAAAATATGAACGTGAGAGTAAAAACAAATTACAAGACGTATCTGGTTCAAAGATTGAAAGAAAGGTTGAGTATAATATTTAAAAACTTGGGAAGATAATAAAAGATTTGCAAATTTAGAATAGAATGAATCTTTCACTATTAGGTAGGGTGTTGACGATAAAGATGAATGTACAGATTGCTAAATATCTGGGTACGTCCGTTTTCAGCAGGTGTCTGAGTATAGCAATGGTGATGCCTGATGGGTAGGCAAACTAAGGCCAGATCTGGCCCAATCGCCGTCTAAATCCGGCCTGCAGACGGTCCGGGAATCAGCGTGTTTTTACATGAACAGAATGTGTCCTTTTATTTAAAATGCATCTCTGGGTTATTTGTGGGGCATAGGAATTTGTTCATTTCCCCTCCAAAAATATAGACTGGGCCCCAACATGGTCTGAGGGACAGTGGACTGGCCCCCTGCTGAAAAAGGTTTGCTGACGTCTGCAGTAGACCCTCAGGTTATGTTACTCTCGAGTAACATAAACTTTGGGTTGCAAAAGCGGCAAACCCGGAAGTATTTTTCCGGGTTTTGCCGCTTGTGTGTGCGCAGAAGCAGCGCATCTAGATACAGATTTTTTCAGGGTGCACACGGACCCCAGGAGCGAATTTAATCCGTATCCAGAGGATCCACTGTATGTCGGAAGCTGCGCAGAGTGGCTGGGACAGGGGTAGGCAACCTAAGGCCCAGGGGCTGGATCCGGCCCAATTGCCTTCTAAATCCGGCCCGCGGACGGTCCGGGAATCAGCGTGTTTTTACATGAGTAGAATGTGTGCTTTTATTTAAAATGCATCTCTGGGTTATTTGTGGGGCATAGGAATTCGTTCATCCCCCCCCCCCCAAATAGTCTGGCCCACCACATGGTCTGAGGGACGGTGGACTGGCCCACAGCTGAAAAAGTCTGCTGACCCCTGGGCTGGGCAACCCAGCTAGATGGGTGGGGTATAACTAATAAAATTATTAATACGGAATAGGACCAGAACATTTTTTTCAGTTCTGGCACCTTTCAGGTAGGCACCATTGCCATTATAAGAGAACAATGATAAGAGTACAAGGGAGACGTTCATGGTGAGTTCTGGCACCTATTTTCTAGAAAAATAGCACTGAGTAAGATGTCCCTATTTTCATCCGAGAAATGTCGGAGGATATATGCAAGTGCGGGATCAGGACTCACAAGCACTTGCAGCCTGACTCAAGGTTGTCCAGTATTACAGTCATAGTAAAGGTAAAGGGACCCCTGACCGTTAGGTCCAGCCGCAGACGACTCTGGGGTTGCGGCGCTCATCTTGCTTTACTGGCTGAGGGAGCTGGCGTCCAGCTTCTGGGTCATGTGGCCAGCATGACTGAGCCGCTTCTGGTGAACCAGAGCAGCACACGGAAATGCCGTTTACCTTCCTGCCGGAGAGGTACCTATTAATCTACTTGCACTTTGACGTGTTTTCGAACTGCTAGGTTGGCAGGAGCAGGGACCGAGCAACGGGAGCTCACCCCGTCGCGGGGATTCGAACCGCTGACCTTCTGATCGGCAAGCCCTAGGCTCTGTGGTTTAACCCACAGTGCCACCCACATCCCGTAATACCTTGGGATAAATACGCTTCAAGTATTTTCGGGTTGCTCTCCGCGGCGACCCGGAAGTAACGGAGCGCATTACTTCCGGGTTTCACCACTCGCGCAGACGGTCAAAATCATGTCACGCGGAAGTGGCGAAACGCCACCCACCCAGTCACGTCTTATGTTCTGTTCAGGATGCGAACAGGGCTCCGGAACGGATCCCTTTCGCATCCCAAGGTGCCATGTGGTAGAAAAACCTCGGCTATGGGTCCTCCAAAATGCTAGCCTGGGGCTGAAGGCTCCATTCATGGCATTCAGATGTCTTCTCCCAAATTCCCGAAATGAGCGGAGACCGCAAAAGGGTGCTGCGTACGTGTGTTTCTTTAAAGTGCTTTATTTGGTAACAGTTTGCATGGAAGATGCTTAAAAACGTTGGATGTCGTTGTGCTCTGAAACACATGGACGGCCGTAGTGTCTGGGGGACAGGCGAATGGCCAAGAGGATGAGCAGACCGGTGGCTTCTACGATCAGCACCACCATGGCACAGAACTGGAAATCGGGCATCCACCCTGGAGCGAGAGAGGGGGCAAGGAATGAGGCGCGTTGGAGACAGAAGCTGTGCCACAGCGTTAACACATCAGTTTATGAGACTAGCCGCTACTAGTAGATGGGGCTGCCAGGTGAGGCACACCCCAAAGTTCACTTGGGAAGACAGGCGAACTAATGCTACTGGGGACGCGGGTGGCGCTGTGGGTTAAACCCCAGAGCCTAGGACTTGCTGATCAAAAGGTCGGCGGTTCGAATCCCCGCGACGGGGTGAGCTTCCGTTGCTTGGTCTCTGCTCCTGCCAACCTAGCAGTTTGAAAGCATGCCAGTGCAAGTAGATGAATAGGTACCCCTCCAGCGGGAAGGTAAACGACGTTTCTGTGCGCTGCTCTGGTTCGCTAGAAGCGGCTTAGTCATGCTGGCCACATGACCCGGAAGCTGTATGCCGGCTCCCTCGGCCAATAAAGCGAGATGAGCACCGCAACCCCAGAGTCGGCCACCACTGGACCTAATGGTCAGGGGTCAACTTTACTGCTGGACAAAAGCAAAGATCCCCAATGTCAAAGCAGTGATTCTTCAACATCAACTTCGCTGGACTGGTCATGTTGTGCGGATGCCAGATTATCGTCTCTCAAAACAACTACTCTTTTCTGAACTTAGAAATGGAAAGCGTAATGCTGGTGGTCAACAAAAGAGATTTAAAGACGGTCTGAAGGCAAATCTAAAATGTAGTATAAAAACACTGGCCTGCGAGCGCTCCAGTTGGAGAACAGCCTTTACCAAAGGCGTTGAGGGCTTTGAAGACACTCGAACTCAGGACGCAAGGGAGAAACGTGCTACGAGGAAGGCACACTTGGCAAATCCACACCGTGATCAACTCCTGCCCGGAAACCAATGTCCCCACTGTGGAAGGATGTGTGAATCTAGAACTGGCCTCCACAGTCACTTACAGACTCACTGTTTAAACCTTGTTTATGGAAGACCATCTTACTCGGGTACGAGTGATTGCCAGAGAAGAAGAATATCCCAAGCTCTGAAACTACAAGGTCCAGACTCAAGCCCCTTGCCTCACCTGTTTTGGGAGCAGCTGTCGATGCAGTGGTAGTGAGTTCCCCAGTCCTGGAAGTGGTATGGTTCTCCGCCCTGGAGATGGCACCTTCGAGGGTCATGGTGACAACTTCAGCCTTCAGTTCCAGCGCTTTCCTCGCCTCTGAGGGGAGAAAGGGGCAGGTCAGTTCAAGGAGCTGTGCCATCTTTAGGCACAAAGAGAGCTCTGGGGTAGAACTCGAACCCAGATCCAGAGGTAATGAATGTTGCGTGATTGGTCTACGGCACAAGACACATCATATGGGGACTTCCGGCAAGGCAAAATGGCGGGCGCCACAGCGGTGAGCAGCTCCTGACGCCAGCCAGAGCCAACTGCGCTACCAGGCTGCCTCTGGGCTGCTGAGACGGCCGCTGCCAAGGGGAAACTGGGGACGCATGGAGTGTCAACTGGGGGAATCGCTGACCACCCAAATTGAGCTGGGAGCGAGAGCGCCCGGCCACCCAGCCAACTGCCCAGTGGCGCTCTGGGGCCAGGAAAAACCCAGAGCCGATGCAGGGAGAAGGAGGAGAGGAGGAGAAGGAAGAGAGAGAAAGAGGAAGGAGAAGAAAGAGGGGAGCCTCGAACTTCCCATGCCATTGCCATCGCAACTGTTGAGATAGGAGGGCACCGGGAGGGCAAGGACAATGGCCGAGCCCAGGCCTGATCCGAGCCTACTCCACGGTGGTTAGTGCTCCAAGAGGGCAGATCGGGGCCCAGAGGAAGGCCGCGTGACAGAGAAGACCACAGAAGGGAAGATATTACTTCTTGTTTAAGTAAAGTAAAGGTGAAGGGACCCCTGACCATTAGGTCCAGTCGTGGCCGACTCTGGGGTTGTGGCGCTCATCTCGCTTTACTGGCCGAGGGAGCCGGCGTACAGCTTCCGGGTCATGTGGCCATCAGGACTAAGACGCTTCTGGCGAACCAGAGCAGCGCACGGAAACGCCGTTTACCTTCCCGCCGGAGCGGTACCTATTTATCTACTTGCACTTGGACGTGCTTTCGAACTGCTAGGTTGGCAGGAGCAGGGACCGAGCAACGGGAGCTCACCCCGTCATTGCGGGGATTCGAACCAGCAACCTTCTGATCAGCAAGTCCTAGGCTCTGTGGTTTAACCCACAGCACCACCCACGTCCCTTCTTGTTTAAGTAACTTTTTTTTAATTACTTTTTTCTCTTATTAAAAAAAAGTGTCCCCGGATTCTTTGGAAAAAAATCTGGTAACCTTACTTTAAGCAGAGCTTGGATGGCCAGGGATACTTTGGTTCTCCAACCCACCTGAGTGTTCCTTGATAACTGGGAATCTCTCCCCTGCCTTTGGAATGTAACACCCCATCCAGTTGAAAAGAGCAGAGAATTAAGAGTTGTTCAACAGTGGAACTGGCTCCCTTGGGAGGTGATGGTCTCTCCTTCCTTGGAGGTTTTTAAGCAGAGGCTGGATAGCCATCAGTCATGGATGCTTTAGCTGAGATTCCTGCATCGCAGCGGGTTGGACTGGATGACCTCTGGGTCCCTCCCAAACCTACAATCCTACGCTCTGCAGAACTCGATCAAGTGGAGCAGAGCTTTTGCATCTTGCCACCCAGGAGATAGGCACGACCTTCTCCTGCTCTCAAACGCTACATACAAGCACGTATCAATAAAGGCAATTCTGGGGAAAGTCCGTACCTGGCCTTGCCGCTTCTATTAAGTCCGGAAACCCAGATCCCTCTTCCGCCTCACTGATGAAGATGGGGCCTCTCCTCAGGTACACTGCAAAGAATTAGAAAGCATTGGCTGCCACCCTGGATCTGCTCAAGGAAAGTTGGCCAAGTATCATGAATAATAATAATAATAATAATAATAATAATAATTTATTATTTATACCACGTCTATCTGGCTGGGTTACCCCAGCCACTCTGGGCGGCTTCCAACAGAATATTAAAATACAATAGTCTATTAAACATTAAAAGCTTCCCTAAACAGGGCTGCCTTCAGATGTCTTCTAAAAGTCAGATAGTTGTTTATTTCCTTGACATCTGAAGGGAGGGTGTTCCCACAGGGCGGGCGCCACCACCAAGAAGGCCCTGTGCCTGGTTCCCGGTAACCTCACTTCTCGCAGGGAGAGAACCGCCAGAAGGCCCTCGGAGCTGGACCTCAGTGTCCGGGCTGAATGATGGGGATGGAGATGCTCCTTCAGGTCTACTGGGCCTTTGAGGCCGTTTAGGGCTTTCAAGGTCAGCACCAACACTTTGAATTGTGCTCGGAAACGTCCTGGGAGTCAGTGGAGGTCTTCCAGGACCAGTATTATGTGGTCTCCCAGTCCCCAGTCTAGCTGCCACATTCTGGATTAGTTGTAGTTTCCGGGTCACCTTCCAAGGTAGCCCCACGTAGAGCGCATGGCAGTAGTCCAAGCGGGAGATAACCAGAGCATGCGCCACTCTGGTGAGACAGTCTGTGGGCAGGGAGGGTCTCATCCTGCGTACCAGATGGAGCTGGTGAACAGCCGCCCTGGACACAGAGCTGACCTGCGCCTCCATGGACAGCGGTGAGTCCAGAATGACTCCCAGGCTGCGCACCTGGTCCTTCAGGGGCACAGTTACCCCATTCAGGACCAGGGAGTCCCCCATATCCGCCCAGGTTTGAACAGCTAAGGTTGGTTTGTCGGGCCAGCTGTTCAAAACGGTTGTTTCCAATAACCGGTCTTTGGATATTTTGCTGCCTCCAACTGTGGAGGAACAGCATTTGGGGAGGGGTTGGGCATGGCCCGGAGCAGAATTCTGAGGGGTGCCGAGCAGAATTCTGAGGGGTGCCAAGCAGACAGCGATCCCCATCCCAACAGGCGAATCTTGGCAGGCTCCGTCCTGCCAAAAGGGGTCTGTGGACCCAGGAGACTTACCTGGCCTCACCGCCACATCCCTGGCCCCCTCGTTGCATGGCTGCCCGGCCGGCACTCGCTCACTCTGCATGCTCCCTGGATGGTGAATGGGTGACCTAGCGTAGCCCAGCCCAGTGCTCCTCTCCACAGGTTTTGGGGGGGATTCACCCTCCAAATCAGCCAGCTGGGCTCCCCACATGTGTGGGCAGGCAGCCCCGCTTGTGGGGGTCACTTTTGCGGGTTGCCACTGGCTCCATTCCCCTTTGGAGGCCCAGATTGCAGCTACAACAAAGGCGGAATTTTTCCATCTCCGCCAAGCTAAGCAGGTGGCTCCTCACCTCTCTCGCCCTGATCTCGCCACTGTGATCCACGCGACGGTCACCTCCAGACTGGATTATTGTAACTCACTCTACGTGGGGCTGCCCTTGAGACTGACCCAGAAACTCCAGCGGGTGCAGAATGCCGCGGCGTGACTCCTTACGGGGTCCTCGCCGCAGGATCACATTCACCCGGTGCTATACCAGCTGCACTGGCTCCCTGTGGAGTACAGGATCAGGTTTAAGGTGCTGGTTTTGACCTTTAAAGCCCTATACAGCCTAGGACCCTCGTACCTACGGGACCGCCTCTCCTGGTATGTCCCATAGAGGACCTTACGGTCTGCAAATAATAACACCTTGGAGGTCCCGGGCCACAGGGAGGTTAGGCTGGCCTCAACCAGAGCCAGGGCTTTTTCGGCTGTGGCCCCAATCTGGTGGAACGCTCTGTCACAAAAGACTAGGGCCCTGCGGGACTTGACATCTTTCTGCAGAGCCTGCAAGACAGAGCTGTTCCACCAGGCCTTTGGCCAAGGCACAGCCTGACCTCCTCCTATCTGCAGTCCTCACAGAACTCTAGCCCAATGGTTGCCATCAATTTGATTTGAATTAACTTTATAATGAAATGATTTCAGAATGTTGCATTATTTTATTGTTGTTAGCCGCCATGGCCCGGCTTCAGCTGGGGAGGGCGGGATATAAATAAAATTTATTATTATTATTTGTGTCCCGGGCACTGGCAAACCATGCTATGCCACTGAGCCAGAGTATAGCCCCCCAGAGCCCCGTCCGCCATGAATTTGGGAACCACTGACCTAGACTTTCCCCCCGATCCACAAAGTTTGGGCCAAGCTCTTTCATCATTCCTGTTTCTGCAACGCTGCCTCGTTCTTTTTAATGCTATTTCCGTATACCGCTTTAGGGAGTTAAATAAAACCCAGCAGTCTAGCTTCTAAATCGAATTGCTCTTCCTTCTCAAGGCAATGTGTTTTTTCACAGCTTGTGCTATCAACACCATCGCCCGGCACGTACCATCCAACGGCAGCTCAGGATTATCCTCCTGCTCTTCTGAGATGTTGGCAGACCTTCCCGGGTCTTTGAAGGGCACAGGGGTTCTCATTACATCCACCTGGGATTCCATCGCTGGCATGAACTCTGCCAAGAAACAGAAAAAGGAGATGTGTTTTGTCTAGAGCAGCGGCTCGTAAAAACTTTTAAAAAAGAGATCTGCAGGATCAGGCCAGGGGCCCAACTTTTTTTGGGGCCTTTTGCTTAAAGGTTAACAAGTCTCATCCAGCATCCTGCACTCACAGTGGCCAACCGGATGGCCCAGTTGAGCAGGACCTGAACCCAAGACCCCTCTCTCCTCCTGTGATTTTCAGAAGAATGACTGTCTCTGAACGTGGAGGCAGAGCCAAGCCACTGTGGCTAGGAGCCATCGATAGCCCTCTTGTCCATGAATTAGCCTCATCCTCTTTTAATAATAATAAATAACAACAACAACAATAATTTATGATTTATACCCTGCCCATCTGGCTGGGTTTCCACAGCCACTCTGGGCAGCTTCCAACAAAATATTAAAATACACTAATCCATCAAACATTAAAAGCTTCCCTAAAGAGGGCTGCCTTCAGATGTCTTCTAAAAGTCTGGTAGTTGTTGTTCCCGTTGACATCTGGTGGGAGGGTGTTCCACAGAGCGGGCGCCACCACCGAGAAGGCCCTATGTTTAAAGGCATCTATGTCAGAAATTGGTGCTGGAGGAGACTCTTGAGAGTCCCATGGACTGCAAGAAGATCCAACCGATCCATTTGGAAGGAAATCAGCCCTGAGTGCTCACTGGAAGGACAGATCCTGAAACTGAGGCTCCAAGACTTTGGCCACCTCCTGAGAAGAGAAGACTCCCTGGAAAAGACCCTGATGTTGGGACAGATGGAGGGCACAAGGAGCAGGGGACGACAGAGGACGAGATGGTGGGACAGTGTTCTCGAAGCCACCGGACATGAGTTTGACCAAACTGCAGGAGGCAGTGGAAGACAGGAGTGCCTGGCGTGCTCTGGTCCAGGGGGTCACAAAGAGGCGGACACCACTAAACGACTAAACAAGTCAGCAATTATCACTGCCTCCTGTGGGGGGGAGTTCCACAGTCTAGCTATGAGCAGAGGGGACTTTCATTGTCCTGAATCTGGCAACGTTCAGCCTTCATTGCATGTCCCCAAGTTCTCATGCTATGAGGGAGAGAGATAAACTTTTCTGTATCTACTTTCTCCATGCAAGGCATAATTTTATGAACTATTATTCCCAAACCTTTTTTTGGCCACCGCCCTCTTGGTTCCATAAACTCACCCGCAATTCCCCTTTCCATGCCCGATAAAAAAAGTATTATTCAGAGTAACAGTTTGCAGAAACCACTAAGACAGACAATATTGCAACACAATAAAACCCAGCAAGGAATATTGCACGGAAATTATTCTTACACACCCTTACTCACATACGGTTGAAGCAGATTCAGAGCATGAAGTATTTATGTATTACTACTTGCCACACACGGACAAACCTTCACTTAATTTGTAAGAAAATCAATAGCTGTTACCAATAATAGGCTGTCTTGTGGCAACTCAGAATCATAAATACCACAAATGTGATTGAAGGAAACAGATTTGAAAGTGGCAAGAACAGTAAAACTTTAAATACAATGCAAGGAAGGAGTTTCATTCAGGCGCTAACCTGGTCCATCAGAAAGGTTTGTAATTTAAAGGACAAAACACCAGCGTTTCCCTGCAAATTTCTCTGAAATATTCACTTTGTTTTTTGCTGACCCCTGAATGTACTGCAGTCACACAATCAATCAATCAATCAATCAATCAGTAGCTGAACTGGGTTCCACAGTCACAAACACAAAAGAGCCGCAAGAACAACGCAAAATAAATAGCAAAAACAGACAGATCTCAGCGTAACACTCACATCGGAAGCGTAACACTCAAAAAGGAGCACATAGAATCATAGAATCATAGAAGAGTTGGAAGAGACCACAAGGGCCATCGAGGTCCAACCCCTGCCAAGCAGGAAACACCATCAGAGCACTCCTGACATATGGTTGTCAAGCCTCTGCTTAAAGACCTCCAAAGAAGGAGACTCCACCACACTCCTTGGCAGCAAATTCCACTGTCGAACAGCTCTTACTGTCAGGAAGTTCTTCCTAATGTTTAGGTGGAATCTTCTTTCTTGTAGTTTGGAGCCATTGCTCCGTGTCCGCTTCTCTGGAGCAGCAGAAAACAACCTTTCTCCCTCCTCTATGTGACATCCTTTGATCCTTTGAGGCTATCATATCACCCCTTAGCCTCCTCTTCTCCAGGCTAAACATGCCCAGCTCCCTTAGCCGTTCCTCATAAGGCATCGTTTCCAGGCCTTTGACCATTTTGGTTGCCCTCCTCTGGACACGTTCCAGTTTGTCAGTGTCCTTCTTGAACTGTGGTGCCCAGAACTGGACACAGTACTCCAGGTGAGGTTTTGGCTTCCGAAAAAAGTTCGCAAACCGGAACACTTACTTCCGGGCTTGCACTGTTTGGGTTCCAAGTTGTTTGAGTACCAAGGCGTTTGAGAACCAAGGGACCACTGAACTTCAAAGTCAATGCGGTTTGCCAAAAGGACAAAGCGATAAAATTATCAGTAAAAACCATGAAAAACAAAATCGTGGCTGTTTCGGCATCTGCGGTACTTGGGGGTCGATTCCAAAAGATCCCGCCTGAGAAACGCCTTTGCCCCTGTGGAGACGGTAGGACCGAAACAGCGGCACACGTCCTCCGGTCTTGCACTCTCTAATAAAAAACCCCGAGGAACGAGATCATCACCCCACTCGTACTATCCATCCCAGGGCGCTCAGCCACTGCCACAATGGCCTTTCCTTCTATCAGATCAGAATGAGCAGATAACAGCAAAGGTTGCTAGGTTCATAGCAGGGGCGATCAGAATAAGGACTGCTGATTCAGGACTTTAAATTGTGCTTTTATAGCAAATTTCCTTTTCTGCGAATACTGTAATGTTTTATTGTTGCTATGGACATTGGCTAATGCGAATAAAGTTTTATCTCTCTCAAAACAGATGTGTGGTACTCAAAACGGAGCACGTTCGACTTCTGAAAAAAGTTCACAAACCGGAACGCTTCCTTCCGGGTTTGCAGTGTTTGGGTTCCAAGTTGTTTGAGAACCAAGGCATTTGAGAACCAAGGAAGCACTGTAATTCTAAGGAGCCTTTTGTGTCCACTCTTTGCTTCAGAGTCTGTTTTTCCCCAGTTGCCGGGATTCTCTGAAATTACCGTATTTTTTGCTCTATAAGACTCACTTTTCCCCTCCTAAAAAGTAAGGGGAAATGTGTGTGCGTCTTACGGAGCGAATGCAGGCTGCGCAGCTATCCCAGAAGCCAGAACAGCAAGAGGGATTGCTGCTTTCACTGCGCAGCGATTCCTCTTGCTGTTCTGGCTTCTGAGATTCAGAATATTTTTTTCCCTTGTTTTCCTCCTCCAAAAACTAGGCGTGTCTTGTGGTCTGGTGCATCTTATAGAGCGAAATATACGGTATGTTGCATCACAGGGCAGAGGGAGAGAGACTATGATTTTGCGGCAACTTCCTCCTCTGCGCAGAACTGCAATAAAAAGTCTTTTTGCAAATGTAAATAAACGGGGGCAAATCCCAGGGTGTGGAGCTGTCAGCTGCGATGCGCCGACTTCTCAGAGAGTGCACGCGATCTGTCACGGAGGCAGCCAGCAGCGGCCTGACCCCTTAGACCAGGGTGAGCAAGTTATCCATCCATCTGTCGGTGGGGGAAGAGATGGAAAGCAGAGGCTTGCAAAGAAAGCTAGCAATACAAGCTTGATCTGACAGTGGCACACTGGGCCCATCACCTCTTGGCAAACAGAAGGGGAAGAAATGGAGGCAGTGAGAGATTTTACTTTCTTGGGCTCCATGATCACTGCAGATGGTGACAGCAGTCACAAAATTAAAAGACGCCTGCTTCTTGGGAGAAAAGCAATGACAAACCTAGACAGCATCTTAAAAAGCAGAGACATCACCTTGCCGACAAAGGTCCGTATAGTTAAAGCTCTGGTTTTCCCAGTAGTGATGCATGGAAGTGAGAGCTGGACCATAAAGAAGGCTGATCGCCAAAGAATGGATGCTTTTGAATTCTGGTGCTGGAGGAGACTCTTGAGAGTCCCATGGACTGCAAGAAGATCAAACCCCTCCATTCTGAAGGAAATCAGCCCTGAGTGCTCACTGGAAGGACAGATCCTGAAGCTGAGGCTCCAAGACTTTGGCCACCTCCTGAGAAGAGAAGACTCCCTGGAAAAGACCCTGATGTTGGGAAAGATGAAGGGCACAAGGAGAAGGGGATGACGGAGGACGAGATGGTGGGACAGTGTTCTTGAAGCGACCAGCATGAGTTTGACCAAACTGTGGGAGGCAGTGGAAGACAGGAGTGCCAGGCGTGCTCTGGTCCAGGGGGTCACGAAGAGGCGGACACCACTAAGCGACTAAACAACAACAAAGCCAGATGCAGTCTCATTTGAAAATATAACTTTACGCGTGAGGAAAAAAATGCCGCGTTTATAATTATTATCGGTCATTTCCGCAGCGCAGACCCTGCTCAGTGCAGACATGTTGACGTTATTGGACTTGCTTAATTTAGGTTTTTTAATTTCTATGCTGGTCTGTCCTTCAAAAAAAATACAACCCTGTGCTTATATGGATTAGTTGCCCCCCAGAATCACTTCACCAGGTAACCTACAACCGTAAAGCAATAATATATTGATAGAATAATAATAATCAGTGCTTTTTTCCTAAAAAATTAAAATGTTTAGGGGTACTCTCATTTCGACTCAAAACCACCATTTTATAGTTCAAAACGGGAAGAATAATTATAGTAAATGGACAAAACTACAGTGGTACCTCGGGTTAAGTACTTAATTCGTTCTGGAGGTCTGTTCTTAACCTGAAGCACCACTTTAGCTAATGGGGCCTCCCACTGCTGCCACGCGATTTCTGTTCTCATCCTGAAGCAAAGTTCTTAACCCGAGGTACTATTTCTGGGTTAGCGGAGTCTGTAACCTGAAACATATATAACCTGAAGCGTCTGTAACCTGAGGTACCACTGTACAAAGATTCGCAAAATGTTTAGGGGTGTGCCTACCCCTGTGTACCCCAGGAAAAAGCACTGATAATAATAATAAATAATAATAATAATAATATAACTAATATAGCTAACATAAGACAGCACAGTTTGAAGAGCATGAGACACTGAATCTCAAGGTTGTGGGTTCGAGCCCCACATTGGGCAAGTTTCCTGCATTGCAGGGGGTTGGACTAGATGACCCGCAGGACCCTTCCAATTCCCTCTCCAACATACACATTTTTATGCACGATTTACCCCAGCATATGCATTTCCTTTGTACCCGCTACTCAGGCTGGAGAAGCACATTGCCATAATTCAGAGGGGTGTGGACCGCCTCTCCTGATACGCCCCGCGGAGAGGTCCACAAATGACAATACCTTGGAGGTCCCAAGTCACAAGGTGGTTAGATTGGTCTCAACTAGGGCCAGGGCCTTTTCAGCACTGGCCCCGACTTGGTGGAACGCTCTGTCCCAAGAGACTAACATTTTAATATTTTGCTGAAAGCCACCCAGAGTGGCTGGGGAAGCCCAGCCAGATAGGTGGGGTATAAATAATAAATAATAAATTATTATTATTATTATTATTATTATTATCATCACTAGGGTCCTGCGGGACTTGACATCTTTCCGCAGGGCCTGCAAGACAGAGCTGTTCCGCCTGGCCTTTGGTTTGGACTCAGTCTGACCCTTAAGTCTCCCTCCTCTTATGGTTTTGATCTATGGGCTACTTTTAAAATGAGGCTGCATCTTAAATTGAATTTAAACTGTATTTTAAATTGCCCCCCCTTATGTTTTTATTGTAGTTTTACCAGTTTTAGCTGCCTTGAGCCCGGCTGTGGCCGGGGAGGGTGGGGTATAAATTAAATTATTATTATTATTATTATTATTATTATTTCAGAGGGGGCTGCGTTTCGGCCCTTGCCTTGTTTCGGATCGTGCAAATTGAGTCCGTTCGTCTTCCAGGGTGACCTGAACTGAACCTCTCTGCCCCTCCCTAGCGATATTCGGAAACACCATTTAAATCCTGCTTCTGGCAGTACCAGCTCCGCAACACTAGGGGGAGCTCTGAGGCTTCCCAAATTACCCTTAGAGATAATTGCATCTTCTGCAATTTCCTGGGAGCAGGATGAAAATTGGAAGCCCTACTGCGCCGGATCAGATAGTGCTGGGTTTTATTTTCCCATTGCCTTCAAAATATAAAGCCTTCCCTTTCCCAGAATCACATAATTGTAGAGGTGGAAGGAATATTGAGAGTCATTGTCTGACCTTCTGCCGTACAGGAATCTTTCTACCCAGAGTGGGATTCGAACACACAACCCGAAGATTCTTGTGCTCTACGGATTGAGTTGACATATACAGTGGTACCTTGGTTCTCAAACTTAATCCGTTCCGGAAGTCCGTTCCAAAACCAAAGCATGTTCCAAAACCAAGGCGCGCTTTCCCATAGAAAGTAATAATAATAATTTTTTATTTATACCCCGCCCTTCCTGGTTCAGAAAACCGGGCTCAGGGCGGCTAACAAATTTAAAACACTTAATTGTGATACAACAACAAAAAAGGCATAAAATACAGTATAAAAGCGTGAATAACAATAAATTAAAAAATCAATTTAGGGGAAAATCCATCGAGTAAACATTAGATGATCACCAGGGCTAGCTGGCTAAATTAGTGCTACTTGGGCCAGCGAGGAGAATTAGCTGTGGGGTCTCAGAGCAGGTAATCTTCATAAAAAGGGGAGGGGGAGAGAAAAGAAGGGAAATAAAAGATCAGGCTGAATTCAGATTAAAGGCCAGGCGGAATAGCTCTGGCTTACAGGCCCTGTGGAAGGAAGTTAAAGCCTGCAGGACCCTGGTCTCATGGGACAGAGCATTCCACCAGGTCGGAGCCACCACTGAGAAGGCCCTGGCCCTGGTGGAGGATAGTCTGACTTCCTTAGGGCCTGGAACCTTTAAACTATGGTTGTTCATGGACCTTAAGGTCCTCTGCGGGGCAGACCAGGAGAGGCGGTCCTGTAAATACGAGGGCCCTAAGCCACAAAGGGCTTTAAAGGTTACCGCAAAACAGTAACGCAAAACGGATTAATCCGTTCCAGACTTTAAAAAACAACCCCTGAAACAGCCATTTAACATGAATTTTACTATCCAACGAGACCATTGATCTATAAAATGAAAGCAATAAACAATGTACTGCAGTCACACAATCTATCAGTCAGTAGCTGAACTGGGTTCCACACAGTCCCAAAAACGGAACAAAAAAAGCCGCAAAAACACAAAATAAATAGCAAAAACAGACAGACCTCAGTGTAAGACTCAAAATGCAAGTTTGGCACTCAAATCGGAAGCGTTACACTCAAAATGTAGCATGTTCGGCTTCCGAAAAACATTCGCAAACCGGAACGCTTACTTCCAGGTTTGCAGTGTGAAATATACTCAGAGTCGAGAGTGGATTTCATGCTCTTTATTCAGCTCATAGTGCAGAGGAGGAATGGAAGTTCCTCCAGAATGTCTGCTTTCTATACATTATTTACACAATGGGCCCCATGTGATTGGCTAATTCTGGGATTCTCCTGTAGGCCAATAGGGTTGCGGATTCACATCCACCTGGAGCTGGATTGGGTGGCTCCTGTGGACCAATCAGACCGCTGCATTCTGGATCCTATTGTTCTAGGACCAATCAGACCGCTGCATTCTGGATCCTATTGTTCTAGGACCAATCAGACCGCTGCATTCTGGATCCTATTGTTCTAGGACCAATCAGACCGCTGCATTCTGGATCCTATTGTTCTAGGACCAATCAGACCGCTGCATTCTGAATCCTATTGTTCTAGGACCAATCAGACCGCTGCATTCTGGATCCTATTGTTCTAGGACCAATCAGACTGCTGCATTCTGGATCCTATTCAACTTAGTGCATAACACAGTGTTTGGGTTCCAAGTTGTTTGAGAACCAAGGTACCACTGTACAAGTTATCACAGTGCCCCTCCTTCAGAGGTAGGGCAGAGAAAATATATATTTTTCTTTTTTTGCTATGGCAACAGCCTCTCTATTGAACGCCTTCCCTATAGAGACCCACCTGGGGCCCACATTGCAATCTAACTAAGCTAACCAGTTATTCCAGTTTTCTGGACATTTGTTTCTCGATTTCCCCCTGATCTAGCCACACACTGAAAGAACAAAAAGGTGGTCTGGATATTTTTGATGAGAACCGCTGCGCCATTCGGCTGGTCCAGGATCCTGCCCTTCGCATGGGGCTACCTAGGCGCCCCCAAAGGAATTCTGCAAATGGGTCCCAGTTTGCAACACCCCTCTCCTCGCTCGAAATTCCCAAAAACCCTATCCTCAGAGGGCACGCCACCTCCGATAATGGAAGCAAAACACACCCTTCACAACCAGCCATAGCTGTCAACTTACAGATTTGAAAATAAGGGACCAGCAGCCTCGAAAATAAGGGATCAGCAGCCAAAATAAGGGATTTTCAGAGCACAGGTGTGTTCAACTTCTGAGCCCCTCCGAGCCAAAGGCAGAAAGCCCAGCCAGCAGCCAAACGAAGCCTCAAGCGGTGGTTCCCACAGCGCAGCAACCCGGCAAAGGGGATGCAGCAAGGAAAACCACCGTCCCCTCTCCGCTGGGAAGCGCTGAGCAAAGGCGAGTCCCCAGGCAAGGCGGCCGATTTGATTGGCACAAGGCATGCAAGCTCCACCCCCCAGTCGTTCTCAGACTCCTTATTGGGTGAGCAACGCAGCCAAGCAACACAGTTGGAGCCTCCCTCCTCCCTGGCCGGCAGGGAGGGAGGGAGAGGAGCTGCTTCCTTTGAAACCCGGGAAACTTAAGGGACATCATCAATAAGGGACAGCAGCGGGACACGGCGCTGGGATAAGGGACTGTCCCGCCGAATAAGGGACACTTGACAGCTATGCAACGAGCAGCCATCCAAACCTCACCCTCCTTGCCTGAAAAAAAACCATCCGTCACTAATCTTGTGGCGGTGAGTTCCGGGGGTCAAATTATGTGCTGCGTCTCTTTTTGTCCTGAAAACCCGAATTCTGCTCTCTTGGATGACCCCCGTGCGTTCCAGTCTTACGAGGCAGCGACACAAACTTCCTGCTTTTTACACACCGTAATTTTTTCGTTAAAATGCTCCAAAAGCAGTTTTGGCCGAAGCAAACTCAGATTTTAAAGTCAGCAGAAAAAGGCATTTCCAGGGAAATGGCCGAGGGTGGAAACCAAACCCTAAAAAAACTACCGAGGAAGCATCTTACAGTTCACTTTCTTGGAAAGTGAGGAAGAGAAACTAGAAAAGGAGAAGATCTGTTTTGTGCATCCCATTTACCTTCCACTGCCGTCTTCTGAGCGCTGGCCGGGTCTGCGGGGAAGTTTGCAGAGTTCTCCGGGGAGTCGAAAACAAAGAAGGGTCCCAGCGTCAGGTGGGCCTGCGGTGCGGTCAACTCGGCTGTGGTCAGGAGGAAGCCACAAAGCAGGTGAGTTACGAACGTCCAATGTTCTCACAGTGGCCAACTAGACGCCCATGATGGGTAAATCTCCAGAATTCGAACTCAGGATCCCTCTCTCCCCTCCTGCAGCTTCCAGAAAATGGGATTTGGAGGCAGGGCGTAGCCATCCTGGGCTATTAGCCATCGATCGCCCTCTCACTCCTCCATGAATTTTACCCAACCCTCTTCTTCTTATTATTATTTAAAAGACATCTGAAGGCAGCTCTGTTTAGGGAAGTTTTCAAATATTATTGCTGTATTGTTTTAAACACTTGATTGGGAGCCGCCCAGAGTGGCTGGGGAAACTCAGCCAGATGGGTGGGTATAAATAAAATATTATTATTATTTTAAAGCCATACAGGTTTCTCATCCCAACTGGATTTGGGGAAGCGGCTGCTTTTAAGGAAAGAGCTGGTGTGGTTTCTTATTGTAATTATCTTTATGGATTTAATAGTTATCCTATCTGTACATCTTGTTTTCATTCTATCAACGTTTCGTTGTTTTCAAAGGACTGCTGCCTGCTATGTTTTTTTAGCTATTCTCAGTGCTTTTTTTCCTGGGGGGACGCATACCCCTAAACATTTTGTGAATCTGAATTTGGCCTCATCGAGGGGCAGTAGCAAAATGAGAGCACCCCCCTAAACATTTTTTAAGGAAAATAGCACTGGCTGTTCTTATCTGTAAGCTGCCTTGAGACCCTGTCAGGGGGAGAAAGCAAGATTTAAATAAATACGTAATAATCATAGTAACAGTAATAATATTATAGATTTGTAGCCATCATTGCATCTGGTGGCAGGGAGTTCCACAGTTTAACTTTGAGCTGCGTGAACGACGGAAACTTCCAACATTCCGCTTCATTGAATGCCCACCATTTCTCATATTGTGAAAGAAAAAAAAAACTATCCCATATATTATAAGGTCCCTTCATTCCGCCTCTCACTTGCCTTTCCTCCACCGAAAAGCCCCCAAAATTGTGTGGGGAGCTCCAGCTTCAACTACAGTGCTCCCCAAAACAGAATAATCGAACTGTAGGGTCACATGGGCCCTCCAAAGGTCCTGCGTGAGTGTCTGGAGGTGGTTGGAGGATGGATGGCAGCTAACAGGTTGAATCCTGACAAGACAGAAGTACTGTTTTGGGGGGACAGGAGGCGGGCAGGTGTGGGGGACTCCCTGGTCCTGAATGGGGCAACTGTGCCCCTGAAGGACCAGGTGCGCAGCCTGGGAGTCATTCTGGACTCACCGCTGTCCATGGAGGCACAGGTCAGTTCTGTGTCCAGGGCAGCTGTCTGTCAGCTCCTTCTGGTACGCAGGATGAGACCCTCCCTGCCCGCAGACTGTCTCGCCAGAGTGGCGCATGCTCTGGTTATCTCCCGCTTGGACTACCTTTGAAGGTGACCTGGAAACTGCAATTAATCCAGAATGCGGCAGCTAGACTGGGACTGGGAGACCATATAACACCGGTCTTGAAAGACCTCCATTGGCTCCCAGGACGTTTCCAAGCACAATTCAAAGTGTTGGTGCTGACCTTGAAAGCCCCAAACGGCCTCAAAGGCCCAGTAGACCTGAAGGAGCACCTCCACCCCCATCGTCCAGCCCGGACACTGAGGTCCAGCTCCGAGGGCCTTTTGGTGGTTCCCTCACTGCGAGAAATGAAGTTACAGGGAACCAGGCACAGGGCCTTCTTGGTGGTGGCGCCCGCCCTGTGGAACGCCCTCCCACCAGATGCCTTTTAGAAGACATCTGAAGGCAGCCCTGTTTGGGGAAGCTTTTAATATCCGATGTTTCATCATGTTTGTAATATTCTGTTGGGAGCTGCCCAGAGCGGCTGGGGAAACCCAGCCAGATGGGCAGGGTATAAACAATAATAAATAATGAATTATTATTAGTAGTATTATTATTATCCCACCCAACCCCCAGCAATGCAAAGGGGCAGGGCTGGAGGAGACGACCTCCGAGCCTTCAGAAAACCCATTCACCTGGTAGACTTCTTTGCCAGCTCATCTCCACGGCTCGGGGTCTGGGAAGGAAGCTGGGGGCCTGTTCTGCCGGCACCTGGTCGCAATTCCTCGCCTCGCAGCAGCTGCAGATGCTTCGAGGTCCCTCGACAGGAAGCCAGCTTTGGGGAGAAACAGAGAGAGCATGAAAGAAATTTGAAACACTTAATTGATGCAACAAAAAACAGCATAAAATACAGTATAAAACGTAAACAACAATAAATTCAGAATTCAAAAATCAGTTTCAAGGGGGAATCCATCCAATAAACACGAGATGATCACCAGGGCTAGCTGGCTGAATTAGTCCTATTTGGGCCAGCGAGGAGACCAGAGGAGAATTAGCTGTGGGATCCCATAAAAATCTTTATAAAAAGGGAAGGAAGGGGAATAAAAGATCAGGTTAAGTTCAAATTAAAGGCCAGGCGGAATAGCTCTGTCTTACAGGGCCTGCGGAAGGAGGTTAAATCCTGCAGGGCCCTGGTCTCCTGGGACAGAGCATTCCACCAGGTCGGAGCCACCACTGAGAAGGCCCTGGCCCTGGTGGAGGATAGTCTGGCTTCCTTAGGGCCCTCTAAACTATGGTTATTCATGGACCTTAATGTCCTCCACGGGGCAGACCAGGAGAGGTGGCCCTGTAAACAGTGAAAAGGGGGGGCGGAATGTGTTGTGCGTCTCACAAGCGACTCACGTGCTGCTGGCAACGTCGAAGGAGCAAGCCTTGTTCCGGACATCTGGCGTTTGGTCGGCTCGCGTTACCTTGAGGTGGCAAATCACGTACAGCTGGAGGGGAGAAGGCAGGAGGTTAAAAAGGGCTTTTTGGGCAAACAGCAAGGGGACAGTGGCGACAGGTGTCAACCAACTGGTTGCATCCTTATTAATTGCGTGAATATTCTGCCTTTTTCTCCAAAGAGCTCAACAAGACCGGCATGGTTCCCCCTTTCCACAACAACCCTGCGAGGCAAGCAAGGCTAACCGGCTCCCAGTGAGCTTCTTGGCTGCGTGGGAATTCGAACCCAGGTCTCCAAGGCCCTAGTTCTCAATTGATCCCCACCCAAAAACACCGTGGGATAGAGTTGGGGCTGAGAGGCAGTGACCGCCCCCCAGGGTCACATCCTGCGAGCTTCCTGGCCGAGTTGGCGCGGGGATTCGAACCCAGCTCTTTCCCGTGTCCTAGTCCGGCACTCTAACCATTGAACCACACTGCCTCTCTAATTTTAGGGCTTGCATACGGCACGGGACTCACGCAATCGCTGCCCATCAGGAGAGGCGGCAAACCCACCTTGACCCAATCGGACCTCCATTTAACCTACAACTGTTTGATTTCTTTAGTTTAGACCATTTATATAGCATTTAAGTCAGTGGATCCCCAACCCAGCTTCACTTGGTTCCATAAAACCATCCCCGATAAAAAGACACACCACTCAGAATAGCAGTCCGCATGATCCGCTAAGGGAGACAATAAAATTCAAGCCGTTCAGAATTGCAAAAGAGAATAATAATAATAATAATGATTTTTATTTATACCCCGCCGTCTCCAGCCAAGGCCGGGCTCAGAGCTGCTTACAAGCAATAAAAAAAACAAGTTGAATGATTACAACTTAAAAACAAAATTAAAATACAACATTAAAATATTAAAATGTAGCCTCATCGCAGGAGGAGAAGGAAAAGAAAAAAGAAAAAGAGGGAGGGAATCAAATTGGCTCCAAGCCAAAGGCCAGGCGGAACAACTCTGTCTTACAGGCCCTGCGGAAAGAAATCAGATCCTGCAAGGCCCTGGTCTCATGAGGCAGAGCGTTCCACCAGGCCGGGGCCAGTGTTGAAAAGGCCCTGCCTCTGGTTGAGGCTAATCTGACTTCCTTAGGGCCCGGGACCTCTAGGGTGTTGCTATTTATGGACCTTGAGGCTCTCCGTGGGGCATACCGGGAGAGGCGGTCCCGTAGGTACGAGGGTTCTAGGCCGTGAAGGGCTTTAAAGGTCAAAACCAGCACCTTGAACCTGACCCTGTACTCCACCGGGAGCCAGTGCAGCTGGAAAAGCACTGGGTGAATATGCTCCCATGGCAGAGACCCCGTGAGGAGCCTCGCTGCAGCATTCTGCACCCGCTGGAGTTTCTGGGTCAGCTTCCAGGGCAGCCCCGCGTAGAGCGAATTACAGTAGTCAAGCCTGGAGATGACTGTCGCATGGATCACTGTGGCCAGATCGGGGCGGGAAAGGTAAGGGACCAACTGCTTGATGCGGCGAAGGTGGAAAAATGTTGCCTTGGCTGTTGCTGTAACTTGCGCCTCCATGGAAAGGGAGTTGCTGAACTTTGCAGAATTGGGGAAAATGGCAGATTAAGAGAAAACGACAACAGTGGCTTTGAAAAAGAATGGGAACCATTTATATTATACTTGCAGAAACAAAGAAAGTCGATAGAGTTGATGGCAGGATTTAAATAAACATTCACATTATTAGTATTAGAAAATGTTTAGAAGATAGAGAAATATTATGGTGTTTTTGCTTTTACTTTTAGGTCTTTAGGTTTGATGTTATGTTAATAACTTTTTTCTGATGCGGAAGTTGGGGGAAGCCTAGGAGGGGAGGCAGGAAGGAATATATGGTAAATGTTAAAAATTTGAGATGTAATGAATGAAAAAGAAAAACAAATAAAAATTTTAAGAATTGCAAAAACCCAGTTGAAGCAATTTCTGACCCCCGCAGGTAACGCAGCTGCCTCCAGGGGGCAGCGCAGTCCATTTTGCAAAACCCGCCTAGGCCATCCTGTCGCCCTCCGGGCGCTTTGAACTATAACTCCCATCAGCGCCAGGTGGACGAAAGCTCTAGGGACGCTGCTCCCACAGACCCGTGGGCCCAGATAAGGCCTCCCACACCGCCAAACCCCACCTGCTCACCATATTCCTGGAGTCCCCGGCAAACCGGAAGGCGTCCACCGTGAAACGTAGCGTCTCCTCTGAGACTCTGGGTGCGAGGAACGTAGACGAGACGCCCTCTTGCCTCCCGTCCACCAGACACCTGCGCCAAAGGGAGAAATCGTCACTGACTTTAGGGACTGGAGGGTGGTGGAAAGTTGACTGTTTCCCCCAGTTTTCATTCATTTATTAAATTTATTAAATTTCAAATTTATTAAATTTGTTGACCACCCTTCGGGTGAAAAGGAAAGGAAATTCTTATGGCAGATTTCTGTTTCCAATGACTCCTCGAGGTCAGCCTTTACACTAGATTTCCCACCTACCTTTTCCCTTCCTTGGATAATAATAATAATAATAATAATAATAATAATAATAATTTATACCCCGCCCATCTGACTGAGTTTCCCCAGCCACTCTGGGCGGCTCCCAATCGAGTGTTAAAAACAATACAGCACTGAGGATACAGGATCGAGATTTTCTCGGGTTTTCCCCTGCGATTTAACTGGGTTTTTTCCTTTTCCCAGGGAAAAGCTGCTCTTTCGTGCTAAATCAGAGCAAACATCAATCCAGAATTGCTTGTTTGTGCCGATTGAGCGCTAAAGAGTGGATTTTTCCAAAGCTGCAGGACAAAAGAAGGCTGGATAAGACCTCTGTGATTCTTTAGGCGTGTTAGGAAGCGCCATTTGCCGCACACCGTGCTGATGGGAGGTTTAAGTCCTATCATCATCATCATCATCATCATCATCATCATCATAATTTATTATTTATACCCCGCCCATCTGGTTGGGCTTCCCCAGCCACTCTGGGCGGCTTCCTAAAAAATATTAAAATACTGTAATACATCAAACATTAAAAGCTTCCCTAAACAGGGCTGCCTTCAGATGTCTTCTAAAAGTCTGGTAGTTGTTCTTCTCTTTGACATCTGGTGGGAGGTAGTTCCACAGGACGGGTGCCACCACCGAGAAGGCCCTCTGCCTGGTTCCCTGTAACTTGGCTTCTCGCAGGGAGGGAACCGCCAGAAGGCCCTTGGTGCTGGACCTCAGTGTCCGGGTAGATCGATGGGGGTGGAGACGCTCCTTCAGATATATCTGGAGATGCCGTCAGGAATCAAACCCAGAACCTTCTCTGCACACAAAACAAACGCTCTATCCCCCAAGTCACAGACCTTAGCGGGGAAGAGGCTTTTCTGCCCGAGGCCTTTAGATTGCTGGGGAAGAGATTACTAGCCAGACAGAAGGCATATTCCTATGTTTCCAAGCGAGGGAGCTGGAGGGGACCCCCTGAGGTCATCCAGTCCAACCCGCTGCAAGGCAGGAATCCCAGCAGAAGCAAAGCCTCAGAGGCTACTGGAAATAACGATTTTGCTCTGAGCGCTGCTGAAACAGGGATTCCTGGCTTTGGGCAGCCCGTCTCCCCCCATTCAGGGAGCACTTTAATCATCCGTTTCCCATGTGGTCTTTGGAACTCCCTGCCACTTGATATTAGATAGGCACCTCCATTGTACAGCTTGATGCATCCTCAAATCTCTTTTCTGCTTCGGCAAGCCAGCACCCGGACAATGAAGGTGACTTGGCCTGTATTTTGTTAATGTTATGACATTTTATCTTTTTAAAAGTCCAATTTGTTTGGTTTTTTCGGCTGCTTTTAAATGAATAGGGTAATGCCGTTGTATGTGAACTGCTCAGAGAATTGTTGTTGCTGTTGCTACTGTATTGGCCCGACTATAAACTGCACCCACAAATAAGCCGCAAAAAAGAGAATAATAATAATAACAACAATAATAATAATTTATTATTTATACCCCTCCCATCTGTGCTCAGAAATGTCCTGGGTGCCAGTGTAGGTCTTTCAAGACCGGTGTTATGTGGTCTCGGCGGCCGCTCCCAGTCCCCAGTCTGGCTGCCGCATTCTGGAATAGTTGCAGTTTCCGAGTCACCTTCAAAGGCAGCCCCACATAGAGCGCACTGCAGTAGTCCAAGCGGGAGATAACCAGAGCATGCGCCACTCTGGCCAGACAGTCTGCGGGCAGGGAGGGTCTCATCCTGCGTCGCAGATGGAGCTGTCCTGGACACAGAACTGACCTGCGCCTCCATGGACAGCTGCAAGTCCAAAATGACCCCCAGGCTGCGCACCTGGTCCTTCGGGGGCACAGTTGCCCCATTCAGGACCAGGGAGTCCCCCACACCTGTCCACCCCCTATCCCCCCAAAACAGTACTTCTGTCTTGTCAGGATTTAATCTCAATCCGAATAACCGAATATAAGCGGCTCCCGAAATCGCTGCAGTTGGTAGAATTGTAACTCCGAGCCAATTTAAGCCTTTGGTCTCGCAAGCCCAGAAAAGTTACCGTACAATCGGCTAAAATCAAAAATGCTATTGAATTGTACAATTCCACAGGTACTCAAGCTCGCAAATTGGCAACGAAACAATTTTTCTGTTCTGTTTTATCGCATGTCTGTTCCAGCAGCGATATCGTAAAAAACCATTTTTCGTTAGGTCGCGAATTCAAGCCCTGCTTTAATAACTTTTCAGGGTCGGAATTTTTTGGGGGTGGGGAGAAAAAGTGCAGCTTATATCCGGGCCAATACGGTATTCAGGATAGAAGCAAGACTGGGGATAGCTCAGTTGGCAGAGCGCAAAACGGGTTGCGGGTTCGAATCCAACGATTCTGCGATAAAACTTACGAAATAAAACACTCATGCAAGGTATTTCCTTACCCGTTGGAGTCGACAATGGCATACGTAGACCCCAGAGTGGCTTCAGGGCTGGCGACGCAGCTGTCCACAAAGAGCCTTAGGGGAAGGTGGTTCTCTGCCGTGACTTGGGCTTGCAGGTGCAGGATCTCACCCAGCTGGAAGCGAGACGATAGCCGCTCGCCGCTCCAGTCATCTTGGCGGCGCGAGAGGATGAATGCGTTAATCATTTTTTATTTTTTTAATTGCAAGCGTAGCAGAAGAGAAAAGGAAATAAACTTTTCCTGCTGACAGCGTGGTTCATTGCAGTGGCCCCAAGCCTGTGGAACAGCCTGCCACTTGAGACTGGGCAGGGAGGGTCCCTTACTGAGCTGAAGGCCAGATTTAGGATTGATGAGGCCCTGAGCTACCAAAGGTAATGGGGCCCTTTATATGTCCAGCTGTCCTTTGTTCAACAACAAATTGTCGCTTTTTTGTTTATGGTAATTTATGGACCTAAAAAGAAAAGTTAAGAAATTTGACTACAATTGGAATATTGTTTTTGAATAATGATATTGGAAAACTGCTACATTTAGTTACAAGGAAATTCAGGTGGCAGGGACTAGAGGAAGTCAAGTAATATGTTTATGAGGTTGGAAGTTTAACTAATTAATTTGTATTGTTTATGTGTTTGATGTTATATCTTTTACTGCTATTTGCTTTATTTTCTTCTTTTTTGTTGTTTTATTTGTTTTACAGTATGTGTTATAGTTGTATGAAAATCAGTAAACATTACTGGAAATAATTTATGGACGTAACAGGTATCAAAAGCCATTTGCACATCGCAAAATATGTATTTTATCAAAGTGATTGTTGAAGCGAAATACAATTAAGTAGAAGTATATTAATAGTGAAGTAATTATTAAGCTCTAACTTAAAATGATTTTTAATTCATAACTTAACGCAAACATTTAAGGTTTATGATTTCTCTATTTCCTTCTGAGGAAACTGAATAGTTCAGTGAAACGAGGTTTGTACCCGGCGTCCCGTTAAGGCTTTGTTCAGTTCTAGGTTTTTCTAATTTTTTCCTTAAACTTTTTGATTTTTGTTATTTAGTTTAATTCTAGAAGATAATATTTCTAGTCGGTTACTTCTCGTTTCAGGGATTTTCATGGCATTTCATCTGTTTTGTGTAATTTCGCGGTTCCGTGACTGTCTTTTTTCTACCGGCTTCAGGAAAGAAGCCAGCATTTCATAAAACAATTTTGCTGCCCTAACAGCAGCAAAGGTTAGGAACTTCAGGAGTGAGAGAGCTAAACAAAGCTTGTGAAGAAGAAGGGACCCGAGGGTCATCCAGACCAACCCGCTGCAAGGCAGGAATATGCAGCTGTTTCATGCAGGGTTTGAACCCGCAACCTTGGCCTACGTAGCTATCCTGCGTTCAAGAGCTATTAGCCAGAACAGCCAAGCAGAAACTCCATTTTTCAGAGACAGAGAACCGCAGCGACGTCTGCGGGCTTTGGGGGTTATCTGGCTGTCCCCTGTTGGAGGCAGGGGACTTGGGCTAAGGGGAAATTTGCATCCTTTAAGCCCTGGTGCTCAGCAGCCCTGGATCCTAACCGGACGGGTTTGGGGGCTTTGAGCTAGGCCCTTCCCACACCCCGAATCCACCCTTTTCCTTACCGTTCATGAGTCGCAACGAGAACCCGAGCCTCGCTTCGGCCGACACGGTGGACCTGAAGGGAGCCCAGGTGGGCTGGATGGCCAGACTGGAGACGTTGCCTTTCCTGGAAACAGGGAGACAAGCAGCTGAGAACTCAGTCCAATGACCGTGGGGCACCTAGATGCCATCCAGACTGACCCGCCACCCTCGGCAGCGAGAAATCGCTTCCTGCTCCGCCCATTACTCCTCGCTGCTCCCAGACATCTAGGGGGTTGGCAGGGCAGGAGGTAGGGATCCTCCACAGTGGGAGGAGCCACAGCCAATAATGGGAGGAGCTAAAGGCCTCCATCCACAGACATTTAAAGAGGTATCGGATCACTTTAAACCATCCAGGCTTCCCCCCAGAGAATCCTGGGAGTTGTAGTTTGCTAAGGGGGCCAAGAGATGTTAGGAGAAAGAACCCTCTCTCTCTCAGAACTACAATTCCCAGAGTGCTTTAACTATCAAGACCTCTTGCCCAGGGTACTTTGGGAATTGTAGCCCATTGGATGTGCCTGAACTACAACTCCCATCATGCAGCAGGCTGGCAGGGGTTGATGGGAGGCAGCTCCCAACTCCCAAGAGCACCAGAATAAATCAATAATAATAATAATAATAATAATAATAATAATAATTTATACCCCGCCCATCTGGCTGGGTTTCCCCAGCCACTCTGGGCGGCTTCCAACAGAACATTAAAATACAATAACCTATTAAACATTAAAAGCTTCCCTAAACAGGGCTGCCTTCAGAGGTCTTCTAAAAGTTTGGTAGTTGTTTATTTCCTTGACATCTGATGGGAGGGAGGGCGCCACCACCGAGAAGGCCCTCTGCCTGGTTCCCTGTAACCTCACTTCTCGCAGGGAGGGAACCGCCAGAAGGCCCTCGGTGCTGGACCTCAGTGTCCGGGCAGAACGATGGGGGTGGAGACGCTCCTTCAGGTCTACTGGGCCTTTGACGCCGTTTAGGGCTTTCAAGGTCAGCACCAACACTTTGAATTGTGCTCAGAAACGTACTGGGAGCCAATGCAGATCTCTCAGGACCGGTGTTATATGGTCTCGGTGGCCACTCCCAGTCCCCAGTCTAGCTGCCGCATTCTGGATTAGTTGTAGTTTCCAGGTCACCTTCAAAGGTAGCCCCACGTAGAGCGCATTGCAGTAGTCCAAGCGGGAGATAACCAGAGCATGCACCACTCTGGCCAGACAGTCCGCGGGCAGGTAGGGTCTCATCCTGCGTACCAGATGGAACTGGTAGACAGGTGCCCTGGACACAGAACTGACCTGCGCCTCCATGGACAGCTGTGAGTCCAGAATGACTCCCAGGCTGCGCACCTGGTCCTTCAGGGGCACAGTAGCCCCATTCAGGACCAGGGAGTCCCCCACACCTGACTGCCTCCTGTCCCCCTAAAACAGTACTTCTGTCTTGTCAGGATTCAACCTCAATCTGTAATACAGTAAAACATCAGACATTAAAAGCTTCCCTAAACAGGGCTGCCTTCAGGTGTCTTCTAAAAGTCAGATAGTTGTCTATTTCCTAGACATCTGGTGGAACGGCGTTCCACAGGGCGCCACCACCGAGAAGGCCCTCTGCCTGGTTCAGGCCTTATGCACTGACGGAGGCTGAAGAAAACCGCAGTCCCAGAGAGACGAAGGACCGCAAATTGGGGGGAAGAACTTCACCTGTTGGATTTCTGCCTAACTACCGCTCTTTTAAAGGCACAGGAGCAATTCTCCAGACCCTCTCCTACCCATGAAGCGGCGCTATGTTAGCTACGATTCTGGCATTGATGGGGGTTGGTTTGGATGACCCCCGGAGGGCCCACTGCACCCTACAATTCTGCGAGACTACGAACAAAAGCCAAGGGCTTGCTAAGGTGAAAAAAGCCTTGCTTCACCCCACACCCAACTGGCAGCCTTCCTCACCTGGGGTAGTGGCACTCAATGGGTATCTCTGCAGCGTTGGTCCTGGTTATTATGGGATTGGTGGAAGGCGACGGCTTGTGGAAGAGACTCGTTCGGTAGATCAGCATTTCCGGAGTCATCTAGAAGCAAAGGGAGATGGGTCAACTTTCAGAGCTCTTAATAGGACTTGCTGCAGGATCCGTCTATTGAGAACTTTTAGCTTTCCCGGAAACAAGGTGGCTCCTTGCCGGCCGTTTTTGGCAAAGGATGAGGCCCCACTGAAAGGCCCCCATCCCCTGGGACAGTTTCCCGGCCAGCCCCACTGAAAGCTACGGAGCTCAGGAAGAAAATAAATAAATAAATAAATAAATAAATAAATAAATAATAATAATTTATTCCCCAGGCACTCTGGGCGGCTTCCAACAGAATACTAAAATATAATATAATAATAATAATAATAATAATAATAATAATAATAATAATAATAAAGTCTGAGATGAAAGCACCTTGCTTGTTTACCTGGCCGAACCCCCAAAATCTCCTAGAACCGAGGAAGACAGAGACCGACAATCCCTACGTCTCCCAAACAGTTCCCTTATGGGTTACTCGGAGAGTAAAAGGCAGCCCGCCCTGTCCAGGGCCTCTGCCAGATCTCAGAACGGCACGCCGGTCCCTCCCAGCAGCTTCCAGTGAAGAGTTAATAATAATAATAATAATAATAATAATAATAATAATATTTATACCCCGCCCTCCCCAGCCAAGACCCAGCTCAGGTCGGCCAACACCAGATATAAAACAATGGCTTGAAGCACAACTTAAAAAACAAGATTAAAATACAACATTAAAATGCAGAGTTGACCTGCGGAACTCCCTGCCACAGGAGGCGGCGGCGGCGACCGCCGACTGAGATGGCGAGGACTGGGCAAATTTGTGGAGAAGCAGAGGGCTGTTTGTGGCCACCATGGGCCTGATCCTGCAGGCTCTTTTTTTGGAACAGGGAGGAGAAGGCTATTTGTGGAGGATTTAGGCTATCGTCGAGTGGCTATCCCACAGCTGGAGGCAGCAATGAAAGAGGCCGGGAAACGCAGGAGGGGAGCGTTGGGTCTTGGGTTCGAATTCTGCCTGCGGGTTTCCCAGTAAGGGCGTCTGGTTGGCCGCTGTGGGGACAGGGTGCTGGGCTAGCTGGTGGCCTGATCCTGCGAGGCCTCTTCTTGCATTCTTATAAACCAGGGGTCAGCAAACTTTTTCAGCAGGGGGCCGGTCCACTGTCCCTCAGACCTTGTGGGGGGCCGGACTGTATTTTGGGGGGGAGGAAATGAAGGAATTCCTATGCCCCACAAATAACCCAGAGATGCAATTTTAAATAAAAGCACACATTCTACTCATGTAAAAACACACTGATTCCTGGACCATCTGTGGACCGGATTTAGAAAGCGATTGGGCCGGATCCGGCCCCCAGGCCTTAGTTTGCCTACCCATGCTCTAAACAAGGCGTGTCCAAAGTCTGTTTTGGGGGCCTAATCCAGCCTGCCAGTCGGTTTAATCCAGCCCCTGTGGCAATTAATTTCCCAGGGTAAAATCCTAAAGAAACCTCAACTACTTCAATCTTTAAAAAACGCCAACTTTGGGGTAAAATCCTGAATAAAGCCCAACAACTTCAGTCCCCCCAAAAGTCAACAACTTTGGTCGGCCCCCACAGCCCTTCGCTTCATCAAACCTGGCCCTCTTTGAAAAAAAGTTTGGACACTACTGCGTATAAACCTTGAGGCAAAAAAACCCCAAAGTTGACAAACACACAATTCCTTGTTTTTAGTAAACTCACATCAATGCAGGAATCACTGAGTTTAGCCCTTGCAAGATAGATTACGCTAGTAGGATTGCAAGAAGTTTTGTGAGGTCACAATGTAATTAAGTTTGATTTAATAAGGTGAAGATTTATGTTTGTTTGTTTAAAAAACATTTTGGAAAATTAATTAATTTTTTTTTTTTTAAAAAGAGAAGTTTTGTGAGGTGGAGTATTCGAAATATTACAAGAAAGACTAGGAAAAGAGTTATTAATTAAAGATAATTGATTTGATAAGGTGAAGATTTATGTTTAAAAACTTTTTGGAAAATTTAAAAATTTCAAAAAGAAAGAAAGAAAGAAGTTTTGTGAGGTGGAGTATTTGAAATATTACAAGAAAGACTAGGAAAAGAGTTATTAATTAAGGATAATTGATTTGATAAGGTGAAGATTTATGTTTGTTTAAAAAACTTTTTGGAAAATTAATTTTAAAAATTCAACAAAACAAGAAGTTTTGTGAGGTTTAGTATTTGAAATATTACAAGACAGACTAGGAAAAGAGTCATTAATTAAGGATAATTCAATGCAATATAAAAATTAAACCTCCTGCTCCTTTCCATGGGGCTGGCCTGGGAGACCCACCCTCCCAGGGGGTTCTGCCCCATGTTGCTCAACACCCCTAGCACCCCATTTTTAAGCTGCACCCCTCAAGTAGGACCCACCCCCGCCAAAAAACCCCACAAAACCCCCCAAACCTTCCATCCCAGAGAACCCAAAGCACCTGCACTGCGATGCCACACTGATGGAGACCCGCCTCAAAGAGGACCACGTCGGTGGTGCCAGCGGCGAAGGACACCGGGGCGCAAGAGGCTGCCCCCAAAGTCAGGTCTGCGGGGGCCACCAGCCTGCCCACCCCAAAGAGGTCTCGGTGCACGGCCACCACCAAGCGGTGGGGCTCGCAGGAAACCTTCACAGCGTGGGGCGTGGCAGGAGCAGCCCTGGAAAAAACAGAGGAAGGGGGCAAGGGGACATGATGCGAGGTCTCTGGCTCCCACCAGGCAGGACTCTGGGGGTCAGCAAAAGCCCCCTGGCAGAAAAAAATGCCCCACAGCAAAAACAGCCCCATCGCAAACTCCTGCCCCATAGCTGCAACCCCGGCGCGCAATGAAGCTGAGAGCCAAATGATCATCCTTTTATACTGCTTTCTGACTCTGCCCACAGTCACATGACTCAAGCAATTAAGACCCGCCTTGTCCTGCCCTCATTTCCCCGGGGTCCTAAAACCCACAGGGTTTTTTATAATAATAATAATTTATTATTTATACCCCACCCACCTGGTTGGGTTTCCCCAGCCACTCTGGGCGGCTTCCAACACAATATTAAAATACAGTAATGCATCAAACATTAAAAGCTTTCCTGAACATGGCTGCCTTCAGATGTCTTCTAAAAGTTTGGTAGTTGTTGTTCTATTTGACATCTGGTGGGAGGGCGTTCCACAGGGCGGGGGCCACCACCAAGAAGGCCCTCTGCCTGGTTCCCTGTAACCTCGCAGGGAGTGAACTGCCAGAAGGCCCTCGGAGCTGGAGCTCAGTGTCCGGGCTGGACAATGGGGGTGGAGATGCTCCTTCAGGTCTACTGGGCCTTTGAGGCCATTTAGGGCTTTCAAGGTCAACACCAACACTTTGAATTGTAAAAGTGTTGGTGAAACGTACTGGGAGCCAATGTAGGTCTTTCAGGACAAGTGTTATGTGGTCCCAGTGGCCGCTCCCAGTCACCAGTCTGGCTGCCGCATTCTGAATTAATTGCAGTTTCTGGGTCACCTTCAAAGGTAGCCCCACGCAGAGTGCGTTGCAGTAGTCCAAGCAGGATATAACTAGAGCATGCGCCACTCTGGCCAGTCTGCGGGCAGATAGGGTCTCATCCTGCGCACCAGATGTAGCTGGTAGACAGCTGCCCTGGACACAGAATTGACCTGCGCCTCCATGGACAGCGGTGAGTCCAAAATGACTCCCAGGCTGCGCACCTGGTCCTTCAGGGGCACAGTTATCTCATTCAGGACCAGGAAGTCCCCCACACCTGTCCGCCTCCTGTACTTCTGCCTTGTCAGGATTCAACCTCAATCCATTAGCCGCCATCCATCCTCCAACCGCCTCCAGACACTCGCACAGAACCTCACAACGCCCCACGGTCTGTGCTCAGGACACAGCTGTCAACTTTTCCCTTTTCTTGCGAGGAATCCTATTCGGAATAAGGGAATTTCCCTTTAAAAAAAGGGAAGCGTTGACAGTTATGGCTCAGAATCACCTGCCGCTTTGGGAAATGATTTCATTTTTTTAAAAAAAGTTTTATTAGTTGAATATAAGAACAACATATAATCCAATACAAGCAATCAAATACAGTTTCCCCCTACCCGCCCCCCCCCCAAAAACAGCCTCAACTACGTCCAGGTAATTACGTTAGTAATATAATCAAATAAAAAATTATTTCTATAGCTGCTGGTTTAAAAAATATCATTGCACGTGTAAATTTATTTCATTTACAGCCTATCTTCCTTGCGTCATGTCGTAGAATTGTAGAGTTTGAAGGGATTCCAAGGCTTATTATTATTATTATTATTAATAATTTTTATTAGGTTTTACACACCTTCCATCTTGTCCATCTCCTCCTTAAATTGTGCTGCCCAGAACTGGACAGAGAACTAGGTCATTTGGAGTATTTGAAAGACAGGTTCCCCAAAATATGCTCTAATCCACTGAAGAAGCCCCCTCCCATTAATTATTATTATTATTATTATTATTATTATTATTATTATTAGGTTTTACCATTTAGTATTCAACACATTTGACACATAAAAGAAGAAAAATAAAAAAGTGAAATTCCCCCCGTGACTTCCCTCAACTTCCCCTTCTGGTTTTTTAAATATATGCTGTTTCTGCTTCATTTTATCTTACTTTCTGTAATTTATTTTTTACTAAATGCTTTTATATACTTACCATTTTTATACCAAATTTTCTTTCAAATCACATCTTACACTTAATCAATTTCCATTTCGTTGTTTTGTAACCGCGCACTTATTTTCTTAATTGTAAGCGTTTATTCAAATCCAACTAGTGAGTCCAATTTTTTACAATGTTTCTGTAAATACAACCTAGTCTTTTTTAAACTCTCTATTGCCATTGTCTCTTAAGTCTTCCTGTAAGTTTTGCCAGTTCTGCATATTCCATAAGTTTGTCTTGCCATTCTTCCTTCGTCAGTATCTTATCGCCCTTCCATTTTGGGGCTAGTAATAATATCCTGAAAAACTTCTTCCGCTCATTTGGCAATTCCTATCCTATAATTATATATGGTCTGAAAAAATACGCAAAATATCTGCAAAATATGGTCTGAAGCTCAACATCAAAAAAACGAAGATCATGGCCACTGGTCCCATCAGCTCCTGGCAAATAGAAGGGGAAGAAATGGAGGCAGTGAGAGATTTTACTTTCTTGGGCTGCATGATCACTGCAGATGGTGACAGCAGCCACGAAATTAAAAGACGCCTGCTCCTTGGGAGAAAGGCAATGGCAAACCTAGACAGCATCTTAAAAAGCAGAGACATCACCTTGCCAACAAAGGTCCGTATAGTTAAAGCCATGGTTTTCCCAGTAGTGATGTACGGAAGTGAGAGCTGGACCATAAAGAAGGCTGATCGCCGAAGAATGGATGCTTTTGAATTCTGGTGCTGGAGGAGACTCTTGAGAGTCCCGTGGACTGCAAGAAGATCAAACCTCTCCATTCTGAAGGAAATCAGCCCTGAGTGCTCACTGGAAGGACAGATCCTGAAGCTGAGGCTCCAAGACTTTGGCCACCTCATGAGAAGAGAAGACTCCCTGGAAAAGACCCTGATGTTGGGAAAGATGGAGGGCACAAGGAGAAGGGGACGACGGAGGACGAGATGGTGGGACAGTGTTCTTGAAGCGACCAGCATGAGTTTGACCAAACTGCGGGAGGCAGTGGAAGACAGGAGTGCCTGGCGTGCTCTGGTCCAGGGGGTCACGTAGCGTCGGACACGACTAAACGACTCAACAACAATAACATCCTATAATTCCTAGCAAAAAAAGCTATGCAGGAATTTTTTGCCCAACGCGGACCTTGAACTCGTGACCTTGAGATTAAGAATCTCCTACTCTACCAGTCAAGCTATTCTCACTTTTTTCACCTCTCAGCTAAAAAAATCCTTGATTTAACCCCTATGTGGTGATCAGGATTAAGGCCCTCTGCAAAGAATTATTTCTTGGGGATTTTTCTAAACCTTATGCAAAGAATATTTTTGCATTTTTAAAGTGGCCATGGTTCTGGTACTGGTTCTATTCAGGTTTACTCTGTCCAACTGAGTTGAAATGGATATCCAGCCCAATTCTAGGGAGGTTTACTCAGAAGTAAGCTCAAAGAGCTCGCAGCCAGTAACACCAGTAAAGTTAGCCAAAATGTACAAATGTTGGAAATTTAAAGAAAAAGAAGGTACCTTTTACCACATGTGGTAGGATTGTAAGAAAGTAAAATGCTTCTGGGAAATGATATATATATAATGAGATGAAGGAAATGTTGAAATATACATTTGCAGGGAAAAACCAGAAGCATTTTTACTTGGCATTGTAGGTACGGAAATGAATAGACAAAAATCTGTTTTTATATGCAATTATAGCAGCGAGAGTATTACTAGCCCAATGATTGAAACAGGAAGAATTACCAACAAAGGAGGAATGGAAAATAAAACTGATGGGAGTATGCAGAACTGGCAAAGTTGACTGGAAGAATTCAAAACCAGAAAGACCAGGACTACCTTAAGGATTGGAAGAAATATATGACTTATTCGAAAGACAATAGCATTAATGTAACATTGTTTGTAGGTTTACAAGAAGTTTTGTAAGGGGGGCTATATAAATTATTGTAAAACGATTTCGGAAGGAAATAATTCAGAAATGAAGTTGAAAAGCATTAATTATAATAACAAAACGCAAGATGAGATAGCAAATTTGAAAATCGCTAGACGGGATTGATGGAAGCCTCAGGCTATAATAGCCAAGATGAAGATGATGTGAAGTTTTGTTTGGAAAACATGCAAAAATTAATAAAAATGATTTATTTAAAAAAGAGAGAGAGATCGCAGTCCGTGTCTCGTTTGCAAGGAGATGAAATGCTATCGGCTATTTATCGCACGTTATTCATTCGTATTTCTTTGCAGAGAGAGTTATAAAATATTGCACTGGTTAATAGTCACCCCAAACTTGCCAAGATACTATCAGTTTCCTTTATTGCAGGAAGTCTGACACATTTTGGGGGTCATGGAAATAGAAGGAATCCACTTTAACTTTGCAGCCTGAAATGGCCAGGAGGTGATTGATTGGGGGGAAAACCTACCTGGAGTTTCACCTGGGAGTCACAGGTGTAGCCAATGGTCAGGATAATTAGATTTTTCAGGTCCTTCCAGAGAGGTAAACTTTTAAACAGATCCTTCAGATCATCTATTCCACAAGTTTTATACACTGGTGGATGGTAATAAATTTTTTTAAAAATCAAAGCGGTTTGCCATTGAATCAATTAATTGATGGAAATTACAAATTTGTGGAATATACGGCTTTGCAAGTCAAGTACTGATTAACCAGTGAAACACAATGGCAATATATCCAATTGAAACATATTTGCAAAGGCGGTTTGGCCCTGACGCTATAGCAGCATGGGAAACACCCTTGCTGCTACAAGATTTAATTTTGGAAGTCAATCAATGAAATTTTATTATTGAGATATTGGTAGAATAAATTTGGAAGAAATTCTTCCAATTTTTCTTCTTCTTCCAATTTTTCTTCTTATTTTTTCTTTTTCTTTTATTTTTTTATATATGTGTGCTTATCTGAAAAATATATCTGTGTATGTATTTGTATGTATTTTGCTTGTATTTTGTAATAATTATGTTAAATGAAATTTAATAATAATAATAATAAAGGTTAAATCTCTGCAACAAAAACAAAAAACTCTATAAAACCATACTCAACAGGAAGAAATACGATTTAGAATATGATAGACAAAAATGGAGTGAAGAGTTAGGGGTACAGATAACAAAATGATATATGGGAGTCGAGTATAAAATCAACAGAAATAGCCTCTATGGATCTAAGGCTAAGACTTACTCAACAGAAAATAATATTCAGAGTCCACTGGACTCCAGCAAAACTATACCAGAAGAAAATAACAAATGCAGACAACTGCTGGAGATGTGGGAGTAAAAATGTGAACTTAGTACATATGATGATTAACTGCCCGATGATAAGATCATTTTGGTGCGAGGTGAAGATACATATAGCAAGAGTAATAAAAAGAAATTGTTATTTAGAGGAATTGAATTTAATTCTAGATTATATACCGGAAACATGGGAGATTTCAAGGGGTCAAAAATAAAATAAAATGGATGTACCGTGTTATATTAGAAGCAAAAAAAAATATTGTTTTGATGAATTGGAAGAGCCGCAAAAAGATTCCATTGAGCACATGGATTGATAATATGGACAGATTAGCTACATACTAAAGCCCGGGGGCCGAATCTGGCCCAATCTCCTTCTCAATCCAGCCCACAGACGGTCCGGGAATCAGCGTGTTTTTACATGAGTAGAATGTGTGCTTTTATTTTAAATGCATCTCTGGGTTATTTGTGGGGCATAGGAATTTTTTCACACACACCCCTCCCCGCAAATATAGTCATTATTACTTTTCAAAGTATCAGACCCACAAGGTCTGCGGGACAGTGGACCGGCCCCCTGCCGAGAAAGTTTGCTGACCCCTGGTCTAGATTGTTATAAGAATTTAAGGTCTCAAATATATAAATTAAATGTTTACACATGTACAAGGCAAACACATACATAAGTATATATACCACGTGTCTGAAATACTACAGGAGAGCAATCCTGAAACCACTTTGACACTCCCAAATTGACCTCAAATATTTCTCTGCAAGGAGGGAGGAAATGGGGAAAACCTTCCCATTTTCTTTTCGCTTGCAAATCCTGTCTTAAGGGTGCATTTGTGTAGGAATAGGGTGAGCCTGTGACCTGGACTCAGGAACTAAAGTATTAACCATCACAAAAGAATGGCCAGGCTGCCCAGGTAAAGCAATCAGGGACCATTATCAGGTATCCTGGCAGACAGGATTTCTGCTGTAGACCGCCTCCTTCTGTGATGTATGCATGATGTTTTGGGCTACAGGGTGGGCAATTTCAGGAGTCTATATAAAGGCTTGCACACCATTATTCTGGGTCCCTCCTGCCTCCTGCGTGGGGGGAGTGAGGACCCTGTTGCAACAGTTTAGTAAAGATCAGGCTTACTAGCTGCTTTGCTTCTCAGTATTCTCTGGTTGGTCTCTGTTATTTTCTCCTGCCAATGTTGTTGTTGTTTAGTCGTTTAGTCGTGTCCGCCTCTTCGTGGCCCCCTGGACCAGAGCACGCCAGGCACTCCTGTCTTCCACTGCCTCCCGCAGTTTGGTCAAACTCATGCTGGTAGCTTCCAGAACACTGTCCCACCATCTCGTCCTCCGTCGTCCCCTTCTCCTTGTGCCCTCCATCTTTCCCAACATCAGGGTCTTTTCCAGGGAGTCTTCTCTTCTCATGAGGTGGCCAAAGTCTTGGAGCCTCAGCTTCAGGATCTGTCCTTCCAGTGAGCACTCAGGGCTGATTTCCTTCAGAATGGATCAGTTTGATCTTCTTGCAGTCCATGGGACTCTCCAGAGTCTCCTCCAGCACCAGAATTCAAAAGCATCCTTCCAATAGGGAACCCAATTAAGGACTCTTCACAGGCTCTTGGATACCACATAAGGGAAAAGGAACAGATTTTGTTTACATCAAGATAAAATTATTATTATCATCAATCATCATCATCATCATCATCATCATCATCATTATCTTCAGGGCACATAAGACAGTTCTTCTTCACACAGCTTTTTTGGGGTAGGTGATGAGAAAGATGAGAAAGGGAGGGCACCTGATGGATGGATCCTTTCACGGGCGCCATCTTCACAGACTGGGCCAGGAGTCTTTAAACTCCCCAATGGGAACTGAGAAGCATACTAAGAGATTAGATTTTCAGACAGGACTGATGGACAGGAATGAATAAGATGTAAAAGTATGTTTATGGTCTGTGTGTGTGGTTTGGGAGCTGCACGGCCAGGGAAAAAACAATGCTATCCAGGGTTGCAAAGACTGCGGAGAGAATAATTGGGTGCACTCTTCCCACCTTGGATCAAATCTATGCTTCCAGGCAGTGCCATAAGAAAGCTGCAGAGATAGCGCAGGATAGTGCGCACCCCGGAAATGATCTCTTTCAGCTTCTGCCTTCTGGAAGAAGACTAGGATTAGCCGCCTGAGAAACAGTTTCTACGCAAATGCAATTCTGGTTCTAAACGCAGCATAAGGAGTCTCTATAGTATAGTGTATTTTTTAGTATAGTGTATTTTATAGTATAGTATAGTATAGTATAGTATAGTATAGTATAGTATAGTATAGTGTATTTTAAAATGGGATTTCAGAGTTTTTAGGGGTTTTTGAATGTTTTATGTAGTTTTTAAATTTCATTAAAAATGAAACGATGACAATAAAGATATCGTATATATTAATTACTGTTGAAAATGATATGTTAAAAAACTAATATATATATATATATATAAGACCTTAATTTTTTATCACACTATCCATCTGGAAATCCCCCCCCCCAAAAAATTTTTTTCTGTGGGGTGGTAGCATTTTGGAAGGGCTGCTTTTGGGAGAAATAATATTGACAGAGCAAAGGTCATTGAGGCGCGCGGTGATCGGGAACAGGATGAGGACCTGAAATTTTTGACTTGGAAAAAAGGAGGGAGGAGGTAAAAGGGGGGCAGCCAGGCCACCCCGGACGCCCCAAAACCTCGCCCCCATCCCTCTTCCGTGGCAGCTCGCCCCGTGGCAATCCTGCCCCCTGGGCACCCGCTAACCTGCCTGCTTTTGGCCAGGGAAGGTTGGCGCCGATTGGGAAATTGGTTCGTTGGCAGGTCGTGACTTTGTCCAAACTTTGCCCAGGTCGACGTTTTTGACGGGGAGAAGAGGGAGCTGCGATTTTCGGAAGCGCCCGTGACCCCCCAACTAGAGAGCGACCCGGTGGAAGGACCTGCTCCATGCCAGGGAGATGACAACTTCTTTTGACAAGCAAGTAGACATCTGAAGGCAGCCCTGTTTAGGGAAGCTTTTAAGGTTTAATAGGTTGCATTTTAATGTTTTAATGTTGTGTTTTAATCTTGTTTTTTAAGGTATATTTCAATCAATTGTTTTTATATTTGATGTTAGCCGCCCTGAGCCTGGTCTTGGCTGGGGAGGTAATATGAAGATTACCCACTCTGGGATCCCACAGCTAATTCTCCCCTGGTCTCCTCGCTGGCCCAAATAGGACTAATTTAGTCAGCTAGCCCTGGTGATCATCTAATGTTTACTGGATGGATTTCCCCCCTAAATTGATTTTTGAATTCTGAATTTATTGTTATTCACGTTTCATATTGTATTTTATGCTGTTTTTTCGTTGCATCAATTGTTTTAAATTTGTTGTTGTTAGCTGCCCGGGAAGGGTGGGGTATAAATAAAAATTTATCTTTATATATTATTATAAAAAAGAATATGGGCAGAAAGTACACTGGGCGAGAAAAAGGTAAACCCGAAGAAAGGAAAGCGAGGGAGGAGTCCGAGGGTTGCCGAGTTGGAAGGGAACCCCAGCGGCCATCCAGCCCAACCCGCTGCAATGCAGGAAAACCCAACTCCCCGTTCATCTTTGCAGCTTTCAGGTCCCGCCGGATATTCCGCCTCGCTCCACCTCCATCGACATGGACCCTCCTCCCGAACCCAGCGTAGCCAAAGAGTACGAAGATCTCCAAAGCCTGGATGTGCCAGGCAAACATGGGCAGCACTTCGGGAGAGGTACGCAGGGGGGATGGAGCGGGGCCGGCCCATCGGACTGGGTGTGGGGAGGGCCGGATTTAGGTTTGACGTGGCCCTAAGCTACTGAAGGTAATGGGGCCCTTTCTATGTCCAGCTGTCCTCTGTCAACACCAAATTGTCGCTGTTTTTGTGTGTGGAATATACCGTATTTTTCGCTCTATAGGACGCACCCGACCATAGGACGTACCTTGTTTTAGAGGGGGAGAACAAGCAAAAAAAATTCTCCCCCTCTCTGCCCAGCGCCCCTTCAGCGAAGTGGCAGGAGGTGCTGCGCAGAGAGGGGGAGAATATTTTTTTCTTGTTCTCCCCCTCTAAAACAAGGTGTCGTTCAAGGTGCGTTCAGTCGCCTTCAGGCGGCTACCTTGGAAGCCTGTAGGAGAGCGAGACGGGTCGGTGTGCATGACCCCTCTCACTCTCCAGGCTTCAGAGAAGGCAACCCGAAGCCTCCGGAGCGTGGAGGGAGTTTCCGCTGCGCTCCGGAGGCTTCAGGTTCCTTTCAACCTGCTCTTTGGGGCTGGTGTGGGGAAGCCCACCGCCAGCCCCAAAGAGCAGGTTGTGGAGCAGCGGAAAGGCGTGCAGCCTTCCCACTGCTCCGAGAGGTTCTCGGGGCTGCCGGGGAAGCCCGGGTCCCCCCCCTCCAGCCCCAAAGAGCAAAGAAGCCAAGACAGTGAGCGGGATGTATCCCACTCGCTGTCTTGGCTTCTGCCATAGCCGCGCGCAACCTCTCCAGCAGGGAGAGGCTGCGCATGGCTATGGCTTCTTTAGCCCCGCGCAACCTCTTCGGCAAGGAGAGGCTGCGCACGGCTATGGCAATACCCCCACCTCCCGCAAAAGCCCACAGGAGCCACGCACCGTTTAAGGAGCGCACAGCTCCTGCAGGCTTTTCTACGAGGAGGGAGAAGGGACTGACTGGCCGCGTCAGTCCCTTCTCCCTCCTGAGGAAAAACCCGCAAGAGCCGCGCGGAGCTTGTGGGGGGCTTTTGGGGGCTTTTCCTGCCTGCCTCCCCCCTGCATTCGCTCCATAAGACGCACACACATTTCCCCTTACTTTTTAGGAGGGAAAAGTGTGTCTTATGGAGCGAAAAATACAGTATGCTATATGGTCATTGATGGATCTCATAGATATCTCAAGCCATTTGCACATCACAGTCATACTTTGGGTTACAGCCACTTCAGCTTGCATTTTTTTGGGTTGCGGACCGCCGAAACCCGGAAGTACCAGAATGGGTTACTTCCGGGTTACGGCGGTTGCGCATGCGCCGAAGCGCCGAATCACAACATGCGCAGACATGGGTTGCGAACGCTGCGGGTTGCGAATGTGCATCCCGCACGGATCACGTTCGCAGCCTGAGCGTCAACTGTATTTTATCAAAGTGATTGTTGAACTGAAATACAATTAAGAAGTATATTAGTAGTGAAATATTATTAAGCTCTAACTGAAAATGATTTTTAACTCATAGCAAATGTCATAATGCAAACACATTGGCATTGGGCGATAACAAAAGCTCCTTTAGAAACACAATTTACAAGGGCTCATCATCCAGTCTCTGGAAACTTGCTATAAATGAAATAATAATAGGTGTAAATATGTGGTGCAAACTACAAACAATTATAAATAGCAGAATGTAGGCACCCTCTATATAGAAATGAGCAAACCAGGGATATTTTAGGGAGCAGGCAGGGCCCATGACTGACATCCTAGGAGACTACACAACACAGAACCCTGTTGCTGTAGGCAAGTTTTATTTTATTCATTAATTACCTTATATTTTGGATATGTACATCCAGTTTTTCCCCCTTTAATTTTTTTTGGGCCCCCAAGAGAGTGGGGCCCTAAGCTATAGCTTGTTTGGCTTATACTAGGGTTACCAGATGTCCCCGGTTCCCGTGGACAGTCCCCGGATTTGCAAATCTGTCCCCGGGAAATGTGGCAGCGGCAGCCTCAGCAGGCCGGAGCCAGCCTGGTAGCGCAGTTGGCTCTGGCTGGCTTTAGGAGCTGCCCGCTGCCGTGGCGCCTGCCATTTTTCCTCGCCAAAAGTCCCCATATGATGTGTCTTGGGTGCAACATTTCACAAGGGGACTTCCGGCGAGGAACAACGGCAGGCGCCACGGCAGTGGGCAGCTCCTAAAGCCAGCCAGAGCCACTGCTGCCGAAGGGGAACCGGGGACATCCGGCGGTACAGTTCTCCTGCCCCCTTCCCCCTTTGTTTTGACAAATCGGGGGAGGCTCGGGAGTCACGAGTGGGTGGCTGTTGCCCAGGAGGGGCGCAAGGTGGGCAATTTCTCTGCCGGGCAAGGTGCAAAGCCCTTCTTTCGCACCCTGTGAAACCCTGATGAGGAACGGTCGAGGGAGCTGGGGATGTTTCGCCTGGGGAAGAGGAGACTGAGAGTAGACCCAAGAGCCACCCCTCTTTTTCTCCCCACAGCGCTGCCTCCATTCCAGTCGCCCTGGCGCCGGATCTGCCCCACCAACCGCCTCGTCTTGGTCCTGATGGGGTTCTGCTTCGTCCTGACCCTCTCGGTGGCTGTGCTTGGCATTCAGAGTGAGTGATGGGCATTACAGCATTGGGGGAAAGGAAGCGGGGGATTGGGTGCACAGAGGCCGGCTTCCCCAACCTGGTGCCCTCGGCCTCCAGAAATTTGGGACTGCACCTTGCTAGGGCATGTTGAATTTTTCAGCTTAGGGGGTCCTTAAAAGTTGTGAAATGGCTCAGGAATTCCATTTTGGTTAGATGAATATTAATTTAGTTTTGCTTGGTAAGTAAACTGTGTGGGAAATTGCAGAGAAATCATTAGAAAGGATTGCCACGTACTTGCAGTCATATTATTATTATTAATTATTATTATTTAGCATTGCTCGACATTTTCACACAGAGAAAACATTTGCTCAGTTTGGGAATCAAAACGGTTTCAGGTCAGTCTTCCTGTGCTGATCTATGTACATGCTTGGTTGGTTATGAACATTTAACATATATCTAAGACCTCAAAAGGGACACAGGTGGCACTGTGGGTTAAACCACAGAGCCTAGGACTTGCCGATCAGAAGGTCGGCGGTTCAAATCCCCGCGCTTGGGTGAGCTCCCGTTGCTCGGTCCCTGCTCCTGCCAACCTAGCAGTTCGAAAGCACGTCAAAGTGCAAGTAGGTAAATAGGTACCGCTCCAGCGGGAAGGTAAATGGCGTTTCCATGCGCTGCTCTGGTGCGCCAGAAACGGCTTAGTCCTGCTGGCCACCCGGAAGCTGTACGTCGGCTCCCTCGGCCAGTAAAGCGAGATGAGCTCTGCAACCCCAGAGTCGTCCATGACTGGACCTAATGGTCAGGGGTCCCTTTACCTTTACCTAAGACCTCAAAATTCCTATCACACTGTCCTGAATCTCTCGACATTCATCGGATGCCCACATTTCCAGGGGAATGTTTTCGCCTGGCGCCTAAAGACATTTGTGTGTGTGTGTGTCCTCCCTCCTTCCCTTTTCTGTTTTTTGACAAATTAAAAAAGGACCCCTGACCATTGGGTCCAGTCATGGCCAACTCTGGGGTTGTGGCGCTCATCTCGTTTTATTGGCCGAGGGAGCCAGCGTCCAGCTTCCGGGTCATGTGGCCAGCAGGACTAAGCCGCTTCTGGCGAACCAGAGCAGCGCACGGAAACGCCGTTTACCTTCCCGCTGGAGTGGTACCTCTTTATCTACTTGCACTTTGACGTGCTTTCGAACTGCTAGGTGGGCAGGAGCAGGGACCGAGCAACGGGAGCTCACCCCGTCGCGGGGATTTGAACCGCCGACCTTCTGATTGGCAAGCCCTAGGCTCTGTGGTTTAACCGACAACGCCACCTGCGTCCCTTTTTTGACAAATTAGATGCAGAGTGTATATCTACTGGATTTTATTCTGGGGTTTTTTAGGGGATGCCCAGCTTCCTCACTAATTAAAAAGTTCCTCTTGAACCTCCGCCCGGCTTCCTCCCATCGCTTCCAATTGCTCTGACCTTAAAGTGCTCCAACCTGGAGGAAGGGATTTCAAAGCTATGAAACTGCCAAAATGGAAAAAAATTCATTACAGAGCTCGCCTGGGACGCCGCCTTCTTGCTCCCACTGCGCCAATTAATTAACTTAGCCTTGCCAAGCGGTGGTTTTATCATCGCTGTTCCAAGGGCCCCAAAACAGCTTATCTTGCAGACATCGTCCCTCTTAATTGAATTGCCGCCACCTGCGTTCCCCCCCCCTTTTTCCAGTAATAAAATTTGCAAAGTCTTGGGAGGCTGGGAGGACAGGGCATTTAAATAAAATAAAATAAAATAAAATAAAGAAATGCGTCTGCAGGCAAGCTACCTGTCTGGAGACAGGGAGAAGGATTCCCTCTAGCCCCTTTAATATAGGTCAGTGAGAGATTTTACTTTCTTGGGCTCCATGATCACTGCAGATGGTGACAGCAGCCACAAAATTAAGAGACGCCTGCTTCTTGGGAGAAAAGTGATGGCAAACCTAGACAACATCTTAAAAAGCAGAGACATCACCTTGCCAACAAAGGTACGTATAGTTAAAGCTCTGGTTTTCCCAGTAGTGATGTATGGAAGTGAGAGCTGGACCATCAAGAAGGCTGATTGCCAAAGAATGGATGCTTTTGAATTTTGGTGCTGGAGGAGACTCTTGAGAGTCCCATGGACTGCAAGAAGATCCAACCTCTCCATTCTTCGGGAAATCAGCCCTGAGTGCTCACTGGAAGGACAGATCCTGAAGCTGAGGCTCCAAGACTTTGGCCACCTCATGAGAAGAGAAGACTCCCTGGAAAAGACCCTGATGTTGGGAAAGATGGAGGGCGCAAGGAGAAGGGGACAACGGAGGACGAGATGGTGGGACAGTGTTCTCAAAGCTACCAGCATGAGTCTGACCAAACTGCGGAAGGCAGTGGAAGACAGGAGTGCCTGGCGTGCTCTGGTCCAGGGGGCCACGAAGAGGCGGACTGGCTGTTGTCACCATCTGCAGTGATCATGGAGCCCAAGAAAGTAAAATCTCTCACTGCCTCCATTTCTTCCCCTTCTATTTGCCAGGAGGTGATGGGCCCAGTGGCCATGATCTTCGTTTTTTTGATGTTGAGCTTCAGACCATATTTTGCGCTCTCCTCTTTCAACCTCATTAAAAGGTTCTTTAATTCCTCTTCACTTTCTGCCATCAAGGTTGTGTCATCTGCATATCTGAGGTTGTTGATATTTCTTCCGGCAATCTTAATTCCGGCTTGGGATTCATCCAGCCCAGCCTTTCGCATGATGTCTAATTCTAATTCTATGATTCTGCAATTCTTATGTGTGTAAGAGGGGAGGGGAGTGTGTCAAGCAGGAGACGAGCGTGCGCCAAGCGTCCATGCCAAGAAAGAAGGGGTGAGCGCGTGTGAAAGGGAAAGAGCCGAGTTCAAATTTTGCTCTTCACCTGCTTCCCACCAGGGACTCGTTTCAGTGGAGATCAAGGGGCGGCGAAGGAGGCTCTCAAGAGTTTGAACCTGACTGTGAAAGCGGGGCTCAGCAGCGTCCAAGAGAAGAGTAAGTGATGGGATGGGAGGAGCAGGAGGAGGTGCTGATCCCCAGTGGTTAGAGCAGACTGCACAGAGACATTGGGCATCCTTTTATTGGTCTGCTGCCTTTCCACAACCAAAGCCCTTTCACCCTGCACGTCAGCCACCAAAAAGCTCTCCCAAAAAGCTTGCAAAGGTGGTCTCTGTGCTTCGGCGTCTGATCTGAAAGACGCGACACACAAGGAAAGAGGATTGGGGAGGGAGGAGGAAAAAGAGAAGAAGCGCAAACAGGGAGTAGTTTTTCATATCGCCGCCGTGTTTCTGATTCCAGGGAACAGCACCAGAACGAAACTGGCCATGCTGGAGAAAACGATGAACGACCAGGTTTCGAAGATGGAGAAAGGTGGGTGGCCCCATGAATGAGAATGCAATACGTGGTGTGGGTGCGAATCCCCCCCTCCCCGTCTCCTTTTTAAAAAAAATCATTTTTATTAATTTTCCAATAAAAAACATCCAATTAATATATCCGATCATAATCCAATTAAAATAAAAAAGACCAAATTATAATCCAAATTATAATTATTGATTTTTCGGAGCTCCCCATAGTCTGGACCTCTGAAGCATATCTCCACCTCTCAGTCCTGCCTCTCCTTGCTGTTTCCATATTTCCCACATCTCGATTTTAACGCTTTAAAATTCTCCGTCCCCGGTGCCACGATTCTCAATCACGTCAGACATCGTATATCCTTTTGTCGGTCGAATACAGCTTTATTTGTGTATATACATTTTTCCAATAGCTCCTTTGCACCTTGCTGCTTGCAAAAGGATGCTTTGTAATCTTGGTTGGCCAGGGGCGGGAAGAAAGTACACAGGAGCTCAGACCTTGGGCCTGGCAAACGGACACTTTGCAAGACCTGAGCTGCGCTGCTGGGAAAAGCAAAGTGTCCTTTGCTGAACGTGAGTTGCTGTGGCCTCAGATCTCGCCAAGAGACCTGCGGCTCCACTGTGCTAGCTTGGGAGTTCGGTGGAGCCAGGGCCGTCTTACCATAGCTGTCAAGCGTCCCTTATTTGGCGGGACAGTCCCTTATCCCAGCGCCGTGTCCTGCTGCTGTCCCTTGTTGATGATGTCCCTTAAATTTCCCGGGTTTCAAAGGAAGCAGCTCCTCTCCCTCCCTCCCTGCCGGCCAGGGAGGAGGGAGGCTCCAACTGGGTTGCTTGGCTGCGTTGCTCACCCAATAAGGAGTCTGAGAACGACTGGGGGGTGGAGCTTGCATGCCTTGTGCCAATCAAATCGGCCGCCTTGCCTGGGGACTCGCCTTTGCTCAGCGCTTCCCAGCGGAGAGGCGACGGTGGTTTTCTTTGCTGCATCCCCTTTGCCGGGTTGCTGCGCTGTGGGAACCACCGCTTGAGGCTTCGTTTGGCTGCTGGCTGGGCTTTCTGCCTTTGCCTCGGAGGGGCTCAGAAGTCGAACATACCTGTGCCCTGAAAATCCCTTATTTTGGCTGCTGGTCCCTTATTTTCGAGGCTGCTGGTCCCTTATTTTCAAATCTGTAAGTTGACAGCTATGCGTCTTACCCGTAGGTGCTAGGGGTGCGGGGCACCCGGGCGCCGGGCTCTCAGGGGCGCCGGGCCAGGAGTCCAGGGCCGAGATTTGGAGTCTGGGATTGGGAAGAGTCGACAGCCGCTGCTGAGCCAAGCCAAGCCCGTCAGAGCACTGCAGCTCCTGCGCACCTGGGATTGGCGCCCAGCGCGTGCTGCTCACATGAAGCACCTGGCTTTGCTCAGTTGCCACTGTGATAAGAATTTTAAGGTCTTAAATATGTAATAAAGGTAAAGGGACCCCTGACCATTAGGTCCAGTCGTGGCCGACTCTGGGGTTGCGGCGCTCATCTCGCTTTACAGGCCGAGGGAGCCGGCGTACAGCTTCCGGGTCATGTGGCCAGCATGACGAAGCCGCTTCTGGCGAACCAGAGCAGCGAACGGAAACGCCATTTACCTTCCCGCCGGAGCAGTACCTATTTATCTACTTGCACTTTGACGTGCTTTCGAACTGCTAGGTTGGCAGGAGCAGGGACTGAGCAACGGAAGCTCACCCCGTCATTGCGGGGATTCGAACCGCCGACCTTCTGATCGGCAAGTCCTAGGCTCTGTGGTTTAACCCACAGCGCCACCCGCGTCCCCATAGATATGTAATACACGTTAATAAATGTACCAAGCAAACACACACATAAATATATAAACCATATGTCTTAAAATCCCACAGAAAAAAAGTCGTGAACAAATTGACCTCAATTATTTCTCTGCAAGGTCAAAGTGGGAAACCTCCCCATTGTCTTTTTCCTTCACAAATCCTGTCTTAAGGGCACATTTAAGATATGAATAGGGTGTGAGCCTGTGACCTGGCCCAGGAACTAAGTATTTATCATTACAAAAGACTGGCCAGGCTCCCCAGGCTATCCAATCATTAAGCAGGTAACCTGCCAGATAAACAAGTCACTCAGATTTCTGCTGTAGACCGCCTTTTCTGTGATGTAGGTATGATGTATCTGGGGGGTGGTCTTAGGTTACACCCCTTCTGTGATGTATGTATGATGTATGGAGGGGTGGTCTTGAGCTCCAGGGCAGGGAATTAAAATGCCTATATTGTTCTGGATTCCTCCTCCCTCCTTCGACCTAAAAAAAGGTCGACAACTCTGGGCAACCTGGCGGGGGGGCACTGGGCAGATCTTTGCACCCCGGTGCCGGCTTCCTCAAGGTGCTCAGGATTTGGCCAGGAGGAAAGTGTGCAGCTCAGGGGCCCAGCTGCGACTCTCCCTCACTCCCTTTGCAATACGCTCCTTTATCCTCTGTCTTTTCTTCCAGTCAAGAAACAAGTCGAAGGCCAGTTGGACACCTTAAAGCAAGACTCGAGAGCTTTCCACTGTGAGCTAGTGGAGATGAGAAGCAACGGTAAGGGATCGCACATTTATTTCATCTCCTTTAAATAAAAGGACACATTCTACTCATGTAAAAACACGCTGATTCCTGGACCGTCCGCGGGCCGGATTGAGAAGGCGATTGGGCCGGATCCGGCCCCGGGGCCTTAGTTTGCCTCCCCATGCTATACTCTTGGATACCCCATAAGGGGGAAAGGAGCAGTTTTTTCTTATAACAGTGCCGAAAACATTTCCCGCCCCCCACAGGGGAGGGGGGTTATGGGTGCAGCTCTTGCAAGCAGGTAACCACTCCTCAAACCTTTCCTCTCCCCTCCACCGTCCGCTATAGGGAGCAAAACCGGGTGCTGCCCAAAAGGCTGGAAGGATTTTGAGGACAGCTGCTATTGGAAGTCTCAGGACACGGCTTCTTGGAACCAGGCCAAACTGGACTGCGAGAAGAAAGAGGCTCACCTGGTGATCATCAACTCGCCGCAAGAGAAAGTAGGTGGGGGGTGGGGGGCAAAGGGAGTCAGGCCCTTCGGTGTGGCTGGGGATGTGCCAGTCCTTGAGATGGGCACGACGGCACTTTTTCCTCTTTGCCTTTGGACACCCCCCCTTAGATAAATTCTCCCCACCTCACCGAACAACCCTTTACCCGAAGGTTTCTTTTCCTTTTGTAATAAACAAAAACCTGCCCTTCTTCCCTTATGGGGGACACAACAGCCCTAATAATAATAATAATAATAATAATAATAATAATAATTTATTATTTGTACCCCGCCCATCTGGCGGCTTCCACAAAGACCAAAAATACACTAATATGTCATACATTAAAAACTTCCCTGAACAGGGCTGATTTAAGATGTCTTCTGAATGTCAGGTAGTTGTTTATCTCTTTGACATCCGATGGGACGGCGTTCCACAGGGCGGGTGCCACCACCAAGAAGGCCCTCTGTCTGGTTCCCTGTAGCTTTGCTTCTCGCAATGAGGGAACCGCCAGAAGGCCCTCGGAGCTGGACCTCAGTGTCTGGGCTGAACGATGGGGGTGGAGATGCTCCTTCAGGTCTACTGGGCCGAGGCCTTTGCAGGTTGTCCATCGGTCGGAGAAGATAACAGAGGCCAACCAGAGAATATTGAGAAGCAAAGCAGCTCGTAAGCCTGATCTTTATCTGTTGCAACAGGGTGCCCCCTTCACACTCTGGAGAAGGAGGTGGACCCCGAACAAAGGTGTGTCCCCCCCCTTATATAGACATTTTAAATTGTCCGCCCTGTAGCCCAAAACATCATACCTACATCACAGAAGGAGGCGGTCTACAGCGGAAATCCTGTCTGCCAGGATACCTGATAATGGTCCCTGATTGCTTTACCTGGGCAGCCTGGCCATTCTTTTGTGATGGTTAATGCTTTCATTCCTGAATCTAGGCTCACCCTATTCAGACACAAATAAGCCCTTAACACAGGTAAGCAAAAGACAATGGAGTCGTCCGCGACTGGACCTAATGGTCAGGGGTACCTTTATCTTTACTTTTTATTCTCCTGTGATGTAAGTCGTGGGCCCCGCCTGCTGGCCTGCTCCCTAAAATACCACAGGTTTGCTCCTTTCTATATATAGGGTGCCTACATTCTGCATGTTCAAACGGCTTGAGGTACCTATGAGGTCCATAAATGACCATATGGCATATATTCAACACAAAAAAACAGCGACAATTTGTTATTGGCAAAGGACAGCTGGACATAGAAAGGGCCCCATTACCTTCAGTGGCTTAGGGCTTCGTCAAACCCAAATCCGGCCCTGTTCTCGCTAATAAAGGGTTAACTCTGACTTTGAACGGTGTGATTTATTGCCTGCTTGCTCTTTGACATGCAGCGACGTTTCTCCCCCCCCCCCCCCCAGAGATTCGTGAGTCAGCGCTGGAGGTCCAGTGACATGTGGATCGGCCTGACGGACGTCACGGGAGTCTGGAAGTGGGTGGATGGGACTTCTTACATGCTCCAGCAAGAGTGAGTTTGATGCCCCACGCACAGACGCTCCACCCAACCCTCTGCAGTGCTGTCATCGCAGCTAAAGAAATCCCCCAAAAGCAAGGAAGAATTGCATCCCAAAAGCAAGGAATGATTGGACTCTGATTAATAAAATACACACAAGGCTTGACCAGCAAGACTCTGGGAGAAAGTGCCAATAATACTACTACTACTACTAATAATTTATTATTTATACCCCGCCCATCTGGCTGGGTTTCCCTAGCCACTCTGGTCGGCTTCCAACAAAATATTAAAATACAGTAATGCATCAAATATTAAAAGCTTCCCTAAACAGGGCTGCCTTCAGATGTCTTCTAAAAGTTTGGTAGTTATTTTTCTCTTTGACATCTGGTGGGAGGGAGTTCCACAGGGCGGGTGCCACCACCGAGAAGGCCCTCTGCCTGGTTCCCTGTAACTTGGCTTCTCACAGTGAGGGAAACGCCAGAAGGCCCTCGGAGCTGGACGATGGGGGCGGAGACGCTCCTTCAGATAAACTGGACCGAGGCCGTTTAGGGCTTTCAAGGTCAGCACCAACACTTTGAATTGTGCTCGGAAACGCCAAAGATAACATTCAATTTTTAATCTTTGTTGGAAGCCACCCAGAGTGGCTGGGGAAACCCAGCCAGATGGGCTGGGTACAAATAAATTATTATTATTATTATTATTATTATTATTATTATTATTACTTCTGCAGCACACCAATCTAGCATATGGCGGCTATTCCCAGCTCTGTGCTTTATGGCAAAGTTGCAGCTACAGGGGATGATTCCCATTCTGCCAGTTTATACACCTACCCCTGGCGGGCTGTGTTCCTGCAGCCGGAGACGACGCCCTCCTGGAAAAGTCCTCTGCTCTTTACTTTTCATTCCGCCTCTGGCTCTGCTGCAGGAGAGGATGGGCAGCGCCTGGTCCTACACTTTCCTGGCCTGCCTCTTCTTCCAACCCCTCCACCCTCCCGCTCTGAAACTTCCCCCAACCCCTGATTCTTGCCTCCTGGCCGGCACAGTTCCCCACAAACCACCCCCCTCTCTCCCCAGTCAGACTCCAGCCCCCTGCCCTAACGCACACTATCCTCAGCATCCTGCCTCAGGGCTCAGCTTATGTTCAGAAAGAAAGAAAGAAAGAAAGAAGAAAGAAGGACTATATCTCACTTTTACAGAGCGTTCCAAGAAAGGCAATTTGCATTGTGCGTTTAAATTCTGGATGCGGAGATTTTAACGCCCGTGTAATTTATTCTCATGCTCGTAAGCTGCTTAGACTGTTTTGGCACTAATAATTAATGCCGGAATCCTTCTGTCTCAGGAGAAAATGTATTTGTGTACTTTTGGGGGTGAAGTCTTGTACCTATGGGGCCGCCTCTCCTGGTATGTCCCACGGAGGACCTTATGGCCTTCAACTAAAAACATCTTGGAGGTCCCGGGCCACAGGGAGGTTAGGCTGGCCTCGACCAGAGCCAGGGCCTTTTCGGCTGTGGCCCCGATCTGGTGGAACGCTCTGTCACAAGAGACCAGGGCCCTGCGGGACTTGACATCTTTCCGCAGGGCCTGCAAGACAGAGCTGTTCCACCAGACCTTTGGCCAAGGCACAGTCTGACCCCCTCCTTTGGCAATCCTCACAGAACTCTAGCCCAATGGTTGCCATCAATTTGATTTTGAATTGATTTTAAAATTAATTGATTTTAGAATGTATTCCAATTAATTGATTGTGATTTTATGTAAACTGTGTTATTTTTACTGTTGTTACGATGGGGGTGGAGCCGCTCCTTCAAGGATACTGGGTCTTTGAGGCCATTTAGGGCTTTCAAGGTCAGCACCAACACTTTGAATTGTGCTCGGAAACGTACTGGGAGCCAATGTAGGTCTTTGTGGTCTCAGCGGCTGCTCCCAGTCACCAGTCTAGCTGCCGCATTCTGGATTAGTTGTAGTTTCCGGGTCACCTTCAAAGGTAGACCCACGTAGAGCGCATGGCAGTAGTCCAAGCGTGACTGTAAAACTCTAAGTAAAAGAACTTGCTAGTGCAAATTAAAGGTAAAGGTAAAGGGCCCCTGACCATTAGGTCCAGTCATGGCCAACTCTGATGTTATTGGAGCTCATCTCGCTTTACTGGCCGAGGGAGCCGGCGTTCAGCTTCCGGGCCATGTGGCCAGCATGACTAAACCGCTTCTGGCGAACCAGAGCAGCACATGGAAACGCTGTTCACCTTCCCACCGGAGCGGTACCTCTTTATCTACTTGCACTGGTGTGCTTTTGAACTGCTAGGTTGGCAGGAGCAGGGACCGAGCAACGGGAGCTCACCCCGTTGCGGGGATTCGAACCACTGACCTTCTGATCGGCAAGCCCTAGGCTCTGTGGTTTAACCCACAGTGCCACCCGCGTCCCTAGCACACGTTAGGAAGAATAGTAAAAAACAATATATCCTCTCCTGCCTTCCTGAACATTCCCACACAGAGATCCTTTACCTTTACCTTTTTTTACCTAAATCGGAGAACAACATCTCTATAGCATCGTGTATTTTATAGTATAGTATAGTGTATTTTAAAATGGGGTTTCAGAGTTTTTAGGGGTTTTTGAATGTTTTATGTAGTTTTTCAATTTCATTGTTCTGTATGGGACAATGACAATAAAGATATCGTATCGTATCGTATCGTATATCGTAACGACGATATAACGACTCATTAAATGTCTTCCCCATCCCTCCTTTCAAGAACACTGCAAATGATGGATTTTTCCGTTCTGTTGTTTTAGGGACTGGGGTGAAGGTCAGCCGGACCACTGGTACGGCCACGGACTGGGAGGCGGAGAGGACTGTGTCCAAGCTTATTCCAATGGCCTTTGGAACGACAACCACTGCTCTCGCCGGTTCCCTTGGATGTGCGAGATGGAGCTGGGCCTCTAAAGGAAACAGGAAGGAAGTTGGTACCTTTACACACATGTGGTGGTACTGCGCCAAGATAAGAGAATTTGGGGACATAATATACAAGGAACTCAAAAAGATCTTCAAATTCTCGTTTCGGGGGAAAAACCTGAAGCCTTTTTGTTAGGTATTATGTCCACTGATCTACAAAAAACCCCACAGAACCCTCTTTATGCACGCAGCCACAGCGGCAAGGATTTTGATAGCAAAAAAATTGGAAAGGCGATGTCATCTGTACAAAAACTGATTGGCAAGCAAAGACGATAAAATATTCGGAACTTGCAAGGATGACTGGGAGAATAAGAGGAAATTCCGGCCGGAAATTTAGTAAAGATTGGATAACGTTTAAAGAATATCTTTAAAAGTACTGTAATTACACAAATCTCCTGACAGATTAGGACTGGAGATTAGGATTGGAGTTTAAGGAAATTATAAAGTGAAAATTTCTACTGATAATTAATGGGAAAGAATAATAAAAATGAAGTTGCCTATAGACTAGTAAGATATAAAAAGCACAATGAGGTGAATTGGAAGTTAAAGGGTACATAATGTCAAATGACGTGTTGTTAGTCAGTGTCTATGGTCTGTTTATGTTGTTTGTCATTTTGTTTATGTTCTATGTAAATTGTTTTGTAATAAAGAATCTTTAAATATAAATGAATAGAGGAAACAGGAAGGTTCCCTCCACAAAACCTAGTTCTGTCACTCTGACACGGAGAGTTCCATACAAGTGATTTCTTTTCTAGTTGTATTTATGCTCTCTTTTTTGGAAATCATTTCAAATACAAAATTTAAGCAAGCCAAATACATCTCAATCTCTGAATCTCAATACTTCCCCCACCCTCCGTGGATCTCGTTCTCAACTTTTATAACTGCATATTATTCCATAATCTATATTTTATATCAATCCATATTATCCATGGTAATTGTTATACTACAAGGGAAATTAAAATCCTGCTAGTGTTTCCACCTGCTTGCAGGGGTCTCCTAAATAATAATAATAATAATAATAATTTTTTATTTATACCCCGCCCTTCCCAGTTCAAAAACCGGGCTCAGGGTGGCTAACAACAAATTTAAAACACTTAATTATAAAAGCAGCATAAAATATAGTTTAAAAACATGAATGACAATAAAATTCAAAAATCAATTTAGGGGAAATAAGCATTAGAGAATCCCCAGGACTAGCTGGCTGAATTGGTCCTACTTGGGCCAGCGAGGAGACCAGGAGAGAATTAGCTGTGGGATCCCAGAGCGGGTGATCTTCATAAAAAGGGAAGGAAGAGGAATAAAAGATCAGGCTGGATTCGAATTAAAGACCAGGCGGAATAGCTCTGTCTTACAGGCCCAACGGAAGGAGGTTAAATCCCGCAGGGCCCTGGTCTCATGGGACAGAGCATTCCACCAGGTCGGAGCCACCACTGAGAAGGCCCTGGTGGAGGATAGTCTGACTTCCTTAGGGCCCGGGACCTCTAATCTATAATTATTCATGGACCTTAAGGTCCTCGGCTTGTAATTTTTCCCCATTTTTATTAAAAGTTCTGGTCTTCTTGTTTCCTGAGTTTTCCAGTCACCTTTGTAGTTCATCAGCTTCACTTGACATTCCTCTCTTGCCATTCTTCTTTCCATCTCTGGCCTAGTAGCATCTGAGGGGCTGTTGTCCCATACATAAAAAGTCCTTTCTGCTCCTTTGGTATATCGGTACCTATAATTCCTAATAAAAAAGCTTCTGGTTTTTTAACAGTTTATTTCATTTAAAAAAATTTCATTTCATTATATATCATCTCCCAGAAAGCTTTAATTACCTTATGCCAGGCATAGGCAAAGTCCAGCCCTCCAGATGTTCGGGACTACAATTCCCATCATCCCTGACCGCTGGTCCTGTGAGCTAGGGATGATGGGAATTGTAGTCCCAAACATCTGGAGGGCTGGAGTTTGCCTATGCCTGCCTTACACGACCACCACATATGATAAAAGGTACATTCCTTTCTCTTTACATTTGATTTATTTATGCTTCCATGCCGCAACCAACCGCTTTTTCCTCCTTTAAGTTCCTCCTTGACGGTCACCTTGTCCGGGAAAAGCCTTTGATTGATCACCCTACTAGTCCTCATTGTAACTGAAGATGGAGACGTCATGGTTGGCTTTTATACGGCTTAGGACCCATGTACCTACGGGACCTGGTATGTCCCACGGAGGACCTTATGGTCTTCAAATAAAAACATCCTGGAGGTCCCGGGCCACAGGGAGGTTAGGCTGGCCTCAACCAGAACCAGGGCCTTTTCGGCTGTGGCCCCGATCTGGTGGAACGCTCTGTCCCAAGAGACTAGGGCCCTGCGGGACTTGACATCTTTCCGCAGGGCCAGCAAGACGGAGCTGTTCCGCCTGGCCTTTGGCCAGGGCACAGTCTGACCCCCTCCTCACAGATGGCCCAATTGCCATTAATTTGATTCTGAATTGATTTTAGAATGAATTGATTTTAGAATGTATTTCAATTAATTGATTGTGATTTTATGTAAACTGTCTTACTTTTATTGTTGTTAGCCGCTCTGAGCCCGGCTTCGGCTGGGGAGGGTGGGATATAAATAAAACTTTATTATTAGTATTAGTATTATTTATACCCCGCCCTCCCCAGCCAAGACCGGGCTCAGGGCGGCTAACACCAGCTATAAAAACAATTGATTAAAATACAACTTAAAAACAAGATTAAAAAACAACATTAAAATGCAGCCTCATTCTGTAGAAACACAAATCAAATCATATAAAGTGCCTGGAAGTTCTAGTTCTTGTCGAAATCTCAAATTACATGTAATTCCCCGTACATTTTCGCCCTGCCCCAGAATGAGTTGTGTTAAAATTGTTATTTCTTTTTTTACTGAGTTGCAGTCACTGCCAAGATCATATGCGAAACCAATTCTTTTGACAAAATTCCGCGTCGTCGAAAATACCCATTAATTTTGTACCGTGAGCGATTGCTTCTTTAGCGAGATTTGCCGTTTCTGCTAGAATTAAATTGGACCTGGCCGCCATTGGCCGCCTGCATTTCCTGGTCCGCTATTGGCCGAGGGGCTTGCGCGTGTCATGGAATGTTCATGGGCTTTCCGACTGGGGAAGATTCACACAAGACCAATGCGATCCTGTGCATTCACCATTAGGCAGAGACCTGACTTTCCCTTTTAATACATAAAACAGAAAATATATCTTGTTGTGAAGACAGAATAACTGAGATGAGGCAGGTCTGAGGCCCCGGCCCCAAGGGCAGAAAATCTGCACGTTATGAACCTAAATAAATGCTTTTTTTAATCTTACAACCAAGTTCTGTTTGATTTTATGCAATAGATAAATGAAAATAAACAAACCTACGGTTATACAGGAAATCAACTGTATCTTTTACGAAAACAAATAAAGCATGATGAGATTATCTTCCAAAAGGAATGTTTGTTTGCCTTTCTTCAGACATGGGTCAGTTGCCTTTATTGTATCTATTCATAAGAATATTTATAAACTGTCATTAAAAATAATGTTGTAAGAAAAAAACAAACTACTCCTTTTCCCTTATGCGGTACCCAAAAGCCCGTGAAGAATCCTTACGTAGGTTCCCTATTGGCAGGAAAAAATAACAGAGGCCAACCAGAGAATATTGAGAAGCAAAGCAGCTGGTAAGCATGATCTTTATTGATCTGTTGCAACACGGTCCTCGCTCACCACACGCAGGAGAGAGGAGGGACCCAGAACCCAGGTGTGTCCATCCTTATATAGACATTTTAAATTGCCAGCCCTGGAGTCCAAGACCACCCCCAGAAACATCATACATACATCACAGAAAGGGGTGGTCTACAGCAGAAATCTGAGCGCATTATCTCCTGTCTTTGTTTATCTCCTGTCTGGCAGGCTACCTGCTAATGGTCACTTGATTCGATACCCTGAGGAGCCTGGCCAGTGTTTTGTAATGATAAATACTTAGTTCCTGAGCCAGGTCCTGTTCATACACAGACATACCCTTAAGACAGGATTTGTGAAGGAGGAGATAATGGGGAGGCTTTTCCATTTTCCTTTGACTTTGCAGAGAAAACATTTGGTCAGTTGGGGAATCAAAAATGGTTTCTGGTCGGTCTTCCTGTGCTGATCTATGTACGTGCTCGGTTGGTACATTGATGAACATTGAACATATATCTAATACCTCAAAATTCCTATCACAGAACAGAATGCTGGACTAGATCGGCCCCTGGTCCAATCCTGCAGCTTCCGGGCTTCCTTCTGGAAGCTGACGGGAGTCGTAGTCCCAAACGTTTATAGGGTACCAGCTTGGAAATGGGTGCCACCCTACAAATGGTCAAGCATGTGGGTTTGTGTCCTGCCTTGACCACCCCTCCCAGACCACCCACACGGCTGTGTTCATCCCTTTGGCCTTGCTGCTTTCCTTGGGGGGCGGGGAGAGCAGGATCCCATCTCAGGGGGTTGTAAAGAAAATCTGCCCTTTTTTCCCTTATGGGGTATCCAAGAGCCCATATAGAGTCCTCATGTGGGTTCCCTGTTGGTAAGAGAAAAGAACAGAGGGCAACCAGAGAATATTGAGAAGCAAAGCAGCTGGTAAGCCTGATCTTTATTGATCTGTGGCAACAGGGTGCTCAGAGGACCCCGAACAAAGGTGTGCCTGCCCTTATATAGACATTTTAAACTGCCTTCCCTGGAGCTCAAGACCACATTATACATAGATCACAGAAGGGGTGTATCCCAAGACCACCCCCCACAAACATCATACCTACATCACAGAAAAGGCGGTCTACGACAGAAATCCGAGTGCCTTGTTTTTACCCTGTCTGCCAGGTTATCTGATAATGCCTTACCTGATTGCCTTTCCTGGTAGTCTGGCCATTCCTTTGAGATGGTGATTTCCCAATTCCTGAGACGATGGGAAGGTTCCCTCACCCCCTCCCTCCTTGCAGAGAAAACATTTGGTCAGTTGGGGAGTCAAAATGGTTTCAGGATGGTCTTCCTGTGCTTCTCCAGACATTGGTCCATTTATGAACATTTGTTTTATATATAAGACCTTAATTTTTTATTACAAGGGCAGAGGGGGCCAGTCCACCATCCCTCAGACCATGTGGGGGGCCAGACTATATTTTTTGGGGGGAAATGAACGAATTCCTGTGCCCCACAAATAACCCAGAGATGCATTTTAAATAAAAGGACACATTCTACTCATGTAAAAACACGCTGATTCCCAGACTGTCCGCAGGCCGGATTTAGAGGGTGATTGGGCTGGATCCGGCCCCCGGGTCTTAGGCTGCCTACCCCTGTTCTATACCAATTGACTATATTGTCTTGGTTTGTTGCTACGCTTTGAGCTTCTATTATTGCAGGATTGGGGCTAATGAAAAGCTCGTTTGCCTCAGTAATATTGATTGACTACCTTCTCTAATTTTGTTCATAAAATATTGATTTATTTTATCAGTTGTATCTCCACCATACGTTCTTTATTCAAGAACTGTGAAACAATACGGGCTATATACGTTGTTAGAACATTATTAGCCATGCTTAAGTTGGCCTGTGTATTATGGCTCAGGGTCCAGGGCTGGCTGTGTTGGAGCCAGCAAAAAGATTTCTCCCTTCCCCGCAGCCGGAAAGCTCTAAATTTGGGCATGGCGGATGAGCGATGTTGACAGTTCAAAGATTGGGGGCGAGGAGTCCATAGCGAAAGTCTCTGTGGGGAAGGGCGACAGCAAACGGACCCATAGAGAGACAGAAAAAACAGGTAAAGAAGGTATCTTAATGTATTTTTAACCTTTGTTGAAGGCCGCCCAGAGTGGCTTGGGAAACCCAGCCAGATGGGCGGGGTACAAATAATAAATAATAATAATAATAATAATAATAATAATTATTATTATTATTATTATTCTAGCCCCTTTGGCCTGTAGATCCTCTACCCTAGGGTTACCAGACGTCCCCGTTTCCCGGGGACAGTCCACGGATTTGCGAATAAGTCCCCAGACAAATTCCATCCCAGGAATGTCCCCGGATTTCATCTAATGTCCCCGCAGCAGTGGCAGTCTCAGCAGCCCAGATAAGTCCCCATATGATGGTAGTGCAGGGGCTCTAAGATGTGCTTCCGGGCTGCCTCCACCTTCCCTGACCCCAGAAACTAAGCTGTGAAGGGAGGCTTCATGCTGCCTATTGGAGCAGCCCCGATCCCAACTCCTACTTGCGTGCAAGCAGGAGAGGGCAGGGATTGTTAGAATGCCTGCTCCGTGATTGCAGTCATGGGATTGTTGTCTTTCACATATGTCTTGACTCCACAGAGTGGGAAGTGACGGAGACAGGATGTTTGTGTTACAGTGGTACCTCGGGTTACATACGCTTCAGGTTACAGACTCCGCTAACCCAGAAATAGTGCTTCAGGTTAAGAACTTTGCTTCAGGATGAGAACAGAAATCGTGCTCCAGCGGTGCGGCAGCAGCGGGAGGCCCCATTAGCTAAAGTGGTGCTTCAGGTTAAGAACAGTTTCAGGTTAAGAACAGACCTCCGGAACGAATTAAGTACGTAACCAGAGGTACCACTGTACTGTGTTCCATGAATAATAATAATAATAATAATAATAATAACAATAATAATAAATTTTATTTATACCCCGCCCTCCCAAGCCAAGTCCGGGCTCAGGGTGGCTAACAACCAATAATAAAAACAAGTTGATTGAAATACAACTTAAAAAACAAGATTAAAATACAACATTAAAACATTAAAATGCAGCCTCTTCACAGGAGGAGAAAGGAAAAAAGAAAGAGGGGGAGGGAATCAAATTGATTCCAAGCCAAAGGCCGGGCGGAACAACTTTGTCTGCGGAAAAGAAATCAGATCCTGCAGGGCCCTGGTCTCATGGGACAGAGCGTTCCACCAGATCGGGGCCAGTGTTGAAAAGGCCCTGCCTCTGGTGAAGTGGGACTATTGTCCTTTGTTCTTTTCCTCTTTGCTGTCTGATGCTAGAGAGAGAGGGAGCCATGTTGCAGTGCTCCGTGTTTGTTCATATGTAAATAAAGTAGATTAGCCAAAATGCTGAGTTGCTGAGGTCTGTCACGCAAACTGCGAAGACTCTGCGGATCCCTAAGTGTGCCGGTGTCGGTTGGCATCGGTCGCCGTGATGTTCGGGCTGAAGAAAGCTTTAGAAACTCCCGAACGATCGGCCAGGAGGGAGAGAACATGCCAGTCAGGCATGTGTCTCTGCCAGCGTCCTACTCGAGTGTAGGCTGAACTCCTGACAGGGATCAGTGGCGTCACAACGGGGTGGCAGGGGGTGGTGGTTCGCCCCGGGTTCCATGTATATTAAGAACGGACATCCGGAATGGATTAAGTTCGTAAACTTGCACAGATCAGCAGTTTCAATGAGAAAGGGAGGAAAGCAATGACAAACCTAGACCGCATCTTAAAAAGCAGAGACATCACCTTGCCAACAAAGGTCCGTACAGTAAAAGCTCTGGTTTTCCCAGTAGTGATGTATGGAAGTGAGAGCTGGACCATCAAGAAGGCTGATCGCCGAAGAATGGATGCTTTTGAATTCTGGTGCTGGAGGAGACTCTTGAGAGTCCCATGGACTGCAAGAAGATCAAACCTCTCCATTCTGAAGGAAATCAGCCCTGAGTGCTCACTGGAAGGACAGATCCTGAAGCTGAGGCTCCAAGACTTTGGCCACCTCATGAGAAGAGAAGACTCCCTGGAAAAGACCCTGGTGTTGGGAAAGATGGAGGGCAGAAGGAGAAGGGGACGACAGAGGACAAGATGGTGGGACAGTGTTCTCGAAGCTACCAGCATGAGTTTGACCAAACTGCGGGAGGCAGTGGAAGACAGGAGTGCCTGGCGTGTTCTGGTCCAGGGGGTCACGAAGAGGCGGACACGACTAAACGGCTCAACAACAACAACAAATTTGTTCTATGTTATGCTAATTGTATGTTATGTTCACGTTTAATGAGGGTGGATTTCTGTATTGCGGGGGGTTCATGTTATGTTGTAAATAAAATTTCCAATAAAAATAATTATATATATAAAAAAGAAACGGACATCCGGAACGGATTAAGTTCATAAACTGAGGTACCACTGTAGTGTCTGTTTTTAAACTTGCACAGATCAGCAGTTTCAACGAGAAATTTCCACGTGCTCGCAGTTTGGGGCATGCAGGACAGGAAGGGAAGCTAAAAAAGTTCTGTTTCTCTTGCCTGCATGAGTATAGTTCCGCTTTTTTATTTTTTTGCCTGCCTGAGAGAGGTTCCTCATTTCTGAAATAATCCCGTAGGAGATTTTATAGTCTTTCACTATAAAAGCAGCCCCCGGCCGCTAATCGAGGCTTCCAGCTTTTTCAGATGTATCTCACTGGAGCCCTGTGCAGTCAATAAATCGGACCTTCCTTGTTGAACCCGTGTCTGTCTGGGAAAAATCCTGCAACAGCACGGGGTTGGACTAGATGACCCCTGGGTCCCTTTCGGCTCGATGCTTCAACTCCCTTTGGGAGCCAATCCAAAAGGGCTGCCTGTCAGTCCTTTTGAGGAGATAATGATCCATTTGCCGGAGCCGTAGAAACATCGATTGGTTCCAAAAATCTGGACGCAGTCGGGAGAAACGGATCGTTGTGTCCCCCCCACCCCCCAACGTGCGTCCGGCTCGAGAATTTTATCTCCGCTTGTGGGTTTTTTCTGAAAGGGAAGTGTTGCGGGAGCTGAGGAGCGACCTCTGAGTAAGGAAAAATTGCAGCGTTTGGGACTTCTGAGTTTGGAGAAAAAGGAGAGCGAAAGGGGACGTGAGAAGAGGTTTGTATAACATTTATATGCATGGGCATTTGAGGCAGCTGAACATTGCAGATTCAGCGCAGAGTTGGACTGTGGAACTCCCTGCCACTGGAGGCAGTGACGGCCACTGTGAGAACAGGATCCTGGACTCGATGGGCCACGGGCCTGATCCTGCAGAGTTCTTCTCGTGCTCTTATGTTCCAGACGACTCCTAGCAAGGTGAAAAATATCTGGGTCTGAAACCAATCCATTTGGCCATACTGGAAAAACAAACAGGAGTATTCAGATTGCAGTCTGTTTTGTGTGTTTGCCCCCCCACCAGGAAATATTCTGTAGCTCAGTTTTGTTTTCTCTTTAGAGCAGTAATTTTGGGCGTTGAATTTTTAGGTGTCTTCGCCAACTCTAGGGCATTAAATCAGTTTTTCCCCCCATTTGGAAATTTCAGTGCGTCGATATCAAACAGTTGTGGTCATCAGTAGCCAATGTTTTCACTTAAATCTTAGCTCCGGGTTAATGCAAGGAAGCCAAAATTCGTGTCAAACTGAGACCCCAGGGTTTTTCCGGCTGAAAGAATGCAAAGAATTAAAATGGATTGTGGTTGCGAACTCTTTGGACTCGCAGCCTATTTGGAAACTAATTTCAGTGAAATACGTTTAATCTGATGGCTGCAGCAATTAACATCCTGCTTTTCCTTTTGGGGCGTTAAACCACCACCCAAAGCTCGGTGCCTGTTTTATTTCGTTTTTAGAGAGAGCCTGTGTAAATGATTGAGGATGTGTTTATTAATCTGTGTATTTTAAATCTGTGTGTCTGATGACGAGGAATTTCCCAATTTGAAGGCGGCGTTTTGGACTTTGCCTTGCCAATATCTGGCCTAAATCAACTGGGAGGGAGCTGGACAGACATCTGGCTTGTGGGATCTATTGACTTTGAGGTTGGTTGGTTTGTTACTATAAACTCAGAGAAATCCACTACTGTACTTTGAAAGCATGGATGTAGCCAAGATTTATGTTGCAGGGGGCAGGATTTTTGCCTTCAAAATCCCATCCTTCTGGTTCCAGGTATCTCATGCCCTCTCTGATCCCGAGTGATCAAGCGTCGCAAAGACACTAGATCCCCAAATATGGAGGACAAGGAGGAGGATCGGAACAGCGGAGGTACGTTTCTCTGTCCTTCCTGTTTCTCTGTCTTTCGCAAACACTCATCTTGTGTATTTCACCATATTTCTTACCCCGTATGCGCCCAAGCGACGGTGCCACATAAAAACCCATTCCACTTCTGTAAGAAATCAATCTTTTTTTATGTGGCGGCACCTTTGGAACTCCCTGCCAATTGATATCAGGTGGGAACTTGATCGGCGCCTGCGAAAAATATTCTTAACCAGGAAAACATACCCAGGAGTTTAGAAAGTGGATGCAACCCCAAAACAGGTCCAAAAACAGCATATATGTGTGTGTGTGTGTGTGTGTGTGTGTGTGTATATAAAACACAGGTTAATACAGTGGTACCTCAGGTTACATATGCTTCAGGTTACATACGCTTCAGGTTACAGACTCCGCTAACCCAGAAATACAGTAGTACCTCAGGTTAAGAACTTTGCTTCAGGATGAGAACAGAAATCACGCGGCGGCAGCAGGAGGCCCCATTAGCTAAAGTGGTGCTTCAGGTTAAGAACAGTTTCAGGTTAAGAACGGACCTCCGGAACGAATTAAGTTCTTAACCCGAGATAAAGGACCCCTGACCATTAGGTCCAGTTGTGGCTGACTCTGGGGTTGCGGCGCTCATCTCGCTTTATTGGCTGAGGGAGCCAGTGTACAGCTTCCGGGTCATGTGGCCAGCAGGACTAAGCCGCTTCTGGCGAACCAGAGCAGCGCATGGAAACGCCGTTTACCTTCCCACCGGAGCAGTACCTATTTATCTACTTGCACTTTGATGTGCTTTTGAACTGCTAGGTTGGCAGGAGCAGGGACCGAGCAACAGGAGCTCACTCCGTCACGGGGATTCAAACTGCCGACCTTCTGATTGGCAAGTCCCATTAGCTAAAGTGGTGCATCAGGTTAAGAACAGTTTCAGGTTAAGAACAGACCTCCAGAACGAATTAAGTACTTAACCTGAGGTACCACTGTATATAAAAAAGAAAAACAGTTCCATCTATAAACCAATTCCGTATATAAAAACAACACTCACATTTAAAAACAATTCAAGATGTCGTTTCAGTACTGGGATAAAGATCCCCTCTTTAAAGCCTTGTTGGCAAAGATGCAGGAATCTCCTTCTGCGTAGGATCTTAGACTGAGGCTGGATCTACACCGATCTGGGAAAAAACGCATTAAAAAACAGTATAGTGGCTCTCAATGCAATTTCTCATCGACATCTCTGCTCTATAGTGCCCTCTGCTGGCACATTGAGGAGCCTGTCATTTACAGTTCCAATGCCAGGCTCCTCAACACATTGGCGATTCACCCAAAGTTAACCCTTTAGGGCCAGGCGACGGCTCTTTTTGCTGCTGAGCTAAACGCTGTCCAAAAGCGAAAGCGTTGCCTATAACACATTTAAAATGTTTTAATTGACCGGTGTAGATTAGCCCAGAGGTCGGATGGCCACCTGTAAGGGATTCTTCCGCTGTAATTTCTGCATGGCCTGGGGTTCGGTTAGATGACCTGTGGGGGTCCCATCCAACTCTGAAATACTTGGACAGGGGTCAGCAAACTTTTTCAGCAGGGGTCCGGTCCACCGTCCCTCAGACCTTGTGGTGGGCTGGACTATATTTTTTTGCGGGGAAAATTAACGAATTCCTATGCTCCACACATAACCCAGAGATGCATTTTAAATAAAAGGACACATTCGACTCATGTAAAAACACACTGATTCCTGGACCGTCCGCAGGCCGGACTGAGAAGGCGATTGGGCCAGAACTGGCCCCCGGGGAATTAGTTTGCCAACCTATGTTCTTTGTTGTTGTTTAGTCGTTTAGTCGTGTCCGCTCTTCGTGACCCCCTGGACCAGAGCACGCCAGGCACTCCTGTCTTCCACTGCCTCCTGCAGTTTGGTCAAACTCATGCTGGTAGCTTCGAGAACACTGTCCCACCATCTCGTCCTCCGTCGTCCCCTTCTCCTTCTGCCCTCCATCTTTCCCAACATCAGGGTCTTTTCCAGGGAGTCTTCTCTTCTCATGAGGTGGCCAAAGTCTTGGAGCCTCAGCTTCAGGATCTGTCCTTCCGGTGAGCACTCAGGGCTGATTTCCTTCAGAATGGAGAGGTTTGATCTTCTTGCAGTCCATGGGACTCTCCAGAGTCTCCTCCAGCACCGCAAGCGGACAAGGTGGTAAGGCAGGAAAAGGCTGAAAAAGCTTCTTTATCCCTGTAGAATTCGGCCTGCGCCCTTCGGACTCCTGGGGACGGCGCGTCTGCCCTGGCCACCGCCTGGTGTTCATCCTGCTGGGACTCGTCTGCGTCTTCACCATTGCCGTCGCCATGTTTGGCTTAACAGGTGAGTAGTGGCTCAGCGGGTGAGATATCCGGCTCCTCGGGTGCGGGTGTGGCAATGAGGGGTAAAGATAAAGGTAAAGGGACCCCTGACCATTAGGTCCAGTCGTGACTGACTCTGGGGTTGCGGTGCTCATCTCCCTTTACTAGCCGAAGGAGCCGGCGTACAGCTTCCGGGTCATGTGGCCAGCAAGACTAAGCCGCTAATGGCGAACCAGAGCAGTGCACGGAAATGCCGTTTACCTTCCCGCCAGAGCGGTAGCTATTTATCTACTTGCACTTTGACGTGCTTTCAAACTGCCAAGTGGGCAGGAGCTGGGAGAAAGCAATGGGAGCTCACCCCGTCGCGGGGACTCGAACCGCCGACCTTCTGATCGGCAAGTCCTAGGCTCTGTGCCACCAGCGCCACCCATTACCCTGGCAAAAGGGTACCCACTGGCAAAAGGGGGACCCCCCATTCGACAGCCAGGTGTGGAGTCCACGATTGTGGGGTGGTTAACTCAGAAGAACGCAACCATTTAGGTGTCAGGTAAATTATGTTGGAAATGTTAGGTGAAGGAAGGGAACTTCCTACATATGTGGTGGTCCTGTGTTAAGGTTAAGGCTTTCTGGGATATTATCTACAATGAATTAAAAAAGATACTAAAATATAATTTCTGCAAAAAACCAGAGGCATTCTTATTAGGGCTAATTGATGGAGAAATTTATAAAAAAGATGTAAATCTATTTATGTATGCCACAACGGCAGCGAGAATCCTCCTGGCTCAAAGGTGGAAGCAGCAAAAACTCCCTACATTGGAAGACTGGAGAATAAAAATGGTAGAATTTGTGGAGTTGATGAAGCTGACGGGGAGAATTAGGAAGAAAAATATCAAAAGGACTGGAGCAAATTTATTCATTACCTGAAAGAAAATTGAACTCATTTAAAAACATTTGTAGCATTAACGTGAAATGTTTTGTAAAGTGAATTTAAGATGCTGATTTATAAATAAGAATGTGATTTCTTAAGGTGATTATAGATAAAGAAGTGATTATGGGAATGCGAAAGATATGTTATAGGCTATAGGGATGTCAGAAAGAGAGATAGAAGTCAAAGCTCACTTTGAGCAAATAATATAAGTTGTGAATATGTATACTGAATTAAATGAAATATGGAAAAATTTAATAAAAAATATGTTAAAAAAAAGAGAACACAACCATTTAGGACCAGTCTACCTTTCAGATCGACTGACACCCCCCCACCTGCGCCCCCTCAGCCGCTTTGATTGGTGGGCTTATTAAATTCATCTACCACCCTTTGTCAGAACATATTGGATTCTTATTAATGAAAAATTAATTAAAAATATTTTTAAAAAGCAAAAGGCGCCTAGAAGAATGGGAGTTTTGAACTTTGCTCCCTCCCCCCAGGTCGGAAATCTGTCGGTGAATTGAAAGGAATGGAGGAGACTTTGAAAAGCATCAACCGCACGGTCTTGGCGGAGATCACCGCTCTGAAAAAGAAGGGTGAGTCCAGGAAGCAGATCTTCTTTCCAAGTGTAAGCTAAAGGTAAAGGGACCCCTGACCATTAGGTCCAGTTGTGACCGACTCTGGGGTTGCGGCGCTCATCTCGCTTTATTGGCCGAGGGAGCCGGCGTCCAGCTTCCAGGTCATGTGGCCAGCAGGACTAAGCCGCTTCTGGCTCACCAGAGCAGCGCATGGAAACGCCGTTTACCTTCTTGCCGGAGTGGTACCTATTGATCTACTTGCACTTTGACGTGCTTTCAAACTGCTAGGTTGGCAGGAGCAGGGACCGAGCAATGGGAGCTCACCCTGTCGCAGGGATTTGAACCACCGACCTTCTGATTGGCAAGACCTAATGGTCAGGGGTCCCTTTACCTTTACCTAATCCCCATGTTATACCCCCCAAACTACATCACTCATACATCACGGTTACATCATGAAAAGGGGAGGTCTGGTGGCCGTAATCTGAGCATCCTGGACCCTGCCCCATGGTTCCCCTTGCCCTCCACCAAACATCCATCAAGTGTAACAAAAAAGTTATTTCCATTTCCCTGTTTCCCAGCCAAGTTCATCCCACCCTTTTGTCTCCATCTGGGTTTGTTCTTCCCGGAATGGCTACCTGTCTGGCACCCAGGTATCAGGATGCCAGGGATTATCACTCAGGCAGAGGGGCTGCTGAGGAGCTGAGCTCACCTGTCTATATGAATTTCTGAAGTTTTCCCAGTGAGCCAGTACAGAGAAACATTTATCAGTGAATTCTTACATTCAGTATCGTGCAGCAAAGGCCCTTTGAATAGATAGGAAGAAACTGTGACGAAGTGTTTTGTGGGGACAAATCACAAAAGTCACAAAAGCAATTGTGCTGGTTTTGGTAGTGGGCTGCATGTGCGTGATATCTGCTGGAGGGGAGGGGCAACCCCCCCCAACCTGTACATAAATTCCTGCAACATCCCCAAACCATTTCCCCCAACCTCACCTCTTTCTGCTGGTTCCAGAGGCAGAAGATTTGAAGCAACTGGTGAAGATTGAACATATGGTGCAAAACCTGACCGAAGAGGCAAAGGAAGGTACGTCCACACAGAAGCAGCTGTGAGACAGATGTGGGTTTTCCCCCCCCCTGTGTGAGGGGAGGTGGTGGTTGTACCTGGATTTGGGCAGGCTGTACTTTTTAGTTATTAATTTAGGTTAGTAACTATTTTGTTTTTGCTGTTATTATTTCTAATAATATTACCCCTTCATTATACACCTTTAGGCGCCAGGCAAAAAGGTTCCCCTTCAACCAAGCCTTTGGTTAATTGATATCCAATGCCCTTTTAAAATGTGTGTGTGTGTGTTATTGGGTTGTTTTCATTTTCTTTTCTTTTTTTAATATAATTTTTATTAATTTTTCTGTTTCACAATTTAGAACGCTCATTTAAACAACCTTAAAATATCAGTGATTTCCCTTCTTCTCGTTCCAAGGCTCATTTTGCATATCATAAATCCCTGCATATTTTACTAAACCATTCAGTAGTCCATTATTACATCCATAAAACCAAACCGTTCAGTATTCCATTATTACATCCATCAAAACATATTTACACTGCTGAATTTATCTTAATGCTGCCAATGTTTTCAAGTGTAAACAGTTCCCCCCATATATTCAATAAACATTTACTAATCTTCTTTAAATGTATTTTCTTATCGTTCTCTTATTCTATATTCAAAACAAAATAAAATAAAATAAATAAAATTAAAAAATTCCTTCCAGTAGCACCTTAGAGACCAACTAAGTTAGTTATTGGTATGAGCTTTTGTGTGCATACACACTTCTTCAGATATTCCATATGTTAGGTTCATAAGCTGCACATATTCCATCAGTTTTAAGCTGCCATTCTTCTTTAGTTGGGACCTCGCTCGTTTTCCAATTTTGGGCTAACAAAACAAGGGCTACAGTAGTGGCATACATAAATAACCTTTTTTGACACCTGGGAATTTCCGTCTGAATTATTCCCCAACAAAAAGCAGATTGGTTTTTTTTAGGGGGGGACGACGTACTTTTAAACATTTTTTCCAATTCATTAGGGATTATTTTCATTTTCAATTTGACTATGCGTTTTGTGAGTTTATATTGTGATTTTATGCTGCGAACAGCCCTGAGACCTGCAGATATAGGACAGTATACTACTACTACTACTAGTTGGGACGCGGGTGGCACTGTGGGTTAAACCACAGAGCCTAGGACTTGCCGATCAGAAGGTCAGCGGTTCGAATCCCCGCAATGACGGGGTGAGCTCCCGTTGCTCGGTCCCGGCTCCTGCCAACCTAGCAGTTCGAAAGCACACCAGTGCAAGTAGATAAATAGGTACCGCTCTGGCGGGAAGGTAAGCGGCATCTCCGTGCGCTGCTCTGGTTCGCCAGAAGCGGCTTAGTCCTGCTGGCCACATGCCCCAGAAGCTGGACGCCGGCTCCCTCGGCCAGTAAAGCAAGATGAGCGTTTGTGTTGGTCCAGGGGGGAGGTTACCGTGGGGCGAGGTCCAGGGCCTGAGTTGAGGGTCGGCAGACAGTCCTCCACGGGCGAAGCGGGGTCCACAGCGAGGAGCCGGGCAAGGACAGGAACTCTGGGGGAACCGGACTGGGTGCTGGCCGAAACAGCTCTTCAACGACGTTGCTCCCGCAACCTGGGACCGGGCTGACTGGCCTTTATCTTCTCTGAGGCCGGGGCGGTCCCGGCCCCCAGGAGACCCGCCTCTCCTGGCCTTAAGGCGAGCACTCCTCCTGGGAGAAACCAGTTCCCTCCGCCTCTCTGCCCTGAGCCTCTGCAGTTCAGGAGAGGCTGAAGGGTTACTGGACCCAGGGGGGAGACTCACCTGTAGGCACTGAGTCCTCAACCACCTCCGGAGCCAGAGTGGATTCACCTGGTGCCTGCTCCTGAGGATCCGGCACAGGTGCAGGCGCTTCAGAGTCAAGGCCCTGCCCCAGTTCAGCCGGCCCTGGAGGCGGGGACTCCTGTGCAGGCTGGGATTCCTCCGGTTCAGCCTCTGAATCGGATTCCCAGGCCATCACACCATCCCCCCTCCCAGGCCCCCCCCCTCAATCGAGGGTCTGGACCCGGCTTGCTGGGGTACGCCGCATGGAAATCTCGGAGGCAGGCAGGCGCGTGGACGTTGGCTGCTGGTTCCCAGGAACGGTCCTCAGGTCCATACCCCTTCCAGTCTATGAGATACTGCAGCTTTCCCCTGCGGTATCGGGAGTCCAGAATGCGTTCCACCTCGTACTCAGGCTCCCCCTGAACCAAAACTGGCTGCGGTTGGGGACGGTTCGGGTGGAACTCGTCGGGTGGGGCCACCGGACTCAGAAGGGACCTGTGGAATACCGGGTGAACCTTCAGGGTTGCGGGCAACTGGAGACGGAATGCCACAGGCGAGACCTCGTCCACGATGGGAAACGGGCCGGTGAAACGGGCGTCCAGCTTCCGCGAAGGTCGAGAGGGGTGGAGGTGGCGAGTGGAGAGCCATACCAGGTCACCGACGTGGAGTTCCGGCCCCACCTGGCGGTGGCGGTCGGCCTGGGCCTTGTACGCCTCCTTGGCCTGGCGCAGTTGCTCCATCAATAGCTGTTGCTGGGACTGGAGCTCCTGAAGCCACTCCGTCACCGCAGGGACCGCGGATGCCGGCAGCACATCCGGGAACAGCCGCGGATGATAACCATAACTGGCCTGGAACGGGGTCTGCTGGGTGGACGCATTCACCGCGTTGTTGTAGGCGAACTCCGCCAATGCTAGGTGGTCGACCCAGTCATCCTGCTGGTAGCTGCAGTAACACCGGAGGTACTGCTCCAGCACCGCGTTCGCCCGTTCCGTCTGGCCATCGGTCTGTGGGTGGTAGGCTGATGAGAGACAGACCTCTGTCCCGAGGGTCTGGTGCAATGCTCGCCAGAACCGGGATGTGAACTGAACGCCCGGTCGGACACCACACGCTCAGGTAGGCCATGCAGGCGGAAGACATGCTGAAGGTACAGCTGAGCGGTTTCCTTAGCTGAGGGTACAGATGGGCAGGGGGCACAGTGCACCATCTTAGTGAAATGGTCGGAGAAAACTAGAAGGCAGGTACAGCCACGAGACGGGGGTAAGTCCACTACAAAGTCCAGCGAAACCATGTGCCAAGGACGTGGTGGGACTGGCAACGGCTGAAGTAGGCCGGGGGGTCGCCCAGTAGGGCCCTTGGCCCGCCGGCAGACGTCACAACCAGCGACGTAGCGAGCCACGTCAGCCTTCAGGCGGGGCCACCAAAACTCACGGCTTACCAGATGGGTGGTCCGATACCGCCCAAAGTGTCCCGCTGCTGGGGCATCATGGGTCATCCGGAGAACCTCAGCCCGCAGTGGTCCTGGCGGGATGTACAGGCGACCGTGGTGCAGCAGAAGGCCCTGATGCAAGACCAGCCCCGGACACTGAGGGCATGACCCTTCGGCTAGTTCCCGGAGTCGTTCCTGGGCCCAAGCGTCGACCCGCTGCTGTTCCCGCACCCGAGCCTGCAGTGGCTCAGCCTCCTGAGTGGCCAGGAACGCAGCCGGTGGTAGGATCGTGGTTGGTACTGCTTGCTGTACCGTGTCTGCGCTGTCTTCAGGTTTCCGGGACAGGGCATCTGCCTTCTGGTTTTGGGAGCTAGGGATGTAGCGGATCCGGAACTGGAACCGGGAAAAGAACAACGCCCACCGGATCTGCCTTTGGTTCAGCTTGCGGGTGGTCTGGAGGTACTCCAGGTTCCGGTGGTCGGTTCTCACCTCCACCGGGTGTTGTGCTCCCTCAAGATGGTGGCGCCAGACCTCAAAGGCCACCTTGATGGCCAGTGGTTCCCGCTCCCACACGGTATAGTTACGCTCCGCTGGAAGGAGCTGGCGGGAATAGAAGGCGCAGGGTACGAGTGGCGCATCAGGTCCGTGCTGCTGGGACAAGACGGCACCGAGAGCCGTTCTGGAGGCGTCAGTCTCTACCACAAAGGGTCGAGAGGGATCAGGATGTTGCAAGATCGGCGCTCTCTGGAAACAGGCTTTCAACCCCTGAAACGCCTCCTCTGCCTCCTTGTCCCAGGAAAATGGCGTCTTGGGGCGCAGTAGCCGGGTCAACGGGGTGGTACGATGAGCATAATCTGCAATGAAGGTCCGGTAATAGTTGGCGAACCCCAGGAATCGCTGTAGGTCCTTGCGGTTCCGAGGTGCCGCCCACTCCCGAACCGCTGCCACCTTCCCAGGATCCATCTGCACCCCATCTGGAGAGAGTCGGTGACCAAGGAAGTCCACTGACCGCTGATGGAACTCGCACTTGCTGAGCTTCGCATACAGGCGGTGCTCCCGCAAGCGCTGCAGCACGGTCTGGACATTACCCTCGTGGCGAGCCGGGTCACGGGAGAAAACCAGAATGTCATCCAAGTACACCACCACGTACTTGTCTAGCAAGTCCTGGAACACGTGGTTGATGTACCGTTGGAACACAGCGGGCACGTTGCACAATCCAAAGGGCATAACCAGGTATTCGAACTGCCCATACCGGGTCCTGAATGCAGTCTTCCACTCATCCCCGGCTCGGATCCGAATTAAATTGTAGGCCCCCCGGAGGTCTAGCTTGGTGAACACCTGCGCCCCTTGCACCCGCTCCAGCAACTCCGAAATAAGGGGCAAGGGGTACCGGTCTGGGATGGTAATTTTGTTCAGGGCCCGGTAATCATGGCAAAGGCGAAGCTCCCCACATTTCTTCTTAACGAAGAGCACTGGCGCAGCGGTAGGCGAGGTAGAAGGCCTGAATGAACCCACGCTCCAGGTTCTTGCACAGGAAGTCCTGCAACGCTTCACGCTCTGGCTCCGTAAGAGAGTATAAGCGACTCACCGGCAGGGGCGCTCTGGGCTGGAGGTCTATTCCGCAGTCAAAAGACCGATGTGGCGGCAGCTGGTCTGCCCCCCGTTCATTGAACACGTCTTGGTAGTCCCGGTACTCAGTGGGGAGCGTTGATGCAGCCTCCTCAGTGGGCGCGGCTGCTAGCATCTCAGACCGAGCATGGGGACATGGGTCTGGGAAATGCACAGTCCGATTGACCCAGTCAATCTGAACATTGTGAGCCTACAGCCAGTCCATCCCGAGCACCAGGGGGAACCGGGGCATGGAGGCAATGTCCAAAGTTTGCACCTCCCGGTGCTGCTGGAGACACAAGACCAAGGGCTGGGTCTCCCGAGTGACGGCACCCGAACGCAAGAGCCGTCCATCAATTGCCTCCACCTGTACCGGTTCTAGCTTGTTCTGAAGTGGCACCTGATGATGAGCAGCAAAGGCAGTGTCCATATAGGAGCGGGTTGCCCCCGAATCTACCAGAGTGTGGGTAAGAATCCAGGGCCCACCTGGAGGGTAAAGACGCACCGGAACCATGAGATGTCGCAATTCCACTGGTGTGGGCCCTCTTGCATGGTTTGGGACCCCAGGTATCCAGGGCCTTCGGCTACCGAGGTTGGCGGTTTTCCTGCGATTGGCATCTTCTCAGGACAGGATCGGGCGTAATGTCCACTCCCACCGCAGTACAGACATAGGTTCCCCTCCCGACGCCGCGTCTTCTCCGAGGGGGAGAGGCGAGGTCGCGCAGCCCTAAGCTGCGTTAGCTCGTCCGGCAACTCGGCTGTGGGCGTGGACCTGCTGGGAACGACTGGAGCCAGGAGCCGGGAGTGCTGGCGGTCCCGGGCCTGGCGACGGTCCTCCAACCGATCGTCTATCTGCAGGCTCCACTGAATGAGGGCGTCCAGCATGGTGGGACGATCCATCGTGGCCAACTGATCCAGTATCTCGTCCGACAGTCCCTCAAGATACTGGTCCCAAAGTGCAGCGTCATTCCAAGACAAGTCCTGCGCCAACAGCCGAAATTCTGTGGCGTAGGTGGTGGCTGTGGACTTGTCCTGTCTCAACCGACAAATCGCCCGATTGGCTTGGCTCTCCTTCAGAGGGTTGCCAATGCGGCCTCTAAGTGGTTACAAAACCCCACATAGTCTGTTAGCAAAGGAGAGTTTTGCTGGAGCAGTGGCAAAGCCCACTTGGCCGCCTGGTCCTTTAACAAACTGATCAAAAAGTGCACCTTGGTGCGGTCGTCAGGGAAGTTCCGGGCTCGCCCCTGAATATACAACTTGGCCTGGGCGAGGAACATGGGAAAGCTGGCCGGGGCCCCATCAAATTTCTCTGGCAAGGCCACTGGGTACTTGCCTGGAGCTGGGGCGTCGGCCCCAGGAGCCGGTAGGGCGTCCAACCGCTGCTGAAGAGCCGTAACCACATTGCTTAGCTGCTGAACGGTGTGGGTCAAGGCCTGGTTCTCCTGGGCCAATGCCACCAGCGCAGCTGCCTGGTCAGCCATGGCCTCTGGCTCTTCCCGAACGCACCCCAACGAAGGGGGAGTGCGGGTGTGGCGGGAGCAAACTGTGCTGGTCCAGGGGGGAGGTTACCGTGGGGCGAGGTCCAGGACCTGAGTTGAGGGTCGGCAGACAGTCCTCCACGGGCGAAGCGGGGTCCACAGCGAGGAGCCGGGCAAGGACAGGAACTCTGGGGGAACCGGACTGGGTGCTGGCCGAAACAGCTCTTCAACGACGTTGCTCCCGCAACCTGGGACTGGGCTGACTGGCCTTTATCCCCTCTGAGGCCAGGGGCGGTCCCGGCCCCCAGGAGACCCGCCTCTCCTGGCCTTAAGGCGAGCACTCCTCCTGGGAGAAACCAGTTCCCTCCGCCTCTCTGCCCTGAGCCTCTGCAGTTCAGGAGAGGCTGGAGGGTTACTGGACCCAGGGGGAGACTCACCTGTAGGCACTGAGTCCTCAACCACCTCCCGAGCCAGAGTGGATTCACCTGGCGCCTGCTCCTGAGGATCCGGCACAGGTGCAGGCGCTTCAGAGTCAAGGCCCTGCCCCAGTTCAGCTGGCCCTGGAGGCGGGGACTCCTGTGCAGGCTGGGATTCCTCCGGTTCAGCCTCTGAATCAGATTCCCAGGCCATCACAGCGCCGCAACCCCAGAGTCGGCCACAACTGGACCTAATGGTCAGGGGTCCCTTTACCTTTACCTTAATACTACTACTACTAATTTTATATCCCTCATTTTCCCGTACCTGAGGTAGTTATTGCCTGCAAAAAGTATACGGAATACGAAAAGCTAACAACACATAAGAGATCCTGGTTAAAAAGCATAGCTGTCAACGCTTCCCTTTTTTAAAGGGAAATTCCCTTCTTCCGAATAGGATTCCTCGCAAGAAAAGGGAAAATTTGACAGCTATATTAAAAAGCAATTACGCCATAACAAAATTAAAACCATGTGAGAAAACAGATCTTTAAAATACAGATTTATACCCAACAAAAAGGAGACTGGGTTTTTTGGGGGGGGGGTGGGGAATACTTTTAAATTTTTTTTTTAAATTAATTAGTGATTATTTTCATTTTCAATTTGATTATGTGTTTTTGTTCAGGGAGTTTTTAACGTGTGATATTTTAGTGTATTTTTGGTTTCTATGGAAGCCGCCCAGAGTGGCTGGGGAGGCCCAGCCAGATGGGCGGGGTATAAATAATAAATTATTATTATTATTATTATTATTATTATTATTATTATTAGTGATTTTATGCTGCGAACCGCCCTGAGACCTGCAGATATAGGGCAGTATAATAATAATAATAATAATAATAATAATAATAATAATAATAAATTATATCCCTCATTTTCCCATGCCTGAGGTAGTCGTTACCTACAAAAAGTATAGGGAATATGAAAAGCTAAAAACACATAAGAGATCATGGTTAAAAAGCAATTAAGCCGTAACAGAATTAAAACCATGTGAGAGAACAGATCTATTAAACTACAAGTAACAAAAACAGCATAGCCCATTTAAAAGCCCTTTGCGTAGAAAACGGTCAGTCCTTGAAGATTTGGGAGGGGGCTCAAGAAGAATCATATTGAATGACCCTCATTTCCCTTTGGTCTGATCCAGTGAAGACCCAGTTCCAGGAACAGATCTCTAAACTGCGGACCAGCGTGCGGACCCAGAATTGCGAAGTGGAGAGCATTAAAAGCAACAAGACAGGTCAGGAATTAATCGGGGAGCAGCGCTCAAGCGTCTGTCTGGAAAAGGGGGGTGCATAACTGTGGAAAGGTGGCTCTTGCAATAATTCCCTGGTCCTGAATGGGGCAACTGTGCCCCTGAAGGACCAGGTGCGCAGCCTGGGAGTCATTTTGGACTCACAGCTGTCCATGGAGGCGCAGGTCAACTCTGTGTCCAGGGCAGCTGTCTGCCAGCTCCATCTGGTGCACAGGATGAGACCCTCCCTGCCCGCAGACTGTCTGGCCAGAGTGGTGCATGCTCTGGTTATCTCCCGCTTGGACTACTGCAACGCACTCTGCATGGGGCTACCTTTGAAGGTGACCCGGAAACTACAACTAATTCAGAATGCGGCAGCTAGACTGGTGACTGGGAACGGCCACCGGGACCACATAACACCGGTCTTGATAGACCTCCATTGGCTCCCAGTACGTTTCCGAGCACAATTCAAAGTGTTGGTGCTGACCTTGAAAGCCCTAAACGGCCCCAAATGCCCAGTATACCTGAAGGAGCGTCTCCATCCCCATCGTTCTGCCCGGACACTGAGGTCCAGCTCCGAGGGCCTTCTGGCGGTTCCCTCATTGCGAGAAGTGAGGTTACAGGGAACCTGGCACAGGGCCTTCTCGGTGGTGGCGCTTGCCCTGTGGAACGCCCTCCTTTCTGATGTGAAGGAAATAAGCAGCTATCCTATCTTTAAAAGACACCTGAAGGCAGCCCTGTTCAGGGAAGTTTTTAATATTTAACGCTGTATTGTTTTTAATACTTGATTGGGAACCGCCCAGAGTGGCTGGGGAAACTCAGCCAGATGGGCGGGGTATAAATAATAAATTATTATAATATTATTATTATTATTCTCAGAGTCTCCAAGTCATCAAGTGTGCATTTTGGTGTTTTTATCTTGCAAATTGTCCTGTGACCCTTGGATGATGGGTGGTACGAAATAAGAATAAGAATAAGAATAAGAATAAGAATAAGAATAATGGGAAGTGGCTTCTTCAGCGGATTAGAGCATATATTGGGGAACCCGTCTTTCAAATACTCCAAATGACCTCGTTCTCCGTCCGGTTCTGGGCACCCTATTTTAAAGAGGAGATGGACAAGCTGAAAGGTGTGCAGAGTAGGGCAACCAAGGTGACGGAGGGTTTGGAAAACAAGCCTGATGAGGAACGGTTGAGGGAGCTGGGGATGTTTAGCCTGGAAAAGAGGAGACTGAGAGGAGATACGAGAACCATCTTCAAATATCTCAAGGTCTGCCCCATGGAGCAAGCTTGTTTTTTCCTGCTCCGGAGGGCAGGACTCGAACCCGTGGCTTCAAGCGACAAGAAAGGAGATTTTGACTAAACATTTCCTTACATTAAGAGCTGTTTGAAAGTGAAACGGTCTCCCTCTCTTTCCTTGGTGGTCATTTTAAGCCATCTGTCAGGAAAGCTTCAGCTGAGATTCTTACATTCCAGGGGGGTTGGACTAGATGAGCTTTGGGGTCCCTTCCAACTACAGTGGTACCTTGGTTCCCAAACCCAGAAAACCCAGAAGTACATGTTCCGGTTTTCAAACGTTTCTCAGAAGCCGAACGTCCGACGCGGCTGTCGGCTATTGTTTCCGGGGCGCCTGCACCAATCAGAAGCTGTGCCTTGGTTTTCGAACATTTCAGAAGTCAAACAGACTTCGAGAACCAAGGTACTGCTATATTTGGAGTTTTTGCTATTTATTTTGCCTTTTTGTTTTTGAGGCTTTTTCGGTTAATTTGTTTTCGTGAACCCAGTTCAGCTTCCGATCGATCGATTGATTGTGTGACTGTGGAAATGGATAAAAGCCCCCCATCCAAACAAGGACTATCATCAGTGCAGCTAAGAAAAGAATTTTTTTTTTAAATTTTATCGTCTACAATACTGTCCTATTTATTTTATAGTACAGTACATTGATTACTGCTTTCATTTTAGGGATCGATTGTTTCGTTAGATAGTAAAATTCGTGTTCAATGGCTGTTTTTTAAGTCTGGAACGGATTAATCCATTTTGCATTGCTTTCTATGAGAAAGGGCGCCTTGGTTTTGGAACGCTTTGGTTTTGGAACAGATTTCCAGAACGGATTAAGTTTGAGAACCACGATTCTATGGTTCTGTGAAGTTTTTACCAGCTATCCCACAGAGGGAACCACCTCAAAGTGATGTTTGCCAGCCGACTCTTTTTCGTAAGGCAGCGTGGATCATTCCTCTTTCATTCTTTACCCCCCTCCCCCCAAAAGTGGGAAGCCACTGCTGCCTAAAAGGTTGGCTCCCGTTTAGTCGCAGCTGCTACTGGCTCTCCAAAACGGACAAGTCTTGGGACGAAGCCAAGCTGGACTGCGAAGATAAAGACGCCCACCTGGTCATCATCACCAGCTACCTGGAACAGGTAAGTTGGCCTGAACTCTAGGCGGGAGAAACACCTTTGAAGGTGACTGCAACTAATCCAGAATGCGGCAGCCGGACTGGGGACTGGGAGCAGCTGCCGAGACCATATAACACCAGTCCTGAAAGACCTACATTGGCTCCCAGGACGTTTCCAAGCACAATTCAAAGTGTTGGTGCTGACCTTGAAAGCCCTAAACGGCCTCAAAGGCCCAGGAGACCTGAAGAAGCGTCTCCACCCCCATCGTTCTGGCTGAACACTGAGGTCCAGCTCTGAGGGCCTTTTGGTGGTTCCCTCATTGTGAGAAATGAGGTTACAGGGAACCAGGCATAGGGCCTTCTCGGTGGTGGCGCCCGGCCTGTGGAACTCCCTCCCACCAGATGTCAAAGCGAAAAACAACTACAAAACTTTTAGAAGACATCTGAAGGCAGCCCTGTTTAGGGAAGCTTTTAATGTTGCAAGTTTTGTTGTGTTTTCTGTTGGGAGCCGCCCAGAGTGCCTGGGGAAACCCAGCCAGATTGGCGGGGGAGTATAAATAAGAAATCATTATTATTATTACTGGGACTTACAGCAAACCATGGAAAATGCAACGGACGTTTGTTCCGATCCAACACGAAATCACACCGGTTTTTCCTGGGAAGCGCGAAAGGAACTATGGACGAGCCCTAAGAAATGCAATTAATAACACCAACTAAAACCGCAATCTGCCCCCGGTGACACCCCTTTTTTTCTTCCCTTTCTCTCTCGCCAGCAATTTGTGGCCCAGCTCACAAAGCCCCGGAACGCCTGGATCGGCTTGACCATGGCTAGCGGCGTCTGGAAGTGGGTGGACGGGACGGGCTACACCATCCGCAGAATGTGAGTTTGACCCCCTGCCGTCCTGGTGTCCACTCGCATTGCCCTTTTGTGAGGTTCCATGTGCTGGGTATATCATTCAAGAGGATATTCTGCTCTGTAAATGCGAGGTTGTTCCATACAGTCCTGTTGATGGTTACAGTTACCTTCAACCAAAATCTTTCAATATAGGGCAATGAAAAAACATATGTTTTAGAGAAGCATTTTCCCTATTGCTTCTCCGGCAGTTCGATACCTTAGATAGCCATTTTTTAAAACAAATGTAATGGGGTCCAGGGGACGTGGGTGGTGCTGTGGTCTAAACTACAGAGCCTAGGATTTGCCGATCAGAAGGTCAGAGGTTCGAATCCCGTGACGGGGTGCGCTCCCGTTGCTTGGTCCCAGCTCCTGCCAACCTAGCAGTTCGAAAACACGTCAAAGTGCAAGTAGATAAATAGGTACTGCTCTGGCGGGAAGGTAAACTGCATTTCTGTGCGCTGCTCTGGTTCACCAGAAGCGGCTTAGTCATGCTGGCCACATGACCCTGAAGCTGTACGCCGGCTCCCTTGGCCAGTAAAGCGAGATGAGTGCCGCAACCCGAGTCGGCCACGACTGGACCTAATGGTCAGGGTCCCTTTACCTTTAATGGGGTCCAGTATATTCCAAATACTATTTTCTGTTGTATGTGGCTCTCTGAGCTGATATGAACTCTCGCAGGAGCATTCAAGGCACATGGCGGTTTTGCTCGGGCTGCCATTTTTCTTTCCTTCCTCTTGTTGTAAACAAAAATTGCCCTTTTCCCTTACGGGTATCCAAGAGCCCATATAGAGTCCTTACATAGGTTCCCTATTGGTAGGAGAAGATAACAGAGGCCAACCATAGAATATTGAGAAGCAAGCAGCAAGTAAGCTAGATCTTTATTGATCTGTTGCAACAGGGTGCTCCCTCACCTGCGGGAGAGAGGAGGAACCCCGAAAAATGGCATGCAAGGCCTTATAAAGACTTTTGAAATTGCAACCCTGTAGATCAAGACCACCCCCAGAAACATCATACATACATCACAGAAAGGGTGTAACCTAAGACCACCCCTCAGATGTTGTTGTTTAGTCGTGTCCGCTCTTCGTGACCCCCTGGACCAGAGCATGCCAGGCACTCCTGTCTTCCACTGCCTCCTGCAGTTTGGTCAAACTCATGCTGGTAGCTTCAAGAACACTGCCCCACCATCTCGTCCTCCGTCGTCCCCTTCTCCTTGTGCCCTCCATCTTTCCCAACATCAGCGTCTTTTCCAGGGAGTCTTCTGTTCTCATGAGGTGGCCGAAGTATTGGAGCCTCAGCTTCAGGATCTGTCCTTCCAGTGAGCACTCAGGGCTGATTTCCTTCAGAATGGAGAGGTTGGATCTTCTTGCAGTCCATGGGACTCTCAAGAGTCTCCTCCAGCACCAGAATTCAAAAGCATCCATTCTTCGGCGATCAGCCTTCTTGATGGTCCAGCTCTCACTTCCATACATCACTACTGGGAGAACCACTACTGGGAGAACCCTCAGATACATCATACCTACATCACAGAAAAGGAGGTCTACAGCAGAAATCTGAGTGCTTTGTTTACCTCCTGTCTGCCAGGTTACCTGTTAATGGTCACTTGATTGGATTGCCTGGCCAGTCTTTTGTAAGGCTACTTAGTTCCTGAGCTCACACCCTATTCATATCTTAAATGTGCCCTTAAGACAGGATTTGTGAGGAAAGAGACAATGGGGAGGTTTCCCACTTTGACCTTCCAGAGAAAACATTTGCTCAGTTTGGGAATCAAAATGGTTCCAGGTCGGTCTTCCTGTGCTGATCTATGTACGTGCTTGGTTGGTACATTGATGAACATTTAATATATATCTAAGACCTCAAAATTCCTATCACGCTCTCGCTCTCGTTGCAGAGACTGGCGGCTCGGGGAACCGGGTAGCTTTTCCGTCGAAATGCCCTACCACCCGGCCCGTTGTGCCCATCTCTACCGCGACGGGCTATGGAGCAACGAGAACTGTAACCGCCGCTACAACTGGGTTTGCGAGATGAACGGCTGAGTTGCCAGGACAGAGAGCGCCCAGCATGGAGGCCAAGGAGTTTGCCAGGCCGCTCGGCCTCTTCCAAAGCAAATAAACAGAATCATTACGCAAAGAAAGGGGACACCTTGTCATCATTGTCTATTTCCGGAACGTTTTCGTTTCTCACAGTTTTTACCGGTAATTTTATCGCTGTGTCCTTTTGGCAAACCGCGTCGACTTTAATAAATAATAATAATCAATTTTTATTTATACCCTGCCCTTCCCAGTTCAAAAACCAGGGTGTCTAACAACAAATTTTAAAACACTTAATTGTAAAAGCAGCGTAAAATACAGTATAAAAACATGACTTTGAAGTACAGTGGTACCTTGGTTCTCAAACAACTTGGAACCCAAACACTGCAGACCTGGAAGTATGTGTTCCAGTTTGCGAACTTTTTTCGGAAGCTGAACGTGCTCCGTTTTGAGTGTTACGCTTCCAATTTGAGAGTTACACTGAGGTCTGTCTGTTTTTGCTATTTATTTTGTGTTTGTGTTTTTGCGGCTCTTTTTTCTTTTGTGACTGTGTGGAACCCAGTTCAGCTACCGACTGACTGATTGATTGTGTGACTGCAGTACATTGTGTATTCCTTTCATTTTATGGATCAATGGTCTCGTTAAATACTAAAATCCATGTTAAATTGCTGTTTTAGGGGTTGTTTTTAGAAGTCTGGAACGGATTAATCTGTTTTGCATAGCTTTCTATGGGAAAGCACGCCTCGGTTTCGGAACGCTTTGGTTTTGGAACGGACTTCCGGAACGGATTAAGTTTGAGAACCACGGTACCACTGTAGTTGTTTTGCAGCTAATAGTTATATTCTTATTCTTAAAACATTTTGGGAATGTTTAAAACGGTTTTCTTTCACGGTAATTTTATTGTTTTGGTAACGAGCTTTGAATTTGTTTGTTTGTTTTTACAATCAGGCAGTGCAGTCACAGCATAGATTAGACCAACCTTTTTCAGGACCATGCCCCACTAAAGCATCTCAAAAATCCTGATACTCCCAGAATTCCCTGGGGGGGGAGCCATGCCAGTTCAACAGCGCTTCCCGGGGGACTCTGGGAATTGTAGTTCCATGGGGGGAAATAAGAGTCTCCTCACCGCACTCAGCCCCAGTAACCAAACTATGTTTCCCAGGACTCTTTGCGGGCGAAAACTGTTTAAAATGGTATGATGAACAGGATAGGGGACTGGGGTTTGGCCCAATCTTACCACAATGACCCGTATTACTGTGAAGACAACGGCATCCTGAAAACCTTTGGCGTACTGCAAGAAGGGGAAAGGCGAAATGTTGCAAACCTGTACGTATATTTATTTATTTGATGCAGTGAAGGCTGGTGTCGGTGGGGAGGAAAGCAGGGAGTTAAAAAGGAGGCAAATCCAAAAGCAAGGACATTTATTTTGTTTCGGTCAGGACAAATGTAAGATTCTACACTTAGGCAGGAAGAACCAGATGCACAAATATAAAATGGGGGACAGCTGGCTCGCTAGCAGTACATGTGAAAAGGATCTTGGGGTCTTGGAGGACCACAAGCTAAACATGAGCCCATAGTGTGATGCAGCAGCAAAAAAGGCCAACGCTATTCTAGGCTGCATCAACAAGAAGTCTAGTGTCCAGGTCAAGGGAAGGAATAATCCTGCTCTATTCTGCCTTGGACAGACCACACCTGGAGTCCTGTGTCCAGTTCTGGGCATCCCAGTTTAAAGCGGAGATTGACAAGTTGGAAGGTGTGCAGAGGAGGGCAACCAAGATGATCAAGGGTCTGGAAACCAAGCCTTAATGAAGGAATGGGTTTCCAAATCTAAAAACCTGACTGTACAGTCAGTCTGAAACGGGACCCAAAATCCACATTTCCCTCCCTGCAAGGGAGCATTTCTAAAATGCATTAACTTGAGCTCGTGAGTCAATGTATAAACAGAAAGCCAGCTGTATAAACAAGTGCTCAAAGCGCTCTCCTTTATCAGTCCGTGACGGCAATGGATGGCCTTGGCTGTTCCAGTGGAGCAGGGATGGCACTCTATCTTATCTTACATTAAGACCACACTCTGACGCACAGACTTAGTCCGGGAACGGCGCCAGGAGTTGGTGACCTCTTGCTCCAAGATAAGAGTATAGGAACAGGAATAGGAACACCCCTTTATGGTCCAAAGTACAGGAAGAGGAATATTGACATCCTGGGCATCAGTGAACTAAAATGGATGGGAATGGGCGAATTCAGTTCAGATGACCATCATATCTACTACTGTGGGCAAGAATCCCATAAAAGAAATGGTGTGGCCCTCATAGTCAACAAAAGAGTGGCAAAAGTGGTACTGGGATGCAATCTCAAAAATGATAGAATGATCTCGATACGAATCCAAGGCAGACCTTTTAACATCACAGTAATCCAAGTTTATGCACCAACCACTGGTGCTGAAGAAACTGAAATTGAGCAATTCTATGAAGACTTACAACACCTTATAGAAATGACACCAAAGAAGGATGTTCTTCTCATTATAGGGCATTGGAATGCTAAAGTAGGGAGTCAAGAGATAAAAGGAACAACTGGCAAGTTTGGCCTTGGAGATCAAAACGAAGCAGGGCAAAGGCTAATAGAGTTCTGCCAAGAGAACAAGCTGGTCATCACAAACACGCTTTTCCAACAACACAAGAGACGACTCTACACATGGACATCACCAGATGGGCAGCATCGAAATCAGATTGATTATATTCTCTGCAGCCAAAGATGGAGAAGCTCTATACAGTCAGCAAAAACAAGACCTGGAGCTGACTGTGGCTCAGATCATCAGCTTCTTATAGCAAAATTCAAGCTTAAACTGAAGAAAGTAGGAAACACCACTGGGCCAGTAAGATACAATCTAAACCAAATCCCTTATGAATACACAGTGGAAGTGAGGACCAGGTTTAAGGATTTAGATTTGGTGGACAGAGTGCCTGAAGAACTATGGGTGGAGGCTCGCAACATTATACAGGAGGCAGCAACTAAAACCATCCCAATGAAAAGGAAATGCAAGAAAGCAAAGTGGCTGTCCAACGAGGCCTTACAAATAGCGGGGGGAGAGAAGGCAAGCAAAATGCGAGGGAGATAGTGAAAGATACAGGAAATTGAATGCAGATTTCCAAAAAATAGCAAGGAGAGACAAGAAGGTCTTCTTAAATGAGCAATGCAAAGAAATAGAGGAAAACAATAGAATGGGAAAAACCAGAGATCTGTTCAAGAAAATTGGAGATATGAAAGGAACATTTCATACAAAGATTACCATAATAAAAGACAAAAGTGGAAAGGACCTAACAGAAGCAGAAGACATCAAGAAGAGGTGGCAAGAATACACAGAATTATACCAGAAAGATATGGATGTCTCGTACACCCCAGGTAGTGTGGTTGCTGACCTTGAGCCAGACATCCTGGAGAGTGAAGCCAAATGGGCCTTAGAAAGCACTGCTAATAACAAGGCCAGTGGAAGTGATGACATTCCAGCTGAACTATTTAAAATTTTAAAGGATGATGCTGTTAAGGTGCTACACTCAATATGCCAGCAAGTTTGGAAAACTCAGCAGTGGCCAGAGGATTGGAGAAGATCGGTCTACATCCCAATCCCAAAGAAGGGCAGTGCCAAAGAATGCTCCAACTACCGCACAATTGCACTCATTTCACACGCTAGCAAGGTTATGCTTAAAATTCTACAAGGAAGGCTCAAGCAGTATGTGGACCGAGAACTCCCAGAAGTGCAAGCTGGATTTCGAAGGGGCAGAGGAACCAGAGACCAAATTGCAAACATGCGCTGGATTATGGAGAAAGCTAGAGAGTACCAGGAAGACATCTACTTCTGCTTCATTGACTATGCAAAAGCCTTTGACTGTGTCAACCACAGCAAACTATGGCAAGTTCTTAAAGAAATGGGAGTGCCTGATCACCTCATCTGTCTCCTGAGAAATCTCTATGTGGGACAAGAAGCTACAGTTAGAACTGGATATGGAACAACTGATTGGTTCAAAATTGGGAAAGGAGTACAGCAAGGCTGTATATTGTCTCCCTGCTTATTTAACTCATCATGCGAAAGGCTGGGCTGGATGAATCCCAAGCCGGAATTAAGATCGCCGGAAGAAATATCAACAACCTCAGATATGCAGATGACACAACCTTGATGGCAGAAAGTGAGGAGGAATTAAAGAACCTTTTATTGAGGGTGAAAGAGGAGAGCGCAAAATATGGTCTGAAGCTCAACATCAAAAAAACGAAGATCATGGCCACTGGGCCCATCAGCTCCTGGCAAATAGAAGGGGAAGAAATGGAGGCAGTGAGAGATTTTACTTTCTTGGGCTCCATGATCACTGCAGATGGTGACAGCAGTCACGAAATTAAAAGACGCCTGCTTCTTGGGAGAAAGGCGATGGCAAACCTAGACAACATCTTAAAAAGCAGAGACATCACCTTGCCAACAAAGGTCAGTATAGTAAAAGCCATGGTTTTCCCAGTAGTGATGTATGGAAGTGAGAGCTGGACCATAAAGAAGGCTGATCGCCGAAGAATTGATCCTTTTGAATTCTGGTGCTGGAGGAGACTCTTGAGAGTCCCATGGACTGCAAGAAGATCCAACCTCTCCATTCTGAAGGAAATCAGCCCTGAGTGCTCACTGGAAGGACAGATCGTGAAGCTGAGGCTCCAATACTTTGGCCACCTCATGAGAAGAGAAGACTCCTGGAAAAGACCCTGATGTTGGGAAAGATGGAGGGCACAAGGAGAAGGGGACGACGGAGGGCGAGATGGTGGGACAGTGTTCTCAAAGCTACCAGCATGAGTTTGACCAAACTGCGGGAGGCAGTGGAAGACAGGAGTGCCTGGCGTGCTCTGGTCCAGGAGGTCACGAAGAGGCGGACACGACTAAACGACTAAACAACAACAACAACAACAGGAAGAGGAAAACCCTTTTATGGTTAAGAGTAAGGAGCAGGAACATCTGTGATGTCAACCTGTGTGTATAAGCTGACGTGGCTGGATTCCTGGGGAAGGGGGGTGAGGGTGCCTGGAGGATATATATACTGCATGAAATCTCTCATTACTTTGGACTTGCCATGGACTGACCACGCAAGTGCCTTCTGCTATTCGGAGGGCAGAATAAACTCTTTCTCTGAACCAAACCTTGGTGTCATTTGACTTCCTTTCTCCCTCCCGGGAGCAACGCAGACCCCACCAGTCGGTAAAGTCTAAGAAGGCTACATTATGAGCAGGCTTCCTCAACCTCGGCCCTCCAGTTGTTTGGAGACTACAATTCCCATCATCCCTGACTGCTGGTCCTGATAGCTAGGGATCATGGGAGTTGTGGGCCAAAAACATCTGGAGGGCCGAAGTTGAGGAAGCCTGCGTATGAGGAACAGTTGAAGGAGCTGGGGATATTTAGCCTGGAGAAGAGAGGACTGAGATTGAAGCCATGGGTTCGAGTCCTACCCTCCGGAGCAGGAGAAAACAAGCTTGCATCTCTCCTCCATGTGATAGCCCTTAAGATATTTCTTCAGGGCTATCACATGGAGGGCTATCACAAGACGCAAGCTTGTTTTCTCCTGCTCCGGAGGGTAGGACTCGAACCCATGTCTTCAGTTTGCAAGAAAGGAGATTCTGGCTAAGCAGATTCTGGTGGTGAGAGTCATTCAACAGAGGTACTCCTAGAAGGTGCTGGACTATCCTTTCCCGGAGGTTTCAAAGCAGAGGCTGGATGTCAGGGATTCTTTGAGTGTGATTCCTGCATCGCAAGGGGCTGAGATAGATGACCTTTGGTGGTCCCCATCCAGCTCCGCCATTTTGCAAATCTACGAGCGGCGGCCCTGCTACTGCTAGACCTCCCCAACCACTCTGTCCAGGGTGAATAAAGGAACCCTGATTCCTGGGTTCTCCGAGGGATGACACTCCTGCTGTTCCGAAATCTCTGCCCACGCCTCATTTGCTAGCTGCCCCCTCTGCCAGCTGCCGCATGGCGTCTTCTTCGAAGCGGAAGACGTGCCAGCCTTCAGTGGCAGTCAGGTCCACAGCGCCATTGCCAAGGTATAAGTCGATGGCCTTTTGGTTCCAGTCCAGAGCCGATAACTTCATCTGGGTGCATCCTTTCTGCACGCCAATCTGCAGTGGAGAAGAAGAAAGAGCTTAGCTCAGCAGGGAGGACACTTGCTTGGCATGCAGAAGGTTGTGGGTTCAACCCTCGGGATCTTTGGGTAGCGATGGGCAACTGTGCCCCCGAAGGACCAGGTGTGCAGCCTGGGAGTCATTTTGTTTTTAAAAATAATATTTATTACTTTTATAGATTACAAAAAGGAAGAGAAAAACAGAAAAAAAGACAAAGGAGGAAAGCAAAAAGAAAATAAAAAACAATACAGTACAGTATATAAACAATGCAAAACACAACCTAAACTCAAAACTAAACACATTAAACTAAACTAAACAAACCCCACTCCCTAACCTTAACCCTAAATAAAACAAAACAAAAACAATTTAAAAACATACATCATCCCTTTTCCGTACTCAATCTTTCATTCCCTTGTTTCCTCGACCTCCTCTCACCTCCCTTTTTGTATTCCACTTCTATTAATTGTTTCAGCAAATCCTTTCCATCTTTCTCCATTTTCTATCATATTATAAATAACATATTTTTAACCTTATTTTCCATTAAAACTAAAATACTTATATATGCTTAACTCCTTATAACATTTCTGCTAAGCCCATAAAAATCATTCCACCATTTTTCTATCACTCATTAGTTTTACCATATGTCTATATATAAACTTTAAATTTTCCAATCTTCTTCCACCATCTCCTCTCCCTGGTTTTGGATTCTGCCAGTCCTTTCCGTCAACTCCATAAAGTCCATCAACCTGGTGATCTTATGTCCGAGGCTCTTAACTCTTTTCCAAGTCCCTTCTGCAGGTCTTCTTCATTTTCTTTAATGCTAAAGAGCAAATCTCAGGAAACTCCAACCTGTCAATCCTTTTCTTCCTTCTGAACAGATCAGCCAAATTTCCATAGTTGAGGCTACAGTCCATAAAGTATTTCAGGGCATATTTCAAGATTCCTCCAAATCCAAAGGCCCCCAAAACTTCAATCTCCTCCAGGCCCGAGTCCATGTCCCAAAAGTCAGTTAATCCCTGCATAGAGGGATCTTTCCAACTTTCCTTCTTTAATCCAAGCCGGGATCCATTCCTCAAAGTCTGACTTTTCCTAGATTCAATCATAAAAGGCCTCAACTTATAGTCCTCAATTTGCTTCTGTAAAGCCACGGATCTCGCTTGTATTACTTTATGTTCAACAACAGCAGCTGTCTCCTTCTCCTCCCCACCATTTGTCCTGCCAAAATGGATTCCTGTACCAAGTCCTGAATTATTTCTGTGTTGGTGTTCGCTTTTGACTCAAATTAGTCACTTTCTGTTCCAAATTATCAACTTTAAAAGTCATGTCATCCATCTTCTTGAGAAGCTGTCCCAGCGAACAGCTTATCATACATAAAACAGTCACAATGGCCTCTCCTGTCAACATTTTTAAATGGTCCAAGGTCGCTCTCTGGTTCTCAGAATCCTTATCTGCAGCTGGAAATCCCCAGTTACAGTCCTGTAACAGTTTCGAAAGCTCCCTCTAGAGGGAAACAGTCTCCACTTGTATCAGTTCTTTCAGGCACATCTCAAGCATTAAAGATAGTTTCAATTTTCAGTTACTTTTCCTCTTTTTTAAACGCAGAGGAGGACAATGGAAACAGTATCCTACTCTTATTTAGCTAGCTGTCAAATCCGTTCTGTCAATGCACTCTCTCCAAACGTCATCTGGCAGCCCGTTCCCAGGTTCAGAGCAGTGGTAATTTGATTTTTCACTCTCTCCTGCAGGCTCACTAGGTCCAAAACTTCCCCTCTTCTCCTGCTTCCAAGGGGGTTTTGTATTTTAAACCGATGGAAATTTAATCCTTTGCCAAAAGCTTTAAAAGAGTTTAACTTGTAACGTCTTTGCTTCAGTCTATTTACAAAAACGGAAGGCGGACTTCCTGTTTAGAGCCTTCCCGCTTCAGTGCCAAATTAAGGTATTTAAAAGTCCAATTTTCCGTTCTACTCACGGGTAGTTGTTTAAAATCCAATTGTCCACAGGAAAAAGTCAGCGCTCTCCGGCAACAGCAATGCGGCTTCACTCCGTGAAAGAAGCAGTCGATTCAAAGCACCGCGCCACTCACCCCACGTCGCTCCGGATCCCCAAAACAGGGTTTCCCTGCGAGTAGGGGAGGCGCAAAAGGTGCCAGCCGAATCGCCTGGGAGTAATTTTGGACTCACCGCTGTCCCTGGAGACGCAGGTCAGTTCTGGGTCCAGGGCAGCTGTTTGCCAGCTCCATCTGGTGCGCAGGATGAGACCCTCCCTGCCCGCAGACTGTCTGGCCAGAGTGGTGCATGCTCTGGTTATCTCCCGCTTAGACTACTGCAATGCGCTATATGTGGGGCTACCTTTGAAGGTGACCCGGAAACTGCAATTAATCCAGAATGCGGCAGCCAGACTGGGGACTGGGAGACCACATAACACCGGTCCTGAAAGACCTACACTGGCTCCCAGGATGTTTCCGAGCACAATTCAAAGTGCTGGTGCTGACCTTCAAAGCCCTAAACGGCCCCAAAGGCCCAGTAGACCTGAAGGAGCGTCTCCACCCCCATCGTTCTGCCCGGACACTGAGGTCCAGCTCCGAGGGCCTTCTGGCGGTTCCCTCCCTGTGAGAAGCAAAGCTACAGGGAACCAGGTAGAGGGCCTTCTCGGTGGTGGCGCCCGCCCTGTGGAACGCCCTCCCACCAGATGTCAAGGAAATAAACAACTATCTGACTTTTAGAAGACATCTGAAGGCAGGCCTGTTTAAGGAAACTTTTAATGTTTGGTGTTTTATCATTTTTTCATTATTATTATCATTAATTCTGTTGGGAGCCGCCTAGAGTGGCTGGGGAAACCCAGCCAGATGGGTGAGGTATAATAATACACAATAATAATAGTTATTATTACACCTGCCTGACACGGGTGGCGCTGTGGGTTAAACCACAGAGCCTAGGACTTCCCGACCAGAAGGTTGGCGGTTCGAATCCCCGCAATGACGGGGTGAGCTCCCGTTGCTCGGTCCCAGCTCCTGCCAACCTAGCAGTTTGAAAGCATGTCAAAGTGCAAGTAGATAAATAGGTACCACTCCGGCGGGAAGATAAACGGCGTTTCCGTGCGCTGCTCTGATTCGCCAGAAGCGGCTTAGTCCTGCTGGCCACATGACCCGGAAGCTGTACGCCGGCTCCCTCGGCCAATAAAGTGAGATGAGCGCCGCAACCCCAGAGTCGGCCACGACTGGACCTAATGGTCAGGGGTCCCTTTACCTTTAACTTACACATGGAGAGTCATTGCTGCCAGCCCGAGCAGGTCATATGCAGCTAGGTGGACCCCAGAGGCATGACTGGCTATGAGGCAGCTTCCGATGTCCCTATTTATAGGGGAAAGGGACGTAGCAGAACAGTTGCCTGGCATGCAGAACGTTCCATTTCTGTGTAGGGGCAGCTCTTACCTGGGCAATGGAGCTCATCAGCTTCTTCCCAATGCCTCTCCCTGTGACAGAAGGAAGAGGAAAAGCTCAGAAGGGAGACAGGACTCCTGGGTTCTCCGAAGGAAGGAAATACGCCCCCCCCCGGTATTTACGCCTTGGGAACTCTCTGCCTCAGCATCCTGGCTTCCGCTACCACGTCCCAGGACATGTCCCGCCCTCCTCTGGTCTAGGTCGCTCCCTCCAAATTTTACCTTTGTTTTCAAAGCAAACGGACTCCTTCCTCGGGTTACATACGCTTCAGGTTACATACACTTCAGGTTACAGACTCCGCTAACCCAGAAATAGTGCTTCAGGTTAAGAACTTTGCTTCAGGATGAGAACAGAAATTGTGCTCTGACAGCAGCAGGAGGCCCCATTAGCTAAAGTGGTGCTTCAGGTTAAGAACAGTTTCAGCTTAAGTACGGACCTCCGGAACGAATTAAGTACTTAACCCCAGGTATCACTGTAATTTATTATTATTTATACCCCGCCTATCTGGCTGGGTTTCCCCAGCCGCTCTGGGCGGCTTCCAACAGAATATTAAAATACAATAACCTATTAAACATTAGAAGAAACATTAGAAGCTTCCCTGAACAGGGCTGCCTTCAGATGTCTTCTAAAAGTTTGGTAGTGTTAATTTTTCTCTTTGACATCTGGTGGGAGGGCGTTCCACAGGGTGGGCGCCACCTCTGCCTGGTTCCCTGGCCCTCTGCCTGGTTCCCTGTAACTTGGCTGCTTCTCGCAGGGAGTTTTGGGAATTGTAGTGCAATGAAAGTGGAGGGCGCCAGGTTGCTTTGAAGGTGCAATACTCTCTCTCTCTCTTTCTCTCTCTCTCTCTCACACATTTTCTTAATTATACAGTGGTACCTCGGGTTAAGTACTTAATTCGTTCTGGAGGTCCGTTCTTAACCTGAAACTGTTCTTAACCTAAAGCACCACTTTAGCTAATGGGGCCTCTCGTTGCTGCCGTGCCGCCGGAGCACGATTTCTGTTCTCATCCTGAAGCAAAGTTCTTAACCTGAAGCACTATTTCTGGGTTAGTGGAGTCTATAACCTGAAGGGTATGTAACCTCAGGTACCACTGTAGTTCCTGGCTGTTCATAGAATCCACCAAATTGTTCGGTTGTAAGGGACTCCAACGGTCATCCAGTCCAACCCCCTGTGCTGCACGAATCTTTGCCCAACGCGGAACTCGAACTCGCAACCCGGAGATTAAGAGCCTTGAAGCAGCTCCTTCCCTTCCGCATTTCCGTACCTCGAAACTCTGGCATGACGTAGAGGTCTTCCATGTAGATGTTTCTGCCTTTCCAGGTGCTGTAAGTGAAAAAATATAGGCCGAACCCCACGACGGTGTGGCCTGCAGCGGGAAAAATGAAAGAACGGCGACAAAAGATCACAAGCTGCTTTTCTAAAATCAGTCCAGGGCTCTTCTGGATCAGGTTCGCAGCTGACCATAAACAGGACCCGGGCGATTCAAATACAACCTTTTACTCCAGGCAGTTTTTGGGGGCAGAAAATATATTGGGGGCTGCCCTAGAGATTGTGGGCCGCTCCCCGTGGGACGAGAACCTTGGTGAGTGGTTCTGAAATTCCCCGGATTGCAAATCATAGAATTGGAAAATTGCAATGCACCCCAAGGGTTAATAATCATCATCATAATAATATTTTATTTATACCCCGCCCTTCCTGGTTCAGAAAACCGGTCTCAGGGCGGCTAACAACAAATTTAAAACACTTGACTGATGCAACAAAAAACAGCATAAAATACAGTGTAAAACGTGAATAACAATAAATTCAGAATTCAAAAGTCAAAAGTCAATTTAGGGGGGAAATCCATCCATGTAGAGAGTTTCATAGACATTTGCAGGGAAACAACAAAAATATAAGGCCCTGTCCAAAAGGATTTGCAGTCTTTAATACAGGGGAGGAGGGAAAAACCCTTGTTGCATTCAATTAAACACAGTTTCAATAGCAGATTAATGGTTGGTCAATATTCTACGGCCTTCTAAATGTGTCTGCCGGGGTGTGTGTGTTATTTTAAATATTTACCTTGTATTTTATCCTGTGAACCACCCTGAGATCTTGCGATGAAGGGAGGTCTATAAATCTAATTCATCATCACCATCATATTTTTTATTTACAGTATACCCTGCCCATCTGGCTGCGTCTACCCAGCCACTCTGGGCGGCTTCCAACAAAGATTAAAAATACATTATAACATCAGTTACTAAAAAAATCGCTAAACAGGGCTGCCTTCAGATGTCTTCTAAAAGTCAGATAGTTGTTTATTTCCTTGACATCTGCTGGGAGGGCGTTCCACAGGGCGGGCGCCACCACTGAGAAGGCCCTCTGCCTGGTTCCCTGTAACTTGGCTTCTCGCGGGAAGAAAACCGCCAGAACCATACTACCACAAAATATAATTGAGAAATAAAAATTACATACATCAATATTTTGTTTGCTATTTGTTATTTACCATCTTATTTCCTCCCAGACATTCCATGCAAAACACACACCCGCACAAATAATAATAATGAAAATAAATATTTCCCCACCTTTTATCTTACAAAATCGTTTCTTCAGTTCTGACTTCCTGTCAAGTCCCTTCGCATATATTTTATCTTACAACTGAACGTAAACAAAACAATAAACCTTTCCAATACATTCAGAAAACATAATAAATCCGTAATTGTTGTCCACCTCCTTTTACTTCCTTTGTCACTCGAACGCTAGCACGGAGTCAAAACTATTATTGTATTTCCTCTATAACCATCCCATTTTCCCGCAAATTTTTGCTTTGAGTTTCCTCTGAGTTTGCTCGTCCATTGAGCCATCTCAATTACAAATTCCTGTAATTTAATTTGCCAATCTATTATTTTTGAAGGTGGCTGTCCTATCACCTCTCAGTTCCCTCTTCTCCCTTCCCAACTCCTTCGACCGCTCCTCATATGGCCAGACCCCTTGATCCTCTTAGCCGCCCTATAGCTTGTCGATATCCTCCTTAAACTGGGGTGCCCAGAACTCCAGATGGGCTCTGACCAAGGTACAACGTCTCTGGGGCAAACCTGGGCGATTCTTCCTTCTGCTTTTCCTCCCATCATTGAGCCCCGGAGACGGAGGTTAATTGGGAGATGGAAGGAGGGAACAGAAGGGGAGCTCCCCATTGCGGCAGAGAGGGAAGGATTGCATCTTCGCCATACTGGAAGATGGGATTTTGGGGCAGGAACCTTGCTTACCATCTTTGCTCTGATGTTTTGGGGGAACCTCGGCCACCACACATTTATAGAAGGGGTCCTGGCAGAAGCCGTCCTCGTAAAGTCCTGGAAAGAAAGACGCGAGAATCAAAGAGACAGTGAGAGAAAGGGGGTGGAAAAAAACCGGGTCAGCAGGACCCAGGAAAAACTGCAAGACGACCAGCTGTGTCGATCCCAAACTTTTGGGCTTTTAAGTTCAGGTGAGCTCTGGAAATAATACCAATACTACTACTACTACTACTACTAATTTGTTATTTATACCCCACCCATCTGGCTGGGTTTCCTCAGCCACTCTGGGCGGCTTCCAACAAAACACTAAAATACAAAAACCTATTAAACATTAAAAGCTTCCCTAAACAGGGCTGCCTTCAGATGTCTTCTAAAAGTTTGGTAGTTGTTTTTCTCTTTGACATCTGGTAGGAGGGCGTTCCACAGGGCGGGAGCCACCACCGAGAAGGCCCTCTGCCTGGTTCCCTGTAACCTCACTTCTCGCAGGGAGGGAACCGCCAGGAGGCCCTCGGAGCTGGACCTCAGTGTCCGGGCTGAACGATGGGGGTGGAGACGCTCCTTCAGGTCTACTGGGCCTTTGAGGCCATTTAGGGCTTTCAAGGTCAGCACCAACACTTTGAATTGTGCTCGGAAACGTCCTGGGAGCCAATGGAGGTCTTTCAGGACTGGTGTTATATGGTCTCCCAGTCCCAGTCTAGCTGCCGCATTCTGGATTAATTGCAGTTTCCGGGTCACCTTCAAAGGTAGCCCCACGTAGAGCGCATAGCAGTAGTCCTTCCCGGTTCAAAAACCGGGCTCAGGGTGGCTAACAACAGATTTAAAACCCTCAATTATAAAAGCAGCATAAAATACAGTATAAAAACATGAATGACAATAAAATTCAAAACTAATTAGATATTCCCCAGGGCTAGCTGGCTGAATTGGCCCTACTTGGGCCAGTGAGGAGGCCAGGGGAGAATTAGCTGTGGGATCCCAGAGCGGGTAATCTTCATAAAAAGGAAGAGAAGGGAAATAAAAGATCCGGCTGAATTCAAAGGCCAGGCAGAATAGCTCTGTCTTACAGGCCCGATGGAAGGAAGTTAAATCCTGCAGGGCCCTGGTCTCATGGGACAGAGCATTCCATCAGGTCGGAGCCACCACTGAGAAGGCCCTGGCCCTGGCGGAGGATAATCTGACTTCCTTAGGGCCCGGGACCTTTAAGCTATTATTATTCATGGACCTTAAAGTCCTCTGAGGGGCAGACCAGGAGAGGCAGTCCTGTAAATACAAGGGCCCTAAGCCACAAAGGGCTTTAAAGGTCAAAACCAGCACCTTAAATCTGACCCTGTACTCTACCGGGAGCCAGTGCAACTGGAAAAGCACTGGGTGAATATGCTCCCATGGCAGAGACCCCGTGAGGAGCCTCGCTGCAGCATTCTGCACCCGCTGGAGTTTCTGGGTCAGCTTCAAGGGCAGCCCTGCGTAGAGTGAGTTACAGTAGTCAAGCCCGGAGGTGACCGTCGCGTGGATCACTGTGGCCAGGTCGGGGCAGGAAATGCTGCCCCTCTCCCACACCTGGTGCCCTCAAGATGTTTGAGTCCACAATGACCATCAGCCCACGGTGATCTGATCCCACCCTTCGTGCCCCAAACATGAACACAACACCTCTGTGACTAAACCTGGCCAGGGAAGATTTGCCTATGAGAATTCCCGCCCGCGGTTCAGCCTCACCTTGACTGCTGTTTGCTACCTGATCAGGCATTTTCTCAAACTCTGCAAGTTCCTGAAAAGAGAGAAAGAGAACATTAACCGCAGGTACAATGCCTGCCCCACCACCTCACTTGCCAAGACCTTGAATTTTCACACATAAAAGCAAAGGTAAAGGGACCCCTGACCGTTAGGTCCAGTCGTGCCTGACTCTGGGGTTGCGGCGCTCATCTCGCTTTACTGGCCGATGGAGCCGGCGTACAGCTTCCGGGTCACATGGCCAGCACGACTAAGCCGCTTCTGGCGAACCAGAGCAGCGCACGGAAACACCGTTTACCTTCCCACTGGAGCGGTACCTATTTATCTACTTGCACTTTGAGGTGCTTTCGAACTGCTAGGTTGGCAGGAGCAGGGACCGAGCAACGGGAGCTCACCCCGTCACGGGGATTCGAACCACCAACCTTCCGATTGGCAAGCCCTAGGCTCTGTGGTTTAACCCACAGAGTCCTTACGTAGGTTCCCTATTGGTAGGAGAAAATAACAGAGGCCAGCCAGAGAATATTGAGAAGCAAAGCAGCTCGTTAGCCTGATCTTTATTGATCTGTTGCAACAGGGTGCCCCCTTCACCCGCAGGAGAGGAGGAGGAACGCAGAACCAAATTGTGCCTGCCCTTACATACACATTTTAAATTCTCTGCCCTGGAGCAGAAGACCTCCCCTCCATACATCATACCTACATCACAGAACAGGCGGTCTACAGCAGAAATCTGAGTGCGTTGTTTACCTCCTGTCTGGCAGGTTATCTGTTAATGCTCGCTTGATTGGATACCCTGGGGAGCCTGGCCAGTCTTTTGTAATGACAAATACTCAGTTCCTGAGCCAGGTCAGGCTCACACCCTATTCATATCTTAAATGTGCCCTTGAGAAAGGATTTGTGAGGAAAGAGACAATGGGGAGACTTTTCCAGTTTGACCTTGCAGAGAAAACATTTGGTCAGTTTGGGAATCAAAAGCGGTTTCAGGTTGGTCTTCCTGTGCTGATCTACGTACGTGCTTGGCTGGTACAGTGGTGCCCCGCAAGGCAGAATGCCTCGTAAGACGGAAAACCCGCTAGACGAAAGGGTTTTCCGTTTCAATGTGCTTCGCAGGACGTATTTCCCTATGGGCTTGCTTCGCAAGACGAAAATGTCTTGCGAGTCTTGAGATTTTTTTTCCGCTTCCCCCCCCCCCTTTTTCTAAGCCGATAAGCCTTTAATAGCCGCTAAACCGCTAATAGCGCTAATCCGCTAAGCCGCTAATAGGGTTGCTTCGCAAGACGAAAAAACCGCTAGACGAAGATACTCGCGGAACGGATTAATTTCGTCTTGCGAGGCACCACTGTACATTGATGAACATTTAATATATATCTAAAGACGTGGGTGGCGCTGTGGGTTAAACCACAGATCCTAGGACTTGCCGATCAGAAGGTCGGCGGTTCGAATCCCCACGACGGGGTGAGCTCCCGTTGCTCGGTCCCTGCTCCTGCCCATCTAGCAGTTCGAAAGCACGTCACAGTGCAAGTAGATAAAGAGGTACCGCTCCGGCGGGAAGGTAAACGGCATTTCCGTGCGCTGCTCTGGTTCGCCAGAAGCGGCTCAGTCCTGCTGGCCACATGACCCGGAAGCTGTACACCGGCTCCCTCGGCCAGTAAAGCGAGATGAGCGCCGCAACCCCAGAGTTGTCCGTGACTGGACCCTAATGGTCAGGGTCCCTTTACCATTAATATATATCTAAGACCTAAAAATTCTTATCACATTCGGCCACCGTGAGAACAGGATCCTGGAGTGGATCGGGCCCCCTCCGGCCTGATCCAGCAGCCTCTCTGGATTGCAAACTGCGGAGTGCAAGTTTTTCTGCAGAATCTCAAATGACAGAGAGAGAGAGAGAGGATAGCCTAGAGTCTAAAGCAATATCTGGCAATTACACAATCTCTCTGCGAGCTTTGCTATGCTAATGCAAAACCCACAGGAGAGAAATCCCTGGCCTTGGTCCAGCGCTAAACAAACAGCATCAAACTCTCCGGTTAAATCCTGGCTCAGCCTTTCAAAGCCAAGGAGGTTCCTTTTGAAGTCAGGCAGGGTGAACGTTGTTACAGAGTGTGCCCAGTTTAGACTTTGCAAAGGAGGATGAGCCTTCGCTCCCTTTTATTCTGACAGCAGGGGGCTGTTGCTAGGGCTGGAATAGATCCTGGGCCCGCACATCTGCATAGGATTTGCATATGCTAATCTACATTTAAGGATTTAAAAGCCTCGCATACGAATCCCGCCCCCAGGCCCCGCTTCAATTAATTCGCACTCCGCTCCAAATCCAGCTCACCTGCAGTTTCAATTTATTCCTCCTCAATATCCTGAACAAATTCTGTTCTGGATCCTAGAATTATAGAGTCAAGTGGGACCCCTGAGGGTCATCCAGCCCACCCCGCTGCAGTATGCAGGAATCTTTTGCCCAATGTGGGATTTGAACCCACAACCCTGAGATTAAAAGTCTCACGCTCTACCGACTGAGCTGGTTATCTCTCCGGCATCTTGCCCTCAGCGTGGCCAAGCAGACGCCCGTTATGTGAAACCGACAAGAAGGATTCGAACGCAGCTCTCCCCTCTCGCCATGGCTCCCAATAACTGACCTTCAGAAGCAGAGCCATCATGGCTCGTAGCCGCCCCATAGCCATAATAATAATAATAATAATAATAATAATAATAATTTATTACTTATACCCCGCCTATCTGGCTGAGTTTCCCCAGCCACTCTGGGCGGCTTCCAATCAAGTGTTAAAAACAATACAGCATTAAATTTTACAAACTTCCCTAAACAGGGCTGCCTTCAGGGGTCTTGTTTCAAAAAGATAGCTGCTTAGTTCCTTCACCTCGGGAGGGGGGGCGGTCCACAGGACAGGTGCCACCACCAAGAAGGCCCTCTGCCTGGTTTCCTGTAGCTTTGCTTCTCGCAATGAGGGAACCGCCAGAAGGCCCTCGGAGCTGGAGCTCAGTGTCCAGGCAGAACGATGGGGGTGGAGACGCTCCTCCAGGTATACTGGGCCTTTGAGGCAGTTTAGGGCTTTCAAGGTCAGCACCAACACTTTGAATTGTGCTTGGAAATGTACTGGGAGCCAATGCAGATCTCTCAGGACCGGTGTTATGTGGTCCCGGCGGCCGCTCCCAGTCACCAGTCTGGCTGCCGCATTCTGGATTAATTGCAGTTTCTGGGTCACCTTCCAAGGTAGCCCCATGTAGAGCACATGACAGTAGTCCAAGCGAGAGATAACCAGAGCATGCACCACTCTGGCGAGACAGTCTGCGGGCAGGTAAGGGTCTCATCCTGCGTACCAGATGGAGCTGACAGACAGCTGCCCTGGACACAGAATTGAACTGCGCCTCCATGGACCACGGTGAGTCCAAAATGACTCCCAGGCTGCGCATCTGGTCCTTCAGGGGCATTGTCGCCCCATTCAGGACCAGGGAGTCCTCCACACCTGCCCGCCTCCTGTACTTCTGTCTTGTCAGGATTCAACCTCAATCTGTTAGCCGCCATCCATCCTCCAACCGCCTCCAGACACTCACACAGGACCTTCACCGCCTTCGCTGGTTCCGATTTGAAAGAAAGATAGAGCTGGGTATCATCTGCATATTGATGGACACCCAGCCCAAACCCCCTGATGATCTCTCCCAGCGGCTGCATGTAGATGTTGAAAAGCATGGGGAGAAGACGGAACCCTAGGCACCCCACAAGTGAGAGCCCAGGGGTCTAAACATTCATCCCCCACCACTTTCTGGACACGGCCCAGGAGGAAGGAGCGGAACCACTGTATGACAGTGCCCCCAGCTCCCAGCCCCTCAAGACGGTCCAGAAGGATGTTATGGTCAATGGTATCAAAGGCCGCTGAGACATCCAGCAGAACTAGGAAACAGTCATCGTTACCGGGTTTGACCAATCCTCTTTTAAAGCCGTCAAAGTTGGTAGCCATCGCTGCCTCAAGTGGCAGGGAGTTCCGCCGTTTAACTATGAATTCCGCAGAGAAGTCTCGACCCCCCCAAGGGTCATCCAGCCCACCTCCCTGAAATGCAGGAATCTTTCTGACCGACTTGGGATTCGAACCCACGACTCTCAAGATGAAGAGTCGTGCTCTGCCAACTGAGCTAACGCCTCGCCTACCTCACAGGGTTGCAGCGAGGATTAAAGGAGGAAGAGGGGGAAAGGGTGGGATATAAATGCAACAGATAAATGGAATTAAATAATTAACCCTTGATGCAGGGAGGATTTGATTTAAATCAAATCGATTTAAATCACGATTTCAGTAAGACTTGATTTAAATCACTAGTCAGTAAGACTTGATTTAAATCATTATTTTTAACAGAAAGACTCATTCTTGCTGGTATAATGTTAATATTTACAACCGTATTAAGGTCTCATTTTTGGAATAATAAATTTCCAGAGTAGTTTTTACAAAAATCACAGATTTGGTTCTACTATAAGAAACACCCAGTCAGATAATGATGAAATTATTGTGAGGTTTAACAAGTTAACTGTTTTCTATTTGGGCAACTTTTCCGCTGTGCTTGATCGGAAGGAGAAAAATAACCATTTCCTTAATATCAATTTAAACATTTTATTTACCTGAAACAATAGCATTATAGCAGATGTATCCACGTTTGTTAACTGATGTGGTTAAACAATTTTTAAAACACCAACCCTAGACTGAGTTTTAGCACACACGAAAAACTTAAAACAAATCCTTATTTCCTGATGAACAGCCTTTGGACTCTAATGCAACTTAAACAGAAAACTATCTTTGGAAAGATTTTTCCTCCAAAAGCATTTTATTTTAAATTTTTAAAAATCCGATTTTTAAATTTCTTTAAAAAGACATTTATTTTTATCCACCTTGCCTGCCTGCAAACCAGGATGAAGGCTCAATAAGCAATAAATCTCTCTTTTTTTTTGCTATTCGGGCTGCAGGGAGGGCCGGGACTCAGCTGCGGGGCTTAGGCGGACATTCAACAGGTGCAGCAGTTGAACAGGACGCAGCTGCACCAGTCGAATGCCTGCCTGCCTGCCTGCCTGCTCGTGGGAAAGGGCCTACCCGGATCATGCGCATGATCTCCGCGCAGTCCTCGGCTCGGGAGGGCCGGATCGACACCGCGGGGGCGGCGGGGTCTTGGTCCACGGCTGCCTGATCAGCCATAGCAGCTCCCCAGCTGGAGATGCGGAAGTTTTCTCCAGGCTCGGAGGACTACATTTCCCAGGATGCTCCAGGGAAGAGGGAGGGTGGGAAGAGGAGGAGGAGGAGCGGGGCGGGACAGAGCTGGCCAGAGAACTCAGCGAATCCTTGAACTGGAAGGGAACCCCAAAGGACATCCAGTCCAACCCTCTGCTCTCAAAGCGCGGTCTCCCATCCAGTTTGAAACCTTACCGGTCCCTGCTGAGCTTTGCAAACGTGATGGGAATTTTATTGCAACCCCACTGGGAGGAGGTTCGATTGGTGGCGACCAATGAATGGATCCTAGGATTGTAGGCTTGGAAGGGACACCGGAGGGTCATCCATCCCAACCCGCTGGATCAGGGTGGAGAGTTCGACTTCGCGGCGGTTTCGATCAGGAACGGGGCATCCAGTGCTGTTTTTCCCCCTTAAAAAATGTTTTGGGGTTGAAGGGTCGATGGAAGGGTCGATGGAAGAAGACTGGAAAAAATTTAAAATATATCTTCAGAAACACTGTAATATAAAAGAATGTTAGAAAAGGTTGGAGAAGAATATTAGACCGTATTGGCAGACAGAGTATAATGGAATAAGTAAATATGAAGTGTAAAATAAAGATAGAGGAGAATTAAATACTTTCGAATGTTAAAATAAGTAAATGAAAAGAAGGTTAGAAGGATTTGCTGGAGATACGATTCAAATTAGAATACAAAGCAGAGAGGTGAGAGGAAGTCACGGAAATAAGTAAATGGGAAGACGGTTGTAATGGTTCAATTTGATTTTTTGTTACTTTTTTATTGTGATTTTTTGTCTTTTGTATTTTTCTTTTTACTGTTTGTTTTATTGTAAGATGTATGTGATTTGTTTTTTTTCTACTTTTTTCTTTCTCTGTAATTTTAAAATTGGAATAAATATTCTTTAAAAAAAATAAATAAATAATGTTTTGGGGTGCTCTTGTTTTGACTCAAGGAAATCACCATTTTATAGTTCAAATTGGGGAAAATAAATGCAGTAAATGGACAAAAGTACAAAGATTCACAAAATGTTTCGGGGTATGTGTCCCCAGGGCTGGATTTAGGTTTGATGAGGCCCTGAGCTACTGAAGGTAATGGGGGCCCTTTCTATGTCCAGCTGTCCTTTGTCAACAACAAATGGTCACTGTTTTTGTGTGTTGAATATATGCTATATGGTCATTGATGGACCGAATAGGTATCTTAAGCCATTTGCGCATGTTGCCCTGCAACCAGTCCATGCAGAATGTAGTCACCCTATATATAGAAAGGATTTGTGAGTCCAAAATGCGCACCTGGTCCGTCAGTGGCACAGTTGCCCCATACCTATGAGACTGTTGATTTAAGCAGAGTCCCAGCGGAAGGATGAGAATACGTGCTGCATACTCTATATTGCTTTATTTACAGTTCAAAGCTGGTATATTACAGAAAGACATCTTGCCTCTGCCGGAGCAGAAAATGCATCCTCTCTCCTCGACAGCTCGGAGAGAATCACACAGTGAAAAACAGGAAACCAGTGTACGTCACATCCAGTCTCCTTTCCCGTGAGAAACTCCAACAGTACAGACTGTGGAATGTAAACACCTGTCTCGTGACAAGCAGAGCTGCACAGTGAAGGAAAGCAGAAACCAACATCCTCCCCTTTCTGTGAACATCACTGGGCAGCGTGTTTGTACAATATCAGTACAAACCCAACTTCTGCACATAGGTACAGTGTTGATCCCTCGATACAATCTTGGACAATACATCAGCAGGAATTTCATTACCTGGCATATAGGACACCGTTACGAGTCCCTTCTGAATACATTCCCTAGCATGCTGCAACTTTAATTGTAAGTGCTTTGTGCTTTGCTTACAACCTTCAGACTTCAGCAAAGCCAAACATGCTTTGTTGTCCTGGTAAACCTGGATTGGACATTTGACAGGAATTTTCATATCTTTGCACAATTGTACTAACCATTCACAATCCTTAAGTGAATAAGACAGTGCATTCAGTTCGGCTTCACAAGTACTTAAGCTAACTGTTGTTTGCTTCTTGCATGACCAATCAAACAGACTCTGATTGTACATGTAGCAAACTCCAGACGTACCTTTCCTGTCTGTAGCGTCACTTCCAAAACTTGCATCTGCAAATATCTCAAGACCACCAGACTTCTGATTGTTAAATCTCAGTCTGTAATGCATAGTGCCTTTCAAATACCGCGCTATGCGTTTCAGAGCTTTCCAATCCTTGACACTAGGATTGTTGACTTGTCTGCTTAGCAAATCACAGCTAACAGCAATGTCTGGTCTTGAACATCTGGCAATGAAGTTTAGCTTGCCTAGCACACTCCTGTACAGTGTAGTGTCAGAAAATGCTTCTTCAGTGTCATCTACCTGATAACCTGTTGTCATCGGTGTGTCTACAGGGTTAGCATCCATCAGATTTAGTTTGCTTAACACATCAGCAATTTTCCGTGACTGGTGTACTAGAATGTTACCATCTTGATCTTTCTCTATTTCCAGAGATAGGTAGTTGTTTACCTCACCAAGATCTTTCATGTCAAAGTGCTCTTTCAGTTGAGCTAGGGCGCTATTGTACATTGCAACATCTTTCCAAAAGAATAATAAATCATCAACATAAAACAAACAGTACAATTTCTTTTGCCCCTCCTCTTTGACAAATACACATGGATCAGCTTTCCCTTGCTGAAAACCTAGAGAAAACAATACTTCAGTGAGTTTTGTGTGCCAACACCGTGCACTTTGTTTGAGACCATAAAGGGATTTCTTCAGAGCACAAACAAATCCCTGTTTTACCTGTACGCCATCAGGTGGAAGCATATAAAGTGATTCATCTAGAGATCCGTACAGAAAAGCTGTATTAATATCATGGTGACTAATGTGTAGATTTTCCTCTACAGCTAGCTTAAGCATAAGCCTAATGCTTTCATATCTCACTGTGGGTGAATAGGTTTCGTGATAGTCTTGACCTGGTACCTGTGCAAAACCTCTGGCTACCAATCTGGCTTTGTGTCTGACTATCTTGCCATTTTGATCTGTCTTCGCTTTGAAGACCCATTTGCTCCAAGCAGTTTCATTCCTGGAACTACTGGAACTAGCTCCCATGTTTTGTTCCTTTCTAAGGAATCAAGCTCAGCCTTCATGGCATTTAACCATGGCTCAGCTTCCTTTGAATCCAAACCCTGGATTTCTTGGAAATTTGAAGGTTCAAATACCTTCTTGGAGCTTGTAACAGTTACTACTGTGTTACAGTAGTAACACAGTTACTACTGTGAAGAACAACAGTTCCGTAGCCTTTACTGGGAATAGTGTGGTCATCCGCCTGGTGAATCGCACCTTCCTGCGGTGTAAAAGACACAAACAGTCTCTTATTGTTGCACATGTGGTGGGTGGCCGCTGAATCAACAACAAAGAAAGATCTAGACGTCTTCTGGACCTCTGCAACCTTTGGAGTGAAGCGTGAAACCATAGCCTTGTGCTGCGTTGTCCTAGACACCGGACCTTTGCCTTTGCCTCGGCCTTTTCCGCGCGATGAGCTTTCGCTGCGCTGCTCTGTCTTGGCCCTGGGATGTCTGCATTCCCTCTTCATATGGCCTAGACGTCCACACGAGTAGCATTTCACTGCCTTCAAAGCTTTGGCGCCATCTGGTGGTTCCACTGCACTATGGGATGACGTCTGTGAAGACTTCCCCTTGCCCATGCAGCTAGCACCCCGGCGATCTGCTTCATTTAAAATCACGGCAGTAACCAAGTCCACTGTCAGCTGAGCAGTTGGTTGCACAGCAATCTGGGTTGCAACAGACTCCCAACCTGAACCCAAAGATTGTAGTATCATGAAAGAATACACAGCCTCTGGAAAGTTGAGTCCTCTCTGTTGCAGCTCATGTCTCAGATTTTGCATCTCCATCAAATGTAAACGCACATCTCCACCTTCAGCAAGAGCCATATTATGCAGCTTGTTAAAATAAAACATAGTGGATCCAGCTTCTGTCCTTAAGTGAGCCTCTCTCAGAGCGTCCCAAATTTCTCTGGCTGAGGTCTTATCACGCAATAGACAGAGCTCTTCTGGGGATACTATCAATGTAAGAGTTCCCCTTGCTTTGGAATCCTTAGCTTCCCATGCATCTGTAACTGGAACTGGGGGGGGGTTCCTGTAATCACCTCAAACAAACCCTCTTTCCGCAGAATTGCCTCTGCATACTGAACCCAGTCGCTGTAATTTTTCTTGTTGAGCTTAGGAATCCCACAAGCATCCTGAAGGGCCATCATAACTCTGGCATTAGCCTTCAGCGTCATATGCTGCTTTAAATCTTGCTGCGTCACTGCTGCAGCTGCTTTATTACAAAGGCGCACTTAAAAGTTACTTCGATTTCCCCAGCATAGTGACTTGTGCCTGGGAGCCTTTTGCCTATTCCCGGCAAAACCGGCTTTAAAAGTTCAAAGTCCAGCCATAAAGCCATTAACTTGAAGCTGGCAGGCTGCCCGGAGCAGTAGCACATACCTCATCAATCACCTCTACGCGCAGAGCAGATTCCTTTCCGATCCGTCCCTCTGCATTCCGATCCTTTGCCGGCACTCCGATTCGACTTCTGGGCCCATAACCACGTGTTGATTTAAGCAGAGTCCCAGCGGAAGGATGAGAATACGTGCTGCATACTCTATATTGCTTTATTTACAGTTCAAAGCTGGTATATTACAGAAAGACATCTTGCCTCTGCCGGAGCAGAAAAATGCATCCTCTCTCCTCGACAGCTCGGAGAGAATCACACAGTGAAAACAGGAAACCAGTGTACGTCACATCCAGTCTCCCTTTCCCGTGAGAAACTCCAACAGTACAGACTGTGGAATGTAAACACCTGTCTCGTGACAAGCAGAGCTGCACAGTGAAGGAAAGCAGAAACCAACAGAGACTGCCTCTCCTGGTATGCCCCATGGAGGACCTTAAGGTCCACAAATGACAACACTTTGGAGGTCCCGAGCCTCAAGGAGGTTAGATTGGTCTCAACTAGGGCCGGGGCCTTTTCAGTAGTGGCCCCAAATTGGTGGAACGCTCTGTCACAAGAGACCAGGGCCCTGCGGGACTTGACATCTTTCCGCGGGGCCTGCAAGACGGAGCTGTTCCGCCTGGCCTTTGGCTTGGACTCCGTCTGACCCTTATGTTTCCCTCCCCTTATGGTCTTGATCTATCGGCTACTTTTAAAATGAGGCTGCATTTTAAATTGCATTTTAACCTGTATTTTAATTTTTTTCCCTTTTCCTTTTTTCTCTCCCCCTCTCTTTTTCCCCTATTATGTTTTTACTGTGATTTTACTGGTGTTAGCCGCTCTGAGCCCGGCTCTGGCCGGGGAAGGCGGGGTATAAATAAAATTTATTATCATTATTATTATTATTATTCAGGACCAGGGATCCATCCAAACGTGGATGGCTTTACAGGGCAGCATTGCTTCTGAATGCCAAGAGGGGAGAGTTGCCCTTGCGCTCGGATCCTGCTTGCAGTGGCGGGACTGGGCCTTCCCTGCCCTCTTTCGCAACCCGGCTGCCCTCGTGACTCTCCTTTAAGGACCGAAAGAGAGAGCAAGTCGACCTTTGTCGAGACCTTGGAGGTTTCTGCCCGGAGCCATGAATTTCGCCATCCGTTGCTGCACCCCTAAGGATCTAAAGGATATCATGCGGTTTATTGAGGTGAGGGCCGTGGCGGCGGGAGAGATCCTGGGGTCCGAGCCCAGTGGTCCTGGGTGGCCACCTGCCCCAGGTGGATCGAGACAGGATTGGGCCGTTTGTCGGGCACAAGATGTTGGACATAACATAATGATGGCTGACTGGGAACAGTTATGGACCACAGGTATGAAATTCACGGCATGTAATGCCCTAAGAGAAAATTTAATGAAAATGATCTATAGGTGGTACATGACACCAGTCAAGCTTGCAAAAATTTACCATTTGCCCGACAATAAATGCTGGAAATGTAATGAGACTGAAGGTACATTCTTTCACCTTTGGTGGACATGCCCAAGGATTAAGACATTCTGGGAGATGATTTATAACGAAATGAAAAAGGTATTTAAATATACCTTCCTGAAGAAACCAGAGGCCTTTCTCCTGGGCATGTTTGGCCAATTGGTGCCAAAGAAGGATAGAACTTTCTTTATGTATGCAACAACAGCAGCAAGAATACTCATCGCGAAGTATTGGAAAACACAAGATTTACCCACCCGGGAAGAATGGCAGATGAAGTTGATGGACTATATGGAACTGGTGGAAATGACTGGCAGAATCCGAGACCAGGGAGAAGAGTCGGTGGAAGAAGACTGGAAAAAATTTAAAAACTATTTACAGAAATACTGTAAAATTAATGAATGTTAGAAAAATGTTGGAATGAAGTTATATGGCTTTAGTAGAAATGTTATAAGGAATTAAGTATAAATAGATTAATAGAGTATTAAAGGGAATCTAATAAGGTTAGAATGTGTTAAGATATAGGATAGAAAGCAGAGGAAGATGGAAAGGAATTGCTGAAACAATTAATAGAAGTGGAATACAAAAAGGGAGGTGTGAGGAGGTCATGGAAATAAGTGAATGAAAGATAAGATATTGAAATTGTTTGATGTCTTTTAAAATGTTTTTGTTTTGTTTTGTTTTGTTAGTTTAATGTGTTATGTAGTGTTTTTGTATTGTATTGTATTGTTTATTTTTTTTGTAGTGTTTAAATTGTTGGAAAAGTAATAAATATTATTTTCAAAAAAAAAAAGGATTGGGCCGTTTGTCAATGTGGCAGAGAGAAAGATAGTGAGTCTGGATTCACAGGGTTTTGCTCAAGTCACAGAGAAGTTCTCCTTTTCCGCTGATATTAGCAAGGGTATAATTAATTAATTAATTTTATAATGAATGATTTTAGAGTGTTGTTTATGCTGTACTTTTATACTGTTTTATTGTTGTTAGCCGCCCTGAGCCCGGCTTCGGCTGGGGAGGGCGGGATATAAATAAAAATTATTATTATTATTATTATTATTATTATTATGTGCAAAAGCCCTCTCTGATTTAGTAATTCCAGCTGACCTGGCATGGGAGAATTTCTGTGGATCAGGCCCCCGATATAGCAGGTTTGCATTTGCACCTTGAATTTTGGAGTGATGTTGCGCCAGTTTAAACAGACCTGAAGTTTATTTTTTCTTAATGCTGAAGTTTATTTTTTCTTCGTGCTTTTTATTGGTGTTTCGTTTAACACAAACAAACAAAATACAGTAAAATTCAACAGGCATTTACCCACATTCTTTCCCCACGCTCTGCTGAGCATTGACTTCCTTCCCTCCCTTCAACAGCTTTTCTTGTGTCAGTTACTTTCCCACACTTTCTTATTGTATCCCAACCTATCTACATCTTAAGATTTATTTCCATCCTGCCAGAGTCTTCACATTTCTACAGTTATTATTTAGGTACTCCATAAATTTACTCCAATCTTTTTGGAATTTTGCTTCCTCCTGATTTCGGATTCTACAGGTCGGTTTTACTAGTTCCACCTAATCAACCATCTTTGCCCGACGCGAGACTCGAATCCGTGACCCTGAGATGAAGAATCTTGTGCTCTAACCGACTGAGCTAGCCCTATTTTCCCTCACAGAAGGAGTCCGCTGGGAATAGGGGCGGATGAGTTGATTTCGCAAAATCTATATGCTGCTTGGTTCTTAAAAAAAACAACCCTCAAAGCTGTTTTCCCATAAGATAAAATCATCGATAAGAATCACTGACAGCAATATAATTTAAGACTTTCGAGAAACAGGAAAAACAGATTAAAACTCTCGCCAGCTTTCTAAACATCTGGGTAGGTTTGTCGAAAGAGTTTTAGCAGGTGCCGGAAAGAGTACAATGGAGGCTCCTGTCTCATATCAAGTGGCAAGGAGTTCCAAAGTGCGGCCACACTAAAATATCGAGTTCTTGCAGATGTGCAGTGGGTATTATGCGGCACCTGTCAGTTTTGATTCTTGAAGCAGTCAAGTGGAAGAATGTGGGGTAAGGTGATTTTGCAGGTAAACTGGTCCCAAGTTGTTAATAATAATAATAATAATAATAATAATAATAATATTTTATTTATATCCCACCCTCCCCAGCCAAAGCCGGGCTTAGAGCGGCTAACAACAATAAAAGTAACACATGATTCTAAAATCAATTCAAAATCAAATTAATGGCAGCCATTGGGCTATGCATCCCTTTGATGGATAGATAGATTGATTGATTGTTAAATCACTCTGGAAATTGCATCCCTGTGAGGATAAGGCGGTGTGCTCATATTCCTGATAACTCTCAGCATCCTTAACAAACGATGGGATTCTTGAGGGGGGGGGGCATGTCTCTTTGGTTCCATGATGTTCCCAGACTACATGAACGGCTGAAAACTCAGTGAGGTCATTTCCCGATTCCTGTCCGTGCCTCAAGTCCACGCCAGCAGGTGGACACCGCTTTCCCACACGCTTGTGCCCAGATTGGCTCACAGCATACAACAACAACAACAACAACATATCAGTGCTTTTTCTTAAAAAATGTTTAGGGGTATTCACAATTTACGAAGAGTTGGACACGACTAAACGACTAAACAACAACAACACAATTTTCTACTCATATTGGAATTTGTTGTTGTTTAGTTGTTTAGTCGTGTCCGACTCTTCGTGACCCCCTGGACCAGAGAACACCAGGCCCTCCTGTCTTCCACTGCCTCCCGCAGTTCGGTCAGACTCATGTTTGTCGCTTCGAGAACACTGTCCCACCATCTCGTCCTCTGTCGTCCCCTTCTCCTTGCGCCCTCCATCTTTCCCAACATCAGGGTCTTTTCCAGGGAGTCTTCTCTTCTCATGAGGTGGCCAAAGTCTTGGAGCCTCAGCTTCAGGATCTGTCCTTCCAGGGAGCACTCAGGGCTGATTTCCTTCAGAATGGAAAGGTTTGATCTTTTTGCAGTCCATGGGACTCTCCAGAGTCTCCTCCAGCACCAGAATTCAAAAGCATCCATTCTTCGGTGACCAGCCTTCTTTATGGTCCAGCTCTCACTTCCATCCATCACGACTGGGAAAACCAGAGCTTTAACTGTACGGACCTTTGTTGGCAGGTGATGTCTCTGCTTTTTAAGATGCTGTCTAGGTTTGTCATTGCTTTTCTCCCAAGAAGCAGGCGTCTTTTAATTTCGGGACTGCTGTTACCATGTGCAGTAATCATGGAGCCCAAGAAAGTAAAATCTCTCACTGCCTCCATTTCTTCCCCTTCTATTTTGCCAGGAGGTGATGGGCCCAGTGGCCACGATCTTCATTTTTTTGATGTTGAGCTTCAGACCATATTTTGCGCTCTCCTCTTTCACCTTCATTAAAAGGTTGGAATACTGCCCCTCAGTGTGGCCCAACTTAGATTCACAAAATATTTAGGGGTATGTGTACCCCTGCGTCCCCCCAGAAAAAAGCACTAATAATAATAAGAATAATAATAGTAATAAGAATAATAAAATTAATTCTGTGCTGCCCATCTGACTGTGTTGCCCCAGTTACTCCAGGCAGGTCCCAGCACAATATTAACAAACACAATAATAAAACATCAAACATTTAAAACTTTTCTGTATAATGTCCCTAGATCACAGAATCATAGAACTGCAGATTTAGAGATTCTTAGAAGACTTGAGCAGATATTTGAACTATTTGAAAGGCAGTTGTAATGAAAACAGATTACGCTAGTAGGACCGCAAGACTATTTTGTAAGTAGGACTATTTGAAATATTGCGAGAAAGACCATGATGAGGATTATTAGCTAATGATAATTAAAAGTAACAGAGAAATTAAGAAATGCAGAACAAGTGATAAAGAACGGAACATCTTCAGAGGTTGTTGACAGAAGTCTAAAATATTGTATAAGATAATATTGTATAAGATACGCGGAAAATATTGTATAAGATACGCGGCAGCTAAAAAAGCCAATGCAATTCTGGGCTGCATCAATAGGAGTATAGCATCTAGATCAAGGGAAGTAATAGTGCCACTGTATTCTGCTCTGGTCAGACCTCACCTGGAGTACTGTGTCCAGTTCTGGGCACCACAGTTCAAGAAGGACACTGACAAACTGGAACGTGTCCAGAGGAGGGCAACCAAAATGGTCAAAGGCCTGGAAACGATGCCTTATGAGGAACGGCTAAGGGAGCTGGGCATGTTTAGCCTGGAGAAGAGGAGGTTAAGGGGTGATATGATAGCCAGGTTCAAATATATAAAAGGATGTCACACAGAGGAGGGAGAAAGGTTGTTTTCTGCTGCTCCAGAGAAGCGGACACGGAGCAATGGATCCAAACTACAAGAAAGAAGATTCCACCTAAACATTAGGAAGAACTTCCTGACAGTAAGAGCTGTTCGACAGTGGAATTTGCTGCCAAGGAGTGTGGTGGAGTCTCCTTCTTTGGAGGTCTTTAAGCAGAGGCTTGACAACCATATGTCAGGAGTGCTCTGATGGTGTTTCCTGCTTGGCAGGGGGTTGGACTCGATGGCCCTTGTGGTCTCTTCCAACTCTATGATTCTATGATTCTATAAGAAGTTATGTTAAATGATGGTTGGAAGTGATATGTTAAAAAAAGCAATAAAAATGTGTGTGTGTGTATGTGTGTGTGTGTGTGTGTGTGTGTGTGTGTGTGTATAACTGCAGAGGTAGAAGGGGACCCCCAGGGGTCATCAAGTCCAACACCCTGCAATGTGGGAATCACGACTCAACAACAACAACAACAACAACAATAATAATAATAATAATAATTTTTTAATCTATATCCCGCCCTCCCCAGCCGAAGCCGAGCTCAGAGCGGCTAACAACAGTAAAATGATACAACATTCTAAAATCAATTCATTATAAAATCAGTTCAAATCAAATTGATGGCAACCATTGGGCTAGAGTTATGTGGAGATTGCCAAAGGAGGGAGTCAGGCTGTGCCTTGGCCAAAGGTCTGGTGGAACAGCTCTGTCTTGCAGGCCCTGCGGAAAGATGTCAAGTCCCGCAGGGCCCTAGTCTCTTGGGACAGAGCATTCCACCAGATTGGGGCCACAGCCAAAAAGGCCCTGGCTCTGGTCGAGGCCAGCCTAACCTCCCTGTGGCCTGGGACCTCCAAGATGTTTTTGTTTGAAGACAGTAAGGTCCTCTGTGGGGCATACCAGGAGAGGCGGTCCTGTAGGTACAAGGGTCCTAGGCGTATAGGGCTTTAAAGGTCAAAACCAGCACCTTAAACCTGATCCTGTACTCCACCGGGAGCCAGTGCAGGTGGTATAGCACCGGGTGAATGTGATCTCGCAGCGAGGACCCCGTAAGGAGTCTTGCTGCGGCATTCTGCACCCGCTGGAGTTTCTGGGTCAGTCTCAAGGGCAGCCCCACGTAGAGAGAGTTACAATAATCCAGTTGACCGTTGCGTGGATCACAGTGGCTGGATCAGGGTGAGAGAGGTAAGGAGCCAACTGCTTAGCTTGGCGGAGACGAAAAAATGCCGCCTTTGCTATAGCTGCAATCTGCGCCTCCATGGAAAATCCCTGGCAGGCGTCCGTCCAACCTCTGCTTTAAAAAAATTGATGGATGGCCCACCACCTTCTGAGGCCAGAGAATGATAGGATTGTAGAACTGGAACGGACCCTATGATTCTTCACCGAGTAGCTAGAATCAGGCCCTCCAAGTCTGGTATTTTGGCAGGAAGAGGACATTTCGATGGCTTAAGCCTCAGCCATTGTAGCTTCAACTTTGCCTCCCATTTCTCGAACCCGTTTCCTCAAGTCCCTCGTGCAAACTTTGCCCTCCAAGTCACTCTCAGAAGCTCCTGGTGCAGGTTATTCTTTAACTACTAAATGGAGATGGCATTCTTTCCCCTTCCCTAATCTTTAACTCGAACCCAGCTCCCTTCGCCGTGAAAGCCTTGTGAAAAATAGTGGATGGAGTCAGGGATGTTTAGCCTGGGGAAAAGGAGACTCAGCTACATTAGTTTAAAAAACCCACACACATCATTTTGGCTGCATTATAGACATGCGACACCAGGTGGTGCTGGGGAGCAAAGAAAATTTATTTGCGATTTTCCATAGCGGTTTATTATTATTATTATTATTATTATTATTATTATTATTATTATAACGGTTTAATTTCTGACTTATTTATAGTGGCTTTTCCCCTGTGTGTAGATCCACTCAGAAATGAGATACGATAGCCACCTTGAAAAATATCTAAAGGGTTATTCACTGCCCTATTATAACATGTTTCGGTTTTGATATTATTTATTCTATCCTAGGTTTTCCATCAGACTTAACTGATGAGAAATAGAAGTGAGTAGATGGGAAGTCAGTTACAGTATATATTTAAAAAAGTCATTTTTATGTTAAATGTATTGTGTGCCATAAGGCGCACCTGACCATAAGACGCACCTAGTTTTAGAGGAGGAAAACAAGGGAAAAAATAGTGTGAACGAAACAGTGGATGTATAATTTTTGTGGTTCATGCTGTGGCCACAGACGTGTGATTTGACGGTGAGTTTGGGGTAGCCCAATGCAAAAATCCTGATGATCCATGCGGATCCGTGCTTTTTAACCACGTTTTTGCGCCATTGCGGCCACACGAAACAGTGGGTGCCTGATTTTTTTTGGTGCAGGCAGTAGCCATGGGCATGCTATGTGATCTGATGGTTAATATGGGGTGACCCAATGCAAAAATCCTGAGAATCCTTGGGCTTTTACCTCCCCGCTCCCAGGCAGCCTCCTTTATCTCTAGCGTCCCTTATCTCCCTCCTGATCACTTGTGGATCAGCGGCTTTGTTTCAACACCCCCTTCCCTCTTTTTTAAAAAAGCATGATCTGCTTTTCGTCCCTGGGCAATTCGGCTCCAGGGACCACACATTCACTCCATAAGATGCACAGACATTTCCCCTTACTTTTTAGGAAGAAAAAAGTGCATCTTATGGAGTGAAAAATACGGTATTTAATGTATTATTGTTGTTGTTGTTTTTCTTTTCTTTTTTCCTTTTTAGTTTCTAGGAGGTGATGGATATTTGTTTACTTCTATATTTCTTTTTTGTGTGTGTTGCATTAAAATGATATATAAATATAAATATAAATATCTAAAGGTTTGTCCCACGGAAGATGGAGCAAGCTTGTTTCTTCCTGCTCCAGAGGGTGGGACCCGATCCGATGGCTCCAAAGAGCAGAAAATGAGATTGAAGAAAATGCGATGGGTATATCCACCTGCAGACATTTTAAACAGATCAAATGCACATTTAGAGCCCAGTTGTTGTTGTTGTTTAAAGAACTTCTCCCCAAACAACCCCAAGAATTGCCGTTCTTCCCCCACCTGACCTACAATTCCCAGCGCCCTGAACAAACTATAACTCCCAGGGGCTCGATCTCCCTCACAGGCGGTGAGTTTGGGTGAGCAGACGGTAATAATTCTCTGCAGCCACACAAAAAAACACGGGCCTGAATTGGAAATTCTCCTGTTGTGTTGCTCCGAAAGTGGATGATTGGCGACTTGTCACGCAGCCGACGTGAGTAAAATCAGGGCCAGACATTTCCTGAATCCAAATTCACCCACTTCTGCGATGATGAGCATATTTGCTCAACTAATCCAGAATTTGTGTACAGCGCACCAGCTGAATCAGAAGGCGTCTGTTTGCTCACGGCGCATGATTCACACAACTTCGGGACCCGGGTTCCCAAGCGTCTCGGGTGCCTACGCAGAGAGGGAGGAAACGGCCAGCCAGCAAGAGGGGCCCGATTCACCCGGAGGCAGGAACCTGCATGATTTGTTGTTGTTTAGTTGTTTAGTCGTGTCCGCCTCTTCGTGACCCCCTGGACCAGAGCACGCCAGGCCCTCCTGTCTTCCACTGCCTCCCGCAGTTCAGTCAAACTCATGCTGGTCGCTTCGAGAACACTGTCCCGCCATCTCGTCCTCCGTCGTCCCCTTCTCCTTAGGCCCTCCATCTTTCCCAACATCAGGGTCTTTTCCAGGGAGTCTTCTCTTCTCATGAGGAGGCCAAAGTCTTGGAGCCTCAGCTTCAGGACCTGTCCTTCCAGTGAGCACTCAGGGCTGGTTTCCTTCAGAATGGAGAGGTTTGATCTTCTTGCAGTCCATGGGACTCTCAAGAGTCTCCTCCAGCACCAGAATTCAAAAGCATCCATTCTTCGGCGATCAGCCTTCTTTATGGTCCAGCTCTCACTTCCATACATCATGACTGGGGAAACCAGAGCTTTAACTATACGGACCTTTGTTGGCAAGGTGATGTCTCTGCTTTTTAAGACGCTGTCTAGGTTTGTCATTGCTTTTCTCCCAAGAAGCAGGCGTCTTTTAATTTCGTGGCTGCTGTCACCATCTGCAGTGATCATGGAGCCCAAGAAAGTAAAATCTCTCACTGCCTCCATTTCTTCCCCTTCTATTTGCCAGGAGGTGATGGGCCCAGTGGCCAGGATCTTGCATGAATCTGCATGATAGGACCTTATAAAACCATGGAGAAAATGGATATAGAAAAGTTTTCTCCCCCTCTCTTAACACTAGCATTCTTGGACATGGCACGAAGCTATTTGTTGGAAGGTTTGGGATGGAAAAGGCCTTCTTTGTGCATGGTTAAACTGTGGAACTCCCTGCCACAGTGATGGCTTTAAAAATAGACAAACACCTTGTGCGAAGGACGGCTATTGAAGCGATGAGGCTCACCCAGCCCTGCCTTCTTGAAAACTATAAGTAACCAAACAATTAAACCCCTGTGTTGCAAAGAGAATCCATAATTTGTGACTTTCAGAGATTTAGAAGATTTCGGTTTATTTGGTTTTGCAGAGAGTGCATATTTCATATATTTCATATTGTTCTATGTTCTGTATCGATTATATAAAGAGTTTATATTCTTAACGGAGAAATCTGAGGGCTCCCTTGGACAAGAAACAAGGACACCAGCCAGGAATACCAGAGCAAAACAGCAGCCAGTAGGCTTGGTCTTTATTGACGTTTGTCGCGACAGGACTCCCACCTGCCACAAGGTGGAACAGATGGAAGCCCAGAACAAAAGAGAACCCAAACTTTTATTAGCTGCTAATCCCCATGTTACACCCCCCCAAACTACATCACGGTTACATCATGAAAGGGGAGGTCTGGTGGCCATAATCTGAGCATCCTGGACGCTGCCCTATGGTTCTCCTTGCCCTCCACCAAACACCCATCAAACGTAACAAAAGAGATATTTATATTTCCCTGTTTCCCAGCCAAGTTAATCCCACCCTTTTGTCTTCATCTGGGTTTGTTATTTCTGGAATGGCTACCTGTCTGGCACTCAGGTATCAGGATGCCAGGGATTATCACTCAGGCAGAGGGGCTGCTGAGGAGCTGAGCTCACCTGTCTAGATGAATTTTTGAAGTTTTCCAGTGAGCCAGTACAGAGATCCATTGATCAGTGAATTGTTACATTTGGTATTTTGCAGCAGAGGCCCTTTGAATAGTTAGGAAGAAACTGTAATGGGGTGTTTTGTGGGGACAAATTGTGATAGGAATTTTATGGTCTTAGATATATGGTAATGTTCATAAATGTACCAGCCAAGCACATACATAGATCAGCACAGGAAGACCAACCTGGAACCATTTTGATTCCTAAACTGACCAAATGTTTTCTCTGCAAGGTCAAACTGGAAAAGTCTCCCCATTGTCTCTTTCCTCACAAATCCTGTTTTAAGGACACATTTAAGATATGAATAGGGTGTGAGCCTGTGACCTGGCCCAGGAAATAAGTATTTATCATTACAAAAGACTTGCCAGGCTCCCCAGGAAATCCAATCAAGTAACCTGCCAGACAGGAGATAAACAACGAGAGGAGAAAAACAACATTCAAATGTTCTGTTTTAGACCGCCTTTTCTGTGATGTAGGTGTGATGTATCTGAGGGGTGGTCTTAGGTTACACCCCTCCTGTGATGTATGTATGATGTTTCTGGGGGTGGTCTTGATCTACAGGATGGGGATTTCAAAAGTCTTTATAAGCCCTTGCACAACATTTTTGTGGGTCCTCCTCCTCTCCTGCGAGTGAGGGGAGCACCTTGTTGCAACAGATCAATAAAGATCAAACTTACTAGCTGCTTTGCTTCTCAATATTCTCTGGTTGGCCTCTGTTATCTTCTCCTACCAATAGGGAACCTATGTAAGGACTCTATATGGGCTCTTGGATACCCCATAAGGAAAAGGGCAGATTTTTATTTACAACAAAATCACCAAAGTCACAAAAGCGATTGTGCTGGTTTTGGTAGTGGGCTGCATGTGCATGATATATGCTGGAGGGGCAACCCCCCCAACCGATACATAAATTCTTGCAACAATATTGACATCGCATTGTTGTACAGTGGTGCCCCGCAAGACGAATGCCTCGCAAGACGGAAAACCCGCTAGACGAAAGGGTTTTCCGTTTTTGAGTTGCTTCGCAGGACGAATTTCCTTATGGGCTTGCTTCGCAAGACGAAAATGTCTTTCGAGTCTTGAGATTTTATTTTCGCTTTCCCCCCCCTTTATCTAAGCCGCTAAGCCTTTAATAGCCTTTTAGCAGCTAATCCGATAAGCCGATAAGCCTTTAATAGCCGCTAAACCGCTAATAGCGCTAATCCGTTAAGCCGCTAATAGGGTTGCTTCGCAAGACAAAAAAACCGCTAGACGAAGACACTCGCGGAACGGATTAATTTCGTCTTGCGAGGCACCACTGTACTTGGTCATCGTGTTGCCTTTGGATATTACTGTCACGTCTCGAAAACTATGGCCGGCCGCAGGACCCTGGAGAGAGTTCAAGTTCCCATCTTCTCCTCGCTGAGATCTAAGAAGCCTGACGGATTGACCTTGGAACCTTCTCCCTCCAAAGCACCCAGAAACCCCTCCCACCCCCACCGGAGTCCAAGTCGTCACTCAGGCATCAAGCAGATTCTCGACCAGCCACCCTCCCAGCTTTCAAACGCAGCCCAGATGCACACAGCAGTCCTTTCTACAGAGTAAGTAGCCTGGGAGAATCTGGAGCCATGAGTTTCATCATCCGCCCTTGTGCTCCAAAAGACCTGAAGGACATCATGCGACTGGTGAAGGTGAGGAACGCGATGAGAAGCACGGAACGGTCAGAGTTGGGGGAGATCTCTGAGGGTTCGAAGACAGAGGTCCTCTGGTTGGGTCGGGATGACATGGGGTTGGGGGGCCAACTCCTATCTCTTGTTGTTGTTGTTGAGTCGTTTAGTCGTGTCCGCCTCTTCGTGACCCCCTGGACCAGAGCACGCCAGGCACTCCTGTCTTCCACTGCCTCCCTCATGCTGGTCGCTTCGAGAACACTGTCCCACCATCTCGTCCTCCGTCGTCCCCTTCTCCTTGTGCCCTCCATCTTTCCCAACATCAGGGTCTTTTCCAGGGAGTCTTCTCTTCTCATGAGGTGGCCAAAGTCTTGGAGCCTCAGCTTCAGGATCTGTCCTTCCAGTGAGCACTCAGGGCTGATTTCCTTCAGAATGGTTTGATCTTCTTGCAGTCCATGGGACTCTCAAGAGTCTCCTCCAGCACCAGAATTCAAAGCATCCATTCTGCGGCGAACAGCCTTCTTTACGGTCCAGCTCTCACTTTCATACATCACTACTGGGAAAACCAGAGCTATAACTATACGGACCTTTGTGGGCAAGATGATGTCTCTGCTTTTTAAGATGCTGTCTAGGTTTGTCATTGCTTTTCTCCCAAGAAGCAGGCGTCTCTTAATTTTGTGGCTGCTGTCACCATCTGCAATGATCATGGAGCCCAAGAAAGTAAAATCTCCCACTGCCTCCATTTCTTCCCCTTCTATTTGCCAGGAGGTGATGGACCCAGTGGCCATGATCTTCGTTTTTTTGATGTTGAGCTTCAGACCATATTTTGCGCTCTCCTCTTTCACCCTCATTAAAAGGTTCTTTAATTCCTCCTCACTTTCTGCTATCAAGGTTGTGTCATCTGCCTATCTCTTGCGGGGGCTCAATTAGTGCCAGCACCTTCTGTCAAGAGCTTAGTTTGCCTACCCATGGCTTAGGGCCCCACTTTCTTAACGCCCCCCCCCAAAAAATTATGAGTCTTTGAAAATTGTGTTTCTAAAGGAACTTTTGATATTGCCAAATGCCAATGTGTTTGCATTATTAAGTTTGTTACGGATAAAAAAAATCATTTTAAGTTAGAGCTTAATAATTATTTCACTATTAATATACCTCTTAATTGTATTTCGCTATTAATATACTTCTTAATTGCATTTCAGTTAAACAATTACTTTGATAAAATATACATTTTGTTATGTGCAAATGGCTTTAGGTCCATAAATGACCATATAGCATATGTTCAAGACAAAAAAACAGTTGTTGACAAAGGACAGCTGGACATATAAAGGGCCCCATTACCTCCAGTAGCTTAGGGCCTCGTCCAACCTAAATCTGGCCCTGGGCCTGATCCTGACTGTTCTTCTGTGCACGATTCACCATAAGGATCCCTGGCTGAAAGGGGAAGAAATGAGTCTCGAGGCGGCTGCAAACCAGAGCTTTTGCTCCCAATTCTCTCTCTCTCCCTATAAACAGGAGATTGCGGGCATTTACAACGTCCCTTTGGGCTCGCTCAGGACCAACGTCGAAGGTAAAGAAGGGGCTCCGGTGTGCATATAGATTATAAGGTTACCAGATTTTCCCCAATGAATCTGGGGACACTTTTCAACTTCAACGGCTTTTGTATGGGGACTGATTTGTAAATCTGGGGACTGTCCCTGGGAAACGGGGACGTATGGTAACCTTAGATTAGTGGCTCCCTACAGGGGTGGTTTGGGACGTGGGTGGCGCTGTGGTCTAAACCATGGAGCCTCTTGGGCTTCCTGATCGGAAGGTGGGCGGTTCGAATCCCCGCGACGGGGTGAGCTCCCGTTGCTCGGTCCCTGCTCCTGCCAACCTAGCAGTTCGAAAGCGCGTCAAAAGCGCAAGTAGATAAAAAGGTACCACTCTGGTGGGAAGGTAAACGGTGTTTCCATGCTCTCTGATTTCCGTCACAGTGTCCCCTTGTGCCGGAAGTGGTTTAGTCCTGCCGGCCGCATGGCCCGGAAAGCTGTCTGCGGACAAACGCCAGCTCTGAGCCCAGCTTCGGCTGGGGAGGGCGGGATATAAATAAAATTTTATTATTATTATTATTATAGCTCCCTTGGCCTGAACGTGAGATGAGCGCTGCAACCCCAGAGTCGCCTTTGACTGGACCTAACCGTCCGGGGGTCCTTTACCTTTTACCTTTTACAGGGGTGGTTGTGCCCCCGGGGGTGATACTGGGATTACCTACAGGGGGCGCTAAGAGGCAGTTTTATTGTTGAAAGGCCACCTCTCCCGGTCTCCCCCACAGAGGACCTTAAGGTTCATGAATATTCATAATTTAGAGGTCCCAGGAAGTCAGATTATCCTCCACCAGGGCCAGGGCCTTCTCAGTGGTGGCTCCGACCTGGTGGACTGCTCTGTCCCAGGAGACCAGGGCCCTGCAGGATTTAAGCTCCTTCCGTCGGGCCTGTAAGACAGAGCTATTCCGCCTGGCCTTTAATTTGAATCCAGCCTGATCTTTTATTCCTCTTCCTTCCCTTTTTATGAAGATTACCCGCTCTGAGACCCCACAGCTAATTCTCCCCTGGTCTCCTCGCCAGCCCAAATAGGACTAACTTAGCCAGCTAGCCCTGGTGATCATCTAATGTTTATTGGATGGATTTCCCCCCTAAATTGATTTTTGAATTCTGAATTTATTGCTATTCACATTTTATACTGTATTTTATGCTGCTTCTTGTTGCATCAATTAAGTGTTTTAAATTTGTCGTTAGCCGCCCTGAGCCTGGTTTTCTGAACCGGGAAGGGCGGGGTATAAATAAAAATTTATTATTATTATTTATTATTATTATTACTGCTCCTCCCTTTCCCGCTTCCTCCCCAGAGTTGAAGAAAGCCGGTTTTGGGGAGCAGACCCAGTACGAGTGCCTTGTAGCCGAAGTCCCCGCCGAAGAGAAAAGCAAGGAAGGTAATGAGGGGATGAGCCGGATCATGTCCAATCTTGCGATGGACATGATCCGGCCCGCAGGGAGAAGCTGTTGCTGCTGCGATTGAGGCGCAAGTGGGTGGTCTGGAAATGCCAGCAAGGCTGAACTCCTGCGTAACATTATTTATTTTGCTCCACACGCAGGCTACACCCTTATCGGATACACCCTCTTCTCGTACACCTATAACACCTGGAGGGGAAAGAACATCTACATGGACAATCTTTACGTCATGCCGGAATTTAGAGGTACGGATGGGGAGGTAGTGGTCGAATCCTGTGCTCACGACGGCCAACCTCTTTGGGAAATCCGCAGGCAGGATTCGAACGCAAGACCAGCGCTCTCTCGTCCTGTGGTTTCCAGAAATTTGCATTCAGAAGCATTACGAATAGCCACACGGTATTTTAGCGGGGCAAAACCTTTTTTGGGGGGCCAGTTTTAGCGGTGATGGGGGGGCGGTGTTAAAAATATGTCTTCGGGTGAGCGGAATTCAAACCTTCAATTCTCTTTTGGATCTGACAACATGGGTCTCTGTGTTCGACGAAGGAGCACACAATCTGCTTCCGGAAAACCAGGAGAATTTTAATTTTACCTCCTGAAAATGTCAAGTAATTCTAAATCGTAGAATTGTAGAGTTAGAAGGGACCCAAAGGTCATCCAGCCCAACCCCTTGCAATGCAAGAATCTCAGCTAAAGCATCCATGACAGATGGCCATCCAGTCTCTGCAATAATAATAATAATAATAATAATAATAATAATAATAATTTAATGCTGTATTGTTTTTAACACTTGATTGGGAGCTGCTCAGAGTGGCTGGGGAAACTCAGCCAGATGGGTGGGGTATAAATAATAAATTATTAAAAATTATTAAATAATAATAATAATAATCAGCAACCACAACCACAACTGCAAGTACTTTAACCTGAATTTTAACAGGGAGAAATGTAAAGTATTGCACTTGGGCAAAAAAAATGAGAGGCACAAATACAAGGTGGGTGACACCTGGCTTGAGAGCAGTACATGTGAAAAGGATCTAGGATTCTTGGTTGACCACAAACTTGACATGAGCCAACAGTGTGACGCGGCAGCTAAAAAAAGCCAATGCAATTCTGGGCTGCATCAATAGGAGTATAGCATCTAGATCAAGGGAAGTAATAGTGCCACTGTATTCTGCTCTGGTCAGACCTCACCTGGAGTACTGTGTCCAGTTCTGGGCACCACAGTTCAAGAAGGACACTGACAAACTGGAACGTGTCCAGAGGAGGGCAACCAAAATGGTCAAAGGCCTGGAAACGATGCCTTATGAGGAACGGCTAAGGGAGCTGGGCATGTTTAGCCTGGAGAAGAGGAGGTTAAGGGGTGATATGATAGCCATGTTCCAATATATAAAAGGATGTCACATAGAGGAGGGAGAAAGGTTGTTTTCTGCTGCTCCAGAGAAGCGGACACGGAGCAATGGATCCAAACTACAAGAAAGAAGATTCCACCTAAACATTAGGAAGAACTTCCTGACAGTAAGAGCTGTTTGACAGTGGAATTTGCTGCCAAGGAGTGTGGTGGAGTCTCCTTCTTTGGAGGTCTTTAAGCAGAGGCTTGACAACCATATGTCAGGAGTGCTCTGATGGTGTTTCCTGCTTGGCAGGGGGTTGGACTCGATGGCCCTTGTGGTCTCTTCCAACTCTATGATTCTATGATTCTATGATTCAAACTCATGCTGGTAGCTTCGAGGACACTGTCCCACCATCTGGTCCTCTGTCCTCCCCTTCTCCTTGTGCCCTCCATCTTTCCCAACATCAGGGTCTTTTCCAGGGAGGCTTCTCTTCTCATGAGGTGGCCAAAGACTTGGAGCCTCAGCTTCAGGATCTGTCCTTCCAGTGAGCACTCAGGGCTGATTTCCTTCAGAATGGAGAGGTTTGATCTTCTTGCAGTCCATGGGACTCTCAAGAGTCTCCTTCAGCACCAGAATTCAAAAGCATCCATTCTTCGGCGATCAGCCTTCTTTATAGTCCAGCTTTCACTTCCATACATCACTACTGGGAAAACCATAGCTTTTAACTATACGGACCTTTGTTGGCAAGGTGATGTCTCTACTTTTTAAGATGCTGTCTAGATTTCTCATTGCTTTTCTCCCAAGAAGCAGGCGTCTTCTAATTTCGTGGCTGCTGTCACCATCTGCAGTGATCATGGAGCCCAAGAAAGTGTCTTTGTCCATGGAGTTTTCTTGGCAGGGATACTGGAGTGGCTTGCTGGTTCCTCCTCCAGGTGGATCACGTTTGGTCAAAACTCTCCACTATGACCTGTTCATGTTGGGTGCCCTGCTCGGCATAGTTCGTAGCTTCTCTGAGTTATTCAAGCCCCTTCGCCACAGCAAGGCAGTGATCCATGAAGGGGACCCATGGTTTAAGAGGTTACAAAATGGCCGGAGCTGAGCAGGTTTGGCCAGAGCTCAGGTGAGAGGCTATCTGGGGTCCCCTGGCAGTGCCACAAAATTCTTGCCGCCTTGGGTTGTATCTTCAGAGAGAAGCAGCGGTATCAATGCAGTCACCTCAGGATGGATAGAATCCACCTTTCCCCTGCTCTGTTTATCATGGAATCCTAGAGATGTCGAGTTGGACTGGGACTACCAGAGGTCATCCAGACCAACCCGCTTCGCCATGTCGGACTCGCAGCCTAAGAATCCCTGGCGGATGCCCTCTCCGTTCAGAAACCTCCAGCGAGGGGGAATCTGCCGCCTTCTCACAGAGTTGTGGAATTGTAGAGTCGGGGACCCTCAGAGGTCATCCATCCCAACCCTCTTTTGCCACGTAGGAATCGCACCCAGAGCACCCTATCCTAACAGGCTTCCTCTGGTTGTCCTTCCTCACAGGGAGGCGGATCGGGAAGGCGCTGATGGAGCAGGCGGGTGAGGTGAGTTGTTTGTTCAGGGATGCAGGAGAGGATATATTGTCTGGTTATAGCCTTTCCAACTCGTGTTAACAAGTTCCACAATTTAGCAGAGTAACATTCCCCCTTTTAAACTCGCAGTGGATGCGTTTGCTCAGGCTCGCTAAAGCCTCTAGAATAACTGTTCTGGTATTTCCCCCTTATACCCTCCTAAATGATAAGACATGACGCAGTCATCTGTAAAAGTATAAAAAGGTTTACTCACACATCATTCTGTTCACAGTCGGATCCCAGAAGGCAGACTTAGCTTAGAAAAGTAACATACATCTCATAAGGAGACAGTCCCTTTGTCCTCTCTTGGCTGGAAAGTTCCCATTGCCAAACATTCGTATTTATGGGATGGCCTCTCCTGGTGTGCCCCACAGAGGACCTTAAGGTCCATGAATAATCATAGTTTAGAGGTCCTGGGCCCTAAGGAAGTCAGACTATCCTCCACCAAGGCCAGGGCCTTCTCAGTGATGGCTCCGACCTGGTGGAATGCTCTGTCCCATGAGACCAGGGCCCTGCAGGATTTAACCTGCTTCCGTTGGGCCTGTAAGACAGAGCTATTCCGCCTGGCCTTTAATTTGAATTCAGCCTGATCTTTTATTTCCCTTCCTTCCCTCCCCCTCCCCTTTTATGAAGATCACCCACTCTGAGACCCCACAGCTAATTCTCCCCTGGTCTCCTCGCTGGCCCAAGTAGGACCAATTCAGCCAGCTAGCCCTTATGCTTATTTCCCCTAAATTGATTTTTGAATTTTATTGTTATTCATGTTTTTATACTGTATTTTATGCTGCTTTTAGAATTAAGTGTTATACATTTGTTGTTAGCCGCCCTGAGCCCGGTTTTTGAACCGGGAAGGGCGGAGTATAAATAAATTATTATTATTATTATTATTATTATTATTATTATTATATTATTAATTCCCTCCCCTTCTCCCTGCCACCTCAGGTTGCCCGGCGCCAAGGCCTCAGCCAACTCCGAATGCATGTTTCCTCCCAGAAGGCGGACGTCCTGAGCTTCCTCGAGAGGAGGGGAGGCGAAAACCTGACCGACAAGGACGGCTGGCACCTCCTGCGTTTCTCCAACGAGGCCCTGAGGAGGCTGGCAGCTGAGAAGAGATTCTAGCGGGCTCTGGGTTCGAATCCTACCCTCCACACCTAGGCTCCCGGACGGGGCATGTTTTGTGGTTAGAGAGGGGGGGATGGATAGCCCGCGATGCAGGGGCAGCAAAAGCAAGTGCGGAGGAGGCGTTTGGGTAAGAGGAGAAGAGTCACAGAATCACAGGAGGGACCTCCTGCGGCCATCTAGACCAACCCCATGCAATGCAGGGTTGTTGCAAAATAAATAAATAAATGAATGAATTAGTCTGCGAAGAAGCCTGAAGAAATTTTCTGACGAATCTGTGGCCTTGTTCTTGCCTTTGGTGATGCTTTCGCCCTTCTTCTTTTAAAAAAAGAAATATTTATTTGGTTTTCCAAATTAAGATTTTACAATCGCATAGCCAACATACATCATAAAAACAAGATTCGAAAGAATATTCCCTCCTCTCCTTTGTGGATCCTATTGTCGGCCATTTACTCCTGCATCTTTTATAAGACCTCTTACGGTCTTGATTTATCAGCTACTTTAAAATGAGGCTGCATTTTAAATTGCATTTTAACCTGTATTTTAATTTTCTTTTCTTTTCTTTGGCCGGGGAGGGCGGGGTATAAATAAAATTTATTGTTATTATTATTAATAATAATCAAACCTTTTACATCTCCATTATAACCCAAAATTCACCAAGTGTTATTCCATTCCCACTAATGATTGTAACCGTTTACAATGATTCCCCCCCCCCCAGATAAATTGTAATTTCCCCCCATTCCTTATTAAAAATTTTAGCTTTCCGGATTTCGGATTCTTCCAGTCGTTTTTGCCATCTCTGCATAATCCGTCAACTTAATCTGCCATTCTGGTCAGGACTTAATTTTCTTCCCATCTCTGGTCTCTTTTATTCAGGTCTAGCTAGCTGGTTGTTACAGGATTTAATTTCCACGCATGTGTGAAACCAAGGGGAAGGAATACCTCTGTGTAAACCTGTGCAAGTTTATAGACCTGCGGGACTCTGCTTTTGTGGGCCGATAAAGTTAAAAAGCTGTGCCGCAGCCGGAGTGGCAATTTGGAGAAAAATCCACTACAGGAGGGAGGGAGTTTAAGATTAACCAGGGCAAAATATTCCTCTTTTTTTTAAATATAATTTTTATTAAGTTTTCCATATTTCATTACATTTCAGTATCAAAAAACCACAAAATTCATAACTTACAGCATTGCTTAAATAAAGCATCAACCTCTTTCCCTCCCTCTAACAGACTTCCATATCACTTTACCAATTTCTTCACATTCCTATATTCACTTTTTTACCTTACATCAATCTTTTAGCAATCGCTTTCTTATAAGTAAATCAGCTACTTAATTTCCCATTACCAAACATTTCGACTCAGACACACGTTTTCAAATGTTTACAATTTTCTTTCCTATAAAGTATAATTTTCCCCCGGTCCTTTGGAAACAGTTCATCACGGCGATTCCGAATCCACATATTCAACCATCTTTACTTGCCAATCTTCCAATGTGGGGAGTTCTTGCTCATGGCAAAATATTCCTGCATTGGAGCGGGTTGGTCTGGATGACCCTCAGGTGTCCCTTCCGACTCTAGAATTCTGCGATTTGATGATTTACAATGCCACCCGAATTCTGCTTAAAAATAAAGAGCGGTTGTCTCCGGAGCACACGCAGAGTGGTTTTCCCTCTTGGTCACCGAGCCGCTAGAACCAGGCCGTACAATTCTTTTTTTAAAAAAAATAATTTTTATTGATTTTAACATATAAATTATAAAATGTACCACAAAACTTATCACTTATACAATCTTTTTGGACTTTCATCAGCACCTCTGATGAGCCACCATTTTAACCACTTCTTAACTTTATATTGCCTTTACATCTCTTAACAAATCATCCTTCCCCTTCTCCATTTTTGCAATACTTCCAATCATACTCCCCACAAAACTTCTTGCAAATCTACAAACGTCATCTGATCTTCACAAATACTTTTCAGATAGTCCGTAAATTTACTCCAGTCTTCCGTGAATTTATGGTCCCGCCGGTTTCGAATCCTTCCTGTTAGTTTATCTAGTTCTGCATAGTCCATTAACTTCATCCTCCATTCTTCAATCGTTGGTAATTCATCTTGCTTCCATTTTTGGGCCAATAATATTCTTGCTGCTGTTATTGCATATAAAAAGAGCTTACATTCCTTTCTATTTATATCACTCCCAACAATGCCTAGTAAAAATGCTTCTGGTTTCTTTATAAATGTATATTTCAACATTTTTTTCATCTCGTTATATATCATCTCCCAGAAGCATTTCACCTTTTTACATTCCCACTACATGTGATAAAATGTTCCCTCTTTTTCTTTAGATTTCCAACATTTATTACTGACTTTATACATCTTCGCTAACTTGACAGGTGTAATATACCATCTATACATCATTTTCATCACATTTTCTTTTAAGGCATTGCATGCAGTAAATTTTAAACCTTCTTTCCATAATTTTACCCAGTCACTCAGCTGTATATTATACCCAAAATCCTTGGCCCAGTGAATCATAACCGACTTAACCTCCTCGTCCTTCAAATGCCATTCAAGCAGCAATTTATACATTTTAGACAAAATTTTAGAATCAGAACCAGGCAGTACAATTCTGGGATGGAAAGAAAGAAGTGCTCACGTGTTTCAGGTTAAAAATTTGCCGTCTGGGAGAGAGCCAGTTTCTTGGGGGGGCCTTCAAGTCTCCAGGCCAAAGGGGAAGAAGACGAGTCCTTGAAGCATCCAGGCCGGTTTGTTATTGAACCGAAACGGTATAGGCAAAAACACCGAACTAATATTTAACCCGAATCGGGCGCCCTTTGACACTGAAGCGCCGTGCGAAACCTCCTGGTCGCTCTTACGCCAACCGGTCTGCAGTGGTGAAGACAAAGAATCACGGAACCGTAGAATTGGAAAAGCACCCAGTGGTGATCTAGCTCAACCCTGTATTTTCTTCTGTTATAGGAATCCTGAGGTCTCAAATATAGAATTTGTTGTTGTTGAGTCATTTAGTCGTGTCCGCCTCTTCGTGGCCCCCTGGACCAGAGCACACCAGGCACTCCTGTCTTCCACTGCCTCCCGCAGTTTGGTCAAACTCATGTTCATAGCTTCGAGAACACTGTCCCACCATCTCGTCCTCTGTCCTCCCCTTCTCCTTGTGCCCTTCATCTTTCCCAACATCAGGGTCTTTTCCAGGGAGTCTTCTCTTCTCATGAGGTGGCCAAAGTCTTGGAGTCTCAGCTTCAGGATCTGTCCTTCCAGTGAGAACTAAAGGCTGATTTCCTTCAAATATAGAATAAATGTTGATAATTGGACAAGGTAAACACACATACATAAGTATATGACCCACATGTCTAAAACAGCACAGGAAAGCAATCTGAAAATCATCTTGGCTCTCCTAAAGATTATAAATATTTCCTTAACCTCCCTTGCCTGAGAACAGGTAGGCAGCTAGCAATCAGGGGCAGTTCCTGAAGGAATTCCGCTCCTATATCTATAAACCTCCTTTGTAATAATTGGCATTATTTGCCCAGATGCTCTGCACTGAGGGATATCCGACAGCCATCCCGATTGTCTTATCAAATGCTAATGTTTGGTGTAAACTGTGTCTGGAACTATGTAAAGGTAAAGGTAAAGGGACCCCTGACAGGTCCAGTCGCAGATGTCTCTGGGGTTGCAGCGCTCATCTCGCTTCATTGACCGAGGGAGCTGGCGTACAGCTTCCGGGTCATGTGGCCAGCATGACTAAGCCGCTTCTGGCAAACCAGAGCAGCGCACGGAAACGCCGTTTACCTTTCCGCTGGAGCGGTACCTATTTATCTACTTGCACTTTGACATGCTTTCGAACTGCTAGGTTGGCAGGAGCAGGGACTGAGCAACGGGAGCGCACCCCGTCGTGGGGATTTGAACCGCCGACCTTCTGATCGGCAAGTCCTAGGCTCTGTGGTTTAGACTAGAACTATGTAAAACTTGCTAAATATTCAGGAATATCACACCTTGGCCTGCCTGAGCCACAGCAACCCCGCTTTCTGTGTGATGAAATTTCTGACTGTTTGTGGATAAGGGGGTGTCCTTCTTCCCTTTGCTAAAATGCAAACCCTTAAAAGAGATGTTTCTTCTTGGTTCGGGGTCTCTCTTGCCTCCGTGCAAGGAGGAGAGGGAATTCTGTTGCAACAGAAAAACGAAGACCTGCCTTGCTTTTCCTGCCTCCCGCCTCCATCCATTAATCTCTGACCGATCATGGACTTAGGGGACTCGCCCCCCCCCTTGGGGAGTTGGGCAGCAAAAGCCAACCACCCCTATCTTTTCCTATATCACTTCCTGGAGAATATAAGAATATTCTGCTGGATCAGGCTAACGTCCCACCTAGCCCAGTGTTAATGGAGAAATCTGAGGGCTCCCTTGGACAAAAAACAAGGACACCAGCCAGGAGTACCAGAGCGAAACAGCAGCCAGGAGGCTTGGTCTTGATTGAAGGCTGTCGCCACAGGACTCCCACCTGCCACCAGGTGGAACAAGATGGAAGCCCCGAACAAAAGAGAACCCATATTTTTATTAGCTGCCAATCCCCATGTTACACCCCCCCCAAACTACATCACGGTTACATCATGAAAGGGGAGGTCTGGTGGTCGTAATCTGAGCATCCTGGACCCTGCCCCATGGTTTCCCTTGCCCTCCACCAAACACCCATCAAGTGGAACAAAAGAGATATTCACATTTCCCTGTTTCCCAGCCAAGTTAACCACACCCTTTTGTCTTCATCTGGGTTTGTTCTTTCTGGAATGGCTACCTGTCTGGCACTCAGGTATCAGGATGCCAGGAATTATCACTCAGGCAGAGGGGCTGCTGAGGAGCTGAGCTCACAGATCTATATGAATTTCTGAAGTTTTCCTAGTGAGCCAGTACAGAGAGACATTGATCAGTGAATTCTTACATTTGGTGTTGTGCAGCAAAGGCCCTTTGAATAGATAGGAAGAAACTGCGATGAAGTGTTTTGTGGAGACAAATCACAAAAGTCCCAAAAGTGATGGTGCTGATTTTGGTAGTGGGCTGCAGGTATGTGATATCTGCTGGAGGGGCGAACACACCCCCATACATAAATTCCTGCAACACCAGCATCCTGGTGTGGTGTAGTGGTTAAGAGCGGTAGCCTCGTAATCTGGGGAACCAGGTTCGCGTCTCCGCTCCTCCACCTGCAGCTGCTGGGTGACCTTGGGCCAGTCACACTTCTCTGAAGTCTCTCAGCCCCACTCACCTCACAGAGTGTTTGTTGTGGGGGAGGAAGGGAAAGGAGAATGTTAGCCGCTTTGAGACTCCTTAAAGGGAGTGAAAGGCGGGATATCAAATCCAAACTCTTCTTCTTCTTCTGCTCTCACAGTGGCCAGCCAATTGCCCCAGTAACTGAGAGCAGCCATGGAGGCAGCGCCTAGTCATGGTTAGCTCTCTCCTCCTCCCTAAATTTGTCCAATCATCCAAGTTAGTAGCCATGGCCGATTCCTGTGGGAGGGAGTTCCACAGGTCAATGACACGCTGCGCGAAGGACTTTCTGCAGCCAAAAGAGGATGGTGTCGAAACCTTTTACCTTCTAGCAGCCTGACTCGCAACTGAACTCTGCAAGCCTCAAAAGCCCTTTGAAATTTCTCTCTTTTTGCTGTTTGAAGTGCCGGCGGGGGGAAGTATCTGCAAAACGCTCCTTTCGTTCTGAAGACTCGGGCGAAGGATCAGAAAAACGAAGTCTCAGAGTCATCAAAAACGTACAGCCAGGAGAAGCCGACCGGTGCATGCTGGGTTGGAAAGAATCTAAATTATCTTTCCCCTTCAGATGTTCTGCCTCTTTAGCCGAATCTTTTTATTTCAACCGGCAAGGCTGGATATTCGTTTTCCAAATCACTGGGGAGGAAAAACCTATTTCAGATCAACACAGTTGGGGACTGTTAGCTGTGGACACACACTATTCCTTGAAAAACATTCAAAGCACACACAGAGAGAGAGAATTCAGGGAACTGTAGTTTATCGCTTACCGTTTGAAGGTGTGGGCTTCAAATGTGATTTTAAGCAGCCGCACCCAGCTGCTCTGATGTTAAGGCTCAGGAACATGATAGACGCCAATAAAAACATGGCACGGCATGGAGAAAAGAAAGTCCTTCTTCAAGCAGCGTTGAGTTAAACTATGGAACTACCTGCCACTGGAAGCAGCGACCTGGGTGGCTTTAACAGAAGATTAATTGCAAATTAACAAACAGGGCTATCGGCGGCTGCCAGATGGGCCCAATGGCCAGATCCTCGGTCCAGTATACCTGAAGGAGTGTCTCCACCCCAACGTTCTGCCTGGACACTGAGGTCCAGCTCCGATGGTCTTCTGGCGGTTCCCTCCCTGCGAGAAGTGAGGTTACAGGGAACCAGGCAGAGGGCCTTCTCGGTGGTGGCGCCCACCCTGTGGAACTCCCTCCCACCAGATGTCAAAGAGAACAACAACTACCAGACTTTTAGAAGACATCTGAAGGCAGCCCTGTTTAGGGAAGCTTTTAATGTTTAATAGGTTATTGCATTTTAGTGTTTTGTTGGAAGCCGCCCAGAGTGGCTGGGGAGACCCAGCCGGATGGGCGGGGTATAAATAATAAATTATTGTTATTATTATTATTATTATTATTATTATTATTATTATTATCTTGCAGGCTCTTCTCAGGTCAGGAAGGAGTTGGCTATTCATGGAGGAGAGGGCTTATGATGGCAACTAGCTAGGCTGTGCCTGCCACAGTCAGAATAATAATAATAATAATATTTTATTTATATCCCGCCCTCCCCAGCCAAAGCCGGGCTCAGAGCAGCTAACAGCAATAAAAATAACACAGCATTCTAAAACCAATTCATTTTGCTGCTGAATCTCAGTTGCTGGAAACCGCAGGAGTGGCGAATGGGTCTTGCGTTCGAATCCTGCTTGCAGGTTTTCTCCATAACGGGCACCTGCTTGGCCACTGTGAAAACAGTCCGTCGGCCTCATCCGGCAAGCGCTTCGTACGTTTTCCCCGAATTGTGTTCCTTGCCGTCGGAGAGGAAGAGAGACATTGGGGGTGGGCCATTAAATGAAAAGTTAATAGGCCGGGCGCGACTCCCGAATTCAAATTTTGCTCCAATGATCGTGCTGAGTATATTTGCTGAACTGATCCAGAGCCGTCTACTTCGCGCAGGCTAAATACACAGACGTGTGTTTGCTTACAATGCATAATTTGCTGCACCGGGTTCCCAAGCGTCTCGGCAGAGAGGAGGGAAGGGAAGGAGAGACTCAAGGCAGGTGGGGGGAGCAGGTGAGACCCCCTTCTCACCTGTGTTAACGGAAAAATCCGAGGGCTCCCTTGGACAAAAACAAAGACACCAACCAGGATAACTTGGGGCAAAACAGCAGCCTGTAGGCTTGGCCTTTATTGAACTGTTGCAACAGGGTGTTCCCCTCACACGCAGGAGAGAGGAGGAACCCAGAAAAATGGTGTGCAAGGCCTTATAAAGACTTTTGAAATTGGCACCCTGTAGATCAAGACCACCCCCTGAAACATCATGCATACATCACAGAAAGGAGGGGTTGAGGGAGGAGTTGTGGTGGTAACCTGAGTGTCCTGTCACCTGGCTGGTTCCCCCTTTCCCCCCTCCCCATGAGTACTTTCCAGGTGACAGAGGGGAGTTTGCAGTTTCCTGCCCCCAGAGGGAAGAGCTGATTATTGTCCTTTGTTCCAGTCTGTGCTGAATCCACTCCCATATGCAAGTTCTTTGTGATCTTGATGGTCTTCTGTCTAGGACCATCAGGGTTGGCACAGCAACTGGGCAGGGCTCCTGTGGATGTGCTGGGATGGTCAAGGATTATGGCTGCCCTGTATCATAGAATCATAGAATCATAGAGTTGGAAGAGACCACAAGGGCCATCGAGTCCAACCCCCTGCCAAGCAGGAAACACCATCAGAGCACTCCTGACATATGGTTGTCAAGCCTCTGCTTAAAGACCTCCAAAGAAGGAGACTCCACCACACTCCTGGGCAGCAAATTCCACTGTCGAACAGCTCTTACTGTCAGGAAGTTCTTCCTAATGTTTAGGTGGAATCTTCTTTCTTGTAGTTTGGAGCCATTGCTCCGTGTCCGCTTCTCTGGAGCAGCAGAAAACAACCTTTCTCCCTCCTCTATGTGACATCCTTTTATATATTGGAACATGGCTATCATATCAGCCCTTAACCTCCTCTTCTCCAGGCTAAACATGCCCAGCTCCTTTAGCCGTTCCTCATAAGGCATCGTTTCCAGGCCTTTGACCATTTTGGTTGCCCTCCTCTGGACACGTTCCAGTTTGTCAGTGTCCTTCTTGAACTGTGGTGCCCAGAACTGGACACAGTACTCCAGGTGAGGTCTGACCAGAGCAGAATACAGTGGCACTATTACTTCCCTTGATCTAGATGCTATACTCCTATTGATGCGGCCCAGAATTGCATTGGCTTTTTTAGCTGCCGCGTCACACTGTTGGCTCATGTCACGTTTGTGGTCAACCAAGACTCCTAGATCAAACCTTCCCCATTTTGTAGTCCTTCCTTCATGGAGTAAAATAAAAGTGGAACAGTGCAAATCCGATGTATGGTTGATTTTCTATGAATTTATAACAGAGGTGTAGTGTATGTAGTGTGTGAGTGTGTGTGAAGTTTGTACAAACTGAATGATGGGGGGGGGGGGGGTTTCCTGCTACACCTGAAGCATGAGGGGCTGTTTTGCAGGAGCTGTGCAGAGTAGGATTTCCTCCCAAAGGTTCCCCGGAGATTCAGTGTCTCACATTCAGGGCTGGATGCTGAGCCCTGCAAGTTAGAAAGGCTACTGTTGTTGTTGTTGAGTCATTTAGTCGTGTCCGCCTCTTCGTGACCCCATGGACCAGAGCACGCCAGGCCCTCCTGTCTTCCACTGCCTCCCACAGTTTGGTCAGACTCATGCTGGTAGCTTCGAGAACACTGTCCCACCATCTTGTCCTCCGTCGTCCCCTTCTCCTTGTGCCCTCCATCTTTCCCAACATCAGGGTCTTTTCCAGGGAGGCTTCTCTTCTCAGGAGGTGGCCAAAGTCTTGGAGCCTCAGCTTCAGGATCTGTCCTTCCAGTGAGCACTCAGGGCTGATTTCCTTCCGAATGGAGAGGTTGGATCTTCTTGCAGTCCATGGGACTCTCAAGAGTCTCCTCCAGCACCAGAATTCAAAAGCATCCATTCTTCGGCCATCAGCCTTCTTGATGGTCCAGCTCTCACTTCCATACATCACTACTGGGAAAACCAGAGCTTTAACTATATGGACCTTTGTTGGCAAGGTGATGCCTCTGCTTTTTAAGATGCTGTCTAGGTTTGTCATTGCTTTTCTCCCAAGAAGCAGGCGTCTTTTAATTTCGTGACTGCTGTCACCATCTGCAGTGATCATGGAGCCCAAGAAAGTAAAATCTCTCACTGCCTCCATTTCTTCTCCTTCTATTTGCCAGGAGGTGATGGGCCCAGTGGCCATGATCTTCGTTTTTTTTGATGTTGAGCTTCAGACCATATTTTGCGCTCTCCTCTTTCACCCTCATTAAAAGGTTCTTTAATTCCTCCTCACTTTCTGCCATCAAGGTTGTGTCATCTGCATATCTGAGGTTGTTGATATTTCTTCCGGCAACCTTAATTCCGGCTTGGGATTCATCCAGCCCAGCCTTTCGCATGATGAATTCTGCATATAAGTTAAATAAGCAGGGAGACAATATACAGCCTTGTCGTATTCCTTTCCCAATTTTGAACCAATCATTTGTTCCATACCCAGTTCTAACTGTAGCTTCTTGTCCCACATAGAGATTTCTCAGGCTACTGATAACTGCTCCCAAAAAACCTAGGGCTTTATGGATGGAATTTTTCTCCCTTTCCATTTTTTTGCTATGAGCATCCTGGCAGCTGTTGTCGCATGGAGGAATACTTTCCTTTGATTGTCAGGAATATCGTTTGTGATTATACCCAAAAGGAATGCCTCCGGTTTTTTTACTAAAGGAATGGCAAATTAAATTTTGCTAATATATACATCTGGCAAGACTCACAGCATTCATAAGGGGACAATCGGACCAAAAATTACTATTAAAAGAATGGAGATGAGTATATGAAAAGTAACAAATGAAGCTTTGCAGGGTTAAAGTAAGAGAAAAATTAAAGAAACAAAGCAGAAACCCAGGGTTTTAATTTGGCTTGGGGAGTAGGGTTGCCAGATAAATACTGTATTTTTTGTTCTATAAGACTCACTTTTTCCCTCCTAAAAAGTAAGGGGAAATGTGTGTGCGTCTTATGGAGCGAATGCAGGCTGCGCAGCTATCCCAGAAGCCAGAACAGCAAGAGGGATTGCTGCTTTCGCTACGCAGCGATCCCTCTTGCTGTTCTGGCTTCTGAGATTCAGAATATTTTTTTTCTTGTTTTCCTCCTCCAAAAACTAGGTGCGTCTTATGGTCTGGTGCGTCTTATAGAGCGGAAAATACGAAAAATAAAATTAAAAATCTCCAGTCTGACCCCCTGCAATGTGTGTGTGCTTCAGCCCAGCAGGAGCTGCCTGCGAATCATAGCACAGCCAGACTGGGAGATCTGCCGTTTTCTGTTCTCTTCTCCCAATTAACCTCCGTCTCCAAGACCGGTCCTGTGACATCACCCTGTGCGCTCCAACTGTCCTGTTTCTACCGGGACATCCCAGAATTACAGAAGCCGCCTCGATTTCTGATTCCGTCCCGGGATGTCCCAGAATTTCAGCCACGGGGGGTGGCGCAAAAAAGCACTGCACCTCTGGCCAGAACTTCATCCCTGTGCAGGCGGATTGGGGGCAACGACAAAAGGAGAGCTGAGCATGTGCAGAGTGCCTTTCTCCACCTCAAACGTAACAGGTGGCCATCCATCCTTAGCTGTGGTTCCTGCATTGCGGCGGGTTGGGCTAGATGACCTTTGGGGGGTCCCTTCCGCTGAGTAACCAGGAGCGTCCGGCGGAAAGGGAATAATTAAGTGCTCAGTTAATTAATCTTTCCTCAGGTCTCTTGGCCATCCTTGCCCTCGAAGGGAAAAGCTCCTGTCAGCAGCTGCCAGCGCAGTTTAGTCTTTAACTAGATGGTGATGGCAACCCTGAAAAACCCCACTAATCTTTAACCTGGAGGCGGTTGGAGGATGGAGGGCAGCTAGCAGATTGAGGTTGAATCCTGACAAGACAGAAGTACTGTTTTTGGGGGACAGGAGGCGGGCAGGTGTGGAGGACTCCCTGGTCCTGAATGGGGCAACTGTGCCCCCGAAGGACCAGGTGCGCAGCCTGAGAATCATTCTGAACTCACCGCTGTCCATGGAGGCGCAGGTCAGTTCTGTGTCCAGGGCAGCTGTCTACCAGCTCCATCTGGTATGCAGGATGAGACCCTCCCTGCCCGCGAACTGTCTGGCCAGAGTGGCGCATGCTCTGGTTATCTCCTGCTTGGACTCCTGCAATGCACTCTATGTGGGGCTACCTTTGAAGGTGACCCGGAAACTGCAATTAATTCAGAATGCGTCAGGCAGACTGGGGACTGGGAGACCACGTAACACCGGTCTTGATAGACCTCCATTGGCTCCCAGTACGTTTCCGAGCACAATTCAAAGTGTTGGTGCTGAACTTGAAAGCCCTAAATGGCCTCAAGGGCCCAGTAGACCTGAAGGAGCGTCTCCACCCCCATCGTTCAGCCTGGACACTGAGGTCCAGCACTGAGGGCCTTCTGGCGGTTCCCTCCCTGCGAGAAGCTACAGGGAACCAGGCAGAGGGCCTTCTCGGTGGTGGCGCCCGCCCTGTGGAACACCCTCCCACCAGATGTCAAAGAGAACAACAACTACCAGACTTTTACAAGACATCTGAAGGCAGCCCTGTTTAGGGAAACTTTTAATGTTTGATGTATTACAGTATTTTAATATTTTTTTTTGGAAGCCGCCCAGAGTGGCTGGGGAAGCCCAGCCAGATGGGCAGGGTATAAATAATAAATTATTATTATCTGGATCCGTCCCTTTGGCATCTAAACTCCAGGCTTAGATTTCAACTTGCGATGCTCACCCAAAGGCCGAGCCCAGGTGTCCGTCAAGCCGGGAGGGGGGCAGGGGGTAATGGGCAGGCCCCGTCCCCCAGTCTCTTAAGTTCATCTTGAGTCTCAGGACAGAGTTTTATTATTCATTTCTTTATTTGTTGCATTCATATCCCCCAAGGAGCTCAAGGTTCTCCCTCCCCTCCTCCTTTAATCCCCACAACAATCTTGCGAGGTAGGCTAGGCTGAGAAAGGCAGCGGCTGGACAAAGGTCACCCAGTGAGAGTCCCAGTGGGGGTGTGGCTTGAGGAGAGGGTGGGGCCTTGTGGAGTCCCAGTGGGTGTGGCTTGAGGAGAGGGTGTGGCCTTGTTGAGTCCCATGGGGCGTGGCTTGAGGAGAGGGTGTGGCCTTGTGGAATCCCAGTGGGTGTGGCTTGAGGAGAGGGCATGGCCTTGTAGAGTCCCAGTGGGTGTGGCTTGAGAGGGTGTGACCATGTGGAATCCCAGTGGGAGTGGCTTGAGGAGAGGGTGTGGCCTTGTAGAGTCCCAGTGGGGGTGGCTTGAGGAGAGGGTGTGGCCTTGTAGAGTTCAGTGGGTGCGGCTTGAGGAGAGGGTGTGGCCTTGTGGAATCCCAATGGGAGTGGCTTGAGAGGGTGTGGCCTTGTGGAATCCCAGTGGGTGTGGCTTGAGGAGAGGGCGTGGCCTTGTACAGTACATGTAGGGGTGTGGCTTGAGAGGGTGTGGCCTTGGAGAGTCCCAGTGGGTGTGGCTTGAGGAGAGGGCTTGGCCTTGTGGAGTCCTAGTGGGTGTGGCTTAAGGAGGGGATGTGGCCTTGTAGAGTCCCAGTGGGTGTGGCTTGAGGAGAGGGTGTGGCCTTGAGGAGTCCCAGTGGGTGTGACTTGCAGAGAGGGTGTGGCCTAGGGTCTGAATAGAGAGGCTTAGGGGGCTGTATTTGACCCTGAGGTTCCCCAGACCCACCCCATAGGGATGTGGGCACGAGCATGTTCTTCACATCCTGTCGCCGTGTCGGCGGGAGTCAACGGTTCACAGGCCTTCCCCGTGGAAGGACCACCTGACACATTATTCCGGTTGGGCGAAGGAGGCTGTGGGCTCAGGGGAAGGGCTGGTCAGGGGGCAGGTGGAAACTGGCGTCCAGGAAGATGCTGAAGGTGCCCAGCGTGGTGAAGATGATGAAGGTCCAGAAGAAGAGGCGGTCCACCACGATGGCGACGTACTCCCAGTCCTTCTTCAGCTGCAAGGGAAGGAGGAAGCAGGTCACAGAACAGTCGAACTGGGAGGGACCCTCAAAGGTCATCCAGCCCAAACCCCTGCGAGACAGGAGTCGGAGCTGCTTGACAGGTGTCCATCCAACCTCTGCATAAAAACCTCCAATGAAGGAGAACCCGTCACCTTCAGAGGGCATGTGTTCCACAGCCAAACAGTTCGGACCCTCAGAAGGTTCTTCCTAGTTTTAATAATTTAATAATAATTTATTATTTGTACCCTGTCCATCTGGCTGGGTTTCCCCAGCCACTCTGGGCGGCTTCCAACAAAGACCAAAAATACACTAAAATATCACACATTAAAAACTTCCCTAAACAGGGCTGCCTTCAGATGTCTTCTGAATGTCAGGTAGTTGTTTATCTCTTTGACATCTGGTGGGAGGGTGTTCCACAGGGCGGGCGCCACCACTGAGAAGGCCCTCTGCTTGGTTTCCTGTAATTTGGCTTCACGCAGCGAGGGAACCGCCAGAAGGCCCTCGGAGCTGGACCTCAGTGTCCGGACTGGACGATGGGGGTGGAGACGCTCCTTCAGGTCTACTGGGCCTTTGAGGCCGTTTAGGGCTTTCAAGGTCAGCACCAACACTTTGAATTGTGCTCGGAAATGTCCTGGGAGCCAATGTAGGTCTTTCAAGACCGGTGTTATGTGGTCTCGGCGGCCGCTCCCAGTCCCCAGGCTAGCTGCCGCATTCTGGATTAATTGTAGTTTCCAGGTCACCTTCAAAGGTAGCCCCACGTAGAGCGCATGGCAGTAGTCCAAGCAGAAGATAACCAGAGCATGCACCACTCTGGCCAGACAGCCCGCGGGCGGGGAGGGTCTCATCCTGCGTACCAGATGGAGCTGGTAAACAGCTGCCCTGGATACAGAATTGACCTGCGCCTCCATAGACAGCGGTGAGTCCAGAATGACTCCCAGGCTGCGCACCTGGTCCTTCGGTGGCACAGTTACCCTATTCAGGACCAGGGAGTCCTCCACACCTGCCCGCCTCCCGTACTTCTGTCTTGTCAGGATTCAACCTCAATCCATTAGCCGCCATCCATCCTCCAACTGCCTGGAATCTCCTCCCTTGTAATTTGAATCTGTTGGTTTTGGGGGTCCTGCCCTCCAGAACACCTTTGTTCCCTCTTCCATGTGGAAGCCCACCAGATATTTGAAGGTGGCTATTGATGATGCAATAGAGAGTCCCATGGACTGCAAAAAGATCAAACCTCTCCATTCTTAAGGAAATCAGCCCTGAGTGCTCACTGGAAGGACAGATCCTGAAGCTGAGGCTCCAAGACTTTGGCCACCTCAGGAGAAGAGAAGACTCCCTGGAAAAGACCCTGATGTTGGGAAAGATGGAGGGCCCAAGGAGAAGGGGACGACAGAGGATGAGATGGTGGGACAGTGTTCTCGAAGCTACCAGCATGAGTTTGACCAAAGTGCGGGAGGCAGTGGAAGACAGGAGGGCCTGGCGTGCTCTGGTCCAGGGGGTCACGAGGAGACACGACTAAACGACTAAACAACAACAACAAATTGCATCTCATCTCGGTCTCCCTTTATCCAGGCAAAACACGCCCAGATCCTTCCACCCTTCCCCAGAAGGCTTGGTTTCTTCCACAAGAACTCACCTCATCGTAGTCATCCTGTTCTTGGAGCTGCTCTGCTATGTAGGTGATGGCGTCCATGGCGGCCTTCAAGTCTGGCGGAAGCGCGATGCAGTGACTGGGGCCGTCAATGTACTTCTTCATATCCGTGGGGAACGCCTCTGGCTGGAACCTGCGGGAGATTTGCCGTCAAACCTAACAATGCATATTCTCGTCAATTAGCGAGTCTAGCAGCGGTTCTCAACCTGTGGGTCCCCAGATATTGTTGGACTACAACTCCCATCATCCCTGCCCACTGGTCATGAGTGGCTAGGAATGATAGGAGTTGTAGTCCAACAACATCTGGGGTCCCACAGGTTGAGAACCATTGGTCTAGGGCGTGGGTAGGCAAACTAAGGCCTGGGGGCCGGATCCGGCCCAATCGCCTTCTAAATCTGGCCTGCGGACGTCCAGGAATCAGCGTGTTTTTTACATGAGTAGAATGTGTCCTTTTATTTAAAATGCATCGCTGGGTTATTTGTGGGGGTTATTCGTTCATTTTTTCCCTTCAAAATATAATCCGGCCCCCCACAAGGTTTGATGGACAGTGGACCGACCCCCTGCTGAAAAAGATTACTGACCTCTGCAACTACTACAACAGCCTCTCAAAGCGGTTTACGAAAAGAGACAAAAGCGTAAGAAAAAGCGTACAGCGACGGTTTAAAATATACGAAAAGTTAACATTGCCTGAATGAGAATCTTTTTAGCAGGTGCCAAAAAAAATACCATGAAGGGGTCAAGAGGCAGGGAGTTCCGAGTGTAGCTGCCGCCATTCTAAAACCCATCTCTGGGTTATTTCTGGGGCATAGGAATTCGTTCATTTTCCCCCTTCAAAACATAGTCCGGCCCCCCACAAGGTCTGAGGGACAGTGGACCGGCCCCCTGCTGAAAAAGTCTGCTGACCCCTGGTCTAGGGGCTAACAGCCACAGAGATGTAAATTCCTAGACAGGCAGACTCAGTCCATAGGAATGCGATTCCTTATCCTTATCCCCTCTCTCTTTCTCTCTCTCTTTGTCCTTTTGCACCATATTTTTGATTGGGATGGATGTGTGTCTCAACTCTCCCTGAGCATAGACACAATTTTACTATTTAACTATGTATTTTATAACCTAGAAGTATTTTTCCACCAGTGTTGTGTTTGCTGCTGTTGGGTGCTGAAAATGAGCGCAAGACTTTTAAGTAAGTAAACTCCAATTTAAACTTACTTTACGGTCATTATTTTACTAAGCGTGGTAACTCCAAAAGTGGCAGCTTTCAGCCTTTCCTAAGCTTCTGTTTTCCTGCCAAAGGGTGGTCATCTAAAAGCTCTGCCCATGTTCCAAATGCAAACATCAAGCTGATTATTCAAGCTGACCCCACACATGTGAGAGTCTGGAAGGATATTTGTAATTAATATATCCTCTCCCATGTAAATAAATCAGTTAGCAGAGCATGAGACTCTGAATTTCAGGGTCGAGGGTTCGAGCCCCACGTTGGGCAAAAGACCCCCACACTGCAGATGACTCTCCCAACAATTTTATGAAAACCTTGAAAGAGTGAGAATGGAAGAAGAAGTCCACCATTGGTAGAACAAGCTGAGGCCGCCATCTTCCCCTCTATTTTAAGGGAGCTATTCAAGAGTAAGGGATGCGGGTGGCGCTGTGGGTTAAACCACAGAGCCTAGGACTTGCTGATCAGAAGGTTGGCGGTTCGAATCCCCGCGACAGGGTGAGCTCCCGTTGCTCTGTCCCTGCTCCTGCCAACCTAGCAGTTCGAAAGCACACCAGTGCAAGTAAATCAATAGGTACCGCTCCGGCGGGAAGGTAAACGCCGTTTCCGTGCGCTGCTCTGGTTCGCCAGAAGCGGCTTAGTCCTGCTGGCCACATGACCCGGAAGCTGTATGCCGGCTCCCTCGGCCAGTAAAGCGAGATGAGTGCCGCAACCCCAGAGTCGGTCACGACTGGACCTAATGGTCAGGGGTCCCTTTATTCAAGAGTAGCAAATATTTCTCAAATGGGGAGGGCCCTCCTTTTTCAAAAAAAATCCAATTAGTCCTGAAAAGTGCCAGGGCGAAGATATTTCCCCATTTGGAGTGACGACAACACTGAACCGGAAAGGGTGGCCCTCGCTCTCAACGGGCTTTGAAACCTTCTGAACTGGCTTTACCGTCAACATGACCAAATCGGATTTGCAATTTGCGAGGAAATCGGGAATGATCTTTGGACTCTACCTGGCGACGCAATCCTGAATAAAGTCTGACTGACTGAGAGTCTGGGGCGTGTCCCCAATTCCCACTGCCACAATTTCAGAACTACAGTGGTACCTCAGGTTAAGTACTTCATTCGTTCCGGAGGTCCGTTCTTAACCTGAAACTGTTCTTAACCTGAAGCACCACTTTAGCTAATGGGGCCTCCTGCTGCCACCGCGCCGCTGGAGCATGATTTCTGTTCTCAACTTGAAGCAAAGTTCTTAGCCTGAAGCACTATTTCTGGGTTAGCATAGTGTGTAACCTGAAGCGTATGTAACCCGAGGTACCCCTGTACCTAGCAATGACCTCTCTCTCGTTCATCCCACCAGTGTCAAATTGCCCGGCCTCTTCACCTGTTGGGTTTGGGGAACAGGAAATCGTAGGCAGGGGTGCGGATAAAATATTCGTCCGTCCGGCGGTTGCTTTTCACCACGGTCTCTTGTTTGGGGTGTGGGGGTGCAGGTTTCAAGAGTGTCTCTGGCTTGGGACGCCGCAAGCCCAAATACCGGGGTAGTGTGTGGATGAAGATCTAGAGAAGGAAGGAGAGGGAGGAAGAGAGAGTACATTTCCTCACATTCCCCCCCACATTTCTGCTTAAGGGATGCCAGCGAGGCAGAAGGTATTGGTAAGAGGGTGGTTGTCTCAATAATAATAATAATAATAATAATAATAATAATAATAATAATTTATACCCCATCCTCTCTGGCCAGAGCTGGGCTCAGGGCAGATAACAGTAGTAAAAATTACAGTGAGAACATAATACGGGGGGGAAAACACCAATTTAAAATACAGGTTAAAATGCAATTTAAAATGCAGCCTCGTTTTAAAAGCAGCCCGTAGATCAAAACCATAAGGGGAGGGAAACATATGGGTCAGACTGAGTCCAAGCCAAAGGCCGGAGGCCAAAAACAGAACTATATAGATGCTTTTATATAATCGTGGCTGGGGAAACCCAGCCAGATGGGCGGGGTATAAATAATAAATTATTATTATTATTATTATTATTAATCTGACAGCTGATGGTAGTCCCTATGGCCTTTAGTGGCTGTGAATCTCTCCCTGGCCTTTTGGCATCTCACGCTCATTGCAGTCTGAAAGGCATAATAATGTAATATGAAGCTTGCTGGATCTGTCCAATGACCTATCTAGTCCAACATGCTGCCATCACAGAGTATGACCAGATGTCTCTGGGGAACCCGCGAGCAGGACCCGAGTTCGAGAGCCACTCTCCCCGCCTGCGGTTTCCAGCAACTGTTCTTCAGAAGGATCGCTGCCTCTGACCGTGGAGGCAAAACACAGCCATTCCGGCTAGTAGCCATCAGTAGCGCCCTCTTCCTCCATGAACATGCCCAGTTCTCTTTTATAGCCACCCAGGTTGGGAACCGTCGCTCCCTCCTGTGGCAGGGAGTTCCACAGTTCACAGCTGGTCCCAAGCACGGTTCTGCTGGTCAGCTTCTTCCTCCTCGCCCCCCTATCACTTTCCTTTTAAGATGCAGCTGTTCTCCCACTGCCCCTTCAAGCGATGGCGCTATTCCTGTGGGATTTGCTGCCCAATCACAAATGCATGTTTTGCTACACCAGTGCAGGTCTCCTTCTGCCTCTCTTTTTCTACCATGCTCCAACATGCTAAGCGGAAATGTGTCTGAGGACTCACGCACCCTCTATTGAGACCGCCAACTCTTATTTTGCTCTAAGTTTGAAGTCGTCTTCTATCTACTACATTGCTATATTTGCTGCCTGCACTGAAATGTAAGTAAACGTTTTTTTCTTACTAAAAACGTTTGTTTCATTCTCTCTCTTTGTGTTTATACTTTTCAAGTTTATACATTTCATTAGTTTTACAATCCATTTAACATTTCAAAGTTTGACTTCCTTCCCCCTCTTTCTGCAGTTCCTTAAATTTATTTTTAAATATTTTCTGCATATCCAAATTCATTTAATTATCGACTTTAAATATATACTCTCATGAAACTGCAGGTTACTACAATAATCCTGCCAATGTTTTCATCTGTTTGCAATTTATCTGTAAATATTCAACAAACCGTTTCCATTCTTTTATAAAAAGTTTGTTGTTTTGATTTCTTATTCTTCTGGTAAGTTTCGCCATTTCTGCGTATTCCATAAGTTTTTGTATCCATTCTTCCTTTGCTGGGACTTCTGCTTCTTCCCACTTTGGAGCAAGTAACATTCTTACTGCTGTAGTATAGCATACATAAATAGATTTCTATACAATTTAGGTAGTTCTGTCCCAAAAGAAAAGCTTCTGGTTGTGTGTGTGTTTTTACAAATGTTATTTTGAACATCCTTTTCAATTTATTTGAAACACTTCAAAACGACCTTGACAGATTAGAGAACTGGGCCAAAACAAACAAGATGAATTTTAACAGGGAGAAATGTAAAGTATTGCACTTGGGCAAAAAAAATGAGAGGCACAAATACAAGATGGGTGACACCTGGCTTGAGAGCAGTACATGTGAAAAGGATCTAGGAGTCTTGGTTGACCACAAACTTGACATGAGCCAACAGTGTGACGCGGCAGCTAAAAAAGCCAATGCAATTCTGGGCTGCATCAATAGGAGTATAGCATCTAGATCAAGGGAAGTAATAGTGTCACTGTATTCTGCTCTGGACAGACCTCACCTGGAGTACTGTGTCCAGTTCTGGGCACCACAGTTCAAGAAGGACACTGACAAACTGGAACGTGTCCAGAGGAGGGCAACCAAAATGGTCAAAGGCCTGGAAACGATGCCTTATGAGGAACGGCTAAGGGAGCTGGGCATGTTTAGCCTGGAGAAGAGGAGGTTAAGGGGTGATATGATAGCCAGGTTCAAATATATCAAAGGATGTCACATAGAGGAGGGAGAAAGGTTGTTTTCTGCTGCTCCAGAGAAGCGGACACGGAGCAATGGATCCAAACTACAAGAAAGAAGATTCCACCTAAACATTAGGAAGAACTTCCTGACAGTAAGAGCTGTTCGACAGTGGAATTTGCTGCCAAGGAGTGTGGTGGAGTCTCCTTCTTTGGAGGTCTTTAAGCAGAGGCTTGACAACCATATGTCAGGAGTGCTCTGATGGTGTTTCCTGCTTGGCAGGGGGTTGGACTCGATGGCCCTTGTGGTCTCTTCCAACTCTATGATTCTATGATTCTATGATTCTATTTGCTCCAATGGGGATGGCGAGGCAAAGCAGACCACAAATAAAAGTGGACAAAAAGATATAGTTGCCTTATTCCTAAACTTCATTACACGGCAAAATGTATAAGTGTCTTTACTCTGCTAGAAAGGCTTCACAGCCTGTTTACTTTTTGTATTTCTCCCCCACGTGAGATAGGAGGTTTAAATTTTAGATCACCAGTGTCAAAGCGATGATTCTTCAACATCAACTTCGTTGGACTGGTCATGTTGTGATGATTGTCTTCCAAAGCAACTACCGTATTTTTGGCTCTATAAGACTCACTTTTTCCCTCCTAGAAAGTAAGGGGAAATGTGTGTGCGTCTTATGGAGCGAATGCAGGCTACGCAGCTATCCCAGAAGCCAGAACAGCAAGAGGGATTGCTGCTTTCACTGCGCAGTGATCCCTCTTGTTGTTCTGGCTTCTGAGATTCAGAATATTTTTTTTCCTGTTTTCCTCCTCCAAAAACTTGTGGTCTGGTGCGTCTCATAGAGCGAAAAATATGGTACTCTATTCCCAACTTAGAAATGGAAAGTTTAATGCTGGTGGTCAACAAAAGAGGTTCAAAGGCTGTCTGAAGGCAAATTTCAAAAAATGTAGTATAATAATAAGAAGAAGAATAAATTTTTATTTATATCCCACCCTCCCCAGCCGAAACCGGGCTCAGAGCGGCTAAAAACCAACAATTGGGAAACACTGGCCTGCGAGCGCTCCAGTTGGAGAACAGCCTTTACCAAAGGCATCATGGGCTTTGAAGACACTCGAACTCAGGACGCAAGGGAGAAACGTGCTAAGAGGAAGGCACGCTTGGCAAATCCACACCGGGATCAACTCCCGCCCGGAAACCAATGTCCCCACTGTGGAAGGATGTGTGGGTCCAGAATTGGCCTCCACAGTCACTTACGGACTCACTGTTAAAACCGTGTTCATGGAAGACCATCTTACTCGGCTACGAGGGATCGCCAAAGAAGAAGAAATGTTAGTGTCAATCTCCCCCACATACCTGTCTCACCCAGAAGGGCATCTCATGGGTGTTGGGTGAGCGATGGTGCAAGTTGAGGACGACCACGCTGAGGATGACGGACAAAGTCACGAGACTCATGGTGAACATGAGGTATTTCACGATGATGGGCACTGCCAAGGATGTCTCCGGAACCTTGTCGGCCAGTAGCAGGAGGAAGACGGTGAGGGTGAGGAGAGCAAAGATGGAGAGGGTCATCTTCTCGCCTGAGGAAGGGAGGTGGAGGAGAACATGAGCAGTACTGTTTTGGGGGGACAGGGGGCGGGCGGGTGTGGAGGACTCCCTGGTCCTGAATGGGGCAACTGTGCCCCTGAGGGACCAGGTGCGCAGCCTGGGAGTCATTCTGGACTCACAGATGTCCATGGAGGCACAGGTCAACTCTGTGTCCAGGGCAGCTGTCTGCCAGCTCCATCTGGTACGCAGGATGAGACCCTTCCTGCCCGCAGACTGTCTCTCCAGAGTGGCGCACGGTCTGGTTATCTCCCGCTTGGACTACTGCCATGCGTTCTACGTGGGGCTACCTTTGAAGGTGATCCGGAAACTATAACTAATCCAGAATGCAGCAGCCAGACTGGTGACTGGGAGACCATATAACACCGGTCCTGAAAGACCTACATTGGCTCCCAGTACATTTCCGAGCACAATTCAAAGTGTCGGTGCTGACCTTGAAAGCCCTAAACGGCCTCAAAGGCCCAGTAGACCTGAAGGAGCATCTCCACCCCCATCGTCCAGCCTGGACACTGAGGTCCAGCACCAAGGGCCTTCTGGCGGTTCCCTCCCTGCAAGAAGTGAAGTTACAGGGAACCAGGCAGAGGGCCTTCTTGGTGGTGGTGCCCGCCCTGTGGAACGCCCCCCCCCAGCTTTGCAATATCCCTCTTTGAGGAGGGCGTCAGGCTCAGCGAAGCCCATCCCACAGGGTGTAATAACACTTAACAGCCTGAAGGTGTCGCTCAAGAGTGGCTCTTTTTTTCTGGCTACTCACCAGCATCTGGTGGGAGATAGAAGACAAAGATGGCCAGGATGGTAATTAGGATGCAAGGGATGATGACGTTGATGAGGTAGAAGAGGGGCTTCCTCCGAATGATGAGGTAGAAGGTGATGTCCTCGTACAGGGGGTCTCCCGGGAGGGTGTTCTTGCGGGACGGTTTGTGCCGGATCTCCCACTGCCCGTTGTCTGCCAAAGGAAAAGACAGAAGGGAAATTGCAGTGAAATTGCAGTGAAATACAACTATGCGTGATTCCTAGTTAGTGCATGAAGGGGTTAAGACAATAGAGCTGTGTTCCTAGACTCAGCTAGGTCACGCCCACTCTTCCCCCTGGCGAGGGAGGAAGTGAAGCCTACTCTTCCTGTTCCTCTCTCACTCTCTCCTCACCATGTAACTAACCAAGGAAGACGTGCTAAGCAAGCTTTCTGCATTCTCTGCAATTCCGAGAGTATTCTGCCTGTGTTCTGCATTGCTGCTGCTTGGATACACGCAGGAATCTGACCTTTGGAACGTTTTGTAAGTAAAGCATTTTAAACTTAGGAGGAATTAAAGAAGCTTTTAATGAGAGTGAAAGAGGAGAGTGCAAAATATGGTTTAAAGCTCAACATCCAAAAAAAAACGAAGATCATGGTCACTGGTCCCATCACCTCCTGGCCAATAGAAGGGGAAGAAATGGAGGCAGTGAGAGATTTTACTTTCTTGGGCTCCATGATTACTGCACATGGTAACAGCAGTCCCAAAATTAAAAGACGCCTGCTTCTTGGGAGAAAAGCAATGACAAACCTAGACAGCATCCTAAAAAGCAGAGACATCAGCTTGCCAACAAAGGTCCGTATAGTTAAAGCTCTGATTTTCCCAGTAGTGATGTATGGAAGTGAGAGCTGGACCATCAAGAAGGCTGATCGCCGAAGAATGGATGCTATTGAATTCTGGTGCTGGAGGAGACTCTTGAGAGTCCCATGGACTGCAAGAAGATCAAACTCTCCATTCTGAAGGAAATCAGCCCTGAGTGCTCACTGGAAGGACAGATCCTGAAGCTGAGGCTCCAAGACTTTGGCCACCTCATGAGAAGAGAAGACTCCCTGGAAAAGACCCTGATGTTGGGAAAGATGGAGGGCACTAGGAGAAGGGGACGACGGAGGACGAGATGGTGGGACAGTGTTCTCGAAGCTGCCAGCATGAGTCTGACCAAACTGCGGGAGGCAGTGGAAGACAGGAGTGCCTGGCGTGCTCTGGTCCAGGGGGCCACGAAGAGTCGAACACGACTAAACGACTAAACAACAACAGCTTGTTGTCTCTTCGTTGCAAGAGGGGAGTGCAGGAAGCAACTAAACGGGACAAAAGGATCTTAACAACCTATATTCCTGACACTATACTGCTACTGGGCATTCTCTGCCGGATCTGGCCCAATCGCCTTCTCAATCTGGCCCATGGACGGTCCGGGAATCAGCATGTTTTTACATGAGTAGAATGTGTTCTTTTATTTAAAATGCTTCTCTGGGTTATTTGTGGGGCATAGGAATTCGTTCATTTTTATTTTCCCCCCAAATATAGTCCGGCCCCCCACAAGGTCTGAGGGACAGTGGACCGGCCCCCTGCTGAAAAAGTTTGCTGACCCCTGGTCTAAGTTGTCTTTTGGGTCATCCCTTGGGGGGGGTCTAGGGCTGATTTTACCCTTCCTTGTCTAGCCAGCCCCCGCCACACGTATTTCCCCAGAATCCACCATTCCTCACCGATAAACGTGTTTTCGTAGATGATAATCTCCTTCAACTCCAACCCGTCCTCACCGATCGGGTGGAGAAGGGTGATTTCTGAGGTGTCGTAAGTGTATGAGCGGAAAACCATCGTGCAGTTTTGCCAGTCGAAGGGGAAGTAGGTTACCTGCCGCACAAATACACCCCCCCAGAAAAAATGAGAGAGAAAAAGGCTGTCATTTTTAAAATTTACAGTACTATCATGCTCTGTATATCTGTATTTTCTTTTCCCCCGAGTCGGACACGACTAAACAACAACAACAACAAAAACTAAATTTGGGGGCACTGGGCAGATCTTTGCACTCCGGCGGCGCATATTCATTTTATAGTACAGTGGTACCTCGGGTTAAGTACTTAATTCGTTCCGGAGGTCCGTTCTTAACCTGAAACTGTTCTTAACCTGAAGCACCACTTTAGCTAATGGGGCCTCCCGCTGCTGCCACGCCGCCGGAACACGATTTCTGTTCTTATCCTGAAGCAAAGTTCTTAACCTGAAGCACTATTTCTGGCTTAGTGGAGTGTGCAGCCTGAAGCGTCTGTAACCCGAGGTACCACTGTATTTGTAACCACATCTCATTTATTTATTTTTTATAAAGAAAATCTCACTCACCTGGATACTGCAACTGCTCTTGTAAATGGCTGGCGGCTGCCACCGGACGACTCCTTTGTGGTTCACCAGGACGTTGATTGACAGCGCAATGTCAAAGTTGCCGTCGTTGCTGGACAGGGTGAATAAGGGACAAAAACAAGGTTAAGCCGGTGCTTCAGGCCAATAGCCCTTCTAGTCCGGCCTCCTTTTCACACAGCCACACGCCTGTATGGGAAACCCGCGAGCTGGATCCGGGTGCGAGAGCTCTCCCCCCTATTGTGGTTTAGAGAACATTTTGGTTTCGAGGAAAGGCGAGGAGGTACATCTCCAAGCACAATTCCAAGTGTTGGTGCTGACCTTGAAAGTCCTAAACGGCCTCAAAGGCCCAGGAGACCTGAAGGAGCGTCTCCACCCCCATCGTTCTGCCTGGACACTGAGGTCCAGCTCCGAGGGTCTTCTGGCGGTTCTCTCCCTGCGAGAAGTCATGTCACAGGGAACCAGGCAGAGGGCCTTCTCGGTGGTGGCACCCGCACAGTGGAACACCCTCCCATCAGATGTCAAAGAGATAAACAACTACCAGACTTTTAGAAGACATCTGAAGGCAGCCCTGTTCAGGGAAGTTTGTAATGTTTGATGTTTTATCGTGTTTTTAATATTTTGCTGGAAGCCGCCCAGAGTGGCTGGGGAAACCCAGCCAGATAGGCGGGCTATAAATAATAAATTATTCTTATAGAAGTCTATACAAAAGTGCCTGGCATGGAGAAAGAGGGCAGAGACATGTTTTTCTCCCTCTCCTCCCGTAACGCTTGAACTTGTGTGAAAGCTGAATGATGGGAGATTCAGGACAGGACTTTTTCACTTTTAATCTGCGGAACTCCCTGCCACAGGAGGCAGAGATGGGCACCGACGAGAATGGCTTTAGAAAACGATTGGACCAGTTCCTGGAGGAGAAGGTTTGTCAATGGCTTGAGAGCCGAAGAAGAGGCTACTGATTCAGGCCAGTGGCCCATAATAATAATTTAATAACATTTTATTATTTATAACCTGCCCATCTGGCTGGATCTCCCCAGACGCCCACTATGAGAAGGCCATATTATGGCATTATATGGGAAGGCGAGGGATCCCTGCTGGGAACAGCTCCTCCCTTCCCCGCAGGTCTCTTCCTTTTGACAGCGCCAAGGTTCCTAGTCCTCATCGCCACTCACTTGTTCATTAGGACGATATCCGGGAGCCAGACCTCGTCCGAGAAAAGCCTGACGGAGGTGATGCCGTCATAGTCGTCGGGGTCCCAGACGAGGCGGTAGTCGGTCCATGTCTGGTACCCACAGAGAGAGAAAAAGATGTGTTTTATCTCGAGAGGGAGATGAGAGAGTCATTGGAGGAAAGGCAAGAGGAAGGTTATCGTTGGTGCTGACCTTGAAAGCCCTAAACGGCCTCAAAGGCCCAGTATACCTGAATGAGCATCTCCACCCCCATCGTCCAGCCTGGACACTGAGGTCCAGCACCAAGGGCCTTCTGGCAGCTCCCTCCCTGCGAGAAGCCAAGTTACAGGGAACCAGGCAGAGGGCCTTCTCGGTGGTGGCGCCCGCCCTGTGGAACGCCCTCCCAGCAGATGTCAAGGAAATAAACAGCTATCTGACTTTTAGAAGGCATCTGAAGGCAGCCCTGTTTAGGGAAGCTTTTAACGTTTAATAGGTTATTGTATTTTAGTGTTTTGTTGGAAGCCGCCCAGAGTGGCTGGGGAAACCCAGCCAGATGGGCAGGGTATAAATAAATTATTATTATTAATCGCTCCTGGAAAAGTTCCAGCAGACAAAGCATTGCCTGATGGTTTCTGAACATCCTCTCAAACAGGCAAGTCCAAAGTCTGTTCCGGGGGCCTAATCCAGCCCGCTGGTCGATTAAATGTGGCCCCTTGGGGTAAAATTGTAGCTCAACAAGTTCAATCCTAAAAAAAGATCAGCAATCTGGCCCTGTTTGAAAAAGTTTGGGCACCCCTGGGAGAATTCTGTGCCTTTGGAAATGCAGTCGGAGGAGAAACCCCTTGGAACAAAACTGAATTTGGATCCCTTTCTGGCGCTTACCCCAAAAGGAGAGAAGCGTTCGTTTGTCAGGGAGGCAAAGAGAGAGAGAGATTTCATTTCCACCTACCAGATCCAAATAGACTTTGGTTGTCAGTTCCTCGTCTTTCTCTGCCTGAAGAAACAAGAAAAGAAAAGGATTGTCTGATTTTTCAGAGCACTAACGGTTGGCCCAGTCGGAGGGACCACGTTTGCAAGAAACCAATCTTTCACTCGGAACTCCCTGCCACTTGACCCCTTCACGGTACTCTATTTGGCACCTGCTAAAAATATTCTCATTCAGGCAAGTTTTTAACCTTTTAACTTTGCGCATATTTTAAACCAGAGGTGAGCAAACTTTTGCAGCAGGGGGCCGGTCCACTGTCCCTCGGACCTTGTGGGGGGGCCGGACTATATTTTTTGGGGGGGGAAATGAATGACTTCCTATGCCCCACAAATAACCCAGAGATGGAATTTACATAAAAGGACACATTCTACTCATGTAAAAACACGCTGATTCCTGGACCGTCCGCATCGTGCAGTGTATAAACGAAATCATATAAATGAAACCCACCCACCCTGACAATCTATGCAATAATTTGCAGCCAGTTCCTGCTGGACTGATGCTTGCAAGCTTGCAAGCATACTCATCATCATCGTCATCAAAATAAATTAATTCTTGCCCATCTGGAGATTGAAGGTGTTATAAGAATTCTGAGGTCTCAAATATATAAAGTAAATGTTGACAAAGGTACAAGGCAAACACATACATAAGTATATAAACCACGTATCTGAAATACTACAGGAGAGCAAGACTCTCCTGTGACGCACTATTTAATTGGGGTCCGCCATTATGGGATAGACAGAGTTGCAGAGATAAACAGTCATGGGGGAGATGAGCTCTTAATTTGTTATCATATCTGTACTTCAAGCCCGATTTGGCAAATCTCCCCTGAAAGACTAATGTTTGATGCAACCTGTCTGAGAAAATGAACGAGCAAACGCCTAGGTTTTATTTCATCGGAACTGAGAGAAGATGGCGTCTGCCACCAGAGAAGGACTTTTGGATTGATTTGGCATAAACACCAGCGTGTGAGGACATATTGCGAACGACAGACTTATCAGCTGCAAAAAAAAAAGGAGAGTCATACAAACTACACACAGAAGCATATCACTGCTCACTTCAACTCGCCTGTGGAAACAACACAGAGGCCATGAAGGAAGGAAGGATAACAACAGGAAGATTTAAAGAAGGACCTATTGGAAACTCAAGGCAGTAGAAACATGAGATGATTGGAACCCCACTGAACTTAGAATCATAGAATCATAGAAGAGTTGGAAGAGACCACAAGGGCCATCGAGTCCAACCCCCTGCCAAGCAGGAAACCCCATCAGAGCACTCCTGACCTATGGTTGTCAAGCCTCTGCTTAAAGACCTCCAAAGAAGGAGACTCCACCACACTCCTGGGCAGCAAATTCCACTGTCAAACAGCTCTTACTGTCAGGAAGTTCTTCCTAATGTTTAGGTGGAATCTTCTTTCTTGTAGTTTGCATCCATTGCTCCGTGTCCGCTTCTCTGGAGCAGCAGAAAACAACCTTTCTCCCTCCTCTATGTGACATCCTTTTATATCTTTGAACCTGGCTATCCTATCACCCCTTAACCTCCTCTTCTCCAGGCTAAACATGCCCAGCTCCCTTAGCCGTTCCTCATAAGGCATCGTTTCCAGGCCTTTGACCATTTTGGTTGCCCTCCTCTGGACACGTTCCAGTTTGTCCGTGTCCTTCTTGAACTGTGGTGCCCAGAACTGGACACAGTACTCCAGGTGAGTAGCATGGGAAGCCCCAACAAAAAATTATAATTTCGCAAAATATTTGGACTTTATGTATTTGTATAATTTGGAATGTTTAATGTGATCTGATTGGATTGTTAAAATGGAAAACTCAATAAAAATTATTAAAAAAAAGAAGTAGTACAGGAGAGCAATCCTGAAGCCATTTTGACTCTCCCAATGACCTCAAATATTCCTCTGCAGTAAGGGAGGAAAATGGGGAAAGCCTTCCCGTTGTCTTTTCGCTTGCAAATCCTGTCTTACGGGTGTATTTGTGTATGAATAGGGTAAGCCTGTGACCTGGACTCAGGAACTAAAGTATTAACCATCACAAAAGAATGGCCAGGCTGCCCAGGTAAAGCAATCAGTGACCATTATCAGGTACCCTGGCAGACAGGATTTCCGCTGTAGACCGCCTCCTTCTGTGATGTATGCATGATGTTTTGGGCTACAGGGTGGGCAATTTCAAGAGTCTATATAAGGGCTTGCGCACCATGTTAGGATATTTCCGTTCCACCTTAAAAGGGAGCAGGCTGTGAGTCACAGAGTCTGCGTATTTCCTGTTCACAGGATGTTTATGTTTTCTGTTGCTTTCGTTTCTCTCTCTGTGTCGTAGACACTAAAGCAGGCAGTCATGTTTTTCTGTGTTCTGATCAACGTTGAATAAACTTGTAAATAATGCTCTCCTGAGTGCAACCTTTTGGCTGTGCATTATCTGCTGATAGAGTGTGCATGAGCTCTAGAATGTGGCAAGATATTTTCTAGAAACTCATGTCGCTAATTGCTGATACTGCGTGCCTATGGGAGGTCGATGGATCGTCCGGCAGACGGCTTGGGGGCCATGATGGACTTTATCTCCCTGGCAGTATCCCAACAACAATTGCTCTGGGTTCTCCTCCCTCCTGCGTGTGGGGGACCCTGTTGCAACAGTTCAATTAAGATTAGGCTTACTAGCTGCTTTGCTTCTCAATATTCTCTGTTATTTTCTCCTACCAATAGGGAACCCACTTAAGGACTCTATACGGGCTCTTGGAGACCCCATAAGGGAAAAAGAGCAGGGTTTTTTTCCTTATAACAAGACTAAGTTTTTTTGTGTTTTTTTTTACCAAAGACTAGGTTTTTTAAAATAAGACTAGGGGTTTTTTTAATCAAAAAATTAGGTTTAAAATTGAGGCTCATCTTATACACTGAGGGATGTTTTCTTAATTTGGAGTCCCCCAAAACATGGGGGCGTCTTATACACGGAAAAACACGATAAATTATAATTTGAATTTGCTGGTGTGTGACTCTATCCCATGGGTAGGCAAACTAAGGCCCGGGGGCCGGATCCGGCCCAATCGCCTTCTCAATCCGGCCAGCGGACAGTCCGGGAATCAGTGTGTTTTTACATGAGTAGAATGTGTCCTTTTATTTAAAATGCATCTCTGGGTTATTTGTGGGGCATAGGAATTTGTTCATTATTATTTTCCCCAAAATATAGCCTGCTGTCCGCCCCCAAAGTCTGAGGGACAGTGGACCGGCCCCCTGTTGAAAATGTTTGCTGATCCCTGCTCTATCCCAACTAGAAATAACGAAAGAACGAAAGTCTGGAACGGCAGCAGAAACTGCACTTGGGGATGTGCTTTTATTCTATCTCGCTGTTTCTTGGGAAGGAAATTGGGACCATTCCTGGAGGGAGGATGAGCTAAGAGGGACAGGAAGACCTGTCTTCCTTTGTCCTGCGTGGCTCCAGGATTCGGCTATTAATAGCCAGGATCTTCAGCTGCCGAGCTGCCGCCGTTAACTCTTTCCTGGCCCAAGCCCAGAGGAGACATCGAATCACAGGATTGTAGAATTGGAGGGGACCCAAAGGTCATCTAGCCCAACCACCCTGGCCAGACCCCGCCTGGAGTCCTGTTGCGTCCCGTTCTGGGCGCCTCAATTTTAGACGGGTGTTGACAAGCTGGAAGGTGCGCAGAAGAGGGCGACCAAGATGATGAAGGGTCCGGAAACTGAATTTTAGGAGGAGCGGTTGAGGGAATTGGGTGATGTTTAGCCCAGAAAAGAGAGGATATAAGAGCCATCTTCAAAAATCTGAAAGTCTCCTGAAATATACTCGGAGTTGAGAGTGGATTTCATGCTCTTTATTCAGCTCATAGTGGTGAGGAAGAATGGACGTTCCCCCAGAATGTCTGCTTTCTATACATTATATACACAATGGGCCCCATGTGATTGGCTAATTCCGGGATTCTCCTGTAGGCCAATCAGGTTGCGGATTCACTTCCACCTGGAGCTGGATTGGGTGGCTCCTGTGGACCAATCAGACTGCTGCATTCTGGATCCCATTGTTCTAGCACCAATCAGACTGCTGCTTTCTGGATCCTATTGTTCTAGGACCAACCAGACTGCTGAATTCTGGATCCTATTGTTCTAGGACCAACCAGACTGCTGCATTCTGGATGCTATTCAACTCAGTACATAACAGCTCCCTTCTTTTTTCTTACACTTACATTTGTCCCAGTTTTATACATTCTTGCAATCTGTACATCATTTTCATCTAATTTCCTTTCCAAAGAGAGCAGTCTGTAAATTGTAAGTCTGTTTTCCACAATCTTCCCCAGTCTTCAGACAGTATATTATGGCCAATATCTTGTGCCATAATATTTTATCATAAGTGGTGGGAATGTAGAGAAAAAAGAAGAAGAAAATGTTCAAATTAACATTTGCAAAAAGCAACAACACCAGAAGCATTTCTGTTAGGGATTGTAGGAAAAGACCTGCCAAGGAAAATGAAGAACATATTTTACGTATGTGACAACGGCGGCCAGAGTCTTAATAGCACAAGGATGGAAGAATGAAGAAACCCCGACAAAAGATCGGGGCAAGGGAAATTGATGGACTATGCAGAACTGGCAAAATTGACGTATAAATTGTGTGACAAGGACAACTGTGACTTTAAAGAGGAATAGGAACTTTTTACAAACTACTTAAAAAACAACAACAAATGAACTAGACTCCTTGGAAGGTTTTGAATAAACATACACAAACTTACTGTTGCTAGTTGGGATAGCTCAGTCAGCAGAGAATGAGACTCAAAATCCTTAGGGTCCTGTGTTCGAGTCCCATGTTGGGCAAAAGTTTGGGGGTACCTTCCAACTCTACAATTCCATGACCAAACATTAGGAAGAAATTTATCGTTTCTCTTTATACTTTTCAAGTTTATACATTTCATTACTTTTACAATTGAACATCTCAAAGTTTGACTTCCTTCCCCCTCTTTCTGCGGCTCCTTAAATTTATTTTTTTAATATCTTCTGCATGTCCACATTCAGTTAATTTGCTCATTTAATTATCTGCTTTAAATATATACTCTTATGAACCTGCAGGTTATTACAAACATCCTGCCAATGTTTTCATCTCTTTGCAATTTATCTGTAAATATTCAATAAACCGTTTCCATTCTTTTATAAAAAGTTTATCTTGATTTCTTATTCTTCTGGTAAGTTTCGCCGTTTCTGCATATTCCATAATTTTTTGTATCCATTCTTCCTTTGCTGGGACTTCTGCTTCTTCCCACTTTGGGGCACCGTAGTATAGCATACATAAATAAATCCCTATACAATTTAGGTAGTTCTGCCCTATAATCCCCCAAAGAAAAGCTTCTGGTTTTTGTTTTGCAAAAGTTATTTTGAACATCCTTTTCAATTCATTGTACAGTCATACCTCGGGTTACAGACGCTTTAGGTTGCGCGTTTTCGGGTTACGGACGCACTGAAACCCGGAAGTACTCAAACGGGTTACTTCCGGGTTTTGGCGCTCGCACATGCGCAGAAGCACTAAATTGCGCTTTGCGCATGCGCAGAAGCGCCGAATCGCAACCCGTGCATGTTGTGGACGCTGCGGGTTGCGAACATGCCTCCCGTATGGATCACGTTTGCAACCCGAGCGTCCACTGTACAGTGGTACCTCGGGTTACATACGCTTCAGGTTACAGACTCCGCTAACCCAGAAATAGTGCTTCAGGTTAAGAACTTTGCTTCAGGTTGAGAACAGAAATCGTGCTCCAGTGGCGCGGCGGCAGCAGGAGGCCCCATTAGCTAAAGTGGTGCTTCAGGTTAAGAACAGTTTCAGGTTAAGAACAGACCTCCAGAACGAATTAAGTACTTAACCCGAGGTACCACTGTATATCATTTCCTGGTAAGCTTTAACCTTGCTACAAGACCACCACATATGATAAAAAGAACCTTCTTTCTCTTTACATTTCCAACACTTGTTTGATTTAGTAGATTTTTGCCAGTTTACTTGGTGTTAGGTAAAGGTAAAGGGACCCCTGACTATTAGGTCCAGTCGCGAACGACTCTGGGGTTGTGGCGCTCATCTCGCTTTACTGGCCGAGGGAGCCGGCGTACAGCTTCTGGGTCATGTGGCCAGCATGACTAAGCCGCTTCTGGCGAACCAGAGCAGCGCATGGGAATGCCGTTTACCTTCCCGCCGGAGCGGTGCCTATTTATCTACTTGCACAGGTGTGCTTTTGAACTGCTAGGTTGGCAGGAGCAGGGACCGAGCAACGGGAGCTCACCCCGTCGCAGGGATTCGAACTGCCGACCTCCTGATCAGCAAGTCCTAGGCTCTGTGGTTTAGACCACAGCGCCACCCGCATCCCTTACTCAGTGTTAGATACCAGCAATATACCATTTTCACACAATTTAGGAAGAACTTTCTGACGGCAAGAGTCATTTGACTGCGGAACGGACTCCCTAAGAGGTTTGGAGGTTTCGAAGCAGCGATTCCATGGCCACCTGCCAGGGATTCTTTAGCAGCGATTCCTGGTTGGACTGGATGACCTTTGGGGGTCCCAACTCTACAATTCCAGATTCTACGAACCGCCTGCAATGCAGGAATCAGCCCCATATTTTGAACATCCGGACAGGTTCCGTTTAGAGGAAAACCCGGGTTGAATCTAAAGAGACCGACTCTCTGCGTCACTGTGACAACCACCAGATTTGCACAGCGCCCCTTCTGCACTGTCGCCCCCTGCTGTTCCCCTGCGGTATTGCGCCAACAGGAAAAGGAAACTAGGCTGCCCTCTGCAGGCTGCAGCAGAACCAGGGTTCTGATTGGCTGCCACACCGCCACACCTCCCCCTGCTGGCAGCTCCAAGTCCTGCATCCTCCAAGCCACCGGGTCCAAAAGACCCTTTGCTCACCAGGCTGATCAGCTGCGAGAGAGACATCCCGATGCGGACGGGAACTCTGTCGTCGACGCTGCGGACGGGCAGGACCGTCTTAGAGTAGTTCTGGGCGAGTTTATCCACCAGACGGCCCTCGACTTCTGAGCAGCTCACAACTGGAGAGAGAGAGAGAGAGAGAGAGAGAGAGAGAGAGAGAGTGTCTCAGTTTGTCTTCTGCAATGGGGCAGATCGCAGGCGATCGGGAACGGCCAACGTTTGAACAGAACCGAGGAGTTGGAAGGGACCCCCAAAGGCCATCTAGCCGAACCCCCTGCAACGCAGGGATTGCATCTGAAGAATACCCAACGGACGTCCAGCCGACCTCTCTTTAAAAGTCTCCGACGAAGCCCAGATTTGTGGCATTGAAAGGGATTTTTTAAAAAAGGCTATTTTTAAATTAAATTTCTGTTTTAGAATATTCACTTCAACCACCTTAAACTATCAACGGCTTCCCTTTCTGTGGTTCATTTTGCACAACAGAAATCCCTGCGTATTTTGCATAAACTGAACCATTCGGTACTCCATCCCTCAAAACTTATTTGCACTGTTGAATTTATCTTCACGTGGCCGGCGTTTTCAAACGGAAGGGATTTCCGAGGATCATCCAGCTGAACCCCCTGCAATGCAGAAATCACTTCTTCTTTTTATTGACTTAAAAAAAATAATTATACAGACAGCAAAACAAAGAGGGGTAAATTAACATTGCCTTCTACCGATAAGAAATAATAATAACTATTACAATAATGAAAATACTAAAAGTACATTTACTTACGCTTTTAAACTTCTATTCTGGTTACAATATATTACTATTCCATAAGAATCTATTATATCCTTTGCTGTCCCATATATTATTTTATTTCCCAAATTCAACCTAACCCTCCCCTCCTCCCCACGGCGTCCCTTAACCTGTGTGAACAGAAATCACTTCTATTTAGCGCCGACGGCGTTGTCTTGTCTCTCCACCATTTCCGCATCCTGGAACTGCTAACAGTTATTAGGATAATAATAATAATAATAATAATAATAATAAATTTTATTTATATCCCGCCCTCCCCAGCCGAAGCCGGGCTCAGGGCGGCTAACAACAATAAAACAGTACAAAAGTACAGCACAAACAACACTCTAAAATCATTCATTATAAAATTAATTCAAATCAAATTGATGGCAACCATTGGGCTAGAGTTATGTGGAGATTGCCAAAGGAGGGAGTCAGGCTGTGCCTTGGCCAAAGGCCTGGTGGAACAGCTCTGTCTTGCAGGCCCTGCGGAAAGATGTCAAGTCCCGCAGGGCCCTGGTCTCTTGTGGGAGAGCGTTCCACCAAGTCGGGGCCACAGCCGAAAAGGCCCTGGCTCTGGTTGAGGCCAGCCTAACCTCTCTGTGGCCTGGGACCTTCAGGATGTTTTTATTTGAAGACCGTAGGTTTCTCTGTGGGGCATACCAGGAGAGGCGGTCCCGTAGGTACGAGGGTCCTAGGCCGCATAGGGCTTTGAAGGTTAAAACCAGCACCTTAAACCTGATCCTGTACTCCACCGGGAGCCAGTGCAGCTGGTATAGCACCGGGTGAATGTGATCCCGTGGCGAGGACCTCGTAAGGAGTCTCGCTGCGGCATTCTGCACCCGCTGGAGTTTCTGGGTCAGTCTCAAGGGCAGCCCCACGTAGAGCGAGTTACAATAATCCAGTCTGGAGGTGACCGTCGCGTGGATCACAGTGGCCAGGTCAGGGCGAGAGAGGTAAGGAGCCAACTGCTTAGCTTGGCGGAGATGGAAACATGCCGCCTTTGTTGTAGCTGCAATCTGCGCCTCCATGGAAAGGGAGGTGTCGAAGATTACACCCAAACTCTTAACGGACGGTGCTGGCACTAATTGCGCCCCCGCAAGAGATGGGAGTTGCTCCCCCAATCCCATATCGTCCCTTCCCAGCCAGAGGACCTCTGTCTTCGAAGGATTTAGCTTCAACCGGCTCCCACGTAACCATCCAGCCACAGCTTCCAAACATCTGGTCAGTGTGTCTGGGGCCGAGTCAGGATGGCCATCCATCAACAGATAGAGTTGGGTGTCATCAGCATACGGATCCCCGTATAGTAGTTATTTTACATTTATCCTGGTGTCTAAACGGCTAACTTACCTTACTGCTGGCCTAAAATGTGGAATTTGCACTGTATTATTTGCTCCTGAGCCTATCCGTGATTTATTTACCGTATTTTTCGCTCTATAAGACGCACTGGACCACAAGACGCACCTAGTTTTTGGAGGAGGAAAACAAGAAAAAGAATATCCTGAATCTCAGAAGCCAGAACAGCAAGAGGGATCGCTGCGCAGTGAAAGCAGCGATCCCTCTTGCTGTTCTGACTTCTGGGATAGCTGCGCAGCCTGCATTCGCTCCGTAAGACGCACACACATTTCCCCTTACTTTTTAGGAGGGAAAAAGTGAGTCTTATAGAGCAAAAAATACGGTATTTGCTTGCTAAATTCATACCCCATCTGCTCCTCCGAGAAGCTGACGTTCACGGTTCTCCCCCTCCTCATTTAATCCTCACAACAAGCCCTGTGAGGTAGGCCAGTGAGCGGGAATTCGAACCCAGCTCTCTCGCGGGTCACGGTGTGGCACTCTAACCACTGCACCAGACTGCCTCTCTTTAGGGATGCTGCAAACCACTCGGAGGTTAGTTTGAAAGAAGAAGCAGAAGCGTTATAGTAATATTTTTGATGAAATATAATAATAATAATAATAATAATAATAATAATAATAATAATAATAATATAATCGTTATAATAATATTTTTGGCCGCCATTTAAAACGACACTCATCGGCACCGAATTACCCAACAGCCAGACAGAGAACAGGGTTAGGGCACCGGCAAAGCACACAAAAAACCCAAGATTTTCCAAATAAAATAAGAACAATTTGACATTTGGTAATTCAAGAAAAGCACCGATGCAGTTGTAGAAACTTTGTAGGACTTCATTATTCTGCACGCCACGCTTTCTGCTCTCCTTTTATTACTCATCCATCATGTCAGGAAATCAGATGGGGTGCACTGCAACAAATCCCTTTCATTTCATTCCCCGAATTTCTCATCTTTATATTCTTTTTATGGCATGTTAAGGAAGGCGCTGAGATCTTTACAGGGCCTCTGGAAACCCCGAATCAATAAACCAGCCTGCGCTCAGTTCTCCAGGCTCCAAATATATATATATATTGAGTAAGGGGGGGTTTCCACAACGATCCGAATGGAGGTTTTATTGCTCCCTTCTCACACTTATATATTTCTTTTCATTCTCCTCCTCCCCATTTTCTCCTCACAAGAACCCCCCTGCGAGGGAGACCAGGTGGCGGGAGGCAATTTTGAATTTATTGCCATTCACGTTTTATACTGCATTTTACGCCGTGTTTTTCGTTGCATCCATTGTTTTAAATTTGTGGTGGGAAAAGGAGTTATCTGTGGGACTGAATGTAGGTATGTTTGTATATATTTAAGGATTGTATGAAATGTATGTTTGTATGCTTGTATATTCGCAGTATGTGTGTATTAATGCTGAATTATTTTAACAATAAAAACTTATTAAAAATAAATAAATTTGTTGTTAGCCGCCCTGAGCCCGGTTTTCTGAACCGGGAAGGGAGGGGTATAAATAAAAAAATATTATTCTTATTAATTATGGGCTCGGGTGGGGGATTCGAATCCGGGCCCCACACCCTAACCACTACACCACCTGCCCCAAACCCCTCTCCCACATCACAGGGTGAATTTTATTAGGAGGAAAAAGCAAAACACTCACCCAGGGCACAAAGAGACAGCAGAAGACCCCAAAGGATGGCTCGGCCGGCCATGATATCCCTTGTTTATCGGCAAGGTCCCAGAAGCAGTGACCCCCACCCAACCACCCCCCAGCCCCTTCCCCCAAAGCTAAGCAAGAGCATCTTATTGGCGTTGGCACCTGTCAGTCAACAGGAAACTGGAACGGACAGCAGGGTTTGTCCGGCGAGCGAAGATTGTGTTACTGGTTGGCATCTCACAGCTGTCGTGGGATTTCCGGCCGGGCCACCTGTTCCCAAAAAGGCCCTCCAGAAAAGGCCTTTATTTCATGTATTTTTAAAAAGCCTCTCTGGCTGCAGGAATCTCAACCCAGACCGTATAACCAGCCGTATAACCGGCTTGGCCAAACTTCGAGACCAAAGTGCCAGACTCTGGCAGGCAGCATTTATGAACCCGGTTCCAAAACGTGGGAATGGATCGTTGGAGAAACTGGAGCCGGAAGAAGAGAGGAGCAGGGATTGGGGAAACCGCAAGCCGGATCCTGTTCTGGAGTTTGGAATGGGGAGGGAAGGCCAGAGATGGCGTCACACTGGACTGGAGCCAAAACTATATAAATACTGTATATATGGAAGAGGCGATGGGCTCCAGCCCAGCTTTGCGTTGGAAAAGGACTCTGGTTCAATCGCTAGGAGCAGATATAAGCAGCTCAGGAGAGCCCTGCTGGATCAGACCAATAGCCCGCCTAATCACAGAATCGTAGGGATCCCCAAAGGTCATCCATCCGAACCCCGCTGCAAGGCAGGAATTTTTCACCCGATGTGGGATTCAAACCCACAACCCTGAGGCTAAAAGTCTCACGCTCTACCAACTGAGCTAGTCTCTCTCCAGCATCTCGCCCTCAGAGTGGCCAAGCAGCCGCCCGTTACGTGAAACCTACGATCAGGATTCGAACCCAAGTCCGGCTCTCCCCTCCTGTGGCCCCTAACACCTGGCCTTCAGAAGAAGAGCCATCGCAGCTAGTAGCCACCCCATAGCCTTTATCCTCACTGGGTTTGTCCAATCCTCTTTTAACGCCGTCAAGTTTGGTAGCCGTTGCCGCCTCAATTGGCAGGGAGTTCCGTAGTTTAACAATGCGCAAAGAAGTCTCGAATCTTCCAGCATTCAGCTGCATGGGATGCCTATGAGTCCGAGCAAAGGAGGGAACCTTAAAAAGGTGACTGGGGAGGAAATCCCCAGCGTGTCTGGATTGTAGAATGGTTGAGTTCAGAGGGGCACCTAGGGGTCATCCAGCCGAACCCCCCTGCAGTGCTGAAATGACGGCTGACAAATCCCCAACAGGCGGCCACCCAAACCTCCGACGGAGGAGAGACTTCACAGAGTTGTACATTTGCAGGGGGAGCCCCCAAAGGTCATCCATCCCAACCCTGCCTCCAGATACTCACAGAGACAAGCCAGGTAGAATAATAGAAACTTTCTTTTTTTATTATTATTTCCAGAGTGCAGGACAAAAGGGGTGGGGTGGCAAGGAGACTCTCGGCCCATCGCACCAGGTTTATGGAAAGGGGAGGTTTTTAAGTTATTGCTGAGAGGGAGCCGGTTTCTCATGCAAGGGAGTCGGGGCCAAAGGCAGAGAGGATTCCTGCAATTATTGCTTTTCTGTGCTGGTTAAAGGGGAGGGGAGAGGAGAAGGCGGGAGTGGGGCGGAGCCAAGGAGGCCAAGCCCCGCCTCCTCCAGCGGTTGTCAGGTCCCCATGGTTTGTAGCAGAACAGTGGCACACATCTGGGAGCGAAAAGGTTTCTGATCCCAAAATTAAACATTCCCCAAAATGCATTTTTTCTGACTTCCGATTGAGACGGTGCAACTCAAACTCCCAAACAGGGAGATCTGAAATTTGGAGGGGAATTTATTTCTGAAAAATTGGTTCTTCTGCAAAGAGATTTGAAATCCCGTTTTTCCATTTCAGATCTGGAAGCAAAATGAAAAGGGTTTTGAAATCTGGGAATCGGGGAGTTTGCTTTTCATCAGTGCTTTTTTTGGGGGGGGCCAGAGGGTTACGCAAACCCCTAAACGTTTTGTGAATCATCACACTTTTGTCCATATACAGTCTTTTTATTTTGCCCGATTTGAACTATAAAACGGTGGTTTTCTTGAGTCAAAACGAGGGGAACTTCAGTAATCGTTGCAAGATAGCCACGATAGTGAAGATATATTGAGAAAAAGTTAAATGATGATAAAAGTGTGTATTGGCAATAATTAATATGAAATTGAAAAAAGGAATATATGTGTCTATATATATTGTGTCTATAGTGTTAAGAGCAACTTATGTTTTATGGTTTGCTGAGAAAATTTTGTGTTTATTGTTATTCCTGTGTGTAACCCTGTATCTATGTTTGGTTTTTTTTTGCTGTATCAATTAAAAAGAGAGACAGTGAGCAGCCCTGAACATTTTTTAAAAGAAAAAAAAAAGCACTGCTTTTCAGAACATCCAGATTCCTTAGCCCAATTCAAAATTACAGGGGTTCTTTGGGCTGATTTTAGCTTTATAACTTCTCCCCTAAATTCGATTTTGTACTGGGCCGAGGAATTAGGATGTTCCGGAAAGCGAACACTCACATTCCCAGTTTTCAAAATGCTTTTGTTCCCCCCCACAACAAAAAAAAAGGGGTGGGAATATGCATGGTGCAGATTTCAAATCTGGTTCAGAAATCGGAGTGGGGTTTGGAATGATTTTTCATTCTGGAATCCCTTCACGATGTGGAAGGGACCTGAGGGTCATCCAGACCAACCCCTTGCAAGGCAGGAATCGAACTCGGAACCACGGAACCACGTTTGTGCCTGGCAACCTCTGGAGAAGTTGGAGAACGGAGGGGAAGGAGAGGCGGAGGGAGGGAGGGAGAAAGGAGGCTGAGCGGAGAGAAGGGAGTGGGGAAGACCCAGGGAACCCCACACACGGGTAGGCAGGAGAGGGGTGTTTAATGCCAAAGGAGACCAGGCAGAGTTGGACTCCCCAACCCTCCCTCTCCCACGGCCCTGTCCTTCAGCTGAGGCATTAAGGTGGCTGGGAGGAAGGAGATTATACAGAATTATATACACAGTACAGCCTTCAGATATAAAGTTCGCACGCACAAAAAAAAAGGTGGGGGGGAAAGAGGTTAGATTTCAAACCCACAACCTTTCGCGCCAGCCAGTCGCTCTGAACCACTCGCTTGGTACTGGTGCAATCGCGACGTCCGTACATGCAAACACACACACACACACACACACACACACACACACAGAGGTGTTCAAGAAATGTGTTGCAGAAAGGTGAGGATGAGAAGGCTCTAGAGGAATTCATCCCCCGGCAGTGAAATGGTTAAAGCCGCTGCAGGAAATGGGGCGTTGTAGGGCCCATAGAGTTGGAAATGAGACCCCCACACACAGGGTCCAACCCCCCCCTGCATTGCAGGCTGAATAATCCCAAATAAGTGGCCCTCCAACCTCTGTTTAAAAACCTCGAGTGAATCATAGACATAGAGTTCCTGCAATTCCAGAATTGCAACTAAAGAAATGTAATCATAATGACAACCATCGTTGGGATTTCTTTTCTTGTCATTCGAATCGCTCGGTTTGGGTCCTTTCTCTCCAGATTATCAGAAAGCAAGCTTGCTCCCTCTCCCGTGATGGGACAGCCTTTCAGATACAGTGGTACCTTAGGTTACATATGCTTCAGGTTACATACGCTTCAGGTTACAGACTCCACTAACCCAGAACTATTACCTTGGGTTAAGAACTTTGCTTCAGGATGAGAACAGAAATCGTGCTCTGGTGGTGCAGCAGTAGCAGGAGACCCCATTAGCTAAAGTGGCGCTTCAGGTTAAGAACAGTTTCAGGTTAAGTACGGACCTCCGGAACGAATTAAGCACCGTATTTTTCGCTCTATAAGACGCACCAGACCACAAGACGCACCTAGTTTTTGGAGGAGGAAAACAAGAAAAAAAATATTCTGAATCTCAAAAGCCAGAACAGCAAGAGGGATCGCTGCGCAGTGAAAGCAGCAATCTCTCTTGCTGTTCTGGCTTCTGGGATAGCTGCACAGCCTGCATTTGCTCCATAAGACACACACACATTTCCCCCTACTTTTTAGGAGGGAAAAAGTGAGTCTTATAGAGCAAAAAATGCGGTACTTAACCCGAGGTACCACTATATTTGATGACGGCTGCCACACGTCTGAATCTACACAACTCCATTTGCTCAGGAGGAGAAAAGAGATGCTGCGATGTGTTGTGTGTGTGTTTGCGCATGAAAGAGATCATTTGCGCACAACCCCCCCGAAAGAGAAAACCAAGCAGCTCACTCAAAACATTGCACCAGTCGGTCGAACCATGCGCTTCCCACTGGCCCTACACACCGCCCACTGGTGGCCGGGCGGAGAATTGCTCCCCTGTGTGCCTTTTCCTTTTTCTGGGAAGCTGTCGCCCCCTTGTGGCCGCACCTTGCAAAGACACCGTTGCGCCCCTGCTGGATCCTCAGCAGAGAAATTCCTGAGTTCGCTTGAACCCTGTAGCCATTGGACAGGAGGGGATAAGGAGAGGGGGTCGGCCTGGTTTCAGACTCGAGGGTGGCAGCGGGTGCCCGGGACACCTATGGCTCTGGCTGGGCGCGGTCACCGCCAGGAGGAAGACAAGATAGGTAGTCACTGCCGCATATGGCTCATTAAAGCATCGGGCCTGATCGTGGCATCGTAGGGTCGGGACACCCCGAAGGGCATCTAGCCCAACCCGCCGTGGGGCAGGTCCCGCGTGCAAAGAATCCCCTGGATATCCCGTTTGTTGGTCCCTTCCTGCTCTCTGTTGGCTGGACAGAGATCGGATCTCTCTTTCAAACATGGCTCGGTAAGGATGGAGCAGGGTGAGGCGAATTTGGAACCCGGGGCCAAGGGGTGGGGAAGGCATTGCGGAACCCAGGTCCGGCTTTCTGGAAGAGGGTCTAACGCAGCCTGGCTCCCCAGATGTTTTTGGACTATTCCCATGGGAGTTGTAGTCCAAAAAGGACCTGGGGGCGCCAGGTTGGAGGAGGACGGTCTAGTGGTTTCTGAGATTTGAACCCAGGACCCCAGGGCTTTTTTGTGGTGTGGGGG